CTGACTACTCCTCTCGCCTTCCCCAGTGAGGTGGTTGATAGGCTCATCCGCGTCAGACTTGTTAGTCTTGTCAGACTCGTCGGGCTAGTTGTTATTATTTTTATTAATATTGGATCATAATGGAAGTAAACATTGGTTCAACGTTAAATTATTCGACACATACTTTCAGGTAATTGTTGATGTTTGTTTTTTTTATGCCTTTTAGTAAGGCACGTAAGTTCTCCTTGTAAATGATGATCAGGACTGAGTCATCTCTTCTTGGTCGCGCCGCCCTCCTGATCTCACTGATAATTTTGCTGAAACTGCTAGCTTCACGATCCACGCCGTATTCCTTGACGGCCCATTCGACGAAATGGAAAAGGGTAAGATCTTTTGGGCTTGGCCATTTGCCAATTGGAAGTTGAGATATCATAGTATCCAAGTCAACCTTGACCTTTTGAGGCTTCTGAAAAATTGTGCTGGTGGCCATTTTTGTTTGGTGAGGTATTTATGAGGTTTGTGAAGAAGTTTTGTGTGAAGCTTTGTGAAGAGTTTTGTGAAGAGGTTTATTAGTATTGCGAAGAAGTTCAGAGACCTCTTTTTATCTGTGAAAGCGACAAAAATATAACTCCTAACTCCTTTGTGCAACATGAGACAATGCCCCGCCTCTGGGAATAAGTGGACCAAGCTTACCAGATGAAATCAGGAACATTTGTAACGACTGTGCTAAATGAATAAGCAACATGGATGGAATCAACAGAGTAGGAAATCAATGCTTTAAGACTGAGGTGGACCACCAGCACATGCTTTTTATTAACTTAGTGGCGGTAAAAACGGGCTGAAGGTGAAGCCGGCATTGAATTATCGTCTTCCTCCAATTCATCAGGAGCCAAGGATCGAGATGTCGGGATAAGATCAACGTCTTCTTCAACTTCATCAACTTCATCACCAATATCACCATCTTCCATGGGCTCAATTAAGACATTGTATCGGCCTCTGGCAGCACCAATCCCAAAAAGCCTGTTGAATGTGGCCTCGGAAAAATCAATCGAATGAAAAATTTGTTCCAACTCTTCCTGCACCTCGGCCGTCTCGAATGTCTGGCCACGAATTTCCTGCATGTATCTGTAGGCAAAACTAAGGGTTTTTTTCCAGGCAGAAACGAAAGTTTTAACTTGAACATTTCGGAAGACTTCCTTCAGCATCTGGATAAGTTGATCGGCAGCCATCGATCCGGATATCATGTAAGCTACGCTGTTTTTTATAACGCCCCAGATTAATTCAATGGGCTGGAGTTCGCAATGATAAGGAGGTGTCCTAATAATCCAGTGGCCCCCATTCTCTAATGCGATGTCCCAGACCGTGTACCGTGGCTGGTAATCAAGGGTCCTTATATAAGCAAGTAGTTCTGACTTGCTTGGCGTTCGATCACCGTTAGAACCGGGTGGAATTCCAAATTGATGAGATATAAGCCATTCCATTATCTCCGATTTCTTATTGGCGGCCGTTGGCTTCCTATCAGGGCAATGGAAATGGTACCTGGCACCATCCATGTGTATTTTACAAGGACCGAGATTCATCTTTACCAGACTTTGGCAAACCGTCGTAAACAGCTCTTCGAACACCTCGTGGTTAAAATGACCATGATAGTCATGATCATTTGCAAGAATCTGACTATTGGGCTGCATATGATCGGCGTTTCCCTGAAGAGATGCCTTGCTGTTCGCCGCCCAGATGTGAACACTGTTCTCAACAAACTTCCCCACCACCTTCTGTTCGTCACGGTCGTAATAGATGACAAATGCAGCGAACATGACGAGAAGTGGTTGCCGAGATGATTCACACACAATGCCTCCGTCCCGTTCTACCCATCGATTTTTTGAGGAATGGTCCAGGTGACAATAGGACTCATCAAGAAATACCTCTGGCATCATAGGGATTAAACCATCGTCAAGCTCCACCAGGTTCTTGAAACGCTCTGTGAGGTATTTCAGTCGGTATTGCACAATGTGAGGTGCATCGTGCATAAAGTTCCTTCGAACCCCCTTTCCCCAGTAAAAGTTACTTGCATGTAGGTATCGATGAACTGTTGACCTTGACGTCCTGATACCATGCTCATTTCTGAGCTCATTCACCACTCGTCCAAGTGTATTCGGGATACCTCCCAGATTAGTTCTCCTGATGATATCCGTGATATGTCCCTGGAGCACTTTATCTTTTGCTTGTGCTTTACGGCCACGTCCCACACCCTTGTTGGGCAACTTCAATACCCCTGTCCTTGAGTAGTTGATAGCTGCTAGACAGGAATGTGCATTTACCCCGGTAAGCTTAGCCATCTGCACACACTCTTTCATGCCAAACGATTGTCTCATCCATTTTTGAAACTCTGGCGGCGCATTGCTGAGCTTTGCGTAGATATGTGCGATTAGGCGGTATTCCTCCTCCGCTACGGTTGTCTTACTAAGTCGTGGCGGTGCATGAAGACCACCTTCATCCATGCTGATGAGGAAGGGATTATCATTCTCATGTTCTTGAGAAAACATGGATTGGTTGGACTCTTCATAAATAAAAGACTCGCTTCTCCGGCTTGCCTGTTCCGCACTAAGTTCTGTGGGGATTAAAGAAAATTGTGCTGAAGACATTGTAAAAATTTTGCTGGAATGTGAAGGAAGATAAAAAGTTGTTTATTATTTGTTGTCAAGAGGGAGCCCTTTATTGAACCCCGCCATAGCCGTCACTAATGTTAGGCCTTCAGTGTATGACCTAGTCTAATGATCGAGATCTACAACAGCAAGAAATTGAATACTTCAGCAGCTTTGTGAAGAAAACGCTATCGATGGCATACAGAAGATATAGCCTTTCTTACCATGATCACGCAGACATGTGTGCCATTAGCTGGCATAATTGCAGTCAAGTTTTGCATAATACATGATATATATAAATAAATATTAAGGGTTTATCGAAAATATGCAGCTTTATTGCCTGATAATTCTTGTTGCGCAATTCGAGTATAATGATTGGTGCTTTTTGTTATTCGACTTTAATGCTTGATGCTTTTTGTTATTCCAACGAAATATAAACATTGTTGAGAGTCTTGCCCACGATATCCTCATCCACGCCTCGACAAAAACCGCGGCCCGACAGCTGCTAAGAATCCGAGTGTGCGAATGGGTAAAATCTTGGTTGGCCTAATATTACTTCAGAGTATATATGATGGTTAAAATTGGTCTCGATGTCGAGTTGCATGTTGTAGGTTTGAATAAAGGCCTTGCGTTTGTAATACCATGCAAAAAAATAATCATATTATCCATTTTCCGCGACGGAGAACAGACGGCAACTTGTGGTCAGACCTGGCGAGCTGGCAGGAGATAGCAAGAACCAAGGCGGAACCATGTCTTGGAGGGGGAAAAAAAAAATAGAAAAAAAAAAGAAATAGAGCCAGAACCCTTGTGATTCGATACGACTGGGTTGCTGAAACCAGGGTCAAAGACCAAGAGTTTCCATCACTATAAATAGTGGGCAGTTAACGAATCAGTGAGATGTCTGGCGTCTCTTCGTATATCCCTCAGCAGCCATAGAAAAAGAAAAAGAAAATATAAAAAAAAGAAAAGACTCAGATGCTTGACAGAATCTTTTTAAAACCGGAGGGCTGAAACTTTTGCACAAGGTCAAAGACCTGCTCAAAAAGTTTCCCCACTATGGGTAGTGGCCAGTTCGAATCAGCAGAGCATCCGGCGTCCCTTCGTATATCCCTCAGCAGCCATAGAAAAAGAAAAAGAAAATATAAAAAAAAGAAAAGACTCAGATGCTTGACAGAATCTTTTTAAAACCGGAGGGCTGAAACTTTTGCACAAGGTCAAAGACCTGCTCAAAAAGTTTCCCCACTATGGGTAGTGGCCAGTTCGAATCAGCAGAACATCTGGCGTCTCCTTGTAACGACCTCCAAGGTCAAAAAAAAGAAAAGGGAGAAGGAAGCTGCGATGTTCTCATTGGATCGAAAGATTCCGCGTCTATTCATCGTAAGAAACCAGAGATTACTCACAAATAATTAGGAAGCGCAGGTAAATGATAAAAAAAAGATAGTCTATTACTTACTTGATGGAACTCTGTGAATTTGACGATCATCATGTTTGATTGTGTTGCGTGAGAGCTAGAGTGAAGGTAAGGAAGCAAAACATAGTGACGCATAACAGTTATTCAACGTCAAAGCCACTGACCTCTTCCGTCGCTCGGCGTGCAAATAGAGGACAGCGAGCCAAGCTTGCAAGTAGCGAACGACATCGGATTTAGAGTTGCTATTCAATACAATTCAATTTTCGCTTGAGTCTATTCAATCAATTTAAAAAATATAAGGTATCGTGACCAAATGAAACGGGCTATACTAGACAACATGACAATATATCGCCAATTTCATTTGGTCATGATACCTTATATTTTTAATGTAAAAACGATGATTGAATTGTTCTGGTGGCATTTCACTACGTGACGGACTTGCAACAATACTCGCAACAAGCGAGCCAATTGGCTGCCAATACACTCGAAAGTATTCAAAAAATATAAGGTATCATGACCAAATGAAACGGGCTATACTTGACCGTGTATCCAAGACGACATTGTCCTTCCATGATTTATATGTACTATGGCAACCAACAATAACAACGGCAGCATCAGTATGTTTTTTTGTGCATGCTCCACTCCACCATCGAGGAACAATATGACACATTCTTTTTTGGTTGGGCTGCCACACATGCTTTAATGTATGTATATAATCTGTTTGCTTTAAGTGAATTAAAGCAATGAGGAGATGTGTACAAAGCAAGGAATCGGAATAGCCTTCAATTTGTAAAGCAGTGAAGCATTTGTTGATATGTACCAATTGTTTGATATTTATATTAATATCGGTGTACAAAGAACCATGTCGTACTTTATGAAGAAAACACGCATGTTCAAAAACAGAGCCAGCAGTTTCATTTTTGTTGAGTGTTGAATATAAAGTCGGTTATTTGCCATGTATTAACCGCTGGACACTCTTCTTTCCTCCTCCTTCTGTCCCATCTTTCCTTCTCTTGTCCTTCACTGTCCCTCAAGTGAACCTTCCCTCGTCCATCCTCACTCCCAAGCCTAAAATCCCAAAAGAGAGATCCACATTCCTCCTTTATTTCCAATTCGTTAGCTCACGTCTTCACCCCCTCAACGACTCTATTTTACCCTTCTCTTTTTATTTGTTGACCTATACCCCTCCCTATCATGACTTCTTCTAAAGAATCTCTTAATGAAAAGGAACTCCCTTACACTGACGCCGAGACCGAATATAAAAGTATCAGTGATGACAACAGCTACAGTAAAGAGCGTAGCAACAATCATGCTATTGATGATTATGCCGTGAACGACCATGAGTCCTTCCAGGATTATGAATACGATTCTCCACAGAAGCCTATCCGCAAACCATTCTATCGCCGTAAAAAAGTTATAGTTTGCTGTACCGTGGGTACAGTCATCTTTTTAGCGGTCTTCATCCCTCTGTTACTTTTTGTGATTCTGCCCAAGATTGCACAATCGTTGTTGAATTCATCCTCAATGGAGATCAAACAGCTAAACATGACCAATCCTGGAGAGACTAGCTTGACAGTCTCGGTGGCAGCTCAAGTCGGAGGGATTCCAAAGATCTTCTCTGCAGAGATGGAGTTTACAGAACAAGTCTTGGTTCATTGGCAAGGCAAGGTCATTGGTTCCATGAGTCTGGATCCTGTCCATGTCAAGGGTGGAAAAGGCGATATTTTGCAGGCGACTGGATTCTCAATCGAAGACAAGGATGCTTTTGAAGCTTTTGTAAAAGATATGGTAAGCGGCGATCGTATAGTGTTTTTTTTTTTTTTTTTTTTTTTTTTGTATTCGCTTATAGGAACAACCTTTGTATTCATGCTGGGATAAAGAAATGCTATGATGGTGTGATGTTGAATGGGATGTGGGTTCAGGATGGATTGGGCGTCTACCTCATATTAAGAAGAGAGGCTTCCCCAATGCTGCCACATTTTAACGTTGTGGCTCTCAAATATTGTACATGTTTGTATTGAAATATTCCCTTGAAGTTATATGTGTGCGTTTGATGCATTTGCCAATCAATTCAAATGCCCTTCTTCCATGTGTCTGGCACATGAAAGAGGCGCGCCACATCTCCTTTCAGTTCTTTTGTCAGCTCTCCTTGTAACTCTTTTACTATGACCGCCCTTTCTTTAAGGTTACGAAACAAATGTTTTGAGACATTCAGAAAAAGCAAGAGAGATTTGGCTCATGGCTCTTAAAATGTCTTCCTTGCTCTCAATGGTATCCATCAGCGCTGTTTGAATTCTATGCCGAAGAAGAAAAGAAGGCGCACTGAACATTGTGGAGAGAGTATGATTGAAAAAAAAAAAAAAAAAAAAAAAATACACTTTAAGCAATGTTTATATTGTATTTTTGTAATATACAAAATCTTAAACTGATAATAGTAGGCAAACCAATGATAATGGGACTATTTTATGATGGCGCATGATGATGTGGAGATGCCAGAGCGGAGAATCTTGGGTGTGGCCCCTGCTTTGTGGAGTAAATTTTTGACTGAAAACAGTTGATCTTCTCGCTTCAAAAGTATTGACAACGCGATGTGATGCGCATTTTTTTTTCTTCCGTATTCATATCATTAGATGGCTTCTGATGGCTTCGCATGGACACTGACCAGCAAGGCTACTCTTAAAACCCTTGGTCGGTCAATCAAAGATCTCGAGGTTAATAAGGTCCTGAATATGAATGGTAATGATGGATGATGCATGCAATGCTGTATTTCATTTGCTTGTACTCTGTATGTTTTTCTATTTCATAATTTACATAATCTGTACACTTGATCGTACTCCGATCATTTGGATAAATGCGATTATCCCAACAAAAAGAACCGAGCTATGCAGCATCAATTCGCACACTTTTAAATTAACTCTATTGCTTTACTCTTTCATTCCAGGTTTGAGCAGTTTCTCCAACATCAAAATCCTCAAATTTGATTTGCCATCTGATGCACCTGAAGGAGCCTTGATCGCCATCTCGGCCTCCATTGCCAATCCTTCACCTATTGGCATGACTTTGGGAACGATCACTCTCGACATGAACTTCAAAAGTGCGTATTTGGGTCGCGTTGTAGCCAAGAATGTCACTTTGATCGGAGGACAGCCTATGATCCTCAACTTGGAGGGAACTCTCTTGAGACAAACAGATCCGGTTCATCTTGAGGAGCTGTCCTTGCTGATGTCCAACTATCTTGGTGGTATTGTTACGCCAGCCACAGCTCAAGGTGTCTCTGTCTTCCCTGATGGAGTGAATGAAGTGACATGGTTGACGTCGGCCATTTTGGCCACAAAGATGACTGTCCCACTTGTGGCTCCAGAGCCATTGAATGTCATTCAGGGTCTGAATATCGAGGATATGGGCTTATTCGTCCGGCCTGAGAACCCCTGGGCGCCTACTGCCAACTCCAACTCTGTTTCGGCTGTCTTTAAATTGCCTTTTAATATCTCTCTCAATATTACGGAGCTCGCAAACGCTACCATGACTTTGATTTACAAGGGAACTCCTTTGGCCGACTTGACGGCCGCTGTTTGGAACCAGACTTCATCCGATATGAAAAACAACAAGATTGTCTTTACGTTGCCCCCATCGCCCTTGGCTGTAAAGGATGATGCCCATGAGGCTTTTCAAGCATTTTTAGTAGATGTAGTGCAGAATACGGATACAGGATTCGACATCAAGGGCAGTGCTGACTCTGTGGCGAGCACGCCTCTGGGTGTTGTTCGTCTCAAGGTCCCTTTCGCTTCTACTGTTGCCTTGAAGGGTATTGGCTTTGCGACTATCCCCCCCACAATTTCCAATGTCACAGTCATTAGTGGATCCACAGAGTATGTTACACTGTTAGCAAATGTAGGTATCGACAATCCCTCCATTTTCACGGTCGATGCTGGACAAGTGAACCTAAAGATCAGCGGAACTGCAGGAGGCCTGAGTGGGCTCATGGGAGATGTCATTATCTCCAACCTCAAGTTCGGACCAGGTCTGAATAACTTGATTTCAGAGGTTCGCTTCCATCCTTCTGATCCAGCTTTCCGCGACATGTTCTTTTCTCATTTTGTGGCGGGTGCGACGTTTGACTGTGTAATTACAGGAGATGCTCAGTCGACCGCCATTACTTCGATGACACCGGTAATGGAGGTTCTTTCCATGAAAACTAAAGTCCCCGGCATAATTCCTGCACCTCGGTTGATCGTCAGTGGCAATGGCGCTCCTTCGCTTGGAAGTGTACTCGGAAACCGTCAGATCCCTCTGACAGTCTCTGTTTTGAACCCTCTGTTGACCTCGCTGTCCCTTAACGACATTAAGGCTCAGGTCTTTTGGCGGGAAAACTTTTTTGGGGCGATTGCATCCAAGGATTCGTTCTCCATCCCTGTAGGGGGTACGCTTCCATCACCTTCACTGATTCTCCAAGCGCCAACTGATTTCGCTTTTGGCATATTCATGGTCACGACGTTCTTGCCTGCTAACCTTGGGGTCTTGTCGGGCGCTATCGTAAATGTGGACATGACTTCGAATATTGGTGTCACTGTTGGAGGGCCAGCCAGTGTAGGATATTCTTCCACAATCAGCTATAACCAGACTGCTGTGCCAGCATTTCTCAAACTCGACTGGAGTTTTGGAAGCAATCTCCGACGTCGCGCTGAAGAGATTGGCACATCTCTCCCATCGGCCGAGCCTTCAGTTGAGAATCAATTAGAATATTTGCAGTGGTTAAAGGATGCATTATTTGCAGCCTATCCTGAGGAGGCCAAGCGCTACATGGAGGAGTTGAACAAGTAGAAATGACAATGCAAAAACCTAATAAAGCACCAGTATAGAGATCAGCATTGACCATTTCCAACCGACTTTGAATTTTTTCTTTATTTGATGTTTGCACGAGTTGCAGCTATTTGCCCTTTTTTTTTTTTTTTTTTTTTTTTTTTTTTCAAGATCCCTCCTCTGAACGCAAACACACTTCCAACTCAGGACGCACGGCCCGATACTTTATCATAATGGAATCGATTTTTGGTCCCAGATCGATAGTAACCTTCTTCAGACGGCTCATTTTGTCTAACCCATCAGTAAATCCAGAGGCAGTCAAGAGGTCATCATCATGTTGACAACCTTCGAGAACGAGCCATTCCAGTTTTGGAAGGCCATTTCCTAAGGTTTTCATGACTCTATCGGACAAGATCCATCGACTCAATAACGATAGCCTCTTTAATTGTGGTGCATAAACAATCTTCTCAAGGTAATCTGCACGAGGTGGAGAATAAGGATGTAGTGTCAAGTACAGTTCCGTCAAGCGGGGACAATATTTTAAGGACTCGAGATCGAACCAGGTCGCTAGCTCACCACGGAGACTCAATACTGTCAACCGATGGAGTGGCCATGACCATCCGAATCGAATGTCTAGGCCTGTAGCCAAAAGACCATCTGCATTCGATGGTGCAGGGACTACGGGTGGAAGTTTGAGTGCGACAGCAGTGAGCTCCTCAAGAGTATCTTGGAAAGCATAGACACAGTCTTCGACCAGCTGTTTAATTGTTGCAGGGTGATTTGATGATAGGCGAAGACATCTCAATTTTGGCAGCAAAGAGAAACCATTGGCCTTATAGCAAGCCGCAGCCCATGCAAATGCTGTGGGGGATTTAACTCCGATCTGAAGTGTTGTGAGGTTTGTGCACTGTTTGATTAGATCAAGTGAAGAATCTTCATGAACATTGATTGACTGTTTTTGAGCACTCATAGGAGATAGTATCGCAGTTCCAGTTCCAGTTCCAGTTCCAGTTCCAGTTCCAGTCATAGCAGATTTTTCTGTACTGCTTGAACTTGTGATAGTGTGAGGCTGTGGTCGTTGCTGCGGTACATAATTCAAGTCAAACAAGAGCTCCTTGAGCCCATCCTTATTTTGGATTTCGAACGTGTCTAGTTCTTTAGCGGCTTCTTTATACCTAGACAGATCAAGGACTCTCGGGTGCTTGATCTCTCGCACGATCCGATGTAGACTGGGCTTATGCATCACCCTCACATCATCAGGCCCTGCCAACTTGATCTCTTGAATGGTCCCATAGCGTTGTGAGTGCTCTTGAAGAAAATCGACCGTGAGGTCCAAGTTGAAATGCCAGGTGATACCATAAAGTTCCAGCCGGACTAGACTTGCAAGTTTGGGACCGATAGCCGCCAAGATCATAAGGCGTTGCACGGGCAAGGATAGGGTACGGATGTGTTCCGGGGAGTGAAGCAAGAAATTGGTCTCGATTACATTACGGGTGAATAAAGTGATAGTCGGGCGAACTTGTGGAAAATTAACGGTGGTGGTAGGCTGTTGGCTTGGTTTATCTGTCGAGGTCGAGAAGGAAGTTGATCGCATTGATGGTAATGATTGTGGTGGTGAATACCTCTGGATGTTTGGAAACAAAATAGGAAAGGTACTGGAGAGATTCATGCGCAGATAATGATGGCGATACGCTGAAAGATAATCCACCAGCGGATGTTTCAGAGACTCATGAAATGCTTCAAATCGAGGACAAATAGGTGGTAGATCGACCCAGAACGAGCTTTTATCCCAATAGCCATGACCACCATTATCATTATTCTCTCTCTGTTGGTTAATGTCGTCATCGTTCTTCCTGATGTAGTAGTTTTTGTTTTTCTCATAGTTTATATCTTTGCTGAATAGGTTGTTGAATCTGTACACGTCGCAACAATTCATTAACAGAAAGAGCAAGGATGCATGTCGCTTTGTCCGTTCTTGAGGGAGCCAACGGAGATTGGATTCTAGCAGGTCAAAGGGGGCTGCATAGAGAAGAGGCATAGCAATCCGAAAGAACGCTTTCGAGACGAGAATTAAGTTGTGGAGTGCCGAGAGGTCATTTGAGAGATATTCAAAGATGCCTTGAATGCACTCTTCTGGAAGTTGAGGACCACATGCTGACTGATGTGAGGTTTGTTCGAGAGGAGAAGATAATGAAGAAGTGGCTGAGGAGGATAAAGGAAGAGAGGATGACAAGTGAGGATGAGGTTGGGAAAGAGGGGAACAGGAAGTAGTTGAAGGCTTTGTTTGTGGGTCGTTAGAGGACAACAAGTTCAATTGCATCCAGATGAAAATAGGAACACTTGAGATTATCAAGTGTGAGAAAAAAAGAAAAAAAACGTAAAGGAAAGGAAAGGAAAGGAGAGGTTTACTCTGGAGATTATGATCAAGAAAAAGGTGAGGATGAAAAAGAAAAAAGAGAGGAAATAGTTGTGGTTGCGTTTTATACATTTTATTACAAGTCATGCATGGACCGCAGTCAATGTGGCTGCACTCTGCGCCCCATTCATTCGAGTTCGAGATTCGAGATTAGATGAAATATCCATAAATGTTTAATGTCTTTAAGGATTCCAGTCAAACGTTGTGGATGGGATTGATCTTGATCAGGTAGGGTAAGAAGGAGTGATATGAGGCTGAGTACCAGTGCAAGGTACATGTACATGAACATGGTATCCAGGAAAGGGATCGATTGATTCGTCAATGGCATCGAGTCCTCAGTGCACAACCCTCCCAGGGATACTAACCATATCCAGGTACCACATGAAAACCTTAAGTGATTGATTTGAATCCTAGAACTCTAGAAACACTTATCGAATGGATTTGATTGCAACTGTGTCGTGTAAATTTCGGAAGAGGGGAAAAAAGTTACATCGTCTCTGTTCTGTCTATGGTCTGTTCTGTTACTCTGTTGCTCTGTTATTGTACAAGAGTGATTGACCATCAACCTCTCATCTTTTTCATCTCAATTCATCAAGCTCTCCATTTCTCCATTTCCTCTTTCTCTTTTCCTCTCCTCTTTTCTCCTTCGCTCCTATTCGTCTCTTTTGTATTTATTAGTTTTATAATTATAACACTCCTTTCCTCCCTTGCGACCGTTTTATTATCTGTTTGCTGATGCTTACACGGCAACCAACAGAACCACATCCTTATCATTGTCAACCTCATCCTCATCAAACTTTGACCATCAACCTCATTGACACCAACATTCTTTTTTTTACCTAAAGAACATTCTGCATCATCTCTATTTTTTTTTTTTTTTTTTTTTTACTTTTTATTTCTTATTTTTTTGTTTTCATTTTTTTTTTTTTTTTTTGTTCCTCTTGCGGATGCCTCCTCCACACTCTGGTCCCACAACCAAGCCTTTTTGGTCACGATCGGCGTGGTACCTTGCTGCACGACTGACTCGCTCAATGTCATCACGACTCATCATCTTTTTTGTCATCATTGTCATTGCTCTCTTCTCCTTCTCATCTGTCCTCTTTTCAGGATCATCATCTAATGATATCTACTATCCAGGTAAACGATGAATGAGCTTCATCAGCATTCAATCTGTATTACACATTACACATTGCCACATTGCTCATCAGCCTTCGTTTGAGCACTTGCAAACATCTTATTCTTTTTTCAAGAAGAACGCCCAACGACTGTTCCACGATTGTTATTATATCGATTGTTGTTATTATATCAATTTCTCCTGCACATGATTGGTTAGATCGCTCATAACCTTTGTTTACCGTTGACATTTTAGATTTATCGACCGAGGCCTCGAATGAGGACCTGGGATTTAATCCTGATCCGCTCGCTCTGCTGGAACAGAGGCGGCCAATGCGACACAGCTACCAAGAACTCTATCGCTTGCCTTCAAAGTTTATGCTCAATGAGGATGGGACCGCTTCAGTCACTGTCGTCATCAATCCTCTAGACTTTGGTGACAATCTTACACAACAGATCCGTGCTTTATTAACCCAAGTAGACCAACCGCAGGCGGTATGGATCGCTGTCGCTGAGGATCAGGATATCACAGCAGTCGAAGAAATCTTGTCAACATTCAATGATGCTGAGTCTAGAGAAACTGAAGACATTGAGGGAGAACATGATGGAAACGAAGAAGAGGAAGAGGAAGAAGAAGAAGAAGAAGAAAGTGAGCGAAATCATCGCGTCAAGATGCGTGTTTATACAAAAAATGATCCTTGGTGGAGTGTCGCACGGCAGGCTTCTTCTGAATTCTTTCTTCTCTTGGAAAACGGCGTCATCCCTGGGACAAATTACCTTGGCACCTTACTCCGCCTAGCCCACACTCCAGAGTATTCGCGTTCACTCCTTGGAAGCCATGGTGCTGTACTGTTGGCGCCGCCTGATGAAACATTGGATGTCGATACAGATATCAGGTGTCTTCCAACAAAGGACAGTCAGGGACGAGTGCGGGCAACAGAAGCGGTGGACGTCCTCACAGACATCTGGTTTGGTAGGACAGAGGCTCTGGAACTTCTTAGTCTTGAGCCATGGGCCTCTTCTGGAAAGGCACCACTCAGCATCTATCTCAGCACCCTTCTTCGATACTATGGATCCATTCAGTCAATTGTAGTCGCTAACGATCCTAGGAACCTGGCGACTTGGGGCGATATGAGAAAAAAGGACCATCCACCTACCTTCTGCACCAATATTAAGCAGCTATATCGTGAGAGCATGGTCTGGCATTCCTGGATGGAGCGTGGCAAGGCCCTTGTTTCTCAGCATGAAAAACTTGCTGTAGTAGTCGTCTTTTTATCCAGTCAGGATGAGGCAAGGTTGCTCAAGGATCTCATCTGTCGCTGGAGCATCTCACCAGACATTTCAATCCATGTAGCTGTGGCAGGATCAGCACGAGGACTTGGACGCAAGGACCTGGCCCGTCTATTGCCTTCACAGGGTTGTCATGTTGGTATTTATGATCTCCGACTTGCCCGTTTATCTTTGAAGCCAACTGCAATAGAATCAGCAAGGTTAGCAGCGGATGCTTCAGTCAATGCTTTCCATCTCATCAACTCGCTTCGGCCTAGGATCATTTTTTATCTTCAGGATCCAGATTCGGTTTTTTCGCAGGGATTACAAATTGCTCAAGCCCGAGCCAAGGTCCCAGCCATTGCTCTGAAACCTGAAGACATTGAACATGTTCACTGGCTGACTGATCTTCCAATCCAGGCCCTTGAGAGTAATATATTTTTGAGATGACTGAATAGCTTTCTTTATTTTAGCTTTTTTGTCCCCCCCTAATTACTAATAACTATTAGCATTTTTTTTTTTTTTTTTTTTTTTTCTCTGTACCCTAACCTATAGACTGGAACACGCCTCAAGTTAAACTAGTGGTCATTACGAATAATCGCCCTGGATCATGCATTCGACTCTTAAGATCACTGTCTCACGCCCACTATCTGAACGACGAAGTGTCTTTGACACTCAACATGGATGCGGAGGCTGACCGTGTGACACTTCAGATGGCTGGATCCTTCCAATGGGAGTTTGGCGAAAAATTCATGAGGCATCGAGTCCGTAGAGGTGGATTGATGTTGGCGGTGGTAGAGGCATGGTACCCACAAGGGAATGATGAGTATGCAGTTTTGTTGGAAGATGATGTGGAAGTGTCGCCGTTGTTCTATGTGTGGATTAAGTACAACATCCTCAAATATCGATATTCACCTGACAGTTCCCTATACCAGCGTATGTTTGGAGTTAGTATGTATTCTCAAAAGTTTGTAGAGACTCATCTTTCAGGACGTGCGCCCTTCAACCCAGAGGACATTTTCATTGAGACCCCAGAGTATGAGTTGAGGACGCCGTTCTTGCTTCAACTTCCATGCAGTTGGGGTGCGGTTTACTTTCCTGAACATTGGAGAGAGTTTCACGAGTATGTGGCGGATCGTCTGTTGGATATTGAATGGAACAAGACTAGTCTTCAATCGGTCCAGATTCCAAACTCGAGGACGAATCGTTGGTCCAACTCTTGGAAAAAACTTTTTATCGAAATGATCTACATGCGCGGCTATGTAATGCTTTATCCCAACTTTTTCAACTTTACATCTTTCTCGACTAACCATCTGGAATGGGGCACTCACACGAAGCAGCAGAGGAACAGCGCAGGAACGTTCTTGGTCCCGCTGATGACGGACAGTGAGAGATTGCTGGACGACCTTCCGAACCGTCGATTACCAGATTGGGACTCGCTACCTGTACTAGATCTTTGGGCCAACTTGGCGACGAGCGCAGAGTTGATTAAGAGAGGCAGAGCATTACAGGAGCAAATCAACCCATGCTTACTGAGGAATAGTAAGAATGAAGTCATTTGGGAAGGTCAGGAGAAAGAACTCAAGTGTGCAAAGACCCTACCATATTATTCCACTCATACGACACCAACGCCCAAAGCTACGGCTGCACCAGCCATTGAAACTCTATCAATCTCTGCAATTGAGAAAGATGGACAACAACAAGACCCATCCGGGGTCTCTAGCGACGAGACAGCATCCGATATACCTGCTTATTCTTCACCTACACCAGTTCCTTCTGTTGACGATCAGAACGATGATGTGGATAGCGTACCCGCACCTAGCCAACGGAACCTGGCTGTTCCTACACCGACTATGCCTCTAATGTAATGCCTTCTAATGACTTTTTTTTTTCCCCTCTATTAAAAAGGGACCACTCCTCTAGTACTCTAAATGAGCTCCCGTCTTCTTTATTTACTTTAGTCCCTTTCCCAATCAGTTTTGATTTCCTCACATTCATCAAAGTTAGACTTTTTTTTTTTTTTTTTTTTTTTTCTTTTTATTTAAAGTATATTTATATTTTTCTGTACATTTAGTAGGAGAATAAATTGACCCGTCATGTGTCAGATCGGGATCAAAAAGCAGTCCTGAGCTTGTTTATTCATAAAACCAAAATGGTTAACTTTTTTTTTTTTTTTTTTTTTTTTGGAACTTTACACTTCATCCACTTTACTTTGTTCTCGCTTCCTCAAATTATACACTTTCGACACTTCAGGGCAAAAGTTGAAGAAAAAAAAAAAAAAAAAAAAGACGTCAATTTCAGGGACGAATTAGTTATAACACTCAGGAGGAAATCCAGTAAAACAAAAACGACAAACTAAACAGACAAAACAGTACCTGGGATCTGAATCCATTTTGTTGGCCACCATGAACATGAACCCAGCGTCACAGATGACCCAGCAAGCAGCCCAGCCTGGCGGTGCAACTTCTCAGCAAGTTGCTCTCTTCAACTCAGTCTTCCGTGAGAACTGCCCCTTCAAGTTTGTCTTTGGTGGTATCACAGGTATGTGTTTTATTTCCTCTCTTCTTATATATCGGTGAAGAAAGACAAAGGGAGCATGTCAACAGGGAGAGGGGCAGGGGTCAGGACTCTTTGGCCATTCAGCTTTACTCCATTGAGGCATTCATAAGGATATGCTAGACTCTCATTCTTTGAAGAGATTTTGAAAATGATTATCTTTAAAAGTATTAATAATAATAATATTATTATTTTTTCCTCCTTTTTCCTTTTAATACTTCAATTGCTGTAGGTTTTGCTTTGGGAGGGGTGTTTGGAATTGTCATGTCGTCGTTTGAATTTTCAGGACCACAACTGACACCTCAGTTACAGGAACTCTCGACCAGGGAGCAAATGAGGATTATGTTGAAGGACATGGGTAATCGATCGTACTCCTCTGCAAAGAACTTTGCTGTCGTTGCTGCGATCTTTTCATCCAGTGAATGTTTCATTGAAGGAGTAAGACAACCTGTCTTATTTGCTTGTTATTTGCTTGCTATTTGCTTGATTGCTTTCTCTTCATGTTTTTATATGTTTGTACTATTTCCGCTTTGTCCAATATTTTCTCATATTGCCCTTTTTTTTTTTTTTTTTTTTTTTTTTCTGTTTTGAAATGTTTTTAGTACCGAGCCAAGAATGATCTATATAATGGAGCAGCAGCAGGATGTTTCACAGGAGGCGTATTGGCTGCAAAGGGTGGTGTCAGGGCTTCTGCGTTCGGATGTGCAGGTTTTGCTGCATTCTCAACGGCGATTGATTACTGGATGAGGCATTCAGAATAAGGAGAAGAGGGTATCCGCAAAGTTCTTTGATTTTTTTTTTTTTTTTTTTTTTTTAATTATATATTACTATTATAGTTTTTTGCATACAGCTCCTCACCTCCGTATTACTCTTTCTTTCTTTCTTTCTTTCATTATTATTTTTTTTATTTTTTTTTTTTTTATCAACAGTTGTATTTTTATGATATTTACATATCAGCTTTTTATTATTATTTCTTTTTTCCTTATAGACTTGTTAAAAAAAAAAAAAAAAAAAAAAAAAAAAAAAAATTAAAGAAATATATGAGAATTTACATCACCCATGCCAACATAAATCAGAAAAGAGATTTTGTATGTCCATCTAGTAGTTTTCAGATGCAGAGAGACAAAGGAGAATAGAGCTGATTTTTTATTTTTTTTATTTATATATTTTTATTTTTTATAACTTTGAGGGAACACAAGTGTGGTCTTGGGTCTCTGTTTTAACTCAGAGACGATGGACGTTACGGAGGAAGACTGAGCGATGATGAGAGAAAGTATCGACTGAGTATTTGCCGTGGTAATTGCCCATGCCTGATTGACCAACTCCACCAAAGGGTAAATTAGGATCTAAGTTGAAGGGAAAAATATATATAAGTTTTGATGATCAATAAAGAGATCTCAAAAGAGATTAGATTATTACAAATGTTGGTGCCAACATTAACTTACTGAAGTATTGGGATCCGAGATCATTGGCAGTCACGGAACCAGAGCGAGTTTCGGTCAAGACTATTTTGCAACGTCGCGTTAAATACATTTAAAATATATACATGTAGTGTCAGTATAAAAAAAAAAAAAAAAGCCAAGGTAAAGAAGAGTTTTTTTTTTTTTTTTTTTTTTTTTTTTACCTCGATCAATCTGTTCTCGCTTGTCTGTGAAGATGTAGAGGGCTAAAGGATGCTCAATAGAGTTGACGATGTCGATGGCAGTGTCCAGGTTCTCACATGTGACGATGGGCAAGATTGGTCCAAAGATCTCGCTCTGCATGATATCGTCCTTTAGCGAGACATTGGTCACAATCGTGGGCTCCACAAACAGGCTGTCCACATCCGAATTGCCTCCAAAGACGATCTTGTTCTGACTCTGAACAGATTGAAGGACTTTCTGCAGGCGTTCATGTTGACGTCTGTTAATGATCCTTGGGTAGGATTCACAGGCCTTGATATCCTTACCAAACATATGGGTCCAGGTGTCGATCACCTGCTTGATGAGTTCCTCTTGAAGATGTTTAGGACAGAGGACATAGTCGGCCGTCAGACAGATCTGTCCACAATTGGCGACCTTCCAGCCAGCAATGGTTTGAGCAGCCTTGGCCAAGTCTGCGTGCTCGGTGATGATGACAGGGCATTTGCCCCCGAGTTCAAGGGTGACAGGGGTGAGGTGTTTGGCAGCAGCTTCCATGACGATCTTGGCTACCTGGGCACCACCGGTATAAAAGATGTGATCAAACCGTTGCTTGAGCATCAAGGAGGACTCTTCCACAGCGCCATTGATGATGTAGACCACCTCTGGATCCATGTATTTCCGCAAAAGCCGGGTCAATACCTTTGCGGTATTTTCAGAAACTTCTGAGGGCTTGATGACGCAGTTGTTTCCGGCAGCAAGGACACCGGCCAAAGGCTGCAATACAAGTCCCACGGCTGATTATTTTTTATTTTTTTATTTTTTTTTTAAAAAAAAAAAAAAAAAGAAAAATCAGTAAAGGATATTGAGGAGGATGGAAAAACAAGGGACAAGAGGTGCGGTAGCAAACAACAGTTGACTTATTCCCCTCTTATCAACCAACTTTTTCTTTTTTTTTTTTTTTTTTTTTTCTTATTTTTATTATTTTGCACTGACAATACTTACGATAGTTCCATGTACCAATCACTAGAATCGTGCCACTGTTAAATAAAAAGTAAAAAAAAAAAAAAAAAAAAAAAATTAGAAAACAAACGTAGCCAAGACAAGACAAGACAAGACAAGACAAGACAAGGTATGGCAAAGCAATAACAGGAAAGGGATGTCTTACAGGGGTGAAAGACGAATAAAGCAATCATCAGACTCCTTAAAGCCCTTTGCCTTTCTGTTTTGGGTCAATTCCTCAAGGTTATTGATGTAGTACTCGCAAGCTTCAATACAGCCTGAAACCTCAGTGTCCTTGGAGCGGTTCAGATCAGCCTTGATGGCATCCACTAATTCACCCTCGTTTTCTTTAAGCAAACGAAGCAATGCACGCACTTGAGGGAAAAAGAAAGTTTTTTTAATATTAATTACTTTTCCTTATTCTTTAATATACCAAGTACAAAAAAAAAAAAAAAAGAAAAAAAAAACTTTGTGCCCTTACATTGCTCCTTGCGAAACTCGAGAGATTGTGTACGATGGTTACGGAAATTCGATCGAGCACTCTCCACAATCTAAACAAGAACAGAACCAGGAAGAAGAAAATCCAGTTAATACCAATGTCATTGATATTACAAAGGGGGGGTTTTTTTTTTCTTTTTTTTTTTTTTACTAGTCCATCAAAAGTAAACTACTGTAATGAAGAATACCTTGGGGATGTCATTGAGAGGGGTATATTCCAAAGTAAGGGTCATGGTGAACGACGTAGGGTAAAGGATAGAAGAAAAAGAAGAAAGCTCTTTATGAGGACTTTAGAGGAATACGAAAGAAGAGAAGAGGGAAAAAAAAAAAAAAAAAAAAAAAAACTGTGGGAAATATTAGAAGAAATCCGCCTTTTTATATATGAACGAGATATATCCATATCATGCCCATGCTCCTGCTCACACATTGTGCAATCAAAGAGGAAATTTGTTACGAGGATTGGATATGCCTTCTTTTAGAATGTCTCCGAGTAAGGGATCTGTGCTCTTCGCTCTTTTTGGCTAGAACCTTTTCAAATTATAAATGAATTGGTTCAGGGTTTGACTGTAATGAGGATTGATCCCTGATCAAGAAGTTGTATTGTGTACAATGTATATCGTATGGATATATCTATATCATGTACATACACATGTACGTCTTGGATCTTGGCTCGTTTCTTCCACACCAACCGAGTCTAGCAACTGGCAAAGGTGTGTGATTGACTTGTTTAAGGCTAAATCGCCAGCACGTCCTCTGCTGTTCACCCTCTTCTGGTTACCCTTTTCAATCAAGAGGACTTTTTATCCACGTCTAGTTCTGACCCAAAAAGAGTGAACAGTAACATCCAACACTCTGCTCCCCCGGCATGTAGTGATGAAATGAAAGTAGATTATACTTCATTATATACACCATCCAGTGAAATCTCGCCCCCCCCACTCCTTGACCTGTAATGTGCTAAGATCTGGACTATAATAGAGTGAAGAGGAGAGGCTAAGCCTTTTTCTTGCGCAATGAATAAAAAAAAAAAAAAAGGGAACGCTTTATTTTTCGGCCCGGAGTTGTTTTTCAATCGACCGAAGCATTCGATCAGGTCTATAATTTTTTTTATTTTTATTTTTTTTTTTTTTTGCTTTTCTTTTCCCAATGAGGATGGAACTAACGTGCTTTGTCATGTTTGATTACTACATGTAGCTCACTTTATTTTTTTTTTTTCTTTTTTTTTCAAAAAAAAAAAAAAAAAAAAAAAAAAAAAGACAACAGATTAACGTAGATAAGATGATGAAATTAGCCGACGTCCGATTGGAAGCCCAATGCAAATAAGATAGAAATGAAAGAAAACGTACAGATTTAAGCATTCGTCCATTGGAACGATCGACATGGGGGGTTAATTTTTTCCAGTATCTGTTGCAACTGTTAATAAATATTTATCCACACATGCTTTTTTTTTATTTTATTTTTTTTTTTCCCTCTTTGCTCTCTTTTTTTACTCTTGGCATTAGGTAGTAGTAGTCGTGGTCGAGTTTAGTGCTCCTTCTTTTATGACGCTCTGTAAGGGGGGGAGGGGAGGAGGAACAGGTCGGAGAGTGAAACGCGAGAAATGAGAGGATAGTAAAGAGAATCTGAAGATAAAAGAGGTTGTCTCAGGAAAATCAATGAAAGAACTTTAAACAAAAAGATCGGCGATTTAATCATCTTGTCACCGTCATCATGATCGATCCACTGGATTCCACTTTTTCATTTTTTTTTTTTTTTATTTTTTTTAGATCAACTTCAAATATGGATGACGCGTGAGAAATAGGAAAGGAAGGAAGGAAGGAAGGAAGGAACAAGGCAAAGATTCTTCTTTTAATAGTGTCAGACTAATGAGGCGCGTTGCAGGAAAAAATGTTTAAATGACCCACTAGTTGTGTAGGAAACATGGGACCCAAACCCAATCTGTGTATAGAACATGTACAAACCGACACAGTCTCAGATAAAGCTCTGCCTCTCACGTTCATGCACGTTACGTGCATGTGCCGATTGACGGCATAGTTTCACAGATATATACGATATACATATATATATTTATACCACTGATAGATATAATACAATGGCTGCTAATGGGAATCTTTGTTTTTTTTTTATAGGTTGACAAGGTTGACTCTCTTAGCTAAGCCCAAACTAAAGCCTCATGACAAGAATAACAGGAATAACAAGGTTTTTTTTTTTTTTTTTTTTCTTAAATCGACTTTTGTGTTTGGTTTGTGGGACGAGGACGACGGCGTGTAAAGAGATTCTGCAGGGCACTCATACTGTACCAACAACAGGGGGAGGGAAACAGGCTATTGTTATTGAACAGAGGATAGAAAGAGAGTCACCTGTATAGGAATGTCAATGGATCACTTGGTTTTATTTTTAATTTTCAATAACAATGCTCAAAGTTCGTGTGAATGCATGGGCTCTTTAAACCGTCATGATTCGGCAGACGGCAGTTTATACAAGTTATACATGTTCATGTGCATGATATTAAAAAAAGAAAGACGGCGTTGTACAATTTCTTTTCTTTCCTCGATTACACTTTTTATCTTTCTCTCTCTCTTTCTCTCTCTCTTTCTCTCTCTCTTTCACTCTCACTCAAAATATATACCAACAAATCTTTCTCTCTCTCGAAATGCAGATGAAACATGACGACAGACTTCAGGACTTGAAACAAGTTCTCGAAAAGGCAAGGGTAGAATGTGGTGTTCCTGGCGTGAGTGTGGCCGTCCAACACAAAGGTCAGCTCATCTTTGCAGAGGGTCTTGGAATCCGAAATGAATCTAAAGAGCCTTTCCTTCCAGAGGTAATAACAATGACAACAATAACAACAATAACAACAAAAAAAGAAATGAAAAGAAATGAAAACGAGCCGTTTCTTTGGACCAATTTATCATGTTGATTAATTTTTCTTTCTTTCTTTCTTTTTTTTTTTTTTTTTTTTTTTTTTTTTTTTCCCTCCTAGACCTTGATGCCGATTGCATCTATTACAAAGGCATTTACTGCTGCGGCGATCGGAGAGTTGGTAGCAGAAGGAAAAATGGATTGGGAAAAGACACCTGTCTCGGCATATCTGCCAGAGTTTCAACTCCAGGACCCAGTCCTCACCTCCGAATTGACTATGACCGACTTGTTATCACACCGCACAGTAAGGAGAGAACATTATCTCTACTGAAGAAGAAAAACAAGAAAAACCTAAAGATACGAGGGATGTGATCGAGTGCTCTAATGTAAAAATGTCTTTGTTGTTTTGCCTCATTGCGAGTTCATCAGAGGATTCCAAATCTTGATATTGCATGGTATAGAACCAAGACACCAAGAAGAGAGTTGATCAAACGATTGAGGCATATCAAAATGAGCCCAAAATTGAACACGAAGATGAACTATAGCAACATCATGTATGCTGTCGCAGGAGAGGCTGCCGCGAACGTGAGTGGGATGACTCTGGAGCAATTGGTGGAAACCAAGGTGCTTCAACCACTTGGGTTGACCAACACTGGGTTTGGACAGCTGGAGATGAAGGCCAAGTCCGATAATTATGCTATGCCTTTCATGGCCGAATCATTTGAGGATGCTCAAAAGGGCAACTTCAAGATGGGATACCTCGATCCAATCTACATGGCGGATGCACCTGCTGGAGACATGTACTCCAATGTTTTGGATCTGCTTCAATGGGGTCGGACAATCCTGGACCAAGGTGAGCTTAAAGGTAAGCAGGTCCTGCACAAGGAGAATGTCAACGAACTGTTGACTGCAAAAACACTGGCCGATACCACCAGACGCTATCCCGAGTTCTCACCCGTATCTGCATACGGTATGGGCTGGTTCATTGATTCATACAAGGGCCATATTGTCTACCGTCATAGTAAGTTGAAAAAAAAGAAAAAAAAAAAAAAAAAAAAAAAAAGATTGCATCATTTATCTCTTGCATGTATTTTTTTTTTTGTTCAAGGGTGCGTCGCCAACATTAAGGAGGTGATATTACCACCCATTATGAAAATCTAGCTGGATCAGCACTTGGGTATGTTTCCAACTTGGTATTGTTTCCTGACGACGAGCTGGTCATTGCAATCTTTGCCAATGTCAACACGACGATGTTCCAGTCGATTGCTCCCTACTATATAGCGGATAAGCTCTTGGACCTGCCCGAGACCAAGGCCTGGCTCACAGATGTGGCTGTTGAACAAACCAAAAAACGTTATGAGTGGCTCGCAGAGGACGTCAGAGGCAAGATTCCAGAACGTCTCAAGAATAGGCCGGGGAGTCATAGGCTGGAGGATTGTATCGGCAAGTACACACATCCGGTGTATGGTGAAGTGTTTATCGAATTAGAGAGTGGTGATCACGTTGTGAGCAATGTCCAGATTGAAGGGGAGGGAACGAAGGTCGGCACAGCAAAGAGTTTGGTTTTCAAGATGAACGAGTTCAATGATAAGTTGGAGCATTACCATTATGACTCTTTCCGCGTCCAGCTTCAAGGGTTTGCATTAAGTTTGGGTTTTTTGGTGACATTTAGCACAGGGGCGGATGGAAAGGTGGATGGGTTCGACATTGTCCTCGCAAAGGAGAAGCAACACTTTTTGAAAGCGGACGAAAAGGCAGCGTAAAGGAACAGGCAAAGGAGTAAAGGAAATAAGCAAAGAAGCAAAGGAAATAAGCAAAGAAGTAGAAGGATGATGGAATACCCCGATTATTGTTGAGAGAAGGAACAGATGTAGAATAGTGAAGAAAGTGAATAAAATAAAATAAAATAAAATAAAATAAAAGGCCCGACATGTGTAGACTACGAGTCATGTAATATTTATTCCCATGCTTCATGCTCATGCCTATGCTCATACCAATGCTCATGCCTATGCTCATGCTACATGTTCCTGTGTGATGATAATGTTCCCGTGATGCAATAGAGACGTGAAATGTCTGCCTCTCAATTGGTCAAGTTTTTGTTCTATTCTTTGAGAACGGAGTCAACGTTTGCCTTGACCATAATAGTATTAGGATAGCTCGTTAGGACAAAGGAAAGAAACACACCAAAAAAGCGAAGAGAAACAAAAACCGTTTTCCCGCCTTTTTTTTTTCTTTTTTATAACTTTCTTAATAGGGAAAAAAAAAGGATAGGATAGATGAATGGGGTGATGATTGACATTGGTGTTTGCCTTGTCCCTGTTGGCTCTTTTCCCTCCTTTTTTTTTGTATGCACAGTTGCGTTGTGTACAACAAGCAACCTGTTCCCTTTTCCTACCCCTATCGACGCACGGAACATTACATTTATTCACATTGCACTTCTGCATCCTCCCCTCTTTCCCTCTTCTCGTGACGCACTTCTCTTTCACCTTGCAAGAAAAAAAAAAAAAAAAAAAAAAAAAAGAACCACAGACTGATCCTGTTTCCTCCTTTTCACTTTCCCACTTTTTTTTTTTTTTTTTTTTTTTTCTTCAATTCCTTCTTTTGATATTATACCATTCCTTCTCTCTCTTTCTCTCTCTCCTTCATTCGACAGGCACAACCTCTTCTACTTTCCTCTCTTACTTTCTTTTTTCTTTTTTCACTTTCGTTAAAATTAAAAACCTCATCTTACTTCCAAACATTTCTCACGCCTTTTCTTCTTCCTCTCCCCCTTTCCCCCTTCCTTTTCTTTTCCCCCTTTCCCCTTCTGACCTTCAACCTTCGTTTAAGTCAACATCATCAAAACACATCCTGTAGTTTATATTTAACCCTGGTAGTACCAGTCAACATCTATAAGAAACAACAGAAATTGTAGCAACGATTCCAACGACCACATAGGAAAAAAAAAAAAAAAAAAAAAAAATCTGTTTCTTTCTTTGTAAAAAAATATAAAGATTTTGAAAGTGCGGTACAGGAGAGGAGAGGAAGTACGCAGGGCGATGAGTAGAATGGCAACAAGACTCTTGGAACGAGTCTTTGTGAAGGCCCAGATCCGCTCTGCATGGAATAAACTGCATACGATGACAGAGCATGGTGAACTTGCCTCTGCGCTTGAATCCCTTATTCATCTCACAGAAACAGGTAGAGTTTTGTTCTTTTTCTTCTTCAAAGGAAATCCATTACAGCATTACACAATATCCATCCTCTGTTGCTTGGCTACACAGACCAATGATTATTACGCAGTTCCCCCCCAATTCCCTTTCTGCATCATTTCTTTTTTCTTTTTTTTTCTTTATTTTATGACATCCACCTCTTTTTTTTTTTTTTTTTTTTTTCCTTCTTTCATGCATCTGAATGACCTGTGCGTCAGAAATGTTGGAGTAATGAAAAACAAAACAAAAAGCACGAAGCACCTCCATTGATCAACTAAATATCAAATACCAAATGCCAAATGTTTAAAAAAAAACAACCATTTCCAAAGCACCGACTCCTTTTCTTTGGCTGTCGGTTCAGGAACGGCGCAACAACAAAAATTGACGACATCACCACTAAGAAAACAGAGTAATTGCGTAGCATTTTTTTTTTTTTTTTTTTTTTTTGTTTACTAGGAATTACTTCACCCAAAATATATATAACGTTGATAATAATAATAATAATAATAGTAATAATAATAATAATAATAATAATAATAATAATAATAATAATAATAATAATAATAATAATAATAATAATAATAATAATAATAATAATAATACATTGCTGATCTCATTTCATCCACACATTTCATCCACCTTCTCTCCTTTTTTCTTTTACATGTTTCTTTTTCTATTTTCCCCTTTCTTCTGCATCTTTTATCTCACAAACAAAATGACGATGATAATGATGATGATGACAATGATAAAAAAAAAAAATAAAAAAAAAAAAGTTCCCATATTAACCCGGTTATTTTTTTATTTTTTATTTTTTAAATAGATTCATCTTACTGTGAGTTGATTGGGGTGATGGTGGATATGATCTCGACAGATAATCTGGGGATTACAGCTCCATTCCTATGCCACATCATCGACATGGCTGCATTACCCTCACAACAAACCACGAGGAAACTATCACAACAACTTTTATCAAAATGTGATCAAGGCATGTTCATCTTCATGTTCATCTTCATGTTTCCGTATTTTTTTTTTTTATTTTTATTTTTTATTTTTTATTTTTTTAAAAAGATTTTTGATGATTGATATGGTTTATGGTTTATGGTTATGTCATAACATTCAATTACCTCTCAGAACATTCACACACAAATACAAACCATAGTCCCTTGGGCTCATCAATGCGATCATTCTTTTGTCGATTTTTTTTTTTTTTTGTTTGATTTAGGTGGTGGAATTGTTCGAATCCGTTCAAAAAAGAAGAACAGATCAGCAGCAGCCTTGATCTGGAGCGTCCTCGCCAATCGACTTGCAGGGGAGAGATGTTCGGTCCTGTTCTCAGATGCGGTTTGTGAATGTCTTTTGAGGAATATCGAGAGTGATCCGGATATGATCTGTAAAGTCTTCTCAATCATTGCCCTGGAGAAATTCAGTCTCACAGGCCCTTGTAAATCTCGGATCATGCGGACCAACATTCGTAAGCTCTTGCAGACGACCGCAGCACTATGTTTGCCTTCAACAGCGAGCAACGGTGGTCTGGTAGATCCAGAGGAGTTGTCCGGCATCTTGCAGGCCAAGTTCTGTGCTGCCTGGTCTCTAAGGAACGTATTCCGGGATATATCAGAGACCAACAAATCCATCGGATCCAACAATCAACACGTTGACACATCCATTCACCCTACTACTACAACTAGTACAACTACTACCACTACTACTACCACTACTACTAATCCAAAAGCAGATTCGGGCCATAACATCAATGTGATGCTCAACACCCTGGACGGTACGAGACACTGGAAGATTTCTGAGGATGGACTGACGATCAGGAACGATGGAACGACTTTTGAATCCATTCGGGCGACAGTGAGTGTTCATCAGGGCAAATGGTTCTATGAGGTCACACTTGTCACAGCTGGGATCATGCAGCTGGGATGGGCGACAATCCACTGTCATTTCTCACCAGAGGAAGGAACAGGCATTGGTGACGACATTGTAAGCGTTATTTTTTTTTTATTTGATTTTCCCCCTCTCCTTTCTCTTTCCTTTCTCTCTCTCCTTGCTCTCTCTCCTTGCTCTCTCTTTTCTCTTTTCTCTCTCTCTCTCTCTCTCTCCTTTCCCTCTCTTTCTCTCATTCTGTAATGTCAATGGATTGGTTGTATTTGGTTGATTGGTTGAAATTGGTTGATATGATTCATTGGTGGGTCGGATGTTTTATTCATTTATTTATTTGTTTTACTGGTAATTTATTTGTTTTTATTTTTGTTTTTATTTTTTGATTCCACTTAGTTTGGCTTTGCATACGATGGATGCAGGAACCTGATTTGGGCAGATGCAAGTTCAGAAACGTATGGCAATTCAGAGCCATGGAAAGCAGGCGATATAGTGGGGGTTTATCTGGATGTGGACAATGCTATCATGGAAGTCTTTTTGAACGGCAAGGCCCTTGGTCCAGTGACCCCATTGGATATAGATCATTTCAATATCCAGGCCAACTCTGGATTCTATCCAGCCTTCTCCTGTACTTCTTTCCAACAGGCGACAGTCAACTTTGGTGCTACACCATTCAAGTAAGTCTGGCCGTTTTTTTTTTTTTTTTTTTTTTTTTTTTTTCTCTCTCTCTCTTTACTTCTTCCTCTCTACTCTGATATGGATGAGCTTTTACTGATTTGTACATTTTTTTTGTTACATACAGATACCCGCCCGCGTTGCCTTGGAGGAATCTGAATGATTATGGCAAAATCTCTCAAGAGACGAGGGAGGCAATTGTGCGGCCCAAGAACGATAGCGTGTACGGACGAATCCAGGTGGATCCTGTGACGGGGATCCGGTTGCCTTCGATGCCGGAGGATGATGTTGAGATTGACTACAGTTTGCTCTGCACCATCTGCTGCGATCATTCTGCAACAGTGACCCTGCAGCCATGTGGCCACGATGGTCTTTGTGTCGAGTGTGCGTATTCATTGGATACATGGTAATACAAACAAACAAACAAAAAACCGAAACGAAACCTGAACAAAAAAAAAAAAAAAGAAAAAGAAAAAAAGTTACGAATGTTTTCCATGCTAAACATGATAAATGCTGATGCAACAAAGGACCATTTGATCCACTCACTTACTCATTCTTTTTTTTTTTTTTTTTTTTTGTTTCTCTTCTCCTTTTTTTCTTTTTCTTTTCTTTCTCTCTTCTTCCTTTCTCTTCTTCTTTTCTTCTTATTCTTACTCTTCTTCCTTTTTTCTCCCTCTCCTTTTTTTTTTTTTTTTTATTTTTTTTTATTTTTTTTTAACCACCCCCTTTTTTTTTTATTATTTGATTTTATTTTATTTATTTATTTATTTATTTTTTTTTCCTTTTGGTCATTCATACGCAAAAACCAGCCCACTTTGTAGATCTCGTATTTTCCAGCGACAAATGTTCTCAAGTACAGATTCAAAGGATGGTCTAGAATCCGCCAACAGTGCTCTTGGAATCTCTGGAGCCTCAGACGATACATCTGCAATTACTGATAGTATTAATAATAACAACAACAACAACAACAATAATAATAATATTAATATTAATAATAATAATAATCGCAACAGTAGCGCCAGCAGCGCCAGCAATAGCAGTATCAGCAGTAATGCTCAAGGGCTTCCCAATTCGAACAGCTCTACCTCAACATGGTCTGCAGAGTACTGTGGACCACCCAATGCGAACGTATCCTCGTCAATAAGCCTTCATCCTACAACACATTCAGATCCTATTACTTCTCGACGCCATCAACTTCATCCAACTTCTGTCTCTGAATCAGCTTCAGCCTCTGCATCTGCATCTACATCTACAACTACAACTACCTCTGTATCCGCTGCTGCAGCGGCTCTTGTGGCCGCGGCTTCGGCAGCCTTGAGTCAAAGCAACCTGTCCTCTGAATCCCTATCCTCTCGACTCAGGAATACATCCCTCGCATCCATCACAGCGGCCAATGCCACAGCCGGCACGGGAACAACCACAGGGCCCTCGTCATCCAGCTCTGCTAGTAGGTTAACAGCGATAGAACAGGATTGTCTGAGCGATCCATTCTCGCCTCCGTCGACGGCCTATTTCACATTCCTGAATCGACCCCCAAGGAATCAACGGAGTCAATTGCAACATCCATTGGATACAGAGCTACCAACAGGAACAGGGACGGGAGCAGGGAGTGTAGATCCATTGGAGCCATCTTCGCTTACTCAACGATCTCTTCTGCAACAGTCGGTGCAGCAGGGAGCTCAGCAACAACGGTCTACCAGTCATCCTCATTCACAGTCTTCGTCACGGCCAACGTCTGCAAACTCTTCAAACTCACGATCGGGTGTGGGTTTAGGATTGGGCATAGGTATAGGCTCAGGATCGAGATTAGGACTAGGACTGGACTTGGACGTGAATGGGAACGTGATTGAGACTACAGAGTCGCCGGTCCTCTATAATAGCGAGAGCAATACCGATCTTTATCTCGGCAATGTTGAGCAAAGGGAGGATGAACAAGGAAGGGGAGAGGAAGAAGTAGAAGGGAACGAAGGCATTAGGCGACAACAACAACAAGAAGAAGAAGAAGAAGAGGAAGAGGAAGAGGAAGAGGAAGAAGAAGACTTGGGGAATGAGATGGATGTGGCATTGGTGGAAGAAGGACGTGAGGCTTCAGTTAGTGAAGTGATGGAGCAGAGTGCGCCTGATTTCTTTTCAGATGGACATCCTATCCATTCCAGAAGAAGTAGTATCCAGATCTTGGCCTCTGTGCCCTCTATGCCCTCGATCATGAGTAATTCGTCCTCAGGACTGGGTCTGGGTCTGGGTTTGGGACTAAATCCGGTTCCAGAGGGAGTAAACTCAAATGCAAGTAGTGGCAACGCATCATTGGACGCTGCAGCGCTGAGTGCTGCGTTGAATGATATCGCGACTGTGAGTGAGACAATCGCAGCAGCAGCAGCAGCAGCAGGAGGAGGAGGAGGAGGGGGAGGAGGAGGGGGTGTTGTTGATGCTCAACATTATCCAGTTTTCCCAACAGCAGGTCCTCCTCCAGGGATAGGAATAGGAATAGGGATAGGGATAGGACCAGCCAACACTCGATTTGGAAATCGACGCGCGTCCATGCCTAGTAACCGTTTGGAGATGTAGAGCAATGACATGGATCCTCCATTACCTTGGCTATCATGGCTATCCTGGCTATCGTGGCTATCATTGCCATCATTGCCATCATTACCATTGTTACCACTATTGTTATTATTATCCTTGCTATTATTACTATTATTATTATTAATATTATTCCTGTAGATTTTGTATTTTTTTTTCTTTTCTTTTCATGTTCATTGTTACTATAGAAGACAAAAAATAAAAATAAAAATAAAAATAAAAATAAAAAAAAAGAAAAGAAAAGAAAAGAAAAGAGATTTTTTTTAAAGATTGACAGCAATGTTGTTTATGTTTATTGACATGTCAAACGAAAAGAGGGAGTTGCAATGATCTATGAATAACAAAACAAATACTAATACTGTTACAGAAAAAAAAGTGGGGACAATGGAGTGGAGAGGTGAGGAGAAATAATAATACTAATAATAAAAGTAGTAGTAGTAATAGGCCTTGAGAAAGGAAATAGGGCTTATTATCATTATCACCATTACTCGTTATCATTATTATTATTATTATTATTATTATTGTTATTATTATTGTTTTTCTTTTCTTTTTTTTTTTTTTTACTTGACATAGACTGATTCCATTGATGCTCTGAGTGACTCGAGAGGAAGACCATGGGTGTTGAGTGACCTTGGGTTGATGTTGGATTCACAATGCTCACTGCAGCTGGTGCTCTCTGATAATTTTGAGTTGGGCGCAGCTACGGGGGTGAATTCACGAGTTGAGGACAATGTAGTGTTTCCAGTCTCGGTAAAGGCAGTCTTTTCTACAGGAACAGGGACAGGGACATGAGCAGGAGCAGGAGCATGAGCGAGAACAGGAACAGGAACAGGAACAGGGATGGGTTGTGAATGTGGCAGTGTCTGTTGTTGTTGTTGTTGTTGTGGTGGTGGTAGTGGATGGTTAATGTATTGAGCCATATGCAGGTCCTTGCGCTCAAATCCAGACTTTTGGTAGAAAGGCTCATTCGTTTCAGAGCAGGTCAGGAGTAGCTTGTAGCATCCAATGGCTGTGCCCAGATATCGTAGCTGATCGATAAGTCTATTGATGCATGCAAAGAAAAAGAACAATAACAACAACAAAAAAAAAAGAGCGAAAGAGAGAGAAACGGTTATTATACATTTATGGCCTAAAGAGTTGCCATGTTTGTTAAACAAGGTTGAATGGAGAGAAGAGAGAGAGAGAGAAGAGTAGCAATTGTAGGAATAACGAGTAGTATGAATGGAATGTGTGTGTATGTGTGTGTAATGTGTGTAAGAGAGAGAGAGAGAGAGAAAGACTTACCGAATACCGAATTTCTTGCCACGCTGAGAGTCGTGCACAACAATGTCCTCAATGTGACCCGCCTATCATAATCAATCGTCATAATTAAGTTTTTGGAATTGAGTTTTTAGCACATAAAATATAATATGTATGAATAGTGTGAATAAAATGAATAATGGTCACAAACAAATTTTTTTTTTTTTTTTTTTTTTTATGGTATAATGCCCACGGATACATTTTTAAACTCTCGTGAAGAGAGCAAGAGGCGATGAAAGAAAGTTGCACACTCTCTTTTGTACTTTTCATTGTACTCCTTTTTTTACTTAAATCATTCAGTTGTAATGGTTTGTTTGCTTGTTTGTTTCTTTACCTTGGCACATCCTCGCAAGAACTTTTGCTCGACGACTAGGGTACCGGTGGCGACGACGCGTGAGGCCTTTTGATCCTCAATGACGACGATATAGTAAACATTCTGGCACCGGAGCATGGACTCGAATGTCTGTTGAAACTGTTCCTCAGAGACGGAGCCTACGACTGTTAGGCCGGCTAAGCAGTCAAAGTAACCCTTGTGGTAATCAGCCATTTCAAGTGGACGGATCAGGTAACCCTCAGGAAGGTGTGCCTGAACAGCAGGGGAGATGAGTGAGGAGGAGAAGAGTTGAGGGCTCATTGTTGTATTGTGGATGAATGTGTGGATGAATGTGTGAATGGATGTGGTTGAGTGTGGATGGGTTGTTAAGGTGTGAGAGGAGAGGAGAGAAAGAGAAAGAGAAAGAGAAAGAGAAAGAGAAAGAGAAGGAGAGTGTAAGAAATGAAAGAAATGAAAAGAAATGAAAGAAAGAAAGAAAGAAAGAAAGAAAGAAAAAAGAGAGTTGATGATTGCTAATTGTCTGGATTGGGTGCCCTTTTATCCTTTTATTGTTTGGTGGATGTAATGAGCGTGGTGTTTGATTGATTGAAAAAGGGCAAAGAAAAAGAGTTTTTAGAAATGAAGTTGGATTGAGAGCAGGTCTTTTTTATTTTATTTTATTTTATTTTATTCTCGGGTAGTGTCCCTTTTGGACTTTTTTTTTCAGATTCAAAAGGGTCATTGCAATCGATCTCAAAGGAAAAGAGAGGAAAAGGACAAAGATGACCCAATGCTTTAATAATAACAATAGTAAAAAATAAAAAATAAAAACAAAAAATTATTTTTCAGTTCTATTCATAGCGTTGTGTGTCTGACCGTCTTTGACCATACCCAGTTACTATTGCTCTAGACAACTATAATAAATTAAACGATCACTCCATCACCTGTAGATGTATAATAACTAACATATTATAACTAATAATTATGGCTATGGCTATGGCTATGGCTATGATTATGACTATGACTATGACTATGACTATGACTATGACTATGACTATGACTATGACTATGACTATGACTATGACTATGACTATGACTATGATGATGACTATAGTTTTGGCTATGGCTATGGCTATGGCTATGACGATGACGATGATTATTATGACTGACTGACAATCTCAAAGAGTACCAGGATGGACCGTGATCAGACCAAGACAAAACTTTTCTTCCTCCTCCCTCTTTCCTCTTGACACATGTCATGTATGCCCTCCTTCTTAGACTTGGACATCTGTTTAAGCTAGGATTGCACATTAGCTTTTTTTTTAAAACCCCCTTTCTCTTTCCCCCCACACACACCTCCGTCAATCTTACCCTTGCAGATGCTTTACAACCATAGAACCCATTCATGTTCATTCCCACATGTTCTGAGCGACAATCATACAATCATCATTCTAAGGAATGGTCATGGAGAGCTTACTATCACTCGAATGGAAATTGCAAAAAGAAAATTACAGTACATGACCTGAATCTGTGGTTTTTTTTTTTTTTTTTTTTTTTTTTTTTTTTTCCCTTTCCTCCTCCTTCCTCTTGTCCTTCTCCTTCCTCCTCCTTTTTTTTTTTTTTTTTTTTTTTTTTTTTTTCGCAAGTCCGATCAAGCTCATTGTCCCCTGGAACGGGTAACCAGCTTGATCTGTCATGTATATGTAATGCAAACACAGATGTAAATGCCCGCTCCTCTACAATGTACAATGTATAAATAAACTTATAAATATTACTGTAAATACTACGTTTTACTTTTTTTACATAAAAAGTAGACCAAGATATGTTGCAAAGTAATCATGTGTCGGTAGGGCAAAATAGACATCCTACCGAGGGTTGCTCATTCAATCCCCATGATGGCAAGAGAGCAGATCAACCCATGGAGCCAAACATCGCACAAGTGGTCCAAAATAAAATTCAAGTTTTACAACTCGTTATTTTAATTAATTGTTATTTTATAAAGTCGCTATTTTATTTTATTAAGTCGTTATTTTTGGCATTTTGCGCTATGCACAAACCCTTGAGGGGCTGAGCGAAACAAACATTTTTATGATTTTATTGCAAGCAATTGCTCCAAAAAAAAAAAAAAAAAAAAAAAAAAAAAATTAATGCAGCCCATTTTACATGTTCACTGCAGAGTATATTTAGCGCATGTACAATATAATGTAAGCCGCTATGGTCATTAACCTTTTTTTTAATTCTTTTCATTCATTTAGCCATGCGATGGGCTTACCCCTATCTCTCTCTCTCTCTCTCTCTTTTTTTTTTTTTTTTTTTTTTTTTTTTCAACACTGGATCGCATCTTTTGTTTTCATGATCTTTCCTCGCCCTGAGATAGATTATACATTAACCCTTTCGGATCCTGATATCTCATCTGATTCTTTGACTTTAACAAGTGCTATATTATCACACACATATATATGTATATCTCATCTTTTTATATATTTCTTTCTTTCTTCTTCTTCTATTCTCCTGAAGGACCTGGATTCTCGTCGTTTATAGTTGAATTGGGTGATGCCCTGATAGAATCATTTGGTTTCTGTACTGACTCTGTTGAGCCTATAGATGTTTGTGCCTTGTCATGAGTTGCATCCTCACCCTCCAGAGGTTCGGCCTCGAAATTACTGTATGGATTAGGCTGAGACTGAGCTTGAAGCAGCGACATGATGTTGGCTCTCAATTTCTCCGCACGCTCTATGTGAAAATTCAGTGGAATCCAATGATTAAAGAAAGGTGTAAAAAAAAAAAAAAAAAAAAAAGGTTGTGGGTTAATATAAATATATATAAAATTCTATACATGTGTATACATAAATGTATTTCTGATGGTCCACTTGAACACCTATTTTGAGAGATGCTTTATGCTTGTTTGCTCCTTCCTCTTCTCTTCTTATTTATGTATATATTTGAAGTTTTTTTTTTTTAAAAAAAGACATACGATCGACAGCATCCAGCGCCAGGTTCGCAGAATCAATATCTTTGAGAATACTCGAAATATCACTTGGGTCAAAGTCAAGGTCGTCTCCAAACTCGGAATTAGTCATCCTGATGTGTATTGAGGTAAAAAAGAGAATGAGTCTAAAAACGTGGCCTTGTCAGGGGGCCCTTTTTTTTTTTTTTTTTTTTTTTTTAAAAAAAAGTGGATCACGGGATCACCGTCATCGTAAAAAAAAAAAAAAAAAAAAAAGAGCAATGCCCAACTTAAAAGGAGAATGTTCTGATCGCATCCATTGCTTCAATTCCTTCTATCTGTTCTACCTAGTAACATTTATACCACTAACGACTTGACAAGACCAGACCAGACGAGACAAGACAAGACAAGACAGGGCACATTTCAAAAGTAGAAAGCAAGCAACAATGAGCAGCAATGTACTCGCAACACACGGGAATCAGAGGACAATGAACCTCAATTCCATCATCTTTCAAAACATTATTGATTCCCCATATCTGAAGACACTGCAGTACGTCTATATATCCAAAGATACTAAACTTTTTTTTTTTTTTTTTTTTTTTTTTTTTTTTTTTTTAAAAAAAAAAGTCAATCAACTAGTCCTTACTGACATTATCGTTTTTCTGTATTATTTCGAATATTTCGCGGATCAATAGGAACCTTTCAAACTTCCAGGAAATTGTCAATGAGGCCCAGCGAAACGGTAAGTTTGGATTGATATACTTTGTAGCTTGTGATAAGAACCGTCAATTGCTGCACAATACTCTATTTCTCTCTTTCTCTCTCTCTCTCTCTTTCTTTCTTTTTTGTTTTGTTTTTGCTTTTTGTTTTATTTTATTTTATTTTATTTTATTTTATCTTTTTTGTTTTCAGTTGGCTTTCCTCCTCTGCCTTTAGGCTTTTGTTGATGCGTGATAGGATACATGGCGCACATGGATAGTGTTTCGAGCATGCTTTTATCGACGCTAAACAATATCTTTGGATTGTTCAGTTTAAGGGTAGTTCTTTAGTATTGAGTATGATTCATGATATAACAAATACTAACTGCCTATGTTCCATGTTCTCAATCTTACTCATAGTGAAGTCCATGGGTAAGCCTTTGGTGTAGAAAAAGCAAAAGCGAGAGGGGAAAAAAATAATAATAATACAAAATAGCCGGATGATATGAACGATAGAAGCCATGGAGTAATATCCATAGTGGACTACGAATTTCTTTAATGGAGCATGCCGTCTGCCCCATGACTTCTGTCCCGCAGACAGAGCGTTCGTGATACTTGCGATATACTCAGTAATGTTCACGAAGTCAATGCTACGCTATTTTTTTTTTTTTTTTTTTTTTTTTTTCTCTTTTCCAATTTTGCTCTGTATTAATTACGAGCAGATCAAACCTTATAATCCAATCATCGATCTATTTATTTTCCTTATTTTTATTAACCTATTTCTTCTTTTTTTCTTTCTTCTACTCTGATGGGCGCTCTCTCTTTCTTTACTTTTTTTTTTTTTTTTTTTTTTTCTTCTATTATACTCGCTTTGCGACTGATTTGATAGAGCCTTTTCTGAAAGGCAGTACACCCTCAACAGCATGGGTAATCATGTACAAGTTTTGGACCTTACCATTGACAGTCCGACAACTGGAAAACTTGATTGATCATCCTCACTCAGTGTAAGGAACCTCCTGCATGTCTTTTATCTCTTATATATCTGGAAAGTTTATGTATTTACTAAAAAGTTAATTGGTCTCCTTAATTCTAATGTCTTTTTTTATTTTTATTTTTGTTTTTTTATTTTTTAAAAGATATCTGCGTGGAATTGCATTTCTCTATTTGAGATTTGTTTGCAAGCCAGATCAATTGTGGGATTGGCTTGGGCCTTACCTGGAAGATGATCAAGAGATTACGCTTCAGGGCGGTGTCAAGCCTATTCACTCGTAAGTTTATTATTACTACTATTATTGTTTTTAATTTTCAATATTGTCTGTTTAGGAGGTCGAATGGCATATACTAAAATTGCCCACTTCATATCAACTTCGGCCATGTTTGTTTATATAGCACGATCGGCAAGATGTGTTATATGTTACTGCATGATCAAAAATTTTTGGGACAGATACTGCCGAGAATCCCATCCTTGGTGATGCGTGAGCTGGAAAAGGAGTTGGAGCCCTATGCTGATGCTGGACGTGCCAAAACGGGCCAGCGTGACCACTTTAAGTATGTCCTTCAATTATGTTGTTGAGTTTGAATACAGTATGAAATATCCTAGGATTAGAAACGAAATATTTGCACTTGAATACTCAAATGTTTTTTTTTTTTTTTTTTTTTTTTTCCCTGTTGTTAGGAGAGACAAGTCCGATCGAGATCGTGGCTCCGGCAGAGGAGGTAGAGATCGTGATAGAGATGACCATAGCCGTCACTCTTCTAGGTATGATCGTGGTCGTTCTCGATCAAGAGACCGTGGAGGCCGTCGCCGGCATGATGATGATGATCACCGGTCTTCGCGTCGCCGTAGCCACAGCAGGAGCCGTAGCCGTGATCGTTACCGCCGGGACGATCGTCGGGATGATTACCGTCATCGCAGCCACAGTCGTAGTCCTTCGAGGCGTTAATCAACAGGACAAGAAAACCTTGGCTTATTTGTAGTAGAAATGGTTCTTTTTAATGATTTTGTCTTGTTTTTAGACGAGCAGTTTTATTGGTCGTGTTAGTCCTAATAAGCGTATATATGTTTTTTATTTGTGTTTTTGTGACTGCGCGTGGTTCATTAAACGACGCGTCGAAAGATTGTTTTTGTTTGATCTGAGCAAATAGACCATAAACAGTCGCGTTTTTTCTGTACCTGTGTTTTTCTACAACCCTTTTTTCGCTGTTGTTTTGACTGTTGCATATTCCTCTCTTCTTTTTCCTCGACAAGCCCATTCTTTTTATCTTTATTTTTATTCTATTTTTTCTTCTTGTAAAAAGTCCGTAGTTCGGATACAAGACCGGAGGAGAAGGGCTTTTAAATAATAGACAAATAAAAAGATGGGATTTAAAAGAACCACACAAAAGACAACGTTCGGACTCTTACCGTCCAACCGTGGAGGTGCAGGCCGAGGTAGGGGAGGTCAAAGTCGAGGGGGAGCAAGAAGAGTCTACAGAGCCCCATCAGCACAGTCAACACAGGCACAGGCGCAGGCGTTTGTGCCAACAGGCGATGAGGGTACATTGATGGAGCAGCGGTTCGATGATGTAGCATTGCAGGATGAGATTGATGAAAAACTTGGATTTTTGAAATTCCAAGAAGGACCTGAAAAACTTGGATGGCTCATTAATCAACATGCAGTAAGAAGAATTGACCTTTTCTTTTCTTTTGAATTCCACCATTAAAAAAAAAAAAGAAAAAGGTAGACCAATGCTGTTTTTTATTGGTGATAACTGATAGTTCTAACTAAGCTATTACCTTTTATTTATTTATTTTTTTTTTATTGAAACGGTAGACTATTGTAAAAGATGATGACTGGCCAACAGGAAGAGCAGCTATTGACTATTACTTTATTCAAGATGACGGAGAGATGTTTAAAGTCACTGTCAAGTACAGTCCATACTTTTACATTGCTTCAAAGGTAACAACAAAAAGATCCATCTCTATTTCCGAAAGCATATATACGTTTGGTGATCAACTATGATAACAGCAACAAGGATGTTGATCTCTCTCTCTCTTTCTTCCTTTCTTTCTTTTCTTTCTTTTCTTTTTTTTTTTTTTTTTTTTTTTTTTTTTATTCTTTATTGCTATTTAATGTCTAACTGTCATCAATGTCAAGGTCGGAATGGAATCAGAAGTCGAGGAATACATTAGAAGGAAATTTGAAAGCGTCGTGGAAAAAATGGTTCGAGTTCAAAAGGAAGATTTGGACATGGTATGTTACAGCCCCCAAAAAAAAAAAAAAAAAAAAAAAAAAAAAGTAAAGGATGTGTTTCATTTTGCAGGAATTATAGGGTCTTGATGTCTAACCCGATCGATTCTACACACACAAACACAAACTTCCTCCCCCCCCCCACCTCCATATCCTATTATGACTTATTAGCCAAATCATCTTTGCGGGAACACTCGTACATTCATCAAACTTGTATTCAGGAATGTTCGTGATCTGTTGTCAGTGCGCAAGGTTTTGCTCCCGGCTGCCAAAGAAAATCAGTCAAAGATGTCAGTGCTGGATACATATGCTGAGGTCGTGAGCGCGACGATGGATATGGGACTGGATATGGATGAACCTATAACGGCTTCGAAAGCAGGAGGAGGCGATGGATTGGAACATATTGTTGATATTCGAGAGTATGATGTTCCATATACCATTCGAGTGGCCATTGACAAAGGTATGCTTTTAAAAAAGAAAAAAGAAAAAAAAAAAAAAAAAATAGGTTGAAGATCAACTTGATTTAACACTACCCTATCCTTGTTGCAAAAAATAAAAAAAATAAAAAAAAACAACTATCTAAATCTTTTTTTTTTTTTTTTTTTAGATATCCGTATTGGTCTTTGGTACAACGTACGAGTTACACCCACAGATGTAGAGATCAAACGACAATTGGACAGAGTGGCACGTGCGGAACCTGTTGTAATGGCGTTCGATATCGAGACTACAAAACTACCGCTCAAATTCCCCGACGCTACTATTGACTCTGTGATGATGATTTCGTATATGATTGATGGTCAGGTATGGAGGAGTATATTGCCAAATCATGTTTCTTTCTTTCGATAAAGGGAAAAAAAAGTTACAAGTCAACTAAATATCAATTGTTTTTTTTTTTTTTTTTTTTTTTTTTTCTTAAAAAAAAAAAAGGGTTTCTTGATCACCAACCGTGAGATTGTTTCCAAGGACATTGATGATTTTGAATATACCCCCAAGCCAGAATATGAAGGCTTGTTTACAATCTTCAATGAACCCAATGAGGTACTCAATATGTTTAATCTGCACAACGGATAGGGGCGACATGCACAGGGAATTGACGAAACGAATGACCTCTGACTATAAGATTCTATTACCTTAATTATATATATTCAAATTAACAGGAGGAATGTCTACGTCGATTTTTCCATCATTTACAAGAAGCAAAGCCTACGGTGGTCGTCACCTATAACGGAGACTTTTTCGATTGGCCATTCGTAGAAGCAAGAGCAAAAGTTCATGGAATTGATATGTTCCATGTAAGTCAGGTCACTTTTCGGGTTTAAGGAAAAAAAAAAAAAAAAAAAAAAAAAAAAAAAAAACTGATATCTGAGAGCTCAATTGCTTTGAGAATGCTCGATTAACACATATACATGATCGATTCGACCATAACCATAACAGGAAGTTGGCTTCAAAAAAGACTCGGAGGATGAATACAAATCCAATACTGCCGTACACATGGACGCACTTCGTTGGGTGAAGCGTGATTCATATTTGCCGATGGGAAGTCAAGGTCTTAAGGCTGTCACGAAGGCAAAGCTTGGATATAATCCTATGGAGCTCGATCCGGAAGATATGACACGGTTTGCGAACGAACGACCTCAGACACTCGCACAGTATTCAGTCTCCGATGCTGTCGCCACATATTATCTTTATATGAAATATGTTCATCCTTTTATTTTCTCGCTTTGCAACATCATTCCTATGAATCCAGATGAGGTTCTTAGAAAGGGTTCTGGAACTCTTTGTGAAACACTGTTGATGGTGAGTTTTTTTTTTTTTTTTTAAAAAAAAAAAAAAAAAAAAAAAAAAAAAAAAAAAAAACTAAAATCTAGTCGTAGGATGATGAATGATGATTTTTTTTTTTTTTAACCTTTTGAAAATGGATATTCTGAATAGGTCGAAGCTTACCAAGGCAATATTATTATACCGAACAAACATGTGGATCCATTCATTAAAATGTATGATGGTCATTTGTTGGAGAGCGAGACATATGTCGGAGGGCACGTAGAGGCTTTAAAGGCAGGCGTTTATAGGAGCGATATCCCAAATCAATTCAGTATTGTTCCAGAGACGGCCCAGCAACTGATTGACGATCTGGACGCAGCCCTAAAGTTCAGTATCGAAGTCGAAGGTCATCTCAAGATGGAAGATATCCTAAACTATGAAGAGGTATTCTATATATTCTTTACACAAATCGGTTTTTGCACGGATAGCTTTTTATCATATCATCATCATCATCATCATCATTTTATTCTTATTCTTATTCTTATTTTAATCTGAAAGTGTGCTTTCTAATAATTTCTCTTCTTCTGTTTCCTTTCCCTTTATCCTACATATATTTATCTCCTATAGGTAAAGGCTGCCATTGCAGGACCTCTAATGGATCTGCGGGATCGTCCAAACCGGACAGAGAATCCGAGTATCTATCATTTGGATGTCGCTGCTATGTATCCCAATATTATTCTCACTAATCGACTACAACCAGATTCGATCATCGAAGAATCTACATGTGCCTCATGCGACTTCAACAGAGTTGGAAAGAACTGTGACCGACGGATGACATGGTCATGGCGCGGAGAATATTTTCCGGCCAAGAAAAGCGAATACAACATGATCAGGAATCAACTGGAATCAGAGCGGTTTCCTGGAATAAAACCCTGGGATGAACCACGCGCTTTTCACAGTTTACCAGGAGCAGAACAAGCGGCACTCATCACTAAACGTATCACAGAGTACTCAAGAAAAGTTTATCGCAAGACACATGAGACCAAAGTGATGGAGCGAGAGGCTATCGTGTGTCAGAGAGAGAATCCATTCTATGTCGACACTGTCAAGGCGTTCCGTGATCGTCGCTATGAATACAAGGGCTTGCACAAAACCTGGAAAGGGAACGTAGATAAGGCTCAAGCCTCTGGAGATCTTGTCGAGATTGAGAATGCGAAAAAGATGGTCGTCCTGTACGACTCGCTTCAACTGGCTCACAAGTGTATTCTCAACTCCTTTTATGGATATGTCATGCGTAAGGGAGCACGATGGTACTCGATGGAGATGGCCGGTATTGTCTGTTTGACTGGCGCAAGGATCATTCAACTGGCACGCAAACTCGTGGAGCAGATGGGTCAGCCCCTGGAATTGGATACGGATGGTATCTGGTGTATCTTCCCACAGACCTTTCCCGAGAACTTTACCTTCAAACTTAAAAATGGAAAGAAATTTCCTATTTCTTATCCATGTACCATGCTGAATCATCTAGTTCATGACAAGTTCACGAACCATCAGTACCAGATCCTAAAAAACCCTGATGAGCACGAGTACGAGACAATTGAGGAGAACAGCATCTTCTTTGAAGTTGATGGACCCTACCATGCCATGATTCTACCATCTTCCAAGGAGGAGGACAAGCTTTTAAAGAAGCGTTATGCTGTATTCAACCATGATGGCTCCATTGCCGAACTTAAGGGATTTGAGGTGAAGCGTCGTGGTGAGCTCAAAATGATCAAGGATTTCCAGTCGCAACTCTTCAGGGTCTTTTTGGAGGGCTCCAATCTTGAGGAATGTTATGCAGCTGTAGCCAGAGTCGCCAATCAGTGGCTGGACGTACTTTATAGTAAAGCTGTTGATCTGGAAGAGAATGAACTTTTCGACCTCATTTCAGAGAACAGAAATATGTCAAAGTCACTGGAAGACTATGGTGCTCAGAAATCAACCGCCATCAGTACTGCAAGGCGTCTCGGCGAGTTCTTGGGAGATCAGATGGTCAAGGATAAGGGATTGAACTGTAAATTCATCATTGCAGCCCAGCCAGCGGGTAGTCCCGTCACCGAGAGAGCCATTCCAGTCGCCATTTTTTCTGCGGAACCGGCGGTCATGAAGTTCTACCTACGAAAATGGCTTCGCGATAATAGTTTACAGGACTTTGATATTCGATCCATTCTTGATTGGCAATATTACCTGGAGCGATTCGGAGGCGTTATCCAGAAGCTGATCACCATTCCTGCAGCAATGCAAAAGATCCCGAATCCAGTCCCTCGAGTTCGACATCCTGACTGGCTCTTCAAGCGTGTCATGGCGTTGGACGACAAGTTTAAGCAGCATCGCATCACAGATGCCTTCAAGCCTGCGGAGAAAAGACCGTTTGCAGGCGATAATGTCACAGATATGGAGGACCTAATATCATCTGGTCGTCTATCTGGAGCACCTACAACGCCAGTGGTTCACAAAATGAATGGAAAAGCTGGAAAGGGTAAAGAGAAAAAGACACAACAACAATTACAACATCAAAATACGGAAAAGACGATCGAAGAAAAAATACTCGAGCTCGAATTACCCAAGGAGATGCCCGACATGATGACAGATTACCATGGATTTTTGGCATACCAAAAGATTAAATGGAAGCGGCAGAGGCTTGAAAGAGCTCAACGCAAGGCCCTTGGTCAATCTCGGGCAAAGGGCGATGGCTTCCTTTCAGGATTCATTAATCAACAGTCGACCAACATTTTAACAAAGATGTGGCAAATTATTCAGATTGTCGAAACCGATATCCCAGGCGAGTTCAGGCTCTGGGTATTGATCGATAAAAATCTACACTCTATCAGACTTTCTATTCCTCGTATCTTTTATGTCAACAGCCGAGTAGAGGACAGCAATAGTGAAGCGAGAATGTTCCCGAAGCAGAAGCTGGTCCGGACATTACCAAGAGCTCACCCTTGTTTACATTTGTATCAGTTTACAATGCCAGAAAGTTTGTATCAACGAGAATCCAAGAATTTGTCAAGTTTCTTTAGTCATCCGGATGTGGAAGGCGTGTACGAGACTCAGCTTCCGCTCCTCTACCGTGCCATTATCAATTTAAGCTGTGTTTGTTCGGTTGGCGGCCGATCAGTGCGAGCGCTAGACGAAGGGTTTGAGTTGGCAGATCTCAAGCCAGAAAATATGGACAAGATGCCATATCTACAGGACGATCAGGCGCTCAACTATCTGTATTTGTATCATGCAACAACGGACACACGACATTTGTTTGCGCTCTTTGCGTCTACTCACAGTAAGGTCTATGTCTTTGTGGTGGATGCACCAGGTCAGCGTGGACAAATGCCCAACATGGCGAGAACCTATGAAGCTGTCAAAGCGGAGATTGACCGTATGCCAGCTGAGACTCGGAGGACTAACAAAGTATGGCAGTACTTTCAAGAGCTTCAGTTTGATATCAATTATGTCACGAATGAAAAGGAGGCATTCCGAGAAGTGGCAAAGTGTTTGAGCAAGTACCAGGATGAACGTCGTGGAGCAACAGCCGTGATCTTGCATTCACCCAGGGCGAAACAAAAACTGATTGATAATATGAGTATCCTCAGAGACTTCCCTCTGATTTCGATGCCGTGCTCCAAAAGTACAAAGCCTTTCCAGGCCCTGGCATGGCAGAGCAATGCAACTAAGCGAATGCTGGCACAATTCTTGACAGTTGGAGGGTGGATGACAGAGCAGATTGCACTGGCGCGTTATGCAGATGTACCTGTATGTAACATTGAGCAGGATTCGCCAATCTTTGTGACGGATGTGTTACTGGCACGTCAGCTGGTGCGTCATGATATGCTACTGTGGTGGTCTCCTTCCAGTAAACCTGACCTTGGAGGGCGTGAGGATGACGAGAATGTGTCCGGTACAGAGGATTTGCAAGATCCAAACATTAATGTGCCAGGCCACTACGAGACTGTCTGCTTGGAGATGGATATGCTGCATTTGGCAGTCAATACATTGTTGCAATCAAGTCAAATCAATGAACTCGAAGGTGGAACCGATACTACGCTCGACGCATCACATACCTTGGATGATTATAGCGCAGGCAAGGTTTCGAATGTGATTTCATTTGGCACAGGAACTGCATCATCACAAGCATTTGCGATTATCAGGCACATGGTTCGAGGCTGGGCAGTCGATCTGGCAGAAACACGTAATATGTTTTCAGAGAGTATGGTGGGACATTTTCATCGATGGCTGACCAGCCCTAGTTCCAAGTTGTATGATCCTTGTATGTATGCGCTTGTTCATGGTCTGATGAAGAAGGTGTTCTTCCAGGTTGTGGCGGAATTTAAGAGACTTGGATCAAGGGTGATCTTGGGCAACTTTAACAAGTTGATCATTGTGACGACCAAGGCCTCGGTTGGAAATGCATATGCATATTGCAGCTGGATTGTTCGGCATATTCAATCCAAACCGTTGTTTATGACCATTGACTTGATTCCAGTCACATATTGGGAACAATTACTCTGGATGGATTCTGCCAACTTTGGAGGGATTGTTTGTCCTAATCCGCATGAAGTTCAAGAACAAGACCAGCCTACGTTGTTGACACAAGTCAGTCGCGATATTGATATGCAATGGAATATCCAGCAATATCTGCCCATAGCTTTACATCCAGAGTTTATTGCAACCGTAGGAGAGTTTATAGATCAGGTGTACAAGTTCCGACATCAAAAGCAGCTTGCGAAGCCTAAGCTTACCAATGGAAATACGGAGAATGACGATGGAGATTATGAGGAAAATACTACAGCAGTCCTCACTTCTGCAGCAGCGACCAAAGCTGACAAGAAGAATGTTGAAGTGGTAGCATTTAAAAAGAAGTTGGTCTCACAACACTTAACGCGTCGACTCCTCAAGGTGTTCCCCGAGATTTTGATGAAGAAGAGAGAATCACTCAAGGATCCTCAATTGGCATTTACCTTTGCGTTCCCTCGTCAACCTGGATCCTATTTAGAGATGACGAATGCTCCCTTGGAGTTGATCAAATCTATGACAGCGGTTCTGGGAATCGATACATCGATTGAACGTGAGGTCCGGGTGTTACGTAAGAACTTGTTGGATTTGATCGAGATCCGCGAATTCTCACCCGAGTCCATTTTCCAGAATCCCTGTGAAAGCTTTGTGTTACGGGGCGTGATTTGTTCGTATTGTAGTTACTGTCAAGATTTGGACTTTTGTCGTGATCCTCGACTCTTACCACGGATTAAGAAGGATACAGGAGAGGTAGTGCTGAGTGCATGGAAGTGTCGAGAGTGTAAGGAAGAATATGATCGGGATGCGATTGAAGAATCGATGGTGGTGATTGTGGAACGGATGACGGCTCAATATCAAGCACAGGATCTGAAGTGTCTGAAATGTCGTCGAGTGAAGGTGGATTTCTTGAGCGAATGGTGTGAATGCTCAGGCGAGTTTGTGACAGCGATGAGCCGTGCAGAGTATTTGCGAAAGATGAAGGTGTTTGACAACATTGCAGAGTTTTATGGTCTTCCTTTGTTAAGGGAGGTCATCTCTTGGACACTTTCTAAATAACATATCATACATACATATCCCCACATATTCCATCTCCATCCCATCCCATCGACAAGATATACGACATGGCGACATAGTATATATTTTCTTACTTATCAGTTAATTAATGTTATTTTTTATATTTTTATTTTCACGAATACTCTCGCTCATTCATATTCACCCATTCTGGTTCACTTACTCCATATCATTTAATAAATCGCAATATTTGTAAAATGCTTTCAACTGCCTGATACATCTGATATCCCTTAGGAATCCGAATCAGAATGATTGGAGAGACTGTATTCAAGATTATCTTCATCATCATCGTCGCCTACCTCATCATTCTCATAAACAATATTATCTTCCGTGTAAGGGATGAAGCGATGCTTGCACTTCTCAAAAGTCATTATCATCCTAATAGCGTCGAAGATCGACTCTGTAGATCCCCCTTCGCAGCAGTCCATAGTGAGATAATTGAGGATTCTGACATCCTTTTGCTTGCTAGTCCCTTCTTCGTCCCTACCGTATTCCTTGATAAGTTCATCTTGAAACTAAAAGGCTTTGTCTTCTCTTGACTCTATTCCAAGATCGAGCAAACGATCCCTTTGCTCAAAGGTCAAGATAGGGAAACCTAGCAATGCAGCTGCGGACCTAGGCTGGAGTCATAGATCCTCAAACATGAGTGCTCTGCATTGGGTCGCAAACCAGCAGCTGATTCATTTCTTATCCTTATATGCGCCACGAATTCGAACATGACATTGCCATAAAGTGTCTTGAACGGCCTTATGACACCCGCATCCAAAGGCTGTCTCACTGAGGTTGCTTTTGGAAGGAGTTGAATAATCTCGATATTCTCCAGTTCAAAGGTCTCATGATCCCTGTGTGTGTGCTGGCGCATTGCCGATTAGAAGCACGATATGACGATCCTGCTTCTGCATGTCGCCATCTAACTGCCATAGCCGTTGAGCGAGAACAGGTAGTCCCCCGTACCTTTCTTTGGCAGGAAATCTACGTCGATGGACCTGAGGATATCCTTGGCCAAGTCCAATGGACGATGCATGCCCAGATATTAACGTTAATGATTGGACTAACAGACCCCTTTGAAGTGAAGTGAAGGATAAGCTGGATGGACAGATTAAGAGATTAAATTCCATACCCAGTACTAAGGGCTTACGCATAACAGGTCCTGTTGCATTGCTGCAGAACAAGGCTAAGGCTCGGACCGACCGAATAATATTCTTTCCACAAACAGGCGCGGCCTTAGATACCTTGTAGGACATTGCTGTGAGGAAAAGACCTGTCTCATCAACAGTTATAGATGTCATCAAGCTTAGAAATTGATAAGCTTGGCTTTGATCGCCTCGATATGGTCATTCACAACTTCCAAGTCCACAGGCTCGCTTTCAATCCTATCCACAGATCCACTTTCAACTGTATCCAGTTAAAGATTTTAGGCCCTTTCTTTTCTTGAAGTTGCTAAGCCATCCTTTAGAAAAATAACATAGTTTGAGTGCTTGACCTGAAAGGAAGAAAGGTGTCATTTCAGTTCAAATTGTTACAGCTGTCCCTCGTATGGGATTATCGGCTACATTGAGATCCATCAAAACACATTAGGTTATAATGGGGGGGTTTTTTTTTCTTTTTTCCTTTTTATTTTTCCTTGTATTGGTAGAGGGAGATATTGACAGCTTATCGAGGATGCTGTTTTTCTTTTGGATATTGCCATTCGCCCGTTTTTGCCATAGGCGTCGCTTCTCATTAGATAGATACACATGGTGTATGCCAGACCTCGTAACACCAAGATCTACTTGATGGCTAATACCATTTTATGTCAATAAGGTAGAAAGAAAAAGTGCTAAAGAAAGAGGAAGCTGCTATCCTTACGCGGCAGCCCTTATAAGAAGTTTGTTTTTAAAGAATTATTCGTTATTTATTTATTTCATATGAAGCCTGTGCAGTAGTTTTGGCTTTGTTTGTACGACCATGGTTGGGATTCTAGGAATGGCCTTGCGAGCTATGCCTAAAGTTAAAATAGGAATACTTAAATCAAGATGTGAGAGACCTTTCCCTTGGTTTCAATAGACATATATATAATGTTTTGTAATGTTGGCGTCATTGTTACCATTCATATTATCGGCCATCGTTAACCAACGGAAGCTCCTGCGAGAAAGCGAGAGTGGAGAAGACATTCTTGAGGCAGTAGACGCGTATTTTAGCGTCGTGCTTTTAGATTTCCTCTCTCTGCCTGTGGGCTGTGGGAGAGCCCATTGCCATGAATGAATTTAAGGTTGTGGATGAATTCATTATCGATTTTTTTTTTTTTTTTTTTCATTGTAGTCGTGTCAACACTGTTAGCAACCACTAAGTGGTGGCGCTTGAAAAGAAACACCTATTCTAGCATCGTGTTTTCAGGCTTTTTCCTCCGCTTCCTCGCTCCCTACACTATATCTACGAGCAAGAAGAGAAAGGCTGAAAACGCGATGCTAGATCAGGCATCCTCTTTCCAAGAGCCACCAGTTAACGGCAACTGATAATATCAATGGTAGTGACAATGATCACTGTGGAGAATGATAATGAATTCATTCATGAGCAAGAGAGACGCGCTCAAGAAAATAAAATAAAAAAAGGGATTGTGGAGAAGAAGAATAGCAGACTTTTTTTTTTTTTTATGTCCGTTCTCAAAAGTGCTCGTGAGATGATATTCGGGAGGGAGGAAGGTGATTTTTGATGGGAAGGGTAAGTGATGATCAGGGAGTGAAACTCGGTACACGGTGTCACTTGACCTCCGTACGCTCCAAAGTAAAAATAAATCAATCCATATGCCTCAATCAATGCCTTGCCAAGCGTGAAAAAAAAAAAAAAAAAAAAAAAAAGGATGTTAACCTATCAATTCAAAAATGGTGGCAAAAGTGCCAGCGAGAAAAGAAAACATGCCGCAAGTCCTTGACAAACATTTTTAGCGTTCCTTGTGTACTTCTTGACAAGGTTCTTAATGGTTCATTAGGACAAGTGGAAGTGGCGCATAGCAAGGGTAAGGAATTAATGCGCGCTTCATTCACTGCTTAACATGTTTCATAAATCAAATATATATATGGGACTGGTGTTAGAAGCTCGAAAGACAAGACAGTGCTATCCTAGGGTCCGGCGGACAAACCAAATAAGGCATGCAATACCCAGATTACCTTCGCGTGGTACGCTCTGGCCTGCCCGCTCATATCTGAGGAGGGCATAATATATATATTTTTCGCTCTTAATGCTTTGCCACAGCTTAGGACATGTATGCCAAGCAAAGTAGATGAAATTTTGTGGAACGTGATCTAGTTTTTAAGAGCAGTCAACACCAAAACAAAGAAAATTTTTTAAGGACACTAGAAAAAAAAAAAAAGCAAGGCTCCTTCCTTTCTATTCTTTCTTTCTTTGTTCTCCACTTGATCCTTCCACACTCTCCTTCACCTTCATTTTACTCCCTCCTTTCTATTTGTCTTTTCTTCCTTCTTTTTTTTTTTTCTTTTTCGTTTTTGTAGTTATTCATTGGTTCTTTTCAAGGTAAATATCATGTTTACAACAGTTAATAAAACCTTCACGTCCACCGTATACCTTTTTTTTTTTTTTTTTTTTTTTTTTACCAATCTGATGATTCCAAAGACAATTTGCACGTCAGTCATACTGCCTACGGGCAATGATGAGCAATATATCTATACCCAAATTTCTGATAAAAAAAAAAATAATTATATTTCCTGATTTCGTTGTTGGACGCGAATTAATAGACGAATTCTAACAGAATTTTACTTTCTCTTTATGGCAGGTTCGATTACATTTCGATTAGTCCATATTCCAGATTATTGAATGCTCTTAATAAAAAGAAAGACATATTCATGTTATGTTCCTTTCTAGACTATGAAGGCTTTTCATTCATATATATATACTACTAGTCTTTTTAGTTTTAACCATTGATTTATTTTTATTTTTATTTTTTTGTATTGCGTGGTGTCTATATTGGCTTTTTTCACTTGTTCACTATCTGGATGAAGTCAATTCAGCCATGTATCTCTCAATCTGGCCTTGAATAACTCCATCAGGGCATTTATCACGGATCTCACTATTATACACATTCCAAGAAAATAATGAAACGTTAAGGCTGTCATTAAAATAATGAATAAGAAATAAAAAAAAAAAAAAAAGGTACATGTTTCCTTACCGTAATGTATCCAAATCCTTTTGCGAATAGGCTTGCTGTACTGCTTCTTGATATGCTTCAATCTTCAGGAAGAGTCCTGCGCGGACATGCGCATCGCACTTTAGAATGTACTTGGAGGCCTCCTTGAATTGCATGGCCTTCACGCACTCCTCAACAAAAGGTTCATAGCCAATGGGCGACTTTTTGGACTTTGCTAATGTTGCTACTCCATCCCAGTCTCTGATCTCAACTAATGCTCGCAGCTTAATCCACCAGAAACGTTTTACCGGCATTTTAAATTCACTTTGGACCTTTGTTGCGCGGTTGCCTTGGTTGATTGTGATCAGTTTATAGACAGTGCTGCTCATGGAAAGACCGATAAATGGCTGAGAATAATCCTTTTCCAATTGAACTTGCGTCCGAAGAAGGCTGATGCTATCATCGATAGCCTACCAGTATATGAAATGATTAGTAGTCTGTAGAATAATGAGGCGAGGCGCGATTTGCGATAATTTTTTACCCTTGTTGTGTCTAAAGCCTTTTTTTTTTTTTTTTTTTTTTTTGTACCTTTGCCTCAAAGACGTGTTCTTTATCGTCCTGATATAATTTAAGAGCTTCCTTTAGCTTGTTGATCCGCCCTACGGTATCTTTCTGCTGGAAACTCTCCATCAATAACAAATTGGCGTTATCAACTCTCTGATCGTTTTGGTAATAAAAGTTCTTTAAGAGCTCCGTATCCTGTTGTTTGCAGTATGATTCCAAAAGGCTGCATGCAAGCGGCTTTTTGTTGATGACCTTGAAGAACTCTGCTAAATGAAGTTTGCGCTTCAGATGCAGTAGTACATGATAAACTGGGAAGATAGAGCAATTGATTTAGTTTGTGAAATAACTTGAAGCAATAACTTTTTTTTTTTTTTTTTTTTTTTTTTTTTCTCAAGTAGCCTAGGAAAAAACTCACCAAGATCAGTGTCACCACTCTCGATAGCTTTCACCAGTGCAAGCTCATCCTGTTGCATGCTCATCAACAGTGGCACTTGATCGCCAGCCCTTGGCTCGTAATCAAGAAGCTGTTCGTATTTAGTCATAAGAGAATAATAGCAATTAGGTCTTTTAAGCTAATCTTCAGTTGCAGGCTACTCTACACTTTAGCGGCTGCACTCCTGATAATGACGACAACTCTACCATCGTAGCCAACTTGGATTGACCGGCTTTGTGTGCTGTCATGGCGATCTCTGAATAAGAGAGTCCGGGTTTATTAGCCAGCTTCTCAACAACCATACGACAGATTGTATCCTCATCATCATTCGATTTTTTGATCTTTGAACAAGCCCAATGAATAAGAATCCTGTCTGTTCGCATTTTGAGATACTCACAAATCCTGATCGCAAGAAGATATTGATGACGGCTAATCAGACGATCAATCAAGGCCTCTGGTGTAAGCCTCTGGTATCTGATAGAATAGAGACATAATGGGTGTAAGATGTTAGGTCCAAATATGTAGCAGCACAGTAGCATGAGACATGCTGATTATAATGACAAATAAAATTGTTGAAGGACACTTACTGAGCGTAAGTGAGTGGGATACCGATCTCATAGTATCGAACAGCATTCAGGACTCTCAGGACCTTACACATCTCAACAAATGAGTCAGCATTGTGAATTTCCAAAAAGCACTTTCCAAAAGAAGCAGCCTAAGGCGCCAAAGGAATGAGTTGCATGTGAATGAGTACAGAATTTCTGGGCTATCAAAATAATCATGAACATACTTTTTCAATCTGATATGGATACCTTAAGGAGTGTTCGTTGATATTGATGTGATATTTCGTGTCCAGCAGCCTCAATGCATGCCTCCACAGCTTCTGAAAGCTCTAATCTGATGCTTCGTATATTTTCGTCCGCCTTAGGGCTTTTCTTCTATAAAATATGATATCGCAGTCAGAATCAGGTATCTATTTAAGAGATTTCACCTGACAGATATTGCTGGTTGTGCGGCATATACCTCAAAGTGATCCAGAGCATCATAGAGCATGGCTGCAGGTGCTGTCGATCCAATATTGAAAATACTCTCCGTGACATCTGAGTTGATATTTAGCGTAAAATATACTTATTGTTAATGTGGTGTCCACTGATCAAGAATCTGATGGCAATCCACGTTCCTTTGAGCTCTGCTTCTTACCAGGTACTTTTTGTAGGAACTCGCATTTTTCACTGCTGATAATTCTGACGCCATCAATTTCTGGAATCAAAAAAATAGCATCGTCGTAGGAATATCTAGCATGGATTTAAAGAGGATCAGTATGATAGTTGAGCATACCTTCAAAAAAAAAAAAACTGATTTCCTTATCAACATTATGCCAAATCCCTTACTTGATCCAATCACCATACGGTCCAACCATTAGAACAATTTTGTCCCAGTACAAGACAACAGAGTCCGTTCCACACCTTTGAAAAAATAAATGCATAAGATAATGGGATGAACTTTTCAACTTGACCAACAGCATCTCTCTTTGATAGCTTACCAGACTAACTGCTGCGGTGGAACTTGTGATTTAGTTGGAAACTCTGATAGATTCTTTTGAAAGTCCGTGGACACAACCCAAAGCTTCCCATCAGATGTGAACAGCGCCAGATACTTTCCGTCCGGAGAGATCGACATCTTCGTAAATGGTCCTTGTTGTAGGCGCTACGTGAAATCGATAATATATATTGATTAGGAGTGTTTTTCTTTTCTTTTTTTTTAACACCACGTTGCTGTCATGTACTTTTTCCGTCAATATACTTCATCTCTAGCTTCTGTTGCATCTACGACGAGGATAGTTGAGTTGAATGCAAGTAAGACTTCCACATGACGACTGAGAGTAAATTTTGGAGGGATCACTGTCCAACTGTGAGGTGGTTCATTGATGCCAGGGTCTGCTAGGAGCAAGGGCCGAGGTTCATCGAAGTTCGCAATACTAATCAACTGAAAACTTCCTGTCAGTGCTACCAACCCTGTGCCCCAAATCTGAACATCAATGACACGGTTATCCTTGGCTTCCTATTTGCAGCCAATAAGGAAGTCAGACAATGACATTAATGCCGGCTACTGAGTGAACATAACAGGCTATCTCTCAGAGGTGCAAAAACAGTCCATCCTGAAGTTAAGATGGTACCTTGCCGAGCGAAAACTGAGTGTATTCTCCTAGAATATTATACATGCGGACGGTGCCATCTTCCAAAACACAGAGTAGATGTTCTGTCTCTGTCCAGCCCATTCCTACGATTCGTCCCTTGTCCCACTAAACATTTCACAGGAAAGTTTTTGGATATTGATAGCAATCATGTATTAGCCTCGAGCTTTCTAAAAGAAATAGACTGAATATTTTGCACTCTCCTTTTATACTTGCCTGAATGGGCTCCATTAGTTTTCCTGATGATGTATAAAGGTAAATGCTGGGCTTGACGGGCTGCTGTTTCTGCACAAGAAGAACCTTGCGATCATCACGAACAAGTGCTAAACGTAAATATGCGAAGCACCATTACAACATGTTTCAGAGCCGGTTTTATTCAGGATGAACCAAAGTTGAACAAAAGGAAGAAATTAGATTCTGTACCTAGCGGTCCACCAAACGGTGCTGCTGCAACCATGTACTTTGACAAATCGACCTGCTTCCAGAGCATGGAGTAAATCTCTTGTTTTCTGTAGTGCAAAAGGGAGTAAAATTGGACAAAATTTGTATAAAAGTGCATGAAAAATATGCAAGTCGCTTGAGTTGGTTCTTTGCCTAGCAATTAAATCGCTCTGTCGAGACTCGAGACTATTTTCCTCCTTGCCTTACCTATAGTAACGGTCATGTAACTGAATCCAGTCTGCGATTGGAGGTGACATGTTTGTAGTTGATGGATGATGTCCTTCACTTGTAATGGTCCTACTATCTGCTTCCAATTGTCCTATCTGTGTTTACAAGCCTGTTTGCCCCTGAAGTAGATTTCTCTTTCCTCTGAAATGTAAGTTGTGGCAATGAGACAGAGAAGGAAGGCTGTCTTCATCTTTTACCCCTAGTAATCATGTGACAGTATCGCGTGACGTAATCGTCGCGCTTGGGAGTCATAAAATCAGATTAATTAGTGCCGGCTATGGCGGGGCCTAATAAAAAGCCCCCACCTAGCAACCAAATAAAAAACTCTCGATCTCCTTGACATACCAGCCTTCAGAAAAAAACCCAGCTTGTGGTTGTATCGTCAGCCTTACCACTAGCGGTTTTATATATATATATTTTCTTCTGAGGATATAGCGAAGATGAAATAGCATGTGATATCTTTTCAGCCCCTTCCGAACGAGTCGATACAAAGGAATGAAGGGATGAGACAGAAGCGTATTCCCATAGAAGAAACTGATATTTGCTGGTTATTTTGCGCCGTTCTGTAATTTTAGCATGTTTACCACAATATCTGGAGTGGTGTGGAAAAACCGGCCGAAACAAAAGACAGAAGCTTAAACACGGCGGCATACGGAAATGTCTGTATGTAACGAGAGGAGACCATTGGTCAAAAAGTTCGGATGTTCATACAGTAGAAGATTCCTGTTACCTTTGCAGTAGAGAGGATTGGGTACAAGCCTACTTGACTCTAATACCTCTTTGAAAAAAAAAAAGAAAAAAAAGGAACCTGCCTCTGTTCACACACATCCATTGTATGCAGTTCAACCCAAGGGTACCCACACCAGAAAAAAAAATATATATATCCCGTATGATTGGCGCCATGCCTGAAACAATGGATACATGCCATGCATGAAAGATAGAGTCCTAACCTTGACACAATGACTGTTGCTATGTGGACTCTTGCTATGTGGACTCTCCAGAATTACTCTATGATCACAGAGATGTGGGTCTATCGATCATGCTGTGTTGCCAAGAACTTGAAAAGGTATATAAACCCTTTTTCCTTACATTTTTCCAACACAGTCTATCACGGTCTACATCCACAACACTTGAATCACACACAGTCTTTTCACCACTCACTCCAACATATCACCATGAGTGTGATATGTTGAAGTGGTTCCCGATGGGTTTAATAGAGCCAATAAAAACTAGTCCCCCGACTTTTAGCAATGTTTACCAACCCGGATTTATCAAGAGAAGGCAGCAAGATGAGGAAGCAACAGATGTAATAAACTAAGGATAGCAACCAACGGAGCCCATTTCAAGCCTATACAGCAACAACTATTATCACTATTACATACACCAGTCAAATACTGGAATAAGAATCAAGCTCTCAACATCATCAAATGATGTCATGGGACTCTCAAGCGAATGCTGGGATCATGTGTAAGTCTTCATTATTAATTTTTTCTTTTTCTTTTGCTAAACACAGGACACAGGAGACAAAGTTCTCCTAGGCCAGATTGGTTCCATGATAGTCACTTCAAAATAACAGTCAGTTTTTTTTTTTTTTTTTTTTTTTTTTTTTTTTGCTAACCTATTTTCCTGTTGTTTTATGTATATATAAGATTTCTTTCTCTGACTCGATCTATCTTTGTAGGCGCGCTCACTTTTGTCAATGGGTTTATACGCCCAAGAAGTGCCCACCCATCCTGTAAAGACTTTGTTGGACAGGTCCCTTGTATTGTGTCAGACGTATTTGCATCGCAATGTAATAGTAGCGCATAATTATTCATAGCCATCCGAAGAGACTACAACGTTCTCATTACCTTCAGCCTGTAGATGCAGATGAACAGTCCCCTTGGATACATTAAAGAGCGATAGCGGCGACAGGCACAAGCACAAGAACAGGTGCAGGCAAAAAATGTAGGCACAGGTATAGTGTCGAGCCTTGGTCAGAGCACAGCTTCGGGCCGTGGCCAGAGCAGCAAGCGGCATCTTTGTATCATAGCAAAAGGCGATCAAAGAGGGGTGTAAGAAGTTTTAATAGTTGATTAAATAGTTAGATAGTCATATGTGTGTTCGCTCCCTCGGTGACGTAATAGCACTCCCGCGCTTGAAGGTCGCCCACTTCTTTAGTTAAATTCTCATTACAAGAGCCTTAATTCAGCCCAACAGCTTTGGCTTAGCTGTCCACCTTATCAAAAGTGTTCAAGTCTTAGCATGAGCATCCTGTACGTCGAGGGGTGCAGATCTATCGCCTTCAAAAAGTATTGTGCTGTCTACAATTTAGCTTTCAAGACATATCTCGATTGCTATGTCTTTACCCGAGCACCACAAGTTTACTTGAACAAACCGCATTATAATTCAAAGCGGCGGGCTCCTTTATATTTGCATGACCCCAGAAAGCCTTCAGAACGTTGCAGTTTTTATCAGCCATTTTCACATAATGTCTACTGTATACACAGGCTTTTTTTTTTTTTTTTTTTTTTTTCATTTGAATTATCAGGAATACAGATGGAATGATGAAGCAATCATATCTCCCACCTCGTCAACCATTTGGCCCAAAAAATGTTCACATGCCGCGCTTCCATACCGATGATAGCCCATTCAAACCTTTGACCATGTCTATAAAGAAGTATCTGAGGGGCCATCTGTTTGCTACATGTTCTATTTGGCAACTAACAAGTGTTTCTGCCAATACTTTGATTAAGAACCTAGCGATGAGAGGACGACATCGAAAGTATGTGAGATGATACTTTTTAAGGGTTATGCTTTCGGAGTCGTAACGGAGGGTCTGGTGCAAGAAGGCCCAAAAATATAATGATATGTATGGCCATCATTATATCACTACCCGTATCGCCCACAATGTACTTGAGTATAGCCTAAGTGATACATGATTCCTACGACTCAAACAACTCCATGAGTATAAATACTATCTCTTTTTTTCCTCATATGTCGGCTTCAAATATCCGAATAATTTTGTTTGGAACCGTTGTCCTAGTGTGGTACAACTTTTCTTGTACGCGTAGTAAAAATTACGTGCCAATACTTCGGTGACGTACGTGCCGCATTGTGATACAGGTTGATATTTTTGTGTTGTGCATTCCGCCCATTAATCCTCCCATTGCTAACGCCAGCATCGGGGGACATTTTCAGCCTTTCAACATTTTGTATCATTGCCCATAGTCCATTCACAGGAGCGCGGAAACACATCTTAACCTTTATTGAAAGCGCTTTCTCGTGGATTGTACGGGCCAAACTCCTTCCTTCCACAAAATTCAGCGCGTGATCAGGACCAGAGATCTGTTTAGAGGAAGCTCTATTTAATTCATTTGCACATCAAACTTTTTTTTTTTTTTTTTTTTTTGAGCTCTCCTTTCAAAACAAAGAATCCCATGACACACCGACCCATCGATGCAGAAGCTACTGAGGCTCTGCTTAAGCTTGCATCCAAAACCGTTGACGATCAGTTAGGACGTGAACAAAAGTATCCAGAACTGAGCGACTTCTTCAACACAGATTATTCCGCCAATTATGTGGCGCCCGATCCACGGCAACAGATACTTCGTCACAAACGAGCCATTAGCTTGCCTGATACACTTTTTGAACAATATAACCGTAAGGGATAAAAAAAATTTTTTTTTTAATCGCTACCTTCCCTTTTAATGTTTTTGATTTCCTTGGAACCTTATATTTTTCTGACGCGCTGTATTTTTATTCTTGTTTCTAGTTCTCGAGTGTCGTTGTTTCATGGGCTTGTTCCCCGAAATTGGTCGAGTCTGGATCACAATTGATCATCGTCTCTTTCTCTGGAATTATGCAGACGGGTATGTTGCCTTTAAGGATCATTCAAAGGACAACATATTTGGCCGCCTTGTTTCATTATTATGACTATTTATTTATATTTTCTCTCTTAAAAAAAAAAATAGCGGAAACTATGAATCATATGAGGAGCTAGATCAGATTATTGTGAATGTTGCTCTTGTTAAGCCAAAGCCAGGTAAATCACAGGATTGGATCACCACAAGACGGAGCTTAGGATGGGAATTCAAACAACGTGTTGCAGAAGCCACGAGTTGCACGATTGACTTACTTATTTCAATATTCCCTATCTAGATACATTTGATGATAAAGTAGAATATCTCTTAGTTATTGCTACTCCAATTGAAGTGCACTTGCTGGGAATGTCGGTTGGATTTGGGTCAACGCCGCACACACTCTATATCACCAACATGAGTGTACCAACCGATAATGTGGCGATTAAAAGCATCGTGGGTACAGCTGATGGACGTATCTTCATGAATGGAAATGACGGAAGGCTATGGGAAGTTGATTACCAGGCGGAAGAGGGCTGGTTCAGCAAAAAGTGTACTAAACGGGAAGTGATCGGGAGTCCACTTTCATTCTTTATCCCAACTTTCCTCAGCAAAATCAGAGTCGATCCAATTGTCAAGATCGTTTTCGATGAATCTAGGCAGACCATTTATGCTTTGACAGAGAATTCTAATATCGAGGTACGTCTCTACAAAAGAATGGCGAGGACATCGGATGCATAGAATTAAGTTCAAGCGGGAGATTCCATTGGGAATAATGGGATGATGAGATTAAGGATTGAACCCATGTGTCAATCATCGTTTTCCTATCATAGGTGATCGGATTGTCTGGTACTACACATGCCAGATCAACAGTCAAAGCAAGTTACATTCTTCAGGAGGGCAAACGGAAGAGTAATCACAACAGGGCCATGGACGAAGGTCTATTCAAGATTATGGACATTCATGTTATCCCACTGACAGAATCAAAGGATGTCAGCCTTTTGGCTGTTACTGTGACAGGCTGCCGCCTCTATCTTGGGCAGAAAGCAGCCCTTGACTACAATAGCCAACGCTATATTGATCAGTCGAGCTCGGGACCATATCTATTACATGTCCGGATACCTCCAATGTTCGAGAGCGCTCCGGAGGCAGTAATGGGGGTTCAGGGTCAATATCGTGTACATCAGTCTCTTTATAACAATGGTGTGTTCTTGGCCGCACATTCGCTTCATGATGCCGCGGATGCACTTATCGCTTCTTCGCCAGATTCTGGGCCCATCAACAAAGCGTCAACAGCAACCAAGGTAGAACATATGCAGTTGATAGATTCAGAATATTTGGTTCATGTTTTTTCTGGATCAATCTATTGGCCCGTATGACTTATTTTATTTCATATCATTAGACTGTTGGCAGTTCATATATTCCAAAGCTCGCAGAGCTTGCCATGATTGCAGGATTGGATGGAAAGATCTGGGGCATGTCCGAGATTCCAGGCGTGGAGTATGCAGGAGCTATCGACTCTTCCATTGCAAGGAATGAGCTTGCTGTTCAACTTTCCAGGTCTGCACGAGAGTACCTTGTACTCACAAACTCGGGAGTTCAGGTCTTTGCTAAACGTCGACCTATTGATACCCTACAACAGTTGCTGCTAGACGGTCGTGGCGCAGAAAGCGAGCTGGCTTCTTTTTTCACTCAGTATGTAGTTCATTGGAGTAATTCTTCATGGCATAGTTCAATGCTATTTCTACTTCAAAGTCTATTTAACTGATGCGTTTGATCTCTCGTTAATATAATATTTATTAGATATGGACGTGTTGAGTCATGCGCAATGTGTATCGCGGTCCTCTGTGGCCATCCTAGCCTCTCAGCAGCACCGGTAGGATCTCAATGTAAGCGATTTGGGGTTCTAGGCAGTTGATATGAAATGGACCATTCTACACTGTTATGTTTTTTTTTTTTTTTTTATTTTTTTTTTTATTTTTTTTATATCTCGACTAAATCAATGTCTTTTATTCTTTCTCGTAGTCATGTCACCACATTCGACCGCTGGACCGATTGCTGCAACAGCTGAAAGACTACTATTGGAGTGGGGCGGCAAACGCAATTTGTCGGAGAAGCTGGCGAGCGAACGCGCAGCGTCTGCAAACTTGGCAGGATCAGAACTTGGACGGCCTGTTTCTCAAAGTAGTTCAGGACAGTATACTTATCGACACACTGCACTTAGCCTTTACCTAGCGCGATTGCTGAGACCACTCTGGAAGCGTAAGGTCATCAAAGTCATCAACACACTTCGAGGACTTGTTGATTCTGAAATCTCTGACCTTGTGTTGACAGCTGTACAAAAGGATTTGTTCTCCCTTCGGGCGGTATTGAACAACAACATTGAACTTTTTACGCCACGTCCAATCGTGACGTCCAATCCTCCGGGCGAGAAAGATCAAATTGAGATTGAGAATGCAAATGTCGAGACCAAATCCTTGAAGGCATTACTACTCCTCATCACACAGTGCATTGAAGGTATTGCTTTTGTACTCTTTTTGATTGACTCCAAAATGTCGGAAACTGTCTCAAAGTAAGTTATCCTAGTGATCTTAAATCATTTATCCCTGTCTTTCCAGCGGAGACAATCTTGTGTACTCATTCAAACAACCGTTCCTTTCCTTTTGTTTCTGTCATACTGCAGTATTCCTGCAGAATCACAGCAAGTACTTTTAAATATTACCTACGAGAACTTGTTGACAACTTCAAAGGGTCATGATCTCTGTCGCGAATTAGTCACGGCTGTTATCAACAAACAGATGGGCCACCATATGAGCGTAAGAGGATGTCAATCATGACAGAACAGACTATAACTGGAAACATTTGTGCAAGTACTCAATACAGGTATTTTTTACTATGGCTTTAGGTGGATGCTGTTAGCGACACATTACAGAGGATTTGTGGGTCATTCTGCAGTCCAGGGGATGTGATATTTTACAAGGCAACTGAGCACCTACGCCAATCAATTTCCTCTAAAGACCCTGCAGATATTGAAGATCATGCAAGGGAATCTTTGAGGCTCTTCAAGAAAGTTCCTTTCCTGCTAGTTGATGAAACACATGGACCTAATAAGCTTCAAGGAATTTGCAAAGACTACATGCAGTTGAAATTTTTCCCAGGTGCTGTTGAGCTCGCCCTCTCTTGTGCTCAGGGCGTTGATCCAAGTAACAAAGCAGCAGCATATGTCAAGGATGGCATTAGCTCAAAAGTAACGACAACATATATTGACAGGAGAATTCTGCATAGGATCTGTTCAACATCTTGAATCTTTGATTTTTTTTTTCTAACTATCCTCGAATGATTTGAATATAAACCCCGTATAGGACATCCGGGCAGAACAATATGCACAAAGGATGATCTGCTATGAAAACACGGTTGCTGTCTTGAAGGAGTTAGGATTGGACTCTGCACAGGGACCATTGTCTAGTTTTGCATTCCATACTCTGGAAACGGCTCTTCAGTTTGATGATTCACTCTTTCACACATTCCTTTATGATTGGTTATTGTCGCACAACCGTGCAGATTATCTTCTCGAGATCTCTTCACCCTATATTGAAGAGTACCTCAAGCAGTGCACTCTACTAGAATCAACACGGGATCTGTTGTGGCGCTATTATATCAAAGTGGATGAATTTGGTCATGCAGCGCAGGAGTTGGGACGTATTGCAGACTCGACACGCTATCAACTCACATTTGAATCAAGACTTCAGTACTTGTCGCTTGCAGTCAGTAATGCCAAGAGCTATCCAGCAGGATCAGACCCCAAATCTGATAATGGTCGACTGTTGATTGACCTGGAAGAGAAATTAGAAGTAGGGAACATTCAGCTGGACATCATATTGAATTTGAAGGCCATGGTGGATGAACAGAAACATGTTTCTGAAAACCCTGCTTTTGACGCAGCTACGAGACTGCAAGCTGGTCATGACGCTCGAGAGTTGGAGAGCCTTTTGCAAAGCTGTCGATCTCAGCTCCTAGATGCCAATGGTGTATGTTATCTTGTTTTTGTCAGAGCTCTTGTTGTTGTTGTTGACTTCGTCTACTAAATAATGCGCTCTTCAATCGAACCAGTTATATCACTCATATGTAGAGCCTCTCAAGATGTACGATTCAATGCTTGCCATCTATCACACTTCAGATTTTGACGACGAGTACCATATACGGACTGCTTGGGAGGGCTTTATTGCAAAAGGTACAAACGCTGAATTTGTTGTTTGTAACAAAATACTCTGAGACTATATACTTATGGATGTATTTTTTTTTTATCGATAGTTTTTGTTGAGGCTGTCGACAGTGGACGTTCTCCATTGACGGATATCGAGGTGCGTGTCAAGGATCTAGGACGACGCTTTTATCCGTCAGCCAAAGTTGTACCGATTGCAATGATGGTTCAGATTCTAGAACGCTATCCATATCTGAAGCAAACTGCAAGTTATGGAGTTCCAGCAGGATGGGCTGTGCGTATCTTGCGAGAAATCGGATTTCCGTATGAGGCGCTATTTGATAGTTTCCATGCCTTGATTGAGACCAAGAAGAATGAATGGATTGGACCAAGAGCGTCATTGGTATTGATTCAAGACATTGAATATTTGCTACGAGCATGGCTTGCAGAAAGCCATGGATCTGGTATTATCGCAGAGTTGAACGATGCACTGGGGATCTCTGAGGATGGGTGGCACCAGTACACCAATGGAACTACTGTGAATGGCGGGACAGTTGCCACATTAGGACTCACCGGAACAGGTTCATTGGATCGATTCAGGGCAAGAAAAGTGGAGGAGGCGATCGAGATGTACATTCGTGTCCTCGAATCTGCGTCATGGACACCTGCACCTGTGTCTAGCGCATTCGATGAGAACATTGGAGGATCTGGAAATGAGGTGGTAGCCAAGGCAGGTAGGCTGGTACAACGTCTTCAAGTTCTTCGTGCAAGGATCCAACGTCTTTAAAAAAATATAATTGATAAAAGGGCAGAAAGTTGAAGACAAAGTTTGTATTTGAAGGATTGATAAGCATGAATAGAGATTTATTAAAAAAAAAAAAAAAAAAAAAAAAAAAAAAAAAACAATAGCCACATCTAGAAAGCCAGAAAGCATTTGTTTATTTTTATTTTATTTTTTTTGATACAGCCAACTGCAATTAAGCTTTGTCCGAATGACCTAGGGGATGTTATGGCACAAGATGTTAAATTTGAAAAAGCAGTGCATACCGGATTCACGGGTGCACTCAAATGCAATGCTCAAAGGTATAGTAAGAAGCAGATTGGATAACCAATTCCCTTCCTCCGTGCGTCTAGGAGAATATAAATTTGTAATAAGACTACATCCGATAAGCAAAGGTGGAGGGAAAGAGATGTTTTTATTTGGATATTGTATTGAGGGGCAATATAGCTATGCTTCTGTTTCGGGTCCGGATTCATTGAATGTGACTTCCGATGCAGAGTGGCGAGATAAAATGCAATGAAAGCAATCGAGAGACTGATCTCTATTGTGCGGGAAGCCATATTGTGATGCTAACATTCCCTGCTGAAGCGCAGTGGATCGTGATGGAAGGTGTTATGATTTTATCGTGCTGCTTTGCTATATTTGTGATGCATGAAAACTCTGGAAAAAAAAGCAGTTTTTTCAACTTGATAATAGTCTGTCTCTTTATTTTCGCGCCTATTTATTCGGGGTTCAATTTCATAGGTCTTTTTGTGCTACTTCTCTTGATTTTTGTTGCTTTCCTTTTAATCCTTGTTCTCATTTTATTAGGCATGAGTTTCATATATGTCCCAAAGCGTGAACAACCATTCTCCGAGGACTCCACCAGCAACGGCAGCATTGCATTTGCGGCATTATCAGCCTTAGGATCCAACAGGACTCTCGGAGTCATCGACACAATCACAATTGAAGCAGATCAAACGGGAGCTGACATTTTTGTATCTTCTAAGGCATAAAATGACTTTTCTAATCACTTCATTTCTTTATTTTATAAAATCAAAAAAAAAAAAAAAAAAAAAAAAAAAAAGTACAAGCACAGCTTTCACAATTCATTTTTTTTTTTCTATCACTTTTATCCTGCGAGCACCTAATGTCATCTCTTTTTCACTTCTTACTCAGTCTACTATTTTTTCCGCTTACCATTTTCCTCTTACTTTTTTTTTTTTTTTTAGCTCCTAGCCTTACTTAAAAAAAAAAAAGTGCTTTGCCACTTCAATTAATTTTGTCTAACTCACCTCCCGTCAAATCCTTCGTACTTTCTATTCTCAGCATCTCCCCTCTTTTCACTGACTCAACACTTCTCAACATCTGCACCTTTGGGCCGACAAATATCAAGTATCGCATCATAGGATACCCAAATACTCCTCGATACTGCACTCGTTTCTACTCCCATACCTTCTTCTTCCTCTTCTTCTTCTTCTTCCTCTTCTTCTTCTTCTTCTTCTTCTTCTTCTTCAAAAAAGTAATATAAAAAGCCTCCAGTTACTTTTACCATCGATTAGGCTTTTTGCATTTTATAATCTTAAGCCTTGGAACCGTTGCCACGCTTCATACCATAATGGCGCCTCTACATGCTTTAGAGTGTTGTATAAGTTAGCGAGCGCCATCATGAGGAAGTGAATGGCAATCAGGAGTGGAGCAACAACATAAGGTGCTGTATAAGAAATATGTATGATAGGAAACATGAGGGTAATCATAGAAGCGAACACGCCATAGCAAGTGGGGATATGGATGCGGGGCTAAGAATGGAAAAGAATCAGAACACCCTAACATTCAATGGTTACAATGAATTTTTCCTTGTAGAGCCTTGGTCTAAGTAAGCTCTAAAATATGGTTGACCAGAGGAGTGGGCGCCTACTTCCCATGGAGGGACGAGACATTGTTTGTAGTATGTTTGTTTAATGAGGAACATACTTGCATCTAATGAGCATGAGTAGTGCATTCTTATAGGCCACTTTTTTAACGATGGCAGCACAATGCTTGCTTAAGCATCCATTCCATCCAAAAAGAGCAATTGGTGACGCCATAAGGTTTATCGCGGCTGGATCTAAGGTGATCAAGGATTGAGCTTCGTCTGGTCTGCATTGAATCTATTAGAGTGCAATTGATTAACAGTGCAGGGGCCATGCTTCTCGCAAGCTCATTGGCCAAAGGGATTCCATACAATGGAATGGCCTGTCAACAGTCACCACAAACAGAAAAAAAAAAGTTGAACTGTTCAACAATAACCGCTACATACTAAACGATGGCACCACCACCACCCAGGACACGTACACGAGGCAGAAAGCTTCCTCCAAGAGCAGGTGCTACCAAGAGAGCTGCTGCTGCTGCTGCTGCTGCTGCAAAGCAAGTCAACCATTCCGATGCAGTTGAAAAGGACCCGCATGTACTTGATCCAGACAATGAGTCGGGTGATGCAGTCAGCATGGAAGTAGAACAGGAAACTGCTGATGGCAAGACTTGGATTCAAACAAATGTGGATCAAGAAGTGGTAATTTTAGCTGTCTCGTCTTTGAGAAGAAAAAAAAAAAAAAGGGGTTTTTTTTTCTAAGAAAGAATTCATTATTAATACTTTGGATTTTTCCTTTATAATTCACGTTCACACAAAGGCAAGGATAAGAGCAACTGGAACGAGCATTGAGCCATTGACAGTCAAAAACTTTGGGGTCGTTGTGGATTTATCACGCAAGAAGCCGACTGCCATCAATCGGATCGAGATCAATTCTAGCTTTGACTTTAAGAAAGTACAACAGATCATGGTTTCTCCTGGTATCCCATATCCATACAAAGAGAATTTTGATTATGTTAATGTAAGTTTTTTTTTTTTTTTTTTTTTTTTTATAAAAAAAGAAAAAAGAAAAAGAGCATTAAGAAAATGAGGTATGAGTATATTGCTTAATTAACCCCTATCTCTTTCCATATGTTTTTCCTTTATTCATAGGTATTATTGCTCGTTGACAAAGCTCAGACACCCATGTTAGTCCCATATCTTTATGATACAAAGTTCAAGACGCAGGAGCCTGTTGAAGAAGATCCAGATAAACCATCATCACTCTCAACAGCATCATCATCACCATCATCATCAACTCTATCATCAACAGCAACTGCAGACCAACGTCCTTGGATTCATGTCAAAAACAACCTTACAGAATGGCTCTTAGTCAATACTCAACACATGCGTGCCAGACATCATATCGATGAATTTCATGATATTTAAATTTAAATATTTGACATTTCAGCATTCGATAGAATTATATATATATATATATATATATATAAAATTTGATATTACCAGCATTTTTGTTTTTAACCATCACCATCATTTTTTATTTTTGCCATCTCATAATAAAATCGTTTTTAAAAATTCTATAAATACACTTGTTTTAATATTTTGTAAAAGACAAATTGTGAATATATTTTCATGGCTCTATATGTCACCTTCTTGGACTACTGAGGAGGAAGATGATACTGAGTTCTTGGCTGGCATATTGATATTACTCCGGGCACTTCTTTGCTCGCCATAAAATAACAACATTGGGTGTTCATACATCTCCAGAATCAGGCTGCGGAATCCGGCGCCCTTGATCTGCATCCATTCCTGTGTACCTTTTAGATACATTCCAAGGCGTGATAAAAACGATCGATTCGTGCTCATTGACAGATAGGGCGATGATGAATCGCGCTGACCATTTGAAGATGAACGATGATTAGCTGTTATTGATTCTCTATGTGCAGGCTGTGAAAATGATCTACGGCTTTCCAGTACAGATGTGAAGTATGGCTTGACTCCGGAAAACGTTGGATGATTTTTACTATCCACCTCATTTTTTGTTTGTGTTGATTCTAGTACTGGCATAGGCTCAGAGCGCTGTTGTTGTTGCCGCTGCTGTTGTTGCTTCTGGCGTTCTGAGTTGACAGGACTGATTGCTGAAGTATCGACATCGATGGCTGCTGCTGCGGTTGGTATCTTATTAGAACCATATTGCTGCATATACATCTCTCTAAATTTGGTAATTGATTCTACACTCTCGGAAAGCCGGTTGAAGGTATTGAAAAGAGCGACAATTTCGGTCCTCTGCAGCAGATTTGGGTTATTGACAGGGCTTGAAATAAAAAAAAAAATTAACAAAAACATCATGAGTATAGGTTGAAGGCTTTTTATATTACAAACATTCTAAACAAAGCAAAGTATCAGAGTCTGCATTTTGTCTTATTGATGAAATACTTACTTCAAATGCTCATCATTATAGGAAAAGAGGACTTTCAGAGCTGTACCCAAACCTGAGGTCTGGACTTTACCCCAAAGCCTACATTTTTCACATCCGACACAATCCATGATCTTGGTAATGTTTCTAAAATGGTCTCGGAACTGAAGCTTAAGTGCTTGCGCTTCAGGTCCAACAAACATGGCTTTTTCGTCAAAGATTGCGGGCGATTTCATCGATGTCTCAATCAAACGGTCCACCATGGCCTACAAGATGCATTCAAAAAAAAAAAAAAAAAAAAAAAAAAAGTTAGATAAAATCCATGAACAATTGCTGAATAATAGAAAAAAGTAAGTCAAAATGTTACCTTAACCTGAGCGTCCTCCTCTGGGTGACCAGTACAGAACTCGTAATTCTTCAAATAACCCGAAAGCTTGGTCACAGCGCGGACCAAAATTGCATAGTCAAAAAAGATGTTTTCAAGGCGATCTGGGTGAGCACCAACCCTTGACACAAAACATTCAAGATTGGGGCCCTAGTAAAGAGAGAAGACTTGTTAGTTTTTTTTTTTTTTTTTTTTTTTTTTTTTTTTTGAAGAATACGATAAATTTGGGAATCTGGGTTATTCGTTGCATCCTTACCCAGACTCCTGACGTTTGATTAAAGTGTTCATCGCAGATATGGATAGAAATAGATGCGTGCAGCCCAGAGATCATTCTGTAAAAGACCCGCTTTTCCAGACAGAGCTCCTCGTCCTGGTGAGTACCAGCTGTCAAAGGGTTGAATGGTTCTGACAAGCTTGATGCAACAGTCAATGGGTTCCTGGCCATAGAAACACCAGCTGTAGCAGCAGACTTTAGTTTGTCTGCCAACATTTCCTCGTTTGCCTGACGATCCAATGAGCATTGTTCACAATCCGTTTCGAGTTGCATCCTTTTTGCAATATTGAAGCAGTTCTCGTTATAGATTGCATCCCAGACTTTAGCTGCTGATGGGCCGGAATAGCCCGTAAACCTTTCAGGATTTTGCATTAGATCCACATATACACCTTCGGAAACTGCCTCATCATCCACCTGACAAAAGTCCTGGTCCTTGAGTTGACAGCTCTTGAATGGTTGAAAATTCTGTTCGAGACCATATAGAGAATAAAAATCACGAGTATGAATGGTTGAATATTAGACAATGGCTCTTGAGACGACTTTGGAAAGATATTGCAAAGAATACAAACTTACAAAGCCGTTCTTGGGAGAAGAGATAGCACCGAGGGCTGCGCTCCTCCATTCTTCAGGAATAGCGCTCTAAGATCCACAGTAAATGTATTGTCAGCTAAAATTATGAAAGCAACTCATTGGTGTACACAAAGTGACTGAAACTAGTCTGTACCTCATCGATAACAGCGACGCCGCAATCTTTGTTCATGCAAAGATGATTTTCCGTCCAAAAGGGACATGATTCGTACAAATTGACCTAAATAAACATCAGCAGTAGAATATCATCAGGAATGATCAGGAACAAAGAGCATTCACATCAGCGTAGCAATCAAGGTAACTAGGACATTTGTGAACATCATTATCGTTTTTTGTTTACTTTATAAAACTTGAAAAACTTTTGTCGGACAAGGACCTCGAGCTGCTTTCTCATTTCACGGTTGATAGTCTCAACTGCATCGTAATCACAGAGTGAGTTTTCAATTTGCATCGATTGCTATTACAAGAAGTATTAAAAAGGAGTGAGAAACAAATGAAAAAATCCCTTTTTAATTTCCAAGGTGCTCTGACTTCTTTTTTGAGAGCCATTCTTTCAGGTACTCACTCGACATTGTTCTGACTTGTGAAGACTATGGTCATGTTTTTCTTGGTCATGATGATTATTGTGGTGGCTGTGGTGAGAATGAGAGTGTGGTGAATGGTGATGATGATTGTGCTGCTGCTTGCTGTTACTGTTATTGTTCTGCTTTGAAATCAGGTGCTGAACAAAGTAAGGCACATTGACCATGCGCCCTTTCCGTGCAGTGGCAGCATTCATTTGTCCCGAAGTGCCAACATCACCCAGACTAGGAGGTGGGCCAAACAGGCCATGGAAAGGGTCATGTCGAGGTGCGGATTTGGAAGCAGGTTTAGGAATAGGGGATGGGACTACAGCTGCAGCATGTGATGGAAAAGAAAGGATGGAGAGAGCATCGACCAGAAAGAGAAGTAAGAAAGGCAGAGCGATCTGCGGCTGTTTTAGAGTAGGCCGCATTGCTTAAAAATGAATGTATATGTTGTAATTAGGGATGATGTTGTTGTAGACGAGCTGAAATGAAGAATGAATGAATGAATGAAGTGAATGTATGCTGTGAAATGCAAGAAAGATAAAAAGTAAAAGAAGGGTAAAGAACAGAATAGCTTAAAAAAGGACAAACAGTCCTGAAACGGTCGAACTAATTTTAAACAAATTGTTTCTGGTTCAGTTACCGTGCGTGGCAAAGCATGATTGATTAATTGATATTGAATGGTCAATTGTTGTTAACCATCTTTAGACCACCCACTCCATCCCTCCTCTCTTTTTTACCTAACCTTCGTTCCATCGCGATACCATATAAGGTGAATTACAAACATGTTTCAAGGAAAACTTGTAAACATCCGGATCCTTAAAAATCATTCATGTTTGGATGTAGCCGATGTTTTGTTTAATTGCACCACACTTTCAAACCAATTAACTTTGAACGTTGCACACAATCAATATTCGCCCTCTCTATCAGCACAACATCCAAGACTTTGATTAATACAAATATATCTTTAAAACATAAACTCTCCCCATTTTCATTCTTCTCTTTTGCTCTCAATCTGCTTCTAGAATTTTGTCAGCTTGCAATAGGTCGCCAAAGAATTCGACAGTGTTTCTCAAAAAGTCGTCGATAATCTTTCATTTCGAGTCGCTCCAACTAATTTTTGCTTTGTGTTACTCCCACAAGATGTAAACAGAACAATTGCAGCATAGGATCAACAACTAAAAAATCGCATATTCTAAGTTTTGATTATGTTACATCACGGAAAACTAAAGCACTGAATATCAATCCGAATACCTACGCAAGGTACTGCGCATCATATCATAAATGCTACGAGTCTAGAATGCTATTTTATTGATACTAGGTCTATAAGATAAGCTAAAGCTGTGGGTGGGAATAATGTAAAGCACTCTTATTTGGTTTTGGTGAACTGCTTCCAACCTTCAGGCATCTTGGCTTGGAATCCAGAAACACCGCCATCGCTTCCTTGTTCAAAGGTCAAGAACACTCCAGTCGCGGCCCCATCGTCAACAAAGGCCATCTTGAAAGAATCATAATGGTAATGCTCCATCTTGGACTCAAGCTTGTTGAAAGTAATGAAGAGTGCATCCTCTTTTCCATCAACAGGCCTGAGTTCGACAGTCATCTCACCATAGATCGGGTGGGTATATTTGCCAGTGAAGTCTGAGAGGGGACGAGTCGTGGGCTTGGACTTGACCAAAGGCGGTAAATCACCGCCATTCAGTTGATATGCTATGTAGTCGTAAAAACCTTTGCTCTGTGCAACAGAGAGTGCCAACCAATCTTCCGTCTTTGGCAACCCAAACAACTCATCTGCAATAAGGAATGGTAAGTACCCGACAAGTCCCGACGCCTGTAAGCCATTGGACTGTGTAGCAACCACCAAGTCGTCATTAGGAAAGAACTGCAAGTTTGAAATGAAACTGGAGATACTGCCATCTAAAACATGACAGCAGACAGAGAGATCAATTAATGTGACATCGGGTTAGAAAATACAATCTGCGCACCAACTTGGCCTGAACTGATAACTTCAGACTTACCATGACTCAAAAAAGTTTTTCCTTTGTAGCTGTCTATCAACCAACCCATGCCATAGGCTTGGGTCGGAGCGAAATCAGCTGTCAGCCTTTGATTCGAGAAGAAAGTGTGTCCACTGCAGACTTCACGGATACTGTCCTTATTCAAAACCTGCTTATCCTTTGATTTGCCGCCATTCATGATCACCTGGCCATATCGAGTAAGGTCAAGGACATTCGAGTACATGTCCCCTGCGGGCGCAACTGACAAATAAATAGGGCTCAGTTCTCCATATTCAAACTTGCCTTTGACTGCATCTTCAAATGACCATGCAAAACTAGGGATAGCATGGTTGCTGGATCTTTTCTTCATAGCCATTGGCCCGAATCCAGTATTCTTGAGACCAAGTGGCTTAACAACCTTGTTTTCGACCAATTTCTCCCAGGAGGTCCCAGCAACTCTGGCAGAGGCTTCACCAATAGCTGCGTACATGATGTTGTTGTACACAGCCTTGGTTTTGAGCTTTCGGTCCAATTTGTCGTACTTGATACGCTTGATCAGATCCAATCTAGTGATATTGGCCTTCAGCCACGCTGCATCGTGTCTGAGCATGCCCTGTAAAAACAGGTGATGACGTGTTAGTTTTAATGTTTTATTAACTTTTTTTTTTTTTTTTTTTTTTTTTTTGGAAGATAAATAAACTTACTGTTCGATGAGACAACAAGTCCACTGCGGTGAGTTCGGAAGTTAGAACAGGATCATCAACTTCAAACTCGGGAAGATATTTAGAAACAGGAGTCTGGTCCCAGTCCATCTTTCCTTCTGCCACCAATTCTCCAATAGCTGCAGCAGTGAAGGATTTGGTGATGGATCCCATCGGCATTAAAGTCTAGAAAATTAGTAAAAAAAAAAATACATTTGAGCTTTATGTGATCATTAGGAAAAAAATACATGTAAAATGAATACTTTATAAAAAGACAACTACCTCTGGTTCGAAGGGGTCTTTGGCATTGCGTTTACCAAATCCTTCAGCAAAAACCAATTTGCCCTTGTAAAGAACCGCGACGCTCATGCCAGGGATACCGCTTTCGACTCTGGCCTTCTCAATCACAGAACGCAGGTTCGACAGCGAAGCGGGGGCCGAAACCCTATTGTCCCCTAGGTCTTCATCTTGGGCAGTAACAGCAGAAGGGCTCAAGAGCACCAAAATGGTCGGGATGGCGACCGAGAGGAAACTTCTCAGTCTCTTGGGTGAGAAAGCTACCATGATCTTTGGGAAATCAGTTTTTTCTTTTTTTTTTACAGTTGAATTCAAGTTGTAATGATTGCTAGTGAAGTAGATTGTTTTAATGAAGAACAAAAGATGGAACTCCCCTAGACAAGGTATTTATATTATGAGGTTAGCGAGTAAAAGTAGGCTGTTGACAATGACCGCTTCTTCTATTTCGCGAACTAGACTGTTCCTGGCTCGATAGCTCTCATGTGAGTAGTTCAGATTTTTTTCTCCTAGGGAAGAAAGACTTGGCGTTTTCAAAATGAGAAAGCCCGTAGTGCAGAGTTTTTAAGATTTTGGCGTATTGGGCTTTTGCTAATTTCATGCTGCGAGCGAAATTCGACTTTAGAAGATCTCGAGTCTTATTTTTTTTTATTCCGCCAAGAACAGATTCGCTTTTTTTTTTTTTTTTTTTTTTTTCCTTCGTTATTTTTCCACTCTAGGTCCCCCTATGATATATCGTTCATGATCATGAAAAATATGTGGGAAGTGTGCTTCCATTCTCAACAACCAAAACTCTTGGTGAAGAAGAAAAGCTTTATCTTAAAAACAGACATCCAGATAGTCAGAAAGCTTATGAAACGGATTATAAATGTAGCCCATGCTTTCCCAGCACATATTACATTTATACTTACAAAGACCCTTTCTTTTTTGCCTGGCTTTTATCTGTCTCATCAGAAATAATAGGAATCTTCAACTGACAATCCAAAAAAAAAAAAAAAAAAAAAAAAAATTATGTGACGAAATGACTTGCCATGTACATGTATGCCGATCAAAAAAATAAAGTTCGGCTCTAGTTGTGTCATATTTGAAGATCAAAAGAAGGCTGTCGAGCTCTGTCATTCATATATTTGTATCTATTGAAATGAACCTTCGCCTGTATTAAGGATCTAATTAAGTCTAGCATGTAATGCTTCGTGACGGATGCTTCGCTATTAGCATTATATATTGATCATAATATCCCTGGGCTCCAGAATCCCCAGGTCTCTCATCATATCAATAGGAATTTATATTTGGTGCAATAATTTTATTTTTTTCAAGTCATACATCATTAAAAAGATATACATGTACACTCCTCTCTAGGTTACGACAAGACTGCGCAGCCTTGCTTTGCATGTATACATTCGTTACGTGCTTAAGACATTGGGACGAGGTGAGATTATACTGTAGCAATCTCATTTTGATTTGCGAATTGTGCTGCTGCATACATCTCCCCTGCGTACTTCCTCACTGGACATGTCCACTTTCTCACCTTTTATCACATTCAGCCTCGATAAACTCTTTTACATAGGATGTGGTTTAGTGTTGATCCCTCATTCAGACAATTAGACTCTCGCTTTGCTTGGCAGCTCGATCTCCACCATCAGTCAAACGTGGAAAGTTTTGTATGGCAACCCAACAATCTATTTTTATTTCTTGTACACTATCACATATTTTTGTCCAAATGGTCGGAGTATGTAAAACCCACGTTTTCATCGACCAATTCCATACTCCAGAATCGGGTTTCTTAGATCGAAAAGCATAATAAAAAAATATTTTTCTTACTCTTGTAAATGCTTGCAAATGATGTTGAGCGAAATCAATTCCTAGGTTACCTCATCAAGGAAAAACAGGCCGTTAACTCTTGATGTTAAGGTTCCCGTGGAAACAAAGCTTTATCTTTAACACAGTGCAATAATAAGACCGCGCTAAGAAAAATCCTATGCTGGGACAACATGTTCGTCATAACTTATATCTATCATTTTATATACCTTGGCCTCTTTTTTTGTTTTCGAAAATGCTTTTTGAGAAGTAGCTGTTAATTTCGTTGCAGCTTTTGTTGCGCCACCATTATGCCCGTGCTCATAGTGGATCACTACAAAAGCAAATCGAGACAACGTCAACGACAGAATACACACTTATATACTACTACTGTAAAACTTAAAACATCCGTGTAAACAGACGGATTCTTCACAAGCAAACGAGAATTATTACCATATGATTTATTGACTTCGAATCGAGAACCATTCATCACCTTGGTGTTTAACTACCTGTATCTCGACTGACGAAAAGAGCAAATTCATAAATTGGATGCCCCAGGATCAGTCCTCATGATAATTTTTTATTTATTTACTGTTGAACATTAAGTCTTCAATAAAATTTTACTGTTTCTCGCTTTTGAGATCTTCGAAAGAAAAAAAAAAAAAAAAAAAAAAGAGGCATGGTAATCTTCGTACGCGCTATGAGCTGAACAAGAAGGGCATCCAGAATCTAATATGCTCCAAGATATGTGAACATGTACAACATTTTGCGGATGGCCAGGGCTGTTGCCCCAATAAGGTTTTACAGGCACGATTATGGTTGCTCTAACTGCTGATTAAGCTTAAAGACCACAGACCCACGGACATGACATAGGCTGAGGGCTCCTGTTATGCATCCTTGGAGCCAATCTCTATTCAATAAGACCTATCTTCTACACCTTTTTTTTTTTTTTTTTTTTTTTTGATGATAGGAGTCAAGTTCGCCTGGGATGAGGAACGTTCTGATTCGCAACTTTATTCCATTCCGTGAGAGAGGAAAAAATGAAGACGATGCTTTTCAGGGCTGATTAACAACTTTCACAAAGGATTGGGGGCCATCCGGAAGCTCAACTATGAAACTAATAATACTACCGTCAGCCTCTTGTTGAAACGTGATAAGAAATACAGAGATCAAATCACTGTTTTTGATAACACCCTTGAAAGTGTCATAATGATAGTGCTCTAGCTTGTCATCCAGCTGATTGAATCGGAAAAAGAGCGATGATCCGGTCGACGCGGACTTGGGCTCGGACCTGAGCTCAATAATGAAGGTGCCGTACAAAGGATGAATGTACTGGCCCGCAAACTCAATTAAAGGGCGAGATGTAGGTTTACCCTTAATTTTTGGAGGTAAGAAATCGCCATTAAATACCTTGGAAGCAGTCTCGTAGGATGCCTTGATATCCTGAGTCAACCTGAACAACCAGTCTTCAGTCTTGGGTAATGCAAGGATCTCATCCGCGATGAAATAGGGGAGGAATTTGGTCATCGCAGAAGAGTACCTCATGTTGGACTGCACAGCAATAACCAAATCGTCATCAGGGAACATAAACAGGCTTGAAGCGAAAGAGGAAGCTACACCACCTATCATCCGTCATCACGATAAACGATTTGTTAAAAAAAACTCCCTAAGATCTTTGATATGTCATCGCATATTAATCCCTTACCATGATAAACGAGGTATCTTCCTTTGTAACTGTCTATCAACCATCCGAAACCGTATGTCAATGTTGGTGCAAAGTCTGGTGAACGCCTTGCACTCTTGTCCAACGTATGCCCGCTGAGGATTTCTTTAATGCTTTCCTTGTTTAGTACTTGCGTTCCGTTGACTTGCCCAGAGCTCAGTATTGCCTGGCCATACTGAACTAGATCTAGGACGTTGGAATACATGTCTCCTGCTGGTGCAGCAGCCGGATAAACAAGGTCCAGATCCCCCAATTGATACTTTCCATCTAAAGCATCGGCAAATGACGCCGCAGAAACTGGGATCGCATGGTCTGTGGATCGTTTCTTCATCGCCATCTGCCCAAACCCTGTGCTTTTTAGACCAAGGGGATTGACAACTCTTCCTTCAACTAAGTTTTCCCAGGAAGTGCCGGCAGCCCTGGCAGAAGCTTCCCCGACAACTGCGTACATAATACTGTTGTATTGAGTCTTTGCTTTAAGTTTACGGTTCAGTTTGACGCTCTTGAGGCGCTTAATCAGTTCAATTCTAGTGATATTTGCCTTATACCAAGCTAAATCGTGTCTAGGCATACCCTGATTTTATGGCAAGGGGGAGGAAAGTGATAATTATAATATTAGTAAGTCACCAGAGATAATTATGGATAAAAACAGCACTACTCAAGGAAGTAAGTCGAGGATACGCTTACAGTTCGATGAGACAATAAATCCGCGACGGTGAGTTGGAGCGTCAAATCAGGGTCCTCTAATTCGAACTCAGGAAGGTATTTGGAAACTGGAGTGATGTCCCAATCCATCTTCCCTACTGCAACTAGCTCCCCAATGGCAGCAGCTGTGAATGACTTTGTAATTGACCCTATTGGCGCCAATGTCTAATTCCCATGAATATGAGAAAAAAGAGTCGTAAAAAAGATCGGGCTTCCGTTCTTTAATTCTTTTCTTTTCTTTTCTTTTCATTTCTTTTTTTTTTTTTTTTTTTTTTTTTCTCTTTTTCTCTTTACCTCAGGTCGATAAGGATCTTTGCCGTTTCGTGCGCCAAACCCCTCAGCAAAAATAATTTTACCTTTATGAAGGACTGCTACAGCCAACCCTGAGATACCGCTGTTAATGCGAGCCTTTTCGATTTGGGAGTGCAAATTTGACAGTTTTGTTTGGTCGATAGCATCTTGGTGTTGTGCATTTGTCGAATTCAGTAGTAGTAAGAAAAGTAAGATGGCGATGAGGGGAGCGTCTGCAAGCTTATTGAGTAATAAAAGAGTGCCCATGCTATTGTGGCCATAAGCGTGTGAGAGATAGTAAGGTGTTACAAGTGTTGAGAGAGATTAATTCTATGCTGCTGAGTCTCCTATAAATCAAACAAACAAAAACAAAGAATTTATACGCTTCCGTGTTGGAGAGGGGGTATCGTGATGACGAAGGATACTGACACAAGTGTGTTACCCTCAGGAAAACTGCTTATTTCTATTTTTATACTTTTCACTGCTGACTTTTGCTTCCCGATGGGCGAAAACCTTTATCTATGACATCCACAAGCAAGCAGGAGTGGCTAGGCACTATGCTCGCACGGATTAAATAGTTTGTTTTTCACTTTCCTGAAACTAGAATCATTGACGTCCAATCGTTGGTACGACGCGTTTAATTATAGTTAATTCGCACCGTCACATCACTCTTGCTCTGAACATTTGACCTAATGAACGATCTGAGACCTCGGGTTTCTACCAAGAACCCTAAAACATCTTCCTTCCCACGCTGAACAAATTCTAGAAGCGAAAACAAGGTTCGATCGTCATTGGCGACAGCTTGAAAATTATGTTATTGACTTGGCTTAGTTAGATGAACACTGAGAACAATAGCCCTCTATAGGACGAGGGCACAATCTGACGGCAATTTGTTTTGATTTAGTGAGTTGGGCCCCTTTTTTGATTCAAACGCCACACATTCATTAACCTCTTGGTGTCCTTGCCATCTAATCTGTTGTCGGGCTAACCAAAGGTCTAATTGGTTCGCTTACGAAGTAGAAGGGAGGTTGCGAATTGATTTACTCTTTACTTTGAGTCCACGTGCACCAAGGTGCATCCTTCTAACGTTGAATAGAATGACATGAGCTTGTTCGAAGAGGATGGAATGGTTGGCTATTATTTAAGCAGGGAACTGGCATTACGCAGCCTCCGCTTTTATTAATGAGATTCACTTCGCACTTTATAGAGGGATATTAATATGATATTAATAAGTATAAGGTAAAGGAGCAAGCTAACTGAGTTGATCCTGTTTAACATTAGTTTCTATTTGTGTGATCCATAGAGATCCTTTTGCCTTGTTCAAGCTTGCTTTGTTGGGCCCTCAATCTTGCTGAACAAAACAACACCAAACTCGGGGCCCAAATCGAACTGCGCACTGGACACGCCGCCATCGGGGCCTTGCTGGAAAGTTACGTATGCTCCCTGGTTATACCCATGTTCAATGAGCTGGAACCTGAACGAGTCATAATGGTAGTGCTCCAGCTTGCTATTGAACGTATTTAGCTTGAAATGGAGAGCACCTGTTTCCAATTGGATTGTGCTATTATCATAAGCTGGATGAGCATAGATGCCAACGAAATCTTGCAAGCTACGGAGGCTTGTCCTTGATCTGTGGAGGAGGGTTTCCAGCTGCTATTGGCGCCAAGGTTGAACACAGTATTTGAGGATTCTGGACCACTTCACCCAACCAATCTCTGGCCTTTGGCAACCCAGAGCAAGGAACCAATATGTTGGTAAGTAGCGCTGCAATCCGCTTCAAACCTTTAGTGGGCTACTACTCGCTCTTTGTTCTGTTCTTTTATATCGATCTATTATCGATATTCGATATTCCAGAATTAAATTCGTAAAAAAGAAAAAAGTGTATGCTCCCTAAGGCGAGCAAATGAAGGAAGTGAGGTGGGTGTGGTGGTTTGTTGGCTCGAATAATAGACGTAAAACTATTTCCTCTCGCCATAGCATTCCATAGTCAGCCCTAAGCTAATATTGGCGAACTCTGACTTTACTGGGCTTGGTATGCGATAATTCTTTCGAACATTATCTTGGGCTTTAGATGCTTGATCTTTTCTCTCTCTTCGATCGAGCCAGCAACCTTGCTTTTTGTTTTGGAACCTCGAGGCTTCTGCGAAAGTTGATAGAGTCTTCCACGTGACTGTATAGTCCAAATTACATAAATTCCATATTCTAAGACATCATTTGAGCGGACATTATGCCTACTCTGTAGACACTAACAATAAAAAAAAGAAAAAACTCCTCTTTTGATCCCTTAGAAAAAAGAATCACACAAAACTGCCTTTTCGCATTAAAGGACATGTGCCGAGGAAAAAGCAAAGAAACAGAGATCTGCGATCTGGTTTCGAGATGGTGATGGCTACTCAATGAAGACCTCAACTGAGAGTTGTCAGCGCTAGACTCCCTTTTCCGAAATGCTTGAAAGCAAACGTGGTTAATCTTTTAAGGCGGCAAGTTATTTAAACGATCGCTCCCTTCAAAAGGAGAAGTCGGCTTGCTGTCTGGATCAACCCAATTTTTGGTACACCCTTTTTACAAGGGTGTCTTTATTATATTATCTATATCGTCGAAGGAAGGGGTTTTCGGTTGGGGGATACCGTTGTGGTAGTTGTGGCTTGTAGACAAGCATGGTCTGTGCTTTTATGTTTCTGTCTAAGGAAGACATGCACCATATTTCTTTACAAGAGAACAGTAGCTTTGACATGAAAAAAGATGCGAATAAATATCATGCTTAAGGACATATTGTCATAAGCAAACATAATAAAAGTAATGACATCTCATATTCCTAATCGTGCTAGCGCTTGGCTTGCCTTTTGTTGAGAAACAATCCATGTAGAGGAACGAAGCTCGCTCAAACGTTGCAACTGCATGCATGTCTTCTATTTTTCTTTGTCATTTTCAATCCCCCCCTCTTTCCCTTACTTTTCTCCTTTTATGTTACCCTCTTTTTTGTTTGCCATATCATCAAGCATTATATACCAATAGATCTTTTTTCGTAACCTCCCTACATCCTTCCAGATTGTTCATCATAGCAAGTGTATTTCCTTTTTTTGAATACAACCTCTTACATCTCAACAAACGATCAAAAGATGCTTCGATCTTCGCCAAGCCTCACTCCATCGATATCTCCGAATATAAATCAATGTCAAGGACAGCTACGGTGCTTGTCACCCAAACCGAATCGCCAACTTCTGTTGGCTCTATCGCCAAATAACCTAAAAGAAGATAATGACTATGGTCATAGCAACGTCAGTGGCAATGCAACAGCTGCAAGTGCAAGTCCCATTCGAACTCCAGGTTACAAAAGCCCCTATCGCCAAAAATGGTCTCCTTTAGTCCACACTATCGCGGTATGGTTCATTTTTTACTATAGCGGTAACTGACCAACAACATCGAAAATTAGAATGCTTACATTACCATAATTATTTGATACACCTAGGAGGCCAGGGAGTCATTTTCAGGGACTGTATTGTAAGCTATAGTTTTTAATAAATGGGGCGTTAGAGGACAAGGCCCGATATGCTTATACAGTAACAACCATTTCTTTCTTTTATTGTTTAGTCCCACAAAGCTGTTTGATGACGGGGAAGATGAGGTAAGATTTTTCATCATAAAAAAAAGTGCGCTGCCTCTATCAACTCTATTTCTTTCATAGAAGATGGTTTGCCACACTATAAAACAGTTGTATGACCACATTATTTAAAAAGAAAAAATGTCCTTCATTTCGTCTTCACCTCCTTCTTTCTGTTTTTCCATCATGATATAAATAGCAATCAGTTGCTCAGAGGGCAGCTAACAATAACAGTGGTCCTTTGGCGCCATCACTGGAGGTGAATAGCATTATTATGCATCGCGTCTTAACTATTTATTCTTTTTCTCATCGGTCTTCTGTGTAATGTAACCCTGATGTGATTTCTACCCTTCAACCGTGCTAGCCCAAAGTCTCGGCTCGTCGCGACGAGAAGGAAGATGAGCAAGTCATCTCCATGGAGGTTCTCCTCTTCGCAATCAAACAACTCACGGTTCATGAGTTTGACGGTCCCTGGAAATCGATTTCATACCCAATAGTCCTTGAGGCATGATATATCTATTTGACTGTAGATGCATCAGCTCACTTTATTCCACACTTACTGATCAAAACAATTTTTTTTATTGCTATTATTTATTATTTTTTGTCGACAATAGCCACTGTATCAGAGACTCCGTGACTACCACGTCTGCCTTAAAAGTGCAAAAAAGAGAACGGGTGGTCAAGCGTCACGATCCAAGTCTTTCATTGCGCCGCCAACGGCAATGCCGACACCAATTAGAAAAAGCAACACTGCTTCAACCGGGCCTGATTACAACGCAATGAATCCACATTGTGACGTAAATGACAGCAATGGCAATATCAATAACAACCATCATTATCGTGAAGTTCAAGGGTTGCGAGAAAAAATTAAAGATTTGGAAGCGCAGCTAACGCAATCTCGAAGAGCTCATCATGGTCTCCTTAAAGACCATATTCTGAATATTGCAGCTGCAACTACAGCAAGCTCTTCTTCATCAAATACCAAGACTGGTCCAACCATAGCATCTATCATGACGGTTACAGGTATTGGAATATCAACGTTAGCATCAACTTCAACAGCACCATCGACATCGATGTCCAATACTACAACTTTATCATTAATAGATGCTTTGGCCATCCAGAACATTCTTGCGGCTGTACCTAATGCCGCTCTTCTGCCTCCTGCTGATGGAAATGATGCAGAAGCACTACAGATGGCACAGCAAAAAGTCTTGACAAAATCACAACTATGTTTGCAAGACGCTTTGAGAGCATCAAAGAAGAGCCTTCAAGCCCGCCATACCAACATTCAAGGGTCATCTGAGTCTTCGTTACACTCAGATGAGGAGAAGGATGTAGTCACAACAAAGATGGCGAAGGCGACTCATTCCTTTAGCTCAAATTCAATCAATTCCTTGGCTCCACTTAAAGAGCAACAACTTGACCTCTTCAACAACGCTACATCCCGTCTACTTCGTGCAGAAACAGAGCTTGCACTGCTTAAACTAATCATGGCCCAGAGTCAACGAGAAATATCGGGACTAGAAGAAGAAATTTTTAGAAAACAAGCCGAGTTGGCTCATCATCGCACAGTTTTTGATTACATCCTTGAGCTAGAACGGTTGGGATTCGAAATCCAGATTCACGAGGGTCAAATCCAGATCAAAGAATTGGAGAGCCTTGTCCAAAAGACAGTGCAAGGAAAGGAGGAAGCAGTTGCGGAGGCTGTCAAGGCCTTAGAAGGCGAAATAAGATCCCTTCAGCAACAACTGACAGAGAAACGAGAGGCATTTGAGAAGGTACAGGAGCCTCAAATGACAGATCGTCAACAGGATTTGGAAACGATCATAATTCAGCTTCGAGACGAATTGGTATTGCAAACTCGGCGAGCCAGAGAAGCTGAGGCGGTTTCAAAAGGTGATCAAGAAGAATTGGAAAGAACAAGGGTTAAGCTTCAGAGGGCTTTGTTAGATGGAGATGGGGACGCGGAAGGAGTCATGGTGGAGCATCTTGAAAAGGAATATAAAAAGAAGACAGTAGCCCTTCGAACCAGCCTGGCGCAGGTATATAGAGTAAACAGACGACTAGGCAGGGAGATGTCGGCCCTAGCGCGTAAGGTCGTCCGTGTGGAATCTATTAATGAAGAATTGGTAGAACAAGCTAAACAAGATCGGGCAGAAATCAAGAGCCTGAAGTGTCAGGCAGAGTTCCTACAAGAGCAGCTTATTACTGCTTCAGGAAAGCCTTCCGATGATGTAGGCACGGCATCAGCGGCAGATGAGTGCCTGGTCGCTTCTTTGCAGGAGCAAATCACGGCGCTAGATATCCAAATCGATGGGTTGTCTTCATCATTGCGCCTTAAGGAGCAAGAACTGGAAGAAGCACATGGAGAGGCTGAGCAGCTTTTGCTTAAGCTCGAGTCAGAGTTGGCACAGCAAAAGGAAGCTCATGCAAAAGAGATGAAAGAATTTGCAGAGGAGAAGAAGCTGCAAGCCCAAAGAGAACGAGCCTGTCAAAACGCATCTGTGACGTTATTCCAGAATATGGTCACCAAATTACAGACAGAACTGTCAGAGACGCAAGAAAAGTTACGGGACACCACGATTTGTTGGGGAAACACAAAGGAACAACTTCAGAAGTGCGAGCAGGCATATCGAAGACGTAAAAGAGATTTAGAAGTGACCACGAAGCACTTACACGAGGTAGAAGAGACAGTCCTCAAGTTAGGAGATGCGATTACAATGCTAGAGATGGAGAAGGAGACCAATATGGTGTTGGTCAGATCTTTGGAGGAACGAGACCGTGAGCTGAGGGACATGGAGTATCGCCTTAGAGTCTTGGAGGAGGAGCACGAGTGATTAAAGTGTAAATAGTAATAAACACTTAGTCCTCTCGGGCTTAACATTCTTGGCACTGCCATCGGACAGACAAAAACAGAATAATAACAAACGTTAGAAAGTGTTAGCCAGGAGCTTTTAGGCATGTCTAGTTACCCTTGAATGAATGTTTGGTCGGGAAAAATACATTAGTAGAGGAAAAATGCTGCATACTGCGCAAGAATCGCAGTTAAATGCAATAAGATGTGGCGATACTGATGTTTGGTCCTTTGAAATTCTCACGGGAATGCTATAGTCATCCCCATATTCATTTAAAAGCAATGGACGTCGTTCTTCTTTGCCCCTCCTGTTAACCAAAAAAGAAATAAAGTATTATCATGTCCTTTAGTAAGCCTACTGTACTCTCAACTACGTCTACGCCTATGCCCTCCTCGACTTCCTCCGCTCCGAGAACTGGAGCTGCAATAAGGCTAGCAAGGCTCATAATCCCCTCCAACTACCGCTCTTCACGTTGGCCAGGCCGTTTCCTGCTCTGGACAGGCCATCTCCATAATGCTGTGGGTCTGATGATCTCTGAGCTTCGTGATCCCCTCCTGAGCGCATTAAAAGCTGGCTACTTTAATGCATTTGATTCTTCTATCTACCGCTGCAACGCGTTCTGGTTCTTCTTGGCAGGATTTCAAATGGTCATAGGTGGAAGGATGATGAACTTGCATTTATTCTCAAGCTCGAATGATGGAAAACAAGAAGGAGAACAGTTCCAGCATAAGTATTCTCAAAGCCTTAGTCAGAGAAAGCTCCCTCGAGAGGTGGGATGGTGGCTTCTGGCCATAGGGATGGGTGGTGCAATCGCCATGCCAGCAAGTGGGTTCTATTTAGTGGGACTGCAAGGCCTTGCCATTCTTTTTGCACTGTAAATAGAGTGATATGACAAATCATCTCACAACTTGTATACATGTGGCAGATAGTTTAGCAATGAAATAGATAGACCAATAAATACGTTGACTGTCCCAATTGCTCATGACCTAAATGACAGAAAGAGAGTATCCGAGAAATAACCACTCCAGATAATTCATAATTTATTATTTCAATGGTCACTTACATGCAGAGCTGCGCTTTGATCTGCGATCGTGGGTTTCTCAGTAAGAAGCCTGCCGATCATACCGGAAAAAAAAAAAAAAAAAAAAAAAAAAAAAAACATTTACTTAAGCAAGCCTTCAGTGACCTTACTATTCTCAATATTCTCAACTGTCAACATTTAGGCAACCATTACAGGAAAAAAAAAATGCCTGTTCCATCCTCGTTTAGTACCGCTGATACAACTGTTCCCTATCGTTCTTCTCATTGGCCTGCTCGCCTTTTGATCTGGACTGGCATTGGACATAATATAGCTGGTCTACTGGCCGATAAGTATCGCGTTCCATTGGTCGATGCTCTGAAAGATGGCTACCTCGATGCATTTGCCCTGGAAGCCGATCGTCGATCTGCTCTTTAGTTCTTCATGGCGAGATTTAACTTCATCGTCATGGGCAAGGTAGTTGGCTGACTCCTGTTCTCTAGCGAGAACAAAAGCAACCTCTCTATGGATAAAGGGAAGGTAGACAACCAAAAGCAACAACACATTCAGAAACAACAACATCGAGATCGATCAGATCGAGTGATACCTCGTGCTCTGGGATGGTGGTTCCTGGGTATTTCCGTAGCTGGCGGAACGGCTATTTCCAAGAGTGGATTCTTCTTGTTAGGCTTGCAAGGTCTAGCTATCCTCTTTGCAAAGTTTATTAAGTGATATAAAAAAATAAAAATAAAAATAAAAAAAAGGACAAGAGATGTGTCTTGGACGAATTCGCATTCATGTCTTGAATTTGCAATTCCTTCCATTTGGGACAATTGTAATTTAGGTAAATCATTCTCGACAGGGAATGTACGCGGCAAAGAAACTTTTGGCATCTCTGGTCAGTTGCGACTATGACTGAATTATCAATTTGCATTGTTCTGATGAGAAATAAGCTTTGTCCGATAAAAGCCAACATTTTATCCTAAAAGTTATCTCAAATAGCTACCCTTTTCAGCTATTATTTTTTTTACTTGAACAATGTAAAAAGAGAACAGATAAAAGCTTACTTTAAGCCAGATAAAACAATTAAAAGCGCTGTATAATTAAGTACACACTGACCCTTGCATCAGTTCTTTTTTTTTTTAACTCATCACTGGCTGTTGTCAAATATCATATCTCATCACGTTTGACTATCTGCATTAGAGTTTGCGTCAACATCAGATCATCCCAAAGGAAGGGACAAATGATTTCAGTTACACGGCGCGCTAGATGGAGGATACCCGATATTTGAGTATGAGGGCAAATTCTTTGGTAACTCATAACTAAAGGCGTTTCTAAAATATCAAGTCAATTCATGCTTCGTATCGACTGACTAAACGAAAACGAACACTGATGGGCTTACAGGGATCTTTGTATGCATATCAACTGACCGCTGACGAGGCCAGGCCATATAAATCTAATTGAAAAAAAAAAAAAAAAAAAAAAAGAAGTACAACAAATTGTGAGTCGTGAGAAAGTAATATCTTGCATGGTCAAAGCATGAATAAAAAGAATAAAAATAATGCAATCATGCGCTCAATGCATAGTCATGCATTGTCAGTAAAGCGTGCTTGTATATTAACCTGCTTTTGCCCACCCCGATTTTATTCTGCTGACGGAGCAAGGAACCAAGCATGTGCGGTCTCTCCGTTGAAGAGCAAACTCAACGATATTCATACGTGAGCAGCAGGGCGAAGGGAGAGCCCAGACATCACACTGAGAGTCTTTTAATTGATTGCACAAAGAGGCGTTGTCCCTCTAAAATCCTTTCGTGATTTATCATCATCCAACTTTTCTTTCTTTCTTTCCCTTTTTCTTCGTCTCTTCCGATAAACCTTCCTCACCCACTCTCATTCTTATCGATTTGTTAACAAACAACAATGACCGAGACATCTAATACAGATTTTAAGGTTAGCGCAACCGCTAGTCTCTACAATGTGCTGAAGAAGGTTATCGCAGATTTGCCCCAGATTGAAGCATACCATACCGCTAATTCCAAACCAACCCCTCCCGATCACGAAGTTTCGAGGTAAAATATAAAATATATTCGATGGATGTGAAAAAACAAAATGTGCTTGAAACGCCTTGTAACTAAGCGGAATTAGTATACCGAGTGTAACAATATAATCTATTCTCCAAGTTTTAATCATAAGCATGCGACCGTTCGTGGCTACGTGTATCGTAAGTACATCAATCAACCGAAAGCTTGTAGAAAGAAGTACTCATATCCCTGACGAGTTTTTTTTTTTTTTTTTTTTTTTTTTTTGACTATGCAAACAGATTACGTCGAGGAGGGGGACCCTAAGGGCATTCCAATAGTTCTAATCCATGGCTTCCCAGAACTCTGGTATGGATGGCGTAACCAGATCCGTCACTTGGAAAAGGAAGGCTACCGTGTTATAGCAATCGATAATCTTGGCTTTGGAGGCAGTGTAAATATGATTTTAACGCCCTTCCAAAACTTTTATCTATTCTTCATTTTTAATTTTCGCAAACTAAGAGTAATCATTTCTGCTGGGTCTCAAAATCTATAGGACCACCCAAGATGTGAAGCTGGGGATTTAGATCCTTATAGAGCCAAGAACCTGGCTGCAAACGTGGTCGAACTTTTAACACAATTGAATATCGATAAAGCTGTAATCATAGGCCATGACTGGGGCGCCTCTATTGCCTGGAAAACCGGTCTACACTTTCCTGAACGCTGTCATGCTATCATCGGGTAATAAGAGGGATAGGTTTGTGTTGTTTGCGAAAGTAGTATATTAGGTTAACCACTTTACATTTACATCTTGCTATGGCCTTATTTTAGTCTCGGCATTCCACATTTTCAACCTGCGCGAGAGTACAACGATCCTGAGACGATTGCCAAGATGATCCCTGAGCTCGGTCATTTTGCTACCTTCCAAAGCAAAGATGTTGAGCACTGGTTCAATAGCGATGTAATTCACAAAAAAGAAAGCCTTTAGCCAAGTAGCAGCAATGTCAGCCTCGAAACTGACTTTTTTTTTTTTTTTTTTTTTTTTTTTTCTTGTAAAATACTAGCCGCATACTCAAGCTGTAGCTTATTATAACGCAATGTTCGCTATAGCACCCGGGACAAATGTCGAGCAAAAGCAGTACTACATTGACCAATTCACTCGGACTACGTTTCATGGCGGTTATAATCTCTATCGTGCTGGCCGCCTCAATTACGAGGATGAACTGCGTAAGTATAAAAAGAAGTCTCCAATGCCTCTCGATACCCGATGCTTTGGAGTGATGTCTTTATTATAGCAGTTATATTTGAGTTGTGATACTTGAAATTAAAAAAGACGCATCTTTAAAACCATAGCATATGTCGACAAGCCATACACAGTGCCTTCGCTTCTAATTGTGATTGATCAAGATCATATGGTGCCACGGACCTTTGTAGAATCACAAAATACAGATACTTTCGTTAGTCTAGAAATAGACCATGTTGATGGAGACCACGGAGTTCATTCTACCAATCCAGAAAGCGTCAATCAAGTGTTCTCAAAGTTCCTGACGAACTTCTTTCATCGTAAAGATAAATCTGTTCAACATGATGAGAAGAAGGCACGGGAGTAAATATATACTTTAAGCTTAAGAGAAAGAAAAGATTAGTAAAAAAAATCTTCAACATGGTTTCTGTTGTTGCATGCATGATTATTTCTGCTGTGTTCAAAACTTCGAATTGTTCCCACCAATGACAGTTAAGTACACAATGCGTCACATTAAGCATCACATCAAAAAGACCATCCATCTCTTTTAATCATATCTTTGCCATTTTATTTCCCTTCCTTTCTCTCCTTTCCTACCCTTCTTTTGTCGACAGCTTATCGCCGTTGATGTCATTTATCCAGCAAAAAAATAAAATAAAAAAAATGACTGAGACCTCTTCAACATCCGTTTCAAATACCTCGGCTGAAGCGCCTAGTCTCCACGATTCACTGAAGCAAGTGATCGCAGCCTTACCTCAAATTGAAGCGGTTCATGCCTCCAAGTCCAGGCCTACTGATCCCGAATATAAGGTGTCAAGGTATAGCATAAAATGGCCGATGGGTCTTGATGGCTATTTACCAGATTCACTGGATGATCCCCTAACATTACCCTATTCTTGTTTATTGATTATAAGCTTCAATCACAAGTATGCAACTCTCTGCGGCTATAAATATCGTAAGGACCAAGCTCGCTGAATATCCCATTTTTCATGAGATGAGTACATTTCATTGTTTTGAAAGGCATCTAAAACTTTTTATCATTATTATTTTTATTCATGGAACAGATTATGTAGAGGAAGGAAATCCAGATGGCATCCCGTTGATTCTCCTCCATGGATTCCCGGATTTGTGGTACGGATGGCGCTATCAGATCCGACACCTGGCCAAGGAAGGTTATCGTGTCATTGCAGTTGATAATCTTGGGTTTGGCGAATCTGTATGCCCTTTCTTCTCCGTGAGAAAATAAAAGAAAATTCGCAAATTAAGCATAATGCACTGACCGCTTCCCTTCATTTTATTAATCGACAGGACCACCCGACATGTGACATCGACAATCTGGACACTTACCGTGCGAAAAATCTGGCCAGTAACCTGATCGAGCTCTTGGATCAGAAAAAGATTGACAAGGCTGTTTTTATCGGGCATGACTGGTATCTCTTTTTTTCTTTCTTTCTTTGTTTTTCTATCTGATGACAGAGTCGATATTCTTTAGAAAGATCTGAATGATTTCTTTTCTTTTCTTTTATATATATTTTCAATATGATAGGGGCGCATCGGTTGCTTGGCGACTTGGCATGCACTTTCCTTGGCGCTGTCATGCTATCATCAGGTTTGTTTATTGTTTTTTTTTGGTTTCCTCATTGTATGTCCTTGATTTCTTTGATGAATCAACTTGATCTCTCATTTCCTGTTTAACCCTTAATGCCCATATTTTCTTAGTATCGGATTTCCACATCAGACGCCATCGACTGAATATGTTCCTCCTGAAGCGACGGTCCAAGCCCACCCACAACTCCGTCATTTCACTGCATTCCAAAGCAGAGAACCAGAAACGTGGTTTGAAGGCAATGTATGACCTTTCATACGTTATCTGTTAAATTCCTTTGTAAACTTTTAGGAGCAAAGCGCGATAAAAAGGTATTACTTATTTTTTTTATTTTTTCGTCAGCCACATACATTAGCAGTTGCGTTTTTCAATGCCATCTATGGAGATGGCGAAAAGAATACAAATACAGAGGAGAAACAGTATTATATTGACCAGTATACGCGCTCAACATTCCACGGCGGTTTGAATCTATATCGAGCCACCACTTTGAACTTTCAGGACGATTTGCGTAAGCTATATATATATCTGTATATGTGTATGTAGTAATGCAATATAACTTTTGTTTATATCCTGACGTGTACATATTTTAATCTCGATTTGACAGCATTCGCAGGAAAGCTATATACTGTGCCTTCATTATTGGCGATCATTGACCAAGACCCACTCGTAACTCCAGAGTATGTGGCAATGTTCAGTAAAGATATCTTTGTAGAGCTTGAACAGACCCATATTACGGAGGGGGGTCACAATGTCCTTGTTGAAAACCCAGTGGCTGTCAACAAGATTCTCTCGGAATATCTTGCCAAGTTCTTCGACAGAACTAAATCTGTTCAGGCAAGAAGGCTATCGTACCCCATCGAATAATGAAATAAAAGGAAAACGCAAGAAGGGTGATAAATTAAAACATTACTCAAGGCCGGGTCATGTTATGACGGATTTTTCCCTCCTCTTCTACTGTCGTATAAAAATAAATAAAATTTATTAAGAGAGAATCCCCGTTTATGAAAATAATCTGAAAGTTCCCATCAAGGCTAGGGAAAGCATTAAAAAAATACTAATTGCTACTATTAAGCTTTGTCAACCTCCTTTATGCCCCACTTCTCCCTTCAATATTTTACAAGGCCATGGCTGCCATGATGACAGCAATCAGCAAGCCAGAGAGTGTGCTGCCACTGCCAATAATCGAAGCTCCAGACTTTTTCTTATCGGCGGGTTCAGGCTTATCACCAACCTTGGTGGGCAATTTTCCGGGGACAGCCTTTCCATTTTGCATCGCCACTGGTGATTGGCCATGGACATACTTGGAAGCACCAAATGAGAAATCATCACCCTCAAACCCGTTGTTTGCTGACGGTGATTTCTTGTAAGGTTGTTTATCGTTTGTGCATCCATCCAGGCGGACCATATCATACTCGTTACGGATCACAGTTGAGATGATCTCGGGTAATGCAGCCGCAGCTCCAGAGGCAGGGATATCATAGCCGACTACGACATAGGATGCTTTCCTACCATAAGCATCAGCCTGTTTCTTGAACGTGGACTCATAGATAGCAGCAATCTGAGATGCTTGTTCACGAGTATTGAACTTGTAATCAGCCTCATCCAAGTTGAACCCCACGAGTGTATAACCCATATCACGGAGTGTTGACTCCAGCTTTCGGTCCTTCGCTCCAGTTTCGTGTAGGCGGACATACTTGGGGTACTTGCCAATGAGTTCATGAATCTTGGTCGCGTGTTTAGCAATGTCAGCTCGGAGCTCGGCATCCGTCATGTCCTTGGAGGAATCGTTGGGGACACGATAGGTCATACCGATGAGGTGGCCGTCATTGTAGGCACGGCGGGCCACCCCGGCGTATTGCATGTAGTCGAGCCATGTAGCATTAGTAAAGAAAGTGACACGGGCCTTGGCTTCTTTGAGGATTTCGAGCATCTGAGTCGTAGCCTCACTAGGACCTTCGGACTAAAAATTAAACAAATAATAAAAGAGTAAGTGAAATTGATTGGCATTACATTATGAAAGGCGCATGTCTTCATTCTTTCTCAAGTAGGCAGAGGTCTTACAAAGGTAAGTGCAATTTGGCCAGGAGTCTCGCACTTTGTCACAAATTCACTCATTTGCTGAGCAGGGGCATTGGGCTTGACAGTAGTTGGAGGAACAGCGTTGATTGGCGGTTTATCTGTGATTGGCTTGGCATTATCTTCATTGTTATCTTTGCTGTTGTCCTTATTACCGTCCTTATTACCGTCCTTACTATCTCCCTTATTGCTGCCCTTATTGTTACCTTTGTTGTTTTCCTTATTGTCTTTATTTTCCTTGTTGTCCTTGTCATCCTGGTTGCCTTGGTTATCTTTGCTACTATTGCCATCATCGTCCTTCTGGTCATCCTTCTTTTGGCCACCCTTCTTATGGTCGTCCTTCTTATGGTCACCCTTCTTACGGTCATCCTCTTTATGACCACCATCCTTATGATCATCGTCCTTATGATCGTCTTTCTTATGGCCGCCTTTCTTATGGTCATCCTTCTTATGGTCATCCTTCCCCTGACCATCCTTCCCCTGACCATCCTTCTCCTGGCTGCCCTTCTCCTGATCCCCTTCCTTATGGCCACCCTTCTGACCCTCCTTGCCATCCTTCTGACCCTCCTTGCCATCTTTCTGACCCTCCTTGCCACCCTTCTGGTCCTCCTTGCCACCCTTCTGGCCCTCCTTGCCATCCTTAGAGCCCTGTTTTTTATCATCAGCGTTGTCGTTACCCTTGTTCATGTCCTTCTTGTTACCTTCACCTTTCTTCTCTCCATTCTCGGCCTTCTTCTCGCCATTATCCTCCTTGTCCTCGTCCTTATTACCAACCTTCTTGTCTCCATTTCGCTCCTCCCCTCTAGTTTCATCTCTAGTTTCATCTCTACCTTCATCCATGTCTTTACCGATGTCATCACCATCTGCACCCGTGTTGTAACGGTCATGCTCTCTTTCCTCTGCATTCTTATACTCCTTACTCTTGCGGCTAATCTCAATCTGTCCCGCAGCATTACTGTCCAGAGGGACCATAGTTGTTAGATCTCCCGGCTGTTGCTCGACTTCCCCAACTAATTGGCGCTTCTGAACGTTTTTAGTTCTTGCTTCATTTGGCTGCCGCTGACCCTTCTGTTTCTGTTGTTGCTTCTTAGCCTGTTTCCGATGAAGGTGATAGTGCCCATGTGCTCGGAGCTGCCACATTTCAGGCTCAAAGGCTTCAATATCCGTGTCACCTGAATATAAATCTTCGACCTGTGTCTGGGCTAAATTTCGATTCATCACAATATCAGCTGCACGCTTTGCGATTTTTCCGTTTTTGTGGTAGTTTTCCTGGTGATATTTTTTATTGGCTTTCTGGTAGTCCTTGACGAGATGGTTGTGGCCATGCGCACGCAACTGCCATGGAAACAGAGCTGGATCCTCATTCGTAATCTCGAGGCCATTGGCATTTTGCTTCTGAGCATCAGCTATTTTTTTTTTTTTTTTTTTTTTTGAGTGAGGAAGAGAGCAATATGAGTAGGTTGTTGGTAATTTCTGTGGTATCAATATGTAGGACTTCCAACGTGAATATAAAACAATAATGCTTATGCTTACCGAAACCAGAGATGGTCAGTGGCAATGCTGTGAGTAAAAATTAGCAGGCATTGAAAGAAGGGGAAAAAAAAAGTCAACGTCACATTTTAGTCGCTTTTTTTTTTTTTTTTTTTTTTTTTACAAATATAATAGAAGCTTGAGCAAGCATATAATATGGGGCCATGGCTCGGAAGAAAAGCAAGTAATTGTTTACCCAAAACCGAAAGGATAAGCGGAAACCGCTTTGAGCAACGCATCGTTGGCGGATCAAAAGGAGAAAAGACTAGAGTAAGTTGTAAGGTACTTTCAAAGATTATTGGAGAGTAGGTGTAGAGTCTTGGAAGAGTATCAGTAAAGAAATTAAAAGAATAAAATAAAAAAAAATAAAATAAAATAAAAAAAAAAAAATAAAAAAAAAAGGAAAGGAAAAGAAAAAAGATAAGAAGGAATAAAGAAGTATCCAAGGACAAATATCAATAGATTAAAAGAAGAGGAATATAATCCAAATATAATTAAGTGTTATGTATCCCAATATCCTTTACGCGTGTAGAACATAGATCTCATATGCAAGACATTGGAGGCTCTAGAATCTCCTCTTCCAATCCCTACCATGCATCTCTAATCGGACCAATCTTTTTTTAAATTACATTTACCCTACCTTCTTAAGATGATTGAGCTTCTTCAACCCCGTCATTCTCTAGTATTTATTTTGCTCTTGAAAAAGATGATATGAGACATATGTTGTATCTCGAAAAAAAAAAAAAAAAAAAAAAAAAAAAATTGAATTATTAACGTCGTATTTAGAATATGCAAGTTGAAATATTCATGGTCGTCCAATTTTTTGATTGGTCCACTGTTCGCGTCCTATTTGATACAAATCTTTTTTTGGTGTAAGAGCCATGAATTCTGTAGCCACGAACTACTTCATTACTTCAGACTTGAAGTTACTTTTATTCTGCAGGCGAGAAAGCCGAGAAAGGTGCTACAATAACATTAGAAGAGATCAATAAAGATAATCTTTGGAGCTCTGTACATACACATCGCATTCTCTATCTCGTTTTCTGAAGTATTGATCCACAAATCATTGGATGGATCCGATGTGAATCCATCTTTGCCTCTCAAGCCTAGGTAGAGTCCTTTACCCCCATATTCCATGGCCCTTTACATGTTTCCACCCATCCCAAGTAGTGCGAGTGTAATCAGCCATTCATACGTTATGACTAAGAATTCGTTAACTCGATTGAAGAGCTCAGCTTACTATTTGGATACAAATAATGACAACATTCCGATTCATTCAATCTTCGTCTCGGTTCAGGCTATAATAGCTAAGGGGACATTAGAATGTGCGACCGCTGAATTCGGTTAAGAAAAAAAGGCTGTGCATGATAAGAATGCTGCTTCAGGGGAAAGAGCAAAGGTTTGTCTCCTTGGAAGACGACCGTTGTTTGATTACAGCTGAATATTTAATATGGATTAAAAAAAAAAAAAAAAAAAAAAAAAAAAAAGAGGGACTCGTTATGATTCGAGACGCGTTAGGAAAGGAGAGACAAAAAAAAGGGCATTACGTGATAGACAATTCAACCAAACAAGGTTTGGAATCCTTCAATGTCTCTCTTCATTACATAGTTCTTCATAGCCGTACCTCCGGACCTCCTAGTAAATGATATGTAAAATGGTTTTAGCACCTCTGCTAAATGAGCCATGCCCATAAACCGTAGAAGCCCTTCAATTCTCGCATGTCTAAATGTAAATTCACCAACGTTCAATGCACAGAAGGGGAAGGCTGTGGCTCCACCCAGAAATTAGACGTTAGTAAACTATTAGAGCTGAGATAATAATGCGACTCTTTTCCCAATGGTATAAAGAGCTTCACAAACCAATGGAGCAACCGATATTAAACAACATTAGTTTCGCCACCGTTGGTTATCTCCTTCATATCTTCCGGCCTAATATCACGTCCCTGTGTGAGTAGACGTCTGTTTCGCTGATCATAGACCAAGACTCTACTAAGGATAAATAAATTACAATTGTTGCAAATTAAAGTATCTTGATTCTTTATTGTTAATTCTCATGCTCATTCCTCGAATCATTTTGTTCTCATAGTGATTATAGGCCATTCAGAACTTCATATTATCCCGCTTCTGGCTTAAATATCATTTTAGACTATATAAAAGACAACATTGTGGTATAAAACCCAATAGTGATCTTAAGACTCGAACCCACAAACGCGACAAGAATAATTGATACCGAAAGTTTATTATTGTTATCGCTATAGTTATCAAAAGAGGAGTATGATGCGGATGAGTGACACAAGATTAATTAGCATGGCATGGTGAAGTGCTTTTTTTTTTTTTTTTAAAAAAAAAAAAAAAAAAAAAAAAACATATTAATTTCGCTCTACAGCGATCAATCAGGGTGTCTACACATCTTACTTCCTTGTGTACGAGCAACGAAAGTACGCTTGTGCAAAAATGTCAGATGGTCACCCACAGCAACGAATGAGATATCCCTAAGAGAAGAGTGTAAATATATTATTATCGCCACAATATAATACATCCATGCATATCCATATGATTGAGCTGATTGATATGACTCGGAGATCAAGCTGGGCTTGAAGGTTACCTTCTACTTGGCTGCCAATAATTAGTTTGTCTTGCATTCGCATGTCGTGAATTTATCTCCAATTGAGGAAGTATGGTCGTCGTGAGATCTTTCATCACGTCAATCGTGGCGTGACACGTACACATGTTGGGTTATATTATATGAACAAGTCAGTAAATTACGAAATGATACCTCGTTACTATCCATGTTTGCACGCTTAAATCAAACTTATCAATACTTACTGAGTTATGGCTGCGCTATTCCAGTATAAGCATAGGTGTATATCGCGTTTTTTGTTAATGGCAGGGCGTAGATACCTTAAGTAGAACGTAGAGTCTCATTGCATATCCATTAACTTCCTTCAAGGACGATACTTTTGGTAGACATACTTGTTCTGTAAAAGGCAAGTTAATGCTTCGAGTAGGTTGGGTCTTTATACACTTATCTTGGATTGTTGCTGAGGTAAGGTTGCTGACAGTGATTTAGCGACGAGCGCTTAGTATAAATATAAATTGTCGGTTTTTGTGCATAAAAAAAAGAATGGATAGTCAAAAAGGGCAGTGAGTAGGTGAATGGGCGGAGAGAAGGAGTCGAATACATGCTGAAAGTAAGAAGTGGAAATACAAAGAAAAGACAAAGTGAAAGGAGAAGAGCTTGAAATGTTTTAGAAAGTAGGCGAGTTATAGAACTACCAAGGAGTGAAAAACTAACAGGTGGACTGTAGAAGAAATGGCTCGGCACCTTTGAGGTAAAAAAAAACAAAAAAAAAAGACAGACTATTTCCAAACATGGAGGCAAAGCATAGCAAAACCGATCTCTCTTTCAGAGAGGTCTTTGTCAATTATAAGCCTACTACTTAATAAATCTTTTGTAATTGGTAACGGACTAACCAAAAGTGGTATCGGTATGAGTCTCTGCTTATTTAGATGAATTCTGACTAAGAATCTTGGTCCAGTAATGTCGGCCAGATATATTTTTCGATGAGCTCAAAGCCTTTGATACAGTCTTTTGTAGTTCTTTAAATGTGACAACTACACTTTATGCATCCCCATGAAGTTCAATCTGTAATAGGAATTTGGGTCTGAATAAAAAAAAAATGTAGCGATAAAATACGTATATCACAGCATGATCCTGAGTCTGACGAGATCACTTACCAGCAACTTCTCTTTTTTTAAATACATTCATGCTATGCCTTTTTACGTGGAGTATCTCGCGACTGTCTTTCTTAATAGTGTAGAAAGAATGAATGAATTTCCGAGGGAGCAGAAGAGAGGACGATCAAAGAGAGGATAATTGACATATACCCAAATGATGATAAGCAACATGACTGGCTATGCTAACTAAATGAGACTCTTCAATATTCTTGCCATCCGTATCGGAACCATTTGAGTTTATCATTCCAGTAACTTGTGGAGAAGTTCCACAGGTGCCATACGTAAAGTGAGAAATGCTTTTGCTTTCTTCGCTTTTTTGTTTTTCAAGAAACCCTCAAATTATGGAAACAAAAGCACATTGTGCACTGTACCTCAGAAAAGACAGGAGACAATTGATTGCTCAATGTAGTATGCATTACTTTTTTTTTTTTTTTTAGTCTTTTTTATTTCGCTTATCCCTTCAGCTTTATTTCTGTCTTTTTATTTTTACTTTACTTCTTAAGCTTACGGATGTAGAAGGCCAACTCCTGTCCCTCAAGAATGTAACCGTCAGCACGGCCGGACTGACCGGGGCGGGAAGAGATGCAGGCATAAAGACGGCCGGCAGCGAACTGGTGGTCAAGGGCAGGGTCGACCTTGGACTCGGCCTTGCGAGACTCAATCTTGCGCTGGACATGGTTCGAGCGGGCCTTGGAGACCTCCTCGGATTCAGCCTGAATAAAAAAAAAATTACAAGAACCAATTGTCAATTGATTTTATCCTTTTTTTCCTCAACGGAATGGTCAACAACCTGCATTTTATGCGGCTTTGTTTATTCGTCAGGTGAATTCCCAAGGCGAAATGATATGCTGGAATTCCGGAGAACAGAGATTTAATCCTCCATGATTGATGTATAGTATCCTCAAATATGTTATTCCAACATCCTGTCAGTGCGTTACTCAAAACGCACGTTTCATTTCCCAGCTCTTTCTTGATAGGCGCTCATGGTCGTAAAACTGCAAGAAAAAAAAAGTTGCTTGCGCTTCCAACGCATCCTCTATCTGAACAATATCCATAATTCGCCTGACGACATTGGTATAAATGGTACACTCTAATATCCAGATTTCATTGTATGTGGTATCGCCCATTTTTTGTTAAATGGCTCTGTAATGGTGTGTTTTATCTTTGATCCTTTTTTCTTACCTTCACAACACCCTTACCCTTGCGGGCACCGATAGGGACGGCGTAGTGTGACTCATACCATTGACGGAAGGGGGTGGCATCGACCTGAACAATGGCGTTCTTGACCAAGGTACCGGTACGGACCAACTCGTTGTTGGAAGCGTTGTAGACAACAGCAACGATACGAGTCTTGCGGGAGATGGCCTCTGAGCCCCACGAGAAGTTGCCGGAATCCAAACGCATGGCACGGAACTTGCGGTTACCTCCACGGGTGCGAACCTCATGGATGCGCTTAGCTCCGAGCTTGGTGTTGGCAGCCTGACGACCCAACTCGAATTTTCTCTTCTTGCGGTATTGGGCGCGCTTGGCTCCAGAAGCGGAGCGCTTGTGGCGGGAGTCTCTGCTGATACCTGTTTATTTTGAAAAAATAAAATAAAATAAAATAATCGTGTCAGAGTAAGCTATTATAGACCATACTAAGTCCCTTGTACCAAGGAAAGGGAGGAACAAGATGCTAAATTCATCGCAGTGGGTGATTGTGAATTTTCCTCGTCCATGCTGAAATACAGACGTAGGCAGATCCTGCTACTTGTAGCGGCTGAGCTTCAAGTAAATCCCCTCCAGGTTTACCGTTTGATGAGAAATAGAAAAGTGAAGATCCCGACATCTGAGTAGTTCAACACTTTGAACCGAAATACATTTAGAATTTCAGGATAAATCAGCCTCGCTTTCCTTCGCATGAACCTCCTTCTGATAAAAGTTGAGCAAATCATATGTTCCAAACATTCCTCGAGGTAGTGCAGGTACACAAAGCCAGTTACTCTTTTTTTTTTTTCCTGCTGCTTGTACAATTCTTGTCTCGATTTTTCCGCCTTTTCAGTGTCTCCCTGATGTTATAAAATAGAGATCAGATTGACTACGCTCCATCAGATCCTCTAGCCAAGTCTGATCCTGAAAATTGCCCTTTCTAAAAAGAATGAATACTGTGTTTTTCATGATACATGTTCAATGCTGATAAGCTGATATAGAGGTTGATTGTGTTGGATGTATGGAATGGATTGAAAAATCGACTCTGGATGGATTGACATATCCTCTCCTTTGGATGTTCACGTTAAAAAATTTCCTTTTAGTTGTCAGTCATACCCATTATGAAAAGTCAAAAGAAGGAACTTGTGATTTTCGCGCTACTGTTCTGAATTATCATTTTTCAAACGTGATCTCTTTCCAATGGGTTAAGGGCTTCGCTTCGTTACTAAGCCACCGTGCCCCAAATTGATTTGTCCCTGTACTCCAGGAATGCTGTTTCCGGCTTCTGGGGCCAATGCATCGAGCTGGAACTCCGTCATTATTATTAATATAACCAGCCTATCAAGCTGTGGTAGAATATATACTCTTTCAAGTCTTACTTTCTTCCTACTGGTCTTTATCTTATTACCTACTCGTTTTCTAAAGACAACTTCATGTTTCGCCTCTCGAAACCATTCTGGATGTCTTAGTGAGTCCTCCATGATTGTACTTGTAACAAACCAGCAGTCATCCCTCCAAGTCTCTAAGCCTCCCAAAGTCTCTTCAATTTCAGCAAGGGATGTTTGAAGGAAGGGAAAGCAAGAGATTCCCCACTCTCTGTTGCCCGCATTTTATTCTCGGAAAAAAATAAAGTAAAAATACGGGGTGGCTCCCTGCGGGTCATAAGACGTTCGAGCATTTAGAAACCGATACTCTCCCTCTTCCTTTCTTCCTTCCTTCTTTCTTCGCTTCATTCTGTCTCCTTCCTCCTCTCCTTCCTTCTCTCCTTTCATCAACGCTTTCTCTTGCTTATTTTTTTGTTATTTCATGGCAGGACATCGTAGCCCTATTACTTGCCATGTGCTGGACTCGTCTTGCGGCAGACCTGGTCGCAACGTGCCCGTGAAGCTCGAGATTCTCAACACCGCTGCCAATAACTCTTGGGCCTCCGTTGCCTATGGGTAAGCCAACAGAATATACAAAAAAGGAGAAAGTAAAAACTAGAGGATATGACAGGAGAGGCGAAGACAAATGCAGGGCAGGGGCATCGGAAGGAGACATCTCACTTTATTATTATTGTTCTTTAATGAACTGAAGTTTGACAGATTCCGATGGTCGAGTGGGAACACTATTGGATCCTTCACATCAACTTGTGGCCGGCATTTACCGTATGACATTCCAAACTGCTGAGTACTGGGCTTCCCAAGGCATCTCTGGTTTTTATCCTTACGTTCAGGTAAAAAAAAAAAAAATCATTGTCTTTCAGACAGAGAGTAGACGCGGTATCGAATGCTTGCGAAGCCAATGGCAATTGAGAATTCCTTGTGTGTTAACCCTCTCTATATGATCAACTGCTCTGCAACTGTCTGCATAGATCGTCTTCGAAGTCACTACTGGCGCAGAGGCACAGCATTATCACATTCCACTTCTACTCAGCCCATATTCATACACAACCTATCGTGGATCATAGACAACCTGTGGTTTACATTCATAAAGAAATATTTAAATAAATAAAAGAGAAAAATAACACTCGGTACATCTGTGCAACAATGGAAAAAGAGACACAAAAAATTTCTCTTCTCTCGCGCATAACTAAAAGAAAGCTTTATTGTATTGCAGTTGCTATTATGTTGAAGGTATATGTTTAATCTATTAATATTTCCTATCCCTATTGCTTTTTCTTGGTATATACATTTTAAAGCGCCAAAAATTCATCTCTGCGCTTAAAATACTCGTTAAAGCGCAGGACAGCATAGGGCATGTAATCGAAATCAATGTCTGACAATTGCGCTTGTACCAAGGCCCAAATACCCCAATAAAAGTGTGACGCCAGTGCAAACTTGTTGACTTCTCTGTACAGTTGTCCCAGCTCTTGATTGCTGACTTCCCCTTGCTCGCTCGATTTGGAACTGTTACCGCCATCATCACTGCCATTGCTGCTCATGATGCTGCTCTCCACCGTTCGACCAGTTTCCAGGTAACTTCTGAGCCACTTGAACTGAACATCCTTGCTGGGGTAATTTTCATACTCGCACTCAAACCCACACCATTCATTAAAGTGATTGGCAATATCAAAGGCTCTGTATGAGTACGAGCCATATTCATAATCAATAAAGAATACGTCATCCTTAGCATCGTTATAAATTACATTGCCATACAACAGATCGTTATGACAGAATACCACGGGCGAATCCAGTTTTACTAAATGTTCCTCCAACATCGTAAGCTCACTGTGAAGGCGTTGCATGTCAAAGTTCTTGGCAAAAACTTCTTGAACTTTAGGTCGATTGTAGACTTCAGGAACTGATAGAAATAGGTGACATTGTATACAGGGCGAATAAAATATATTAATCAACAATGCCGATCATTAAAAAGAATATCCGTGTTCTATTGTAATAAATATGTGCTTACCTTCTTTGATCCACTTATGAATCGTCTTGAACAGCTTTGAGCTTCGTTCCCCAGGAATTTTGACAACACCATGCCAGATCGCCAATTTTCGAGCCACAAGCTCCATCTTGTGGGGATCTCTCATGTCTGCAACCTTAAACACCTTCCCAGGAACGCACCCATACGCAAGCCCATTCCTGAATTTACCAAACAATGGTGGGCACAATCCAAGTTCCGAGAGGATAACCATATTCTAAAACAAGTAAACAAGAAAAATTATCTGTGAGAATAAAAATCAAATGAATCATGAAGGGACCGATGATGCGATTTGCTCTAACGGAAGAAACTAAGATCTCCTGAGGAGCAATCAATGTGTTCATGTCGGTTTGTTGTATACAAAAGTGCCGAAAAGATACACCATGTACCACCATCACATGGTGTAAACGAAAAAAAGGGGCTGTTTCTTATAGGCTATTCCATAATCACATAAAAAAGCTAAAAATGCGAGCCAATCCAACCAATCAACCAATCAACTCCTTGCTTCAAGGGCAAGATGAACTCGAGCCGTTCCTCTGTCTGTTCTTTTGCCATCTTATTAGCTTACCATAATCTCCTGTCGACGGTCTATGATCACCTCACTCTTTTTACCATATGCCCGAACTAGGACCTGAGTACCTGTAGGAGCATGTGTACAGCAAATCACTAAAAAAAAAGATGATAAGTAACATTATAATGTCTTTTTTTTTTTTTTTTTATTTTTTTTTTTATTGAAAGTCTTAAGACTTACACTTGTTAGTGATCCCATCTTTGAATTGAATGTATGAGATATCGCTCTTATCCCACTCAGGGAACAACGAGGTCATAACAGTGGCTGCACCGTTGAAAAGGTCATCATGGTGTACTGTCAGGTCCAAAGTTGCGACAGCCTCATGAATATACTTGTCCATCTCTGCCTCGGTCGTAGACGTTGAAGTGGGTGCCTTTAGTTGAGTGATCAACATTCTGTAAATTATTCAATGAAATACAAATTGAAGATGTAAATGAGGTGAGGGCGTGGATTTGAGTCTAGAAGAAAATAGCTGGAAAGGAGTGGAGAGTTTGAAGATGTGAAATGTGTGAAATGTGAGTTTAAACTCAAGTTTTAACAAATTCAACCACACGTGAGCTGGAGCAAAAGATACACATGAATGAAGCGGACAATCAAGTTTTTTTTTTTATTTGTTATTTTGAAACTAAGAATGTCCTAATAGGCTATCATCCTCATCTTGATCAAGAACCCACCGTCTCTTTTTGCGTACTGCAAACCAGAGCCTCTTGATGCCGGCATTCAAAAACGTCGTTCTGCGTTTACAATCGCATTTCTCGCCTAGCGAGAACCCACAAGGTGACTCTGCACACGACAAAAATACCATTGGTACTACAGGCTCTGATGATGACTCATGCGAAAGCGGAGGCCGATCTCCAACGCTGCCGTTATTATTATTGTTGCCGTTATGATTATGGTATCGTTCTCTAAAAAAATGTTGCTGCAATTGTGCTTGAATCTCTTCATGGTATAACTGCTTCGTGTCCATGACGTCCCTTCTATAATCGCATCCTGTAAAGACCAAAATTACATTGTCCCAAAAGTCTGGGAAATCCTTCATGATATCGTTAAATGTCGATAGGATCGTCAGAATCATGTCCACGCTAGAGATAGCGTTAAAAAAACAGGTCAATAGATGCTCAGGAAAAAAAAAAAAAAAAAAAAAAACTTGAGACTTGGAGCACTTAAAACTTATGTTTGGCGATGCTTACCCAGAATCAATCTTAAATACCAAGAGAAATGCAGTGACACCTAGACGCGTGCCTACGGATCGGATATATTCCTTTAAAATGGGTATATTCTTTTCATCATCTCCTTCCGTATCTGCCAAGCCTGTTTAACCATGAAGAAAATATAAGAATTTAAATTATTTAGAGGGATTTCTTAGCACTTTTTCTATAAAATTGAAGGTAAGGTTGTTACGTTACCTGGGGTATCTGCCAAGGTCACAAGGACACGCCTACTGTCCTCAAACCGCCCCCAACCTGTGCGCTCCGCGATACCTTTGGTCACAGCCTATAACAGTGAAGAGAGACGTTGTTAGCTATTATTCTCATTCTTGTTCTTGTTCTTATTTAAAAAAGATAAAGGAAAAACTTACTCGTACGGAAGCACTAGCCTTCAGTTCACTAGTGCCCATGATCTTATTCAATAACGATGATTTTCCCTGGCCTGTCTTTCCTATCGCTATTAATACGACGGGCCCGGATCCTTCGATAATATGCGATTCGCCTGTTATCTGACGAACATCATGTGTAATCAAATGTGATGTTGTCATTGCAGTACTAGATCTTGTCACTGGCTGTGGAAAGAAACTTGATCCATCACCACCGACTAGACTACCAGCACTAAATCCAACTTGACCATGGTCATGGTTTTGTACCTGCATTTGCACATGTGCCTGAGCCCCATCTGTAACAATTGTACCATTCTCAGATGTCGAAATACCTCCATGGCGAACAAACGAATCCAGAGCTTTTCGCTGCTGCTGGTATCCTGGCGACATGATAGAGAGATTTTGATTTTCCTCCGCAGATAACAAGCGATCGCGGAGACGCTGCTGGAGCAGATCATCGTCGTCTTGTTGTATTAAAGAAGTCTGTGTGGCTGCAGAATTAATCACAGTTGGAACTGAGGCTGGAACTGAAGCTAGTGATGAAGACTCCGCAGAAGAGCTTGTGTTAGAAGAAAAGGACGTAGTTACTAAAGGAATTTTTCCCGAATAGGAGGAAGGCAGCGGGGAGGATGGGTTCTGCTGGTGTATCTGTGGATGCGGCTGTGGTTGTGACTGATGTTGTAGAACATTGTTAGTAATATCCTGTAGAAAACCATCCGAAGAGGTTGAGCTATTGATTCTGTTCAAGTCTTCCTGAAACTGCGCCAGTTGCTGTCGCTGATACTCCTGCTGCTGTAACAGGGTGTTATCCCGGACAGCCACATGATGGTGATCTGTTGCAGAATTAGATTGTTGTAGATCATCTTCCGTTGTAGCCTCTGACATTGCTGTAATTATACTGGATACGCCTTCACTACTGCTAATAGCTGGTATGTACAAATGTTGAAACACGTCTTGGGAATAAGGTGAGTGTTTTTGGCGTTGTTGTCCATGCTGCTGACTTGAGGGCTGAAGAGACGACAACAGATTGGTAGGAGGCTGAAGGCTAATCGGCGAACTTACTAACCCCATTGTCGATAATATCGTATCCTCCTCGCCCTCTAAAGCCTGTAGTGATGATGGCATTGTCTCACGGATGACAGGAGGCTGCTGCTGCTGATACTGGCCCCCAACCGGCGCTGACGCCGCTACTGTAGGCAAAATATTTGATGATGGGGTTATGGTATGCTGCTGAGATTGATGGTCGAAAATATGCGGTTGCGGCTGTGTGTGTGTGTCATGGGGCACAGTGGCATTATGAACTAGGCGTGGGGTCATCGGTGGCGTGGCTGAGACAGGGGTAAATGACTCTGCTGATGATACACCAGTCGCCCCAACACCATCACCTCGGTTTGACGTACTAGAGCTACGAGAGGGAGTTGCTGACGAGTTGGAAGAAGCGATAGGCACGATAGAGCGCTCACTGAGGTCAGGAGGGATGATGCTTGAGCCGGTGGCAACAGAAAAGGCTCCAACGACAGGCTTAGTAGCTGCATTGATCTTTGGACCCTGGGAACTGCTCCGCCAGCTGCTGCATGTGTTGTCATCTCCTATCCCTTCGCTCCCTGTCATAGAAGGTGCGGAAGTTGAAGAGGCCATGGTCGCATTATTGTTGGTATTATTAATACTGTTGTTACCGACACCAAGGCCATTATTGCCAACGTTGTGAGGAAGGGTGATGTTGCTATTGGCGTTGTTGACACTGTTGATGAAGGAATTATGACTTCCGTAGGCGCCAAAAGTGTTGCTCCGTACTCTGTCTACTATACCTTCATTGGATATAGAGATTGGCACTTTGATTTTCTCGGGTGTATCCTCTAATGGGACTTTATAGTTAATCTCTGTAGTAGTATTTGAATTGACATTACTCAGCATAGGACTATCATAGAGACTATAGTGTGTGTTTGGTGTGCTGTAGCGACTGTTGGTTGAATTATTATTAAGACTGGTGAGGCTGGCTTTCAAGTGGAGCGAAGTATGTCGTGCGGAGGAACCATCGCTGCCATTGCTACCATTGCTGTCACTACGACCCAGTGCGTCTGAAGAAGTAGAGGAAGGTGGTGGAAGAGAAGAGACCGATTCTAGTGTTGGACTTGCTTCAGCTTTTGGCCCAGGCTGAACTGGGTCTGTTTTTTTTTTAAACTTGAGTCGTTCAAACATGAAAGGCAAGCTAATCTAAGGAAGAGGAGAAGACGAGGAAAAAAAAAAAAAAAAAAAAAAAAAAAAAAAAATTGCTTTGTCAGGGGTAAATTAATTGTGGGAGGACAATCAGATGAATGCTGCTGATGAGCAAGGTAAGTTTGATGGAATGTGAAAAAGGATGCGAAAATCAGAGCAGAAAGAAAGAGTAAGTGAGAGAAACAGAGATGGCGAGGACTACGGGTCATGAGAGCAATTGAATTAGAAAGCCAGAAAGTAAAAAAGTAAGGGAACAAAGAAAGAGAGAGAGGAAGAAAAAATATCAATACATACACTCAGTTGACAAAGAAAAGCTACCCCTGTAACTGTCCATGAATATGATGAACGCGTTTGGAATGATATGCAAATTGCTCGGCGATCGAGGGGAATTGTGTCTGTCTAAAAAATATAATTCACTCCATACACGACGATTTAGAGAAACAGACCCATCTAACTGGCCTACCCATTTCATTGTAATTCTATGGAAAAAGACAGATAGTCAATGCCTCAGTATTCATCGCCACCAATGCGTTGGCTGTGCTCGATTCTCTAATTTTTTTATTGCATTATATATTTGGTAATAGTTATTTTATTTTATTTTCTCCTTGCTCATTTGTTAGGTCTTTTTTTTTTTTTTTTTTTTTTTTTTTTTGCTCAATCTATACTCTTCTGAGGATGTTTCAAACCAACCGAGGGAGTGCGAAAAGCATGCACAAGACCAGGAAAATGAACCGGGAAAGAGTTCACTTTGAAGAATTCCTGCTTTTAACGAGTAACCTTCTCAAGAACAGTTTCATAGGCAACCTCGCTATAATCAGTACCCTGAATCTCGGTTGCAATACCATTTAAGGATCTGCGGAGGGCGTCCTTGCTGGAAGCGTACAACATCTTGGGCTTGACCGAGGCATTATCAGGAGACCTATCGAGTACAAAACAAAAAAAAAAAAAAAAAAAAAAAAGAATGATGAGATGAGTATTTTGTCACCAACATAGCCTTTGTAATGGTATCGATTGCAGTATTTAAATAAACAAAAACATTTAGCATCCTGAGATGTATAATCTTGCAACAAAAGAGAAATCAATAAGCTAAGCCAGACCAAACTAGACGACGATATAGGGTACATCATTTTCAGGCGGGTCACTTATGCTTACCAGCTAAAGAAGATAATCTTGCTACGATCGCCGCCCTCACTGGTCTTGTAGTCAAAATCATAAACGGCCCAAAGGCAGTCGTTTTGGGGAAGTTGTTCCAGGAACTGGTCGTATGTGGCGGTTTCAGCCTTATCAGCAACAGTAATCTCGTCGCCTGTAAGCTTGTAGATAATGTACTTGTACTTCTTGCCGATCTTCAACTCCTGAAAAGCACTGAGACACTCGGCATTGGGTCTAACTCCACTGGAAGAGGACTAGAAAATCAAACAAGTGATAGGCAATGAGTATGTGAATATACAGCTTGAAAAACTTGATGTTTTCTTGTAGCGCGTATCAAAACAGGAGAATATGATGGATTCTCCATTCTGTTATCAGAAATGAAACTCAATCACATAGAAAAAATCCTTTTCTGGAAACATCAGTGATATCCACTTTTATTATGAGGATACTCATTCATTTTCCTGGTCGCTTCATTCCATTGTTGCGCGGTGAAAGATGAGGGAAATATATTTAAAAATAAATAAATAAAATAAAATAAAATAAAAGAATAGCCTGGTCGTTGATGTTGAAGGAGTTGAAAGCGCGTTTCCATTGTCTGGCATGATGCAAGAGACCCACGCAATGAACATGTCCTGCCCAAAGCAAAGAGACAAATATGAAAGAAAGAAGCTCAAAGTAGGAACCTGTATACGTTACCATGGTTGTTTAAAAGTATAGTAGTAGTACCGGTAGGTGAGGAAAAAATGGATAGAGATGAGATGAAAAAAGATGATGAGGTTCCTCTAGAGCTTATATACACTTTTGGCCCAATTTTTTTACTAGCCTAGTCTGCTCTGTATTTGGACTCATCATAATCACACCCGCTATTGTGGGCCTGTATTCAAAACTACGTCACGTTCTAGGTTGTTGTGACGTTTTGGTTGAGTAAAAATAAGTAGGCTCATACATTGGTGTCGTTTTGGTCCTACGTGCCCCTGTTGGAACCTTGTTACACGATATTTTAATAAATGATGAAAGGATCCTCTCCTTTATGTTGTATTATCAATCATCTCATGTGCCCATTACTTGCTTTTTTTTTCTCTGTTTTTTTGAATAGATTTATGTGGTTTATCATAGTGCAGTGAGAAAAATAATATATCGAAAGAAAACTATGTACAAACATGAAAAGAATAGCTTTTTTTTGTTTTTGACTTTGTAGGAAAGAATGGATGCGGCATGATACAATGGATAGGAACAGTGAATGATAGAAAAAAGCAAAAAGAAAAGACATTGTAAACTAATCGAGATCCATAGCTGTGTCAACTGCAAACATGGAATCACTTCTGATACGTGGTAATCGGCGGCCTGTATCAAGCCCTGGCACCACCTGCCCAACTTCATCTTTAAAATCCTGAATCATGGGCTCTGCTTTCATAGCAACTGATATCGTTGTATAGGGTTGTGCCTGTGGCGGTCGAGACATCGACAGCTGTTGAGTTGATAATGTAGGCAGGGATGCGGCATCATCTATTGCAACATCACGGCCTTGCGACCACAGTTCGCTGAATGCCTCCAGCGCGTGTATTTCATCTTCCGACACATCTACACCTTCAAAAAGTGCCTGCTCCGACTGAATGGAATGGTCCACTACCTTCTTAGTTTCATAAATAGGCGTTTCTAGATCCGCAAGTGACAAGCGACGGACCTTGGAGCTGTCATTAGTTGAAAGCTCCTCATCCGAGCGATTTCCCAGACTAGCACTCCGGGACCGATATCCAAAGGTTGGTGAGGAAATCGGAGGTAGTCGCAAAGATTCACAAGCCGATGACATATTTTCTCGAAGAGGTGGGAGAGTTAAATGCTGGCTTGTAGTTGAGTCTACCATACTCCCCCAAGGATGATGTTGCCAATATTGATGGTGCACTGCCCGATTAATGTAATCCAGTTCACTATTCACATTAATACCATCATCATCAACTTCTTCTTCATCAGAATGCAATGACCGGTCAGGCGAAAGTGGGTGTCTTGCTTGATGATGGGTTGGCTGGCAGTCCATCTGATATTCGTACTGACTAAGATTTAGTGGTGGGAGGTGTGCGTCTAGATTCCCATGAGTACGCCCATACTGGCTGTAGGTGTAGCCGCCAAGAGCTCCAACGTCGACGCTTGACCTATGGTGTAGCTTAGATGCATACCAGGATAATGCCGTTGAGGAGGATGTGGACGATGTACTAGTGATCGACTCAAGTGAGCCTCTTCGGAGAGATTTAGACGCTGGTATTGTCTGACTTTTCTCGCGAAGCTTACTCTTATCCTTGAGTGAGATTTTTGCTGAGGTACTGGCGAACTCTAGCCCGGTCGATGACCCTTTTTTAGGTACAATACGTTCATGGTCACGGTCTCCGCTTACATCAGTAGGCAAAGCGATACTGAGTCCTGGTAAGGAGTTGACACGACTCCTGCGCCCTCCTATAAGAGTTTGTGAGTCCCTTCCTGAGGTGGAAGAAACAGAGTTTCGCTTGGACCTGGGTACTTTGCTAGCTCCACGAGTCTGTGAGCCTAAGAGTCCGGCCTCGCTCTTGCGGCGGCTTTCAATGGCGATCTTGGACGCAATCCCTGCAACAGACTCGCGACGAGACCCTTTTGTGTGTGTCTGTGTGTGTTGGACCATATTATCAAATCGGCTAAACATTCTCGTGCACCCATCCACTACACATTGGAATGGTTTCTCACCCGTATGTTTTCTATCTCATATAAAAAAAGGAAAAATCAGTACAGCTTGACATTATGCTTTGGATGGATGTGTATATTTTGAAGCAAACACAAATGAACAACATTTCCATGTTACACTCAGGCACCATGTCCAGTATGGATAATATGGAATTGAATAGCATGAATGTCATGGTAGACATGATGTTTCATTATTGCAAGACATGGCGAAGGTATGAGAATTCTTCCGAGCACAAAAATACTGCCCTGGGCTTTTTTTCGTTTTTTTTTTTAGTGAATAGGGAGAGAGAAACAAAGATCTTACCGCGCATGACGAGCAAGGTGTTCACTACGAGTAAATACCATCCGGCAGTCACCAAAGCCTGTGCATTGGAAAAGCTTTCCTTTGGATCCTGTTGTGGAAGTAGACTTTGTGAGTGCAGGTGATCCGCGATTGGATGATTGGGTGGGCATAATTGAGGGTGCTGGACTACTTTGCTTGCTGCTGCTCCTGCTGGTACACTTGCTTGGGCTGATTGTGGAGCTGTAATCGGTATCGTGGTAAGTTCTAGTTGTGTTTGTGCCTGTGCCTGTGGCTTTAGGATGTTGCGACTGAAGCTGTTGATCCACCTGATAACCGGATGGTACAACTGGCATCCTTGACGGCGTGATGGTAATAGTAGTAGAGAGACTATTTACGTCGTAGTAATGATCTATTTGACTTTTTGTTTTGAGTGACTGATAATTCAAAAAATACTAAGTATAAGGGCCTTTGAGGAATGTGTTCCTGAAAAAAGGGAATAAAAAAAGTCGTTGATAATGGATATACAAGGGCCAAGCCAGAAGTAATCAAATGGAGAGTGCAGTGTAATCACAGCAAACAAAGGTGTCCATTAAAGAATGTGAGTGTGCAAACACAAATGTGGGTTTGTGCATAAAGGAAAAGGGCAGGGGAGAGAGAAAAAGGTAAAAGAAGGCAAGAAGGAAGAAAGAGAGGAAGGAAAAAGAAAAAAAGGTTAACAACCTGGAACAATCTATTAAAATTAGAGGAGCAACGACCAAGGAAGGGCGCTTTGACTCTGATACTGTCAATCACTGTTTGTCCGTCTTTTGCCTCCCATGCTCATGCATATTGTTCATATTACAAAGTGTGGAGGAAATCCTTTTCCTTCCATACACAACACACTGCCCGATACAGATTTCCCCACAAGAACAGATCTTTGTTGGGCAAAGCCATAAAAATAAAAAATAAAAATGAAAAATGAAAAATGAAAATCCAGCTGCGGCGGCAGGATACAGAAATGGAAAGGAAAAGAACAATAGAGGGTTACTCACATAGGATGCGCTCAGGCACAAGAGATGATGAATTGTATACTTATTACCCACAGAAGAAGGTGATCTGGAACAAAAAAAAATTGGAGGTACGTGGACGAGTAAGAAAGAAGAGAAGAAGAGAAATGAAGAGAAGTGAAGAGAAGTGAAAAAAAGAAGAATAAACAAGACAAATAAAAATCGTACTTTTTAGTTGAATTGAAGGAGACATCGACATGTGTGCGTGTTGTGCTAGGACAACAGAGAAGGCACCAGCACCAAATGATAATAAAAAAAAAAATGGTGCCTGAAAAAAAGGGACAATGGGACAATGTGTAAAACGCAATGAATATCAGGCATGTCTCAATCTTCAATGCACATACAAATACCCACGCACGCACATATTTTACTTACTGATCCAAGAGAGAGAGAAAGAGAATAAATGAAGAAAGAAAAATACAAGAACAATACAAGCCAGTGCAGTAATGTTGGCACACACGAGAATAGAAAGACGACGACGACGACGAACGTTTGTTTCTGACCTTGTCTGATTCTTGTAAAGGAGGGGAGAAGGAAGAGGAGGAACGAGGGCTTGCATAACCATCACATCAACATGCATGCAATGCATGCCCCCCAGTTTACTTCACTCGTTGTCCAAATTCCCTCGCTCTCTTTTAAAGATAGGGCTAGTGGAAAGGAACAAAGAACCATCCATCCACTTTGACTCTACGATTAATTAAATGTTCCCAGCCCAGGCACTGAATAGCTTCGTCTGATGGAATATCCCTTTACCACATCCTACCGACATGACCTTTTTTTTTTTTTTTTTTTTTTTTTTAATCTGCCAATCAATAAAAAAATGACCAAGAGGAGAAGGCAATAACAAAAAACTACCACGATCAAACTACAACACCAAAAAAAAGGGGGATTGACACTTCTTTCAGCCCGAGACTCCAATTATCAAACCTCACGAAAAAAATAAACAAGCCGTTATAAAGGATTGTACATCTGTGTGTGTGCCTGTGCCCACCCTTCCTGCTGTATCCCTTCTACCTGCCCCATTCTCAGTGTGTATTGTGAACAGAATTCGAGCTGCAAACCATTGGTGCTCGTGGATTCTTGTTTCTCTTATCCCATAACTGCAACGGGTGCAGTGGACAAAAAGGATTATTGGACTAAGAGCCGAACAAGTTTCATGATGTGGAGTACTGTTTCTGCCGTTCTATTGTGAACTTACCTGAAACGTGATCTACTTGATCAGTCCAGTCAGATCAAATATAAAAAAAAAAAAAAAAGAAATAAAAAACACTCCCTCGTTGATGTCGCTCGACAAGCCCAACAAGATAAAGTAATATTGCGCTGTCGTGGTGTGAGTTTGAAGTTTGAAGGGTACTTCTGTTCTTTTTGTTACAAAAGGAATAAAAAATGAGTGTTCCTTTAGCTTTAGAGTTGTGTGACGGAAGTATGAAGCGAGCAGGGCGTAACGATTGTTTAGTTGCAAACGCAATGTCCAAAGTAGGAAATAGCGAGGATAACGAATAAAATCTGGCCTCAGACAAATAATGGAGGAAGTGGGAAGAGGTGAAATGCAGAAGTAAGGTGCCTGCAGGGTACAAAAAATAACAGCAAAAGATAAAGAGGAAAAAAATTAAAAAAAGGGAAAGGAAAAAAAAAAAAAAAAAAAGCGGAGGTTCAACTGACAAAGAGAAAAGGGTGTAAGGCCAAATAAAAACGAAACAGTGGAACAAAAAAAAAGTTGGATAGTGGTTTAGTTCAAGCAACGATGTTGAGAGGTTCTCGCGTCTTTCTATTCATGCAAACGCACCTGAAAGTTCCTGCATGTGAGTGTAGATGTTCCTTGCTACAGTCAGTAACTGTTGCTTTGTGTTGCTTTGTAAAATAGTTTGTCTTTATATTGCTTCATTGCTGTCATTGACATATCAAACTGTTGCGTAGTTTGCTTCTTCCTTCCTTCCCTCCTTTTTCATGATCATCTTTTTTTAAAAAAAAAAATCATGACTTGGCCTAGTTTGATACGAAATTTGTGAAATCAAGATGCGGTCACAACTTTACTATTGGATTTTGCTGCGCGACAAGTGTCTCTGTTTCTGGATTGGTTTTTTTTTGTGCCTGTCTGCCGCAAGGAATATCGCAACTCTTGACAGGGGACCGAACAGAAAGCGCGGGAAAACAAAATAGCAAGAAGGCATTTTGTCCTCGTTCTTCCATGGCAGTTTACTTTTTCTTTATTACAATTACTTTGGAATTAACACAATAACATCATCCTGTCCTCGGAACATGTCTCCAGTCTTACGTGCATATTGCTTCATGTTCACAGGGATCATCTTGGATCCATTATAGCGTGCTATATTAAATTCTGTAGGTACATCATCAATCTCCTATGGGTTATGGATGTTGTAAAATAAAGAATTTGGAACAGTTAAAATAAAAAATAGGGTTTCTTTGTTATAAAAAATGATCATAAATGAAAGACGATCGACCGCAGATCTATTTTTTTTTCTACTACCTCGTGGATCAATTGAACTGTTTTCTCAATAGTATCATCCACATTGGCGAAAATGGCACCAAGTAGATGATCATCTGTAACAGATCGACTGTAGACTAGAATCTCTTTTGCTACTGCATTAAAGAAATTAACAGGACAAGGAAATCAAGACTTAGCCATGGCGATAAAAAAAAAAAAAAAAAAAAAAAAAAAAAAGACATCATTGTCACGTACCAAGGGCATCGCTTGACGCACCATCTACGCTAGTACTAGCATAAGCTGCTGCATATGCAGCTGCTGTAGCATCAGTGACAGCATTAATATTTGCCATAGTCGACGTATTTGTAGAAATTTCATTTGCTGTTATAGGCAACGCTTCCAATGCAAGTTTGGGGTTTGAGAGAGCAAATGCCTCCTGATTCAATTTAGGATTGTCTGTCGATCCATCAGGGAGAGACCAGAGTTTTGAAAGATCCAAATTTGTAAGATATGATGGGACAAATGTAAAGTTCTTGGTCCCATCATCATTTTTCCCCTCAGTTTCTTCTTCCACGACTTCTTTGCCGTAAAGCTCACAGATCTCTGGTTTTTTCGCCAGATCAACAGGTGTCTCTCCCTTCTTGTTCTTCACATCCTTGCGTGCTCCTCGTAGCAGCAATGCACGAACAATTGGTTCGTGCCCACGATGTGTTGCCCAATGCAATGCTGTCCTTTTTTTTTTTTTTTTTTTTTTTTTTTAAAAAAAAAAAAAGAAATGATTTCATGATATGCGCATGTCAATTAGGGGTTCTAAAGTTCCTGCTTGTCGACGTTTCTTTGGCGTCATAAAACAATGTCAATGTCAACTTTACTATGACTATATAAAAATATACCATCCGTTCATGGTGTTCTGACCGTTGACATCGACTCCGCTTTGACAGTAATGTAATACTGCCTTCAGGTTGCCGATTGCTGCCATCTCGTGCAAGTCATTGATCCTAAAAAAAAGTTACTTCTCAATATGATGTTCGCTTTTTTCTTTCTTAGTATTGTAGCCTAGCGATATAAATGTGTGTTGTTACCTTGCGTCCATCTCCATGATCTGTTAGATTGTTACTGTAATGATTCTGGAATATTGGTATCGTTTAGGGGATTTTATCGTGATTGCAAATCAAGTTCAAGCCACGGCAAATATTTTTAATATGAAGCTGAAGACCTCAATGATCACTAAATTACTGTGCCCATATTGAGCTCACAAGCGACTTGAGCTTGTCTCGTTTGCGTCCTATTTCCATGGATTGTTGCTTTTGTTGATGATGTATCGAATCCGTTCTACTCGAACTCACTCGCCCCATAATTTCTGCTAATGGTCCACTGTGACCTATGCTTGGTATTACTGTGCTTGTCGTATCATGCACGGTTGCGTTGCCTGGATTGTAGCCTGCTCCATATCCTAATGACGCCGCAGTAGATCCATCTCCTCCATCTCTACTTGCAATAGATAATCCACTAGATACAGATCCCGCTCTATCCATTACAGTCGACATAAAACCTGTCATAATGCCCTTACGAGGGTCCACTTCGGGTACGGGAGCATGAACAGACTCCATCTCAAGGGACCTCCAGAGTTCTAATATACTTTCAATCTTCTCCGGAGGACAGCATGCCATGGCGTATCCTAGTACTGCTAAGCGTTTGTAGTATTCACGTCCTACAGACTCATTCGCTACCTGAACAAACGTTTCCCAAGGTGCTTTTGCATCAGGGTCAAGATAACCAGACTGCAGTGGCTTCTGTGTTATGGTACCTGTACCTGCTCTGGAACTTGGTTGTGAAGATGGACTTCCACTGGTGGAATACGATGGCGAGACAGGCCTCGAAGTTGTAGATAGCGATCCAGATGCGCCACTATGACCAATGTTAATGTCCTCATGACCAGAGTTAAAACTGCTCGCACTATTGCTCTTGAGGACACGTCTCACTCTAGGTGATCCATCAGGGTTCAAGTCCACAGAGCCCGATATTTTGAGCAACTCCATGAGCCGATCGGATTGTTGTAATGCAAACACATGGTTGTGTTCCTTGAGTGCCGCCTCAATCAACATTCCTACTACTTGAATCTCAATTTGCTGGCGATGCGATTTCTTTTGACCCGCGCCTGTGACCTTGATGGCCAATTCTAACATGGCTTCATGGTCATGGTAAGCATTTTCCTGAGTCATGATCAGCCTTCGGACTAAAGATAGTCGATGCTCTGTGGCACGAATTTGGAATGGGAGTATAACTGAACTAGATCCAGGTGCTGTAAGGCTGTATGTCGATGTCATAAAGTTGGTTGCCTCAATTAAATCCATTTCTCGGCGAATATTTGTCGTTTCTGGAAGAACCTTCAGGCTATGAAATATGAAGCCAAAGTGCAAACATTAGTCACTAGTGATTTTTTTTTTTTTTTTTTTGTAATATTTCACATCTTCTTACCAGTCATATGCCATCTTCATAAGCCCTTGATGTCTATTCCCTGACGTTGCGTTGTTATACATTTCATTCGAACAATCAATGACCAGCTTTTCTGCAACTGCTAAGCGCACTGGAGGGAGCAGGCCGGGTGGGAACAAGATAGCCTTGGCGAGTTCAAACTCTGTAATAGAAATATACGAACGACACATATCCAATATTTAAATAAGAATTACAAAGAAGCCCAGGATTTAATACAGGGAATAGATTCGCATGAAACCACTTACTTCCACAACTCAGAACACCGGCCAAGTATTCTTTGTAAATGTCCTGCTCTGACACCAAGCCTAAGACCCCATCCCCTTTTTCGCCTCCACGAAGACGGATCAAATCTTCAAGAAGCAACATCCACTCATCATCACTTTCAAATCGCTCGCCCATCTTTTCAGGCCCACCGCTAGCTAATCGTGCCATCTTGATGACCATATGTAGTTGATTTGCCTCAGAATCAGAGTTTTCGAGGAACCAAGAAAGCTGTACAGGTAGGTCATACCGAGCGAGCACCTCTGCAGCAGTCAGATGTTTCTCGAGTGTATCAAGAGCGTGCTGCATCAAGCCTTGTGTGGGTGCATATTTGACGAACGCTGGGTACATATTGAGAGGATCAACTTGCTGAGCTATCCGTGGACGACTAGGAGTAAGGGCAAGAGCAGGTAGTGAGGTACTGTTGTTATTGTCGTTGCTGTTGTTATTTTGAATATAACCATCATCGCCCCGTGCAGGAAGAAAAATGTCCTTGCGTAGCTCTGCACGTCTTACTTTATCCACTACTTCATCCACGTCCTCAGTCTGCTCAAATATGGGCAGACATACAATCATGTCACTCATCACTTTCCAATCGGATACAGTCCTGCAACCATACATGCATGACATAGTCAGCCAAGCGAGCTCCATGTCATTACTGATGATACGCTCCTCCGGTTCATAAACAGGTTTAGATTCTTGTATAACTGCGCCAACCCACGGCAGATGATTGGGACTCTGAGTTAGTAGATATGTGTACAAATACGACATGGGGTTGCGAGAATCCTGGCCTTCAGGTAGTCCTTGTTCAGGAGCGTGCAGGGGACCATTCCGCTGCCACCGTCTTGGAAGTACAACAGTGAGGAAAGGCAGGACCAAACGTCGAATATCCTGCACAATCGTAAACTCATCGGTCATACTTAAACACAGCTTTACAACCTCCATAGGATTCATCAACGAAAACTTCTCTAACGACATATCCAAAACGATATCACTCCACTTGGCCTTGGCCTCAGGGCTGCGATTGTCGGGCTTTATCTCGTAGATTAGTTTGCATAGGATCTCGAGGTCCTCATTTATTGACTCTAGACCAGGGATGTGGTGATCAATTCCGTACCGAATCAGTCGGCGCTCTTCGAGGATCTGGCCTGCTGTCCTGTCAATCTCCAGAACACGATCAATATACCAGTGCGAGAGGGTTTCGTTTGAGGCAAAAGAGGACTGTGGTGACGGTAGGATCTCTTCGGCCTCTTTCTTGATGAGAGCCATATCAAGCGACGCTGCCTCGTCACCTCCATGCGCTGCCCTACGTTCCTCCAGGACTAACGCCTGCTGCTCAAGGTACGCATCCATCTCATGGTCTGATGATCCGAACACCAATGTCCTAAACTCCGGCACTTCAACCCAATCAAGATCTTTCCAAGGGCGATCCGGAGTCCAAGGCTTTTCTGAAGCTGCTTTAGCATCGATTTGTGGCAGAAGGTCGAGGTAGAGCCCCACTGGGTATGTCGCTGGAATGCGGTTTAAAATAGCTAGTCGCCATGGCCACGTTTCGCGGTTGTGGCGTGTGAAGAGGATCCTGACACCTTCAATAAACTCTGACTCCGCATACATCTGCGCTTGCCCCGCTAGATCCACATCTTTGAATGAATTAAATTGACCAGTAAGGAGTGGCAAGGGCGGTGGCTTTGAGTCATTGGGACCATCGCAGAGACCAAATGGATCAAGCGGAGCATGTGTTTGAGACTTCTGCCGCTGCAACTTTGATATCCTTTCTTCTTCTTGCGCCCTATTCTCTTTTTCTGCAGTGGTGAGTTCCACGAATGTTGAGAGTCTGCTCATATATTTCAGGAAATACCAGCGATACTTGCACCAAAGAACCTCCTTTTCTGTTAATTGAATTGCCAATAAAGCCTCCTTGGCCTTTATATCCATGGCCTCTCCAGAGGCTGCTGCTCGAATCCAGTCGATTTTGACCTCCTTAGATAGCTCACACCTATGGATAATGTCGTCCATAAGGGTTTCTGTCAAATTTAAGCCATACTCGAGAAGTGTCCTAATACTCTCTTGATCCTCAGTGGGGCTGTCGATACAATGGGCAAGGACCCATTGCTTGTCAGTAATCTTGTCAAGTAAAGTCGACACGACCTCCACATTAAATAAGCTCAGCTGCCTCAATTGGTGCTGATAAATGACGTCTGTATTCAACTCGTATGTTGTAGCGATGGCTAATGCAGAACTGTAATCCTTCATATCCAATTTACGATAGAGCAACTCTTCTGGTGGGACTCGAAGTATTCTGTATAGACTCAGCGTTCGTTTAGGGACCAATATCAATTTTTGACGCTTCAATCGATGCTCACCTACATCTTTGGATTCGAAATATTTCATCAGCTGGGCAACCCATTTGAATAGCAGTCTCTCGTTTCCCATCATCTGCGCAATCTCCTCCTCAGTAGGCTCTCCCAAAGCCTTGTCTTCTTGATCTGTCATCATAATCCAACGGTCCCCGATGACTCTTGCGCGAATCATTCGTGTGATCTCCTCGACCACAAATACCTGCTCGTCATGCATCTTGAGTCCAGAGTTAGTGAACTCAAGGCAGGAGGCGAACACCCGAGGTTCTTGGCCCAAAATGTTAATCAGCTCTGGAATTTGCAGGACAATCATAGCACCGCTCTCATATCCCAATAGAATTGCATCCTTGGTCCAATATCGCATCGAGACACACCTACCGTTAACAACACCGATGAGATGGGATGAAGTTCCATTTGAGTGGTACTCCTGAACAAGTTTTTGAAATTCATCAAAAGACAAAGCAGCGTGCTCATTCGCGCGTGCATAGTAGTTTAAGTGATCCTTGTCCCATGTCATCTTTACGCATCCACCCTGCTCCTTAGATACTAGCCAGCTGGTAAGTGACCCCGTGCAATCCAATGAAAGGGATCCATATATTTCATGGTGGATAATGGTGTGGACGGAATTCCTACAAAGGTTGGTATCACGTTCAAATAATCTTTGCACAATAAGACCTGCGGCAACAAGGCCAGTTGATGGCTTCCTCATATTGGGAGATTGGTTTGTCCTGCTCAAGGTTGTGACTAGTGAGTCGTCGAGCTGCTCATCCGATTTGTACTTTCTATAATAAGGTGATTCGGCTTTCATAATGCAAAATATGACCCCTGAAGTCACTTCGATGTCATCTACCGCGAATTAGCCATCAATAACAGTTAGGCAATTGAAGCTTTTTTTTTTTTTTTTTTTTTAGGAGGCTGGAACACGGTGCAATAATGAAGATTACCTGGAGACTTTTTACTTTTGTGCGGCGCCCCTCCAATAATAATGATACCGTTATTCTCATCCACACTCGCACACATCGTAGTTCTGAACCAGGGGCTGAAAGTAAACTTGTGATAAAAGCAAAAATAGCCTGGATCTGAGAAGCCCTCTCTTGGCCAAGTAGTCCGCCTCGGTGACAATAGGGAATGTGTCGCAAGGGTTGATCGACGATGCTGAAGATTATTTCTTATCGGTTCATCTTCGGAAGGTGAAACCATGGATGCGTCCAACTCGTCGAATGCTTCGGGTGCATTGAAGAGATAGCTTCGGAGGACACCATCATATGTGATTGTGATGAGTTCATACGCATACTCATTGCCATTGAATTTGACTGTTGGGTTATCACTCGAAACTGTTTTCCGTACATTGGTGAAGCCGATATAACTAAGGGGCTCAACAAACAGTTGGTTCGATCCACTGTTGGTCGTCAGCTCCTCTCCAGTTGAGGCGTCTTGTTGGTCGTTGGGTAAAATGGTTCCAATAAGTCGTCCCTTGATGTCCACAATTTCAATCATCCCATCACTGTAGCTCCTGGCCACAAGGCGTGAGTCAGCACTCCAAGCAATCTTCCTCCATTTGGGATAGAAGTCCTGATGTCGTTTTGCGGTAGCACCCCAGGCGGCATGAACGATCTGATAGCTAGAATTGAGGGTTCTAAATTCGATTTTGTCCTCGTGATTAACAGCAAGGAATTGACAGTCAGGACTAAGGGAAATCTGCCAAGCCGATTTAAGTGGTGTAAGAGTTGAAGCGATACCGGATGGGACTGTAGTGGTAAGAAAGAGTGGTGAGATGTTTGCGGCGATGCGTCTCAGAAACCATTGTTTCCAACGGTCTAGCACAACAAGCTGCTGAGAGAGTGAGGATGAGAGCTGCGTACTTTGTTGCTCTTGCTGCTGTTGCTGGTAGAATTGGTCTTTTGTGGAAAGCAATAGTGACAAGTCCGCTGTATTATCATTGGGTGTCCATGTGGCGACGACATCGATATCGTAAAGCTGCCTTTGTTTCTCCATTTTGTAATAGAATGAGTTGATGACAATCCAAGAACAGCTTTTCAAGGTGAGCTATTATGGCTAGTTTTATTGCTCACTCGTCTAAGGAGAATGAGACCCTCCTATGGATGACAACTTTAGGATGAATTTGTTCTCGAGCATTGACGGCATTAATTGTGACGTGTTTTTTCACTCTAGTAATCGAGATCGCACCTCTTGTTGTGCAACATAGCGTTAGGAAATGCGTGTGCCACGCAGTTGGCTAGTTGGTGATTGCCACACGGCCATTCTCCCTATGAGCTCGCCCTTGCTGGTTGCAGAAGCGGATTTATAACCCAGTCCTCGTCAAGGTTGTGGATACAAAGTGACTCTCTCAACTTCTTCAATACTGTCTATTGACTCCATCAAGGACATACGAGTAACAGCAATACAGTTTGCCAGCATGCACTTTTAAAGATACCCTTGAACTTGTAAGTTGTAACTTGCTGCCAGAATTGTCACGTCTTCAAGCAACATCCCCAGCAAATCGAGCTCGAATTTGAGGCCATTTGGCTTCTAAGATAAGCTCACTCTTACTTTGTCAAGCCACTTGTCGCTACGTGTGTGAAATGATACTTCTCCAATCGATACAATACCAATAAAAGCTAATACAGCAAAGCTTTCCCGCCCGTGGCTGAGTGCTGTGAAGACATGCCCGTTGGAGCAATTGGAGGCAAAAAAAAAAATTTAGTCCGATGTCTGAATCAAAATACGCCTGCGCCAGGCTAAAAGATAAAAAAGATCGATCAATCAGTCAATTGTGTCCATTTTACACACCTTTGCTTTCTTGTCATCGCATCCCTCTTTCCTTCTTTCCCTCTCTCTTCCTATTTCCTTTATAGATCGCAAAGGTGTCGAGGCTTGTTCTCTCTTTCGCGTATAATAATCTTTTCCTACTCCTTTGACGAATCACTTCAAAACGGAATTGACACTTTGTTATTAATGCAGTCTACTGTCTCAACAGGATCTCATGATCCCTCTGAAAACCCTTGGTCAGAGTACATCAAGGAAACCCTGCTACCTTCCATTACCACAGCCTCGGTGAATGAGCGTACTCAACTGCTTCACCTGTTGCTCGTTCGCATCAAACGCAAAGGTAATGACCCTTGCCTATCTCATTTGAAGGATCAATATGCTGCTTTTGTTGTGAAAGACGCAATAGCCGATGAATCTTGAGCTCAATGATAAAAGGAAGCTTACTCAACAGCCCTTGCCTTCTTGCCAAACTCTTGATTTAATGTTAGATTTACCAATCGAGCTGTTACCTGCACTGGTCCACATCCTCTTCATTTCATACCCACGCTATCATGATAGACATTCGCGACTGACTGTCCTCGACATCCTGATTGAACTTAACAACTGGAATTCGGATGAATTCCTGAAGGTCATTGTCCCTGCAGTGCAAAGGGAGGCTGAGAGACTCTCGGCCAAGAGCATGGACGGGTAAGGATCAATAGTAATAAGTTACCAGCATGAATCAAGAGGAGTCGCGCTTATAAAAATTCGTCACCAAATATGACTGACATCTTTGGCTGTTTGTAGTGTCTACATCACTGCAGCCGTTCACCGATTTGTGATCTTAAATTGGATCAATGTGCTGCTTAATTGCGTATTGGCGACGACGTCGGCAGGATCGTCGTCCTATTTCAAGCCATTGATTAGCTCGCAGGCTGTGCTTATTGACGGGCTTGTAGATTCTGACAAGAAAAGCGTCGCTAACGGAGCGATCGCAGATGTCCGCCGCTGTATTCGCAAGGTTAGCTGCGAGGCTCTGCTACTTTCTTGAATTTGAATACGGATTAATGCACTTGCAATACTCACCGATATTAGACGTTGAACTTTGATCTGTTAATAGAATGCTGCATCGATTCCCTTGTTTTTGGAGTATTTGACTTCAACAACAACCACACCAGCATATCTCAACTCTGTATTACTAGGCACAGTGATCGATGTTGCTTTGCGCTTGAAACATAAAGCTGACGCTGCAAAAGAACAAGTTTCTTCTAGGAAAGATGCCATCATCAAATTCTATTTAACTAACCTCATCTCGTCGAAGCAGGCTGTCCCTGTACGATGTGCTGTAAGTGGAGGTTTTGAATTAAGCTTAAATTAAACTTGTTGACTCCTCTCGATTTAGAGTAATTTTTTAAAAAAAATTGACTGATATCACCTTTAGGTGGCATTCAATGACTTTATTCATCACTACGTGACATTGGAACTCTTCAGAGCCGATTTGCTTCCAACTATTGAACGTCTGGTTCTCCGTGCGCCAGAGATCGTATTTGCATGTAATACTTCGCATCCGACTATGTTCTTGATCAAGTTGCCATATGATAATTATCAGCTCACAGGATTTTAAACATTCGGTGCTTATTAGTGCTTATTCATCTTGTCAAGTCCGTTTCTTTTGATCCCTCGCCTATTTTCGGTTCTTCGCTTCAGGACCCTCTTCTGAATGGATTGCGTTCAACTTCAGAACCAACAAGGATATCTGCCATTGCTTTGTTTAAACAATTTGCTGTCCTCAGCAAGGAGGAGGAATATGTCTTGAAAGTTGTATCAGAGATGACTAAACAACTTACCACAGGGAAGATCTCCTCACCAGACCATCGTGGCATTTTCTATGATTGCGTTGGAAAGACAGCTTCAGTGAAGTCGGAATTAGTCTCGGTAAAAGCTTTACAGGGATTGACCACCATGATCAGCAAGGAATCGAATGAGACAGCTGTTACATTTGGGATTGATGCCGCCATCCTGCACTTGCAAGTTTTATTAACTACCGGAAAAGAAACACCTGAATTGACAGCGGTCATTAAGGCTGGAGTAACTGCCTTAGGTAGTCCTCGTGCTTCTCTGCGAAAGACATGGGCCCGTGGCATGGGTTCATTGATCTGGAATGGTGAGTTTCTGTTTGTAGGATGACGCAGTATAGCCAAGGCTTGAATCTACTGAATCATAAGAATTTAAACTTATTTCCTTTGCCCTGCTTATTTGCTCATAGCCGACTATCACAAAGATTCGACCAAGAGTGTTTCACTGTTTTTAGCACCATTGACTGCTACCTACAATAACATTCAGAAGGCACCGTTGACTTATAAGGATGGACCATTAGAAGGATATGTCGCCGTAAGTGTAGCATATCGGATTGCACAGTACGGCGATGCCACTGCGCGTCAACTCATTAAATCGGCCTTGACTATATCACCAAAACCCTCCATCATCCTGTATGATAAGGTATACACCAAATTGACTACAGCAGAAGAAAGCATTTGGTTCGTGCATGCCCTTGAAGCTTTAGTAGCTGAGGAGGTCATTGATCACGAGGCAAAAATGGCGATTGGCACAGGATTTATCTATGTTGCTGCTGCATCACCTTTTGCGGATGCACGTAAGGAGGCATTCCACGCTCTTCAGCGTTCAGCAAAAAGTGACCTCAAGAAGATTGGCACAATCATTAAGGAAGCGCTCATTCGATGGGTCTCGACTCTTGAAAATCCTGTCAAGGACTCTACAGTAGCCCTTGCTGCGACCACTATTCCAACTGATCGCCATATCTCGACATACCGTCTCTCGGAGATTTTATCTGCCATCACTACATTTAACGAAGACGCAGATCAGACGGCTATGGCCGAAGTTGCAACAGAATTAATTGTGCTCTCTCATCATGAGGCTATTGCCTCACCCACCAAGAAGTACGACTGGATGAGTGTGGTGCAACGCGCACGGTTGGATCCAGGTCGTCTAGTCGCAGATTATCAGGACCGCATTGAGCAACTCATTATGGAAGCAGCTTCGCTTGAATCAACTTCCCCTCAAATGTACAAAGCAGCCATGTCCACTATCTCAAGCCTTGTTTTCATTGCTCCTTCGATCATGATTCCAATTTTTATGGGTCATATTGAAGAGGATCTCGATGCAAAGTTATTGGACAATATTGGTGAGCAGGAAATTGCTATATGGAAACACCCTGAAGGCGAATTGTATATTGATGTGTTGAAGGGCGCGAAGAAGCAGGGAGGGACTGAACGTGGCCGTATCGCTTTTGATGAACAAAAGTTTAATCGTGAGGTGAAAAAGGCGCTATCTTCCACGGCTCAAAAGAAGGCTTTGACCAACAGCTCAGCGCCTGCTCCTCCCAAATTGACCAAGGACGAGCAGGCTTCTGTCGATGCGCAGCTTGCAAAGGAATCTAAGATCCGCAAGTCGGTTCAGAACACCCATAGTCATCTGATTCGTGGCCTGGCCACAATTAGTGCATTAGTTGATGGAAATCCAGAGGAGCTTACTGCCAAGCTGGTTGAACTTGTGCGAGTTTTGTTGAACGGTGTTGTCAAGCGTAGTGGTCCATTAGTTGGCACTACTGCCGTCGATACATATCTCTTACTGGGTCGCTGTGTCTCTGATCGCCTCGACACTATTCGAGTCCCATTGGCCCTCGCTACCCTTCGGAGCTTGGGTGTCAAGGAGATTCCTGAAAATTATTTGGAAGAGCCTCTAGAAGAATTAGTTTCACGCGTCCTTTACCGTCTCCGTTATGTCACTGGGAAGCAGCCGTTGCTGCCACCAAGCTTCGCTTACTGCTTCCCATTGATTCACAATATTCTTCAGAATGGTGGCATTGTCAATCCAAATAAATCTGCCACCGATGCTAAGGAAACATCTCAGGAGCAAGTTCAGATTGCCGTCGATATTGTCTCATTCCATGCCTTATCTGGAGCTTCGGATTCGCTTCCTCGTAAGGAAATGATTGCTTCATTGATTTCCATTATCAAAGAGTATCCTCAGCTAGCCAAGACTGCCAAGGACTCGTTGAGCGATTTAACACACTCCATGGGTAACAACGCTACTCTGGACGAAATCAACACACTTCTGGAAGGTCTGCTATACAACGAGGTTTCGGTTCGTCAAGCAGTCCTTGCCGCCCTCGAGCCCTTAGAATTGACTATTATTGACTTTTCACGTGAGTTATGGACTGCCTGTTATGACGAGGATGCTATGAATGCTAAGCTTGCCTTTGAGCTTTGGGAAGATAATGGAATGGAGGTAGAGCCTACATATGCTGAAGCTTTGCTGCCTTATGTTGTCCACCAGAATGGTTTTGTTCGACAGGCGGCTGCTAAGGCTATTGCCGGCGCAATCAAGCTCTATCCCGATACTGTTTCTGCAACATTGAATGCCATCTATCTTCTTTACCATGAGAAGGCGCAGCCTATTGTCCCCCAGTACAACGAGTTTGGTCTTGTCATCCAGGAGTCCTTGAATAGACAAGATCCCTCTGACCAGCGTCTTGGACTGTCTATGGCACTTAAAAACATTGCACCTTTGATGACTGCGGCAGACCTCCAGCCTTTTGCGGAATTCTTGATCCGCCAGGATGCATTAGGTGATCGCAATGCAGATGTTCGTCAAGGTATGCTGGATGCTGGTTTGGCTATGATCACTGCACACGGCGCGGAAAATGTCCACACTCTTATCCCTGTATTTGAGAACTATCTTTCTGAACCTGCGCGTAACTCGGAGGCCCATGATCGTATTCGTGAATCCGCAGTCATTCTTTTTGGTGCCCTTGCTCGTCACTTGGATCCCTCCTCGCCAAAGATCCCTTCAGCTGTCCAAAAATTAATCGAGACCCTCGACACTCCTTCAGAGGCTGTCCAAGTCGCTGTGGCCAATTGTTTGCCTGGTTTAGTCAAGTGTATTCCTGACCAGGTCCCTGATCTGCTTAACTCGCTTATGGATAAGACATTTCATTCCAAGAAATATTCACAGCGTCGTGGTGCCGCCTACGGTCTTGCTGGTGTCATCAAAGGCTGTGGTATCTCTGCTCTCAAAGAGTTTTCTATTATGGCTTCGCTCAAGGCTGCTGTTGATGACAAGAAGGATCCTCATGCCCGTGAAGGTGCTATGATTGCCTTTGAGACCCTGTCGCAAACCCTTGGTCGTCTCTTTGAACCATATGTCATTCAGATCTTACCCTTATTGTTAGTTTGCTTCGGTGATTCTGTGATGGATGTCCGTCAAGCTACTTCTGATACTGCTCGCGCAATCATGGGCAAGCTCTCTGGACACTGTGTCAAGCTTATTATGCCTCACCTCCTCGCTGGTCTTGACGATCGCCAATGGCGTACTAAAAAGGGATCAGTCGAACTACTAGGATCTATGGCCTACTGCGCCCCTAAACAATTGTCAATCTCCCTTCCCACCATTATTCCTCGACTTTCCGATGTTCTGACAGACTCCCATACTGCAGTCCAAGAAGCAGCTCGTCTTGCCTTGACTCAATTTGGTGAGGTCATCTCTAATCCTGAAATCCAGGATCTTGTCCCTATTATGATGGCTGCGCTTTGCGACCCCAACACGAAAACCCATCCTGCTTTAACTGCTCTTCTCGGGACCTCGTTCGTGCATTATATCGACTCACCTTCTCTTGCTCTCGTGATGCCCATCCTGGAGCGCGGTCTCCGTGAGCGTGCCACCGATATTAAGAAAAAAGCCTCACAGATCGTTGGAAACATGGCCTCATTGACTGATCAGAAGGACCTGATCCCATATCTCCCTCGCCTTCTGCCAGGCGTCAAGGAAGTTCTGATTGATCCTGTGCCAGAGGCACGTGCCACAGCCGCCAAGGCCCTAGGTACATTGGTTGAAAAGCTCGGCGAATCTAACTTCCCCGATCTTGTTCATGAGCTTCTTGATACTCTCAAATCTGATACATCTGGGGTTGATCGCCAAGGAGCTGCCCAAGGTCTTTCTGAGGTTTTGGCTGGACTTGGTTTGGAGCGCTTAGAAGGTCTTCTTCCTGAGATCATAATCAACACGGATTCTCCGAAATCATATGTCCGCGAAGGTTTCATCTCATTGCTTGTGTATCTTCCTGCAACTTTTGGTCAGCGCTTCCAACCTTATCTTGGCCGCATTATCCCGCCTATTCTAATGGGTCTTGCGGACGAGTCCGAATATGTCAGAGAGGCTTCCTTGAAGGCAGGTCAGATGATCATCAATAACTATGCCACCAAGGCTGTCGATCTACTCTTGCCTGAATTGGAACGTGGTCTCTTTGATGATAACTGGCGTATTCGCCAATCATCCGTGCAACTTATGGGTGATCTTCTGTTCCGCATCACTGGCACCAGTAAACAGACTGGTGTTGATGATGAAAACGAGGAAGATGCACCTGAAGAATTTGGTCGCTCTGATAACATTCGTAAGAAGCTCATTGAGGTCCTTGGCCGTGACCGTAGAGATCGTGTCTTGTCGTCATTGTACATTGTTCGTGCAGATAACTCGGCTATTGTCCGTCAAGCTTCGCTTACCGTCTGGAAGTCTTTGGTCACCAATACTCCACGTACCTTGAGAGAGATCTTGCCAACGATCATGTCGATGATTATTCGTAACCTGGCCTCGAGCTCGTACGACCGTCGTATGGTTGCAGCCCGCACTCTTGGAGATTTAGTTCGCAAGCTTGGCGAAGCTGTGTTGTCCGAGATCATCCCTATCCTTGAAGCTGGACTCGAGAGTCCCGAGAGCGATACACGTCAGGGTGTTTGCATTGGTCTGTCGGAGATCATGGCGACTGCTGGAAAAGTTCATGTTCAAGACTATGTCGACTCGATCATCCCTGCTGTGCGCAAGGCACTTTTGGACGAGTCGCCCGACGTACGCGAGGCTGCTGCACAGGCATTTGATACTCTGCATCAGTGCGTTGGCCCTAAGGCTATCGACGAAATTCTTCCTTCACTTTTGGCCAACCTTCACACTGGCGATAAATCCGAATATGCTTTGGAGGGTCTCAAGGAGATTATGGCCGTCCGCTCTAACGTTGTGTTCCCAGTCCTGATCCCCAACTTGATTGCTCAGCCCATTACAGCTTTCAATGCCCGTGCTCTTGGGTCTCTTGTCTCAGTTGCTGGAACGGCTTTGAACCGTCGCTTGACCAACATTTTGGCTGCACTGATTCAGTCACAAGTCAGCGAGACGGATGAAGATACTCTTCAAGCTCTAGAGTCCACCACATGCGCACTTCTACAGTCTATTGATAATGCAGATGGAACTAATACACTTATGATGATGTTGTTTGAGCTTGTCAAGTCTGAGGATTCTTCGAAGCGCTCCTCTGGATGCAACATCCTCGCCACGTTCTGCACCGAGTCGACTCAAGATATCTCGCGCTATGTTTCTGACTGGATCCGCGTCTTGATTAGCTTGCTTGATGATCGTACGCATTATGTCGTCGTCAGCGCCTTGGCTGCATTGAATGCCGTTACTCGCACTGTCCGTAAGGAGGAGCTTGAAGGATTAGTGCAGTGTGTTCGTCGGGCTGTTCGTGCTGTCGGCACTCCTGGTATGGATTTGCCAGGTTTCTGTTTGCCTAAGGGTATTGCTCCATTGCTTCCCATCTTCTTACAAGGTCTTATGAATGGGTCTAATGCTATCCGCGAAGCCTCTGCATTGGGTGTTGGCGATTTGATTCAACGTACCTCGCCAGATGCGCTCAAGCCCTTTGTTACCCAAATTACGGGCCCCTTAATTCGTATTGTTGGCGATCGTCACCCAGGAGAGGTCAAGAGCGCTATTTTGAGCACTCTGAGGTATGTTTACTGCTTTTATTTGGCTGTTTGGACTTAGAATCTTTATATCTATTTTCACATACAGCAGTTTTAACATTCAATTTTCATTCCAAATAAATTACTACTATGTCTATTTAGTTTGCTTCTTCAGAAGGTTCCGGCCCACCTCAAGCCCTTCTTGCCTCAGTTGCAGCGTACGTTCATCAAGTCTTTGACGGATCCCACGTCCGCCACTGTTCGCGTCCGTGCAGCCACTGCGCTGTCGATCTTAATTTCTCTTCAAACAAGAGTTGATCCTCTGGTCACCGAGTTGATTGCTGGTATTAAGGCTAGCGAATCTGGTGTCAAGGAAACCGTCATGAGTGCATTGGAGACCGCAGTCAGTAAGATTGGCGCCGGCATGAGCGACGCCGCTAAACGATCTGTCATCAGTGTCGTCATGGAAGGCATGGAAACTGGCAACTCTGGTATGCGAACGCAGAAGTTCAAAAAAAAAAAAAAAAAAAAAAAAACTGCTATCTCAAACAAAATACTGAAAATAACAAAAAGGTCATTGAAACTAATATATATTATTTCTCATTATTTTAGAATCAATGTGGTTGGCTTCCGCCAAGTTGTTGGGCGCTTTTTGTAAGCATCAGAGTACTGATGAGGCGGCTTATTTGGTCCAGACACAGATTTTAGGCGAAAACATTCCTTTGAGTGCATCGATGCTGGCTATTAACTCTGTTCTTGTAGAATCGCCTCAGCTGTTCATTGAGACGGGTCATGTCCAGGAAGTTGCCAATGCGGCATTGGCAGCAATCCCCAATCCTGTGGAGGGCAGTTCAACAGCTGCCGTATTAGCTATCGGCAAGATGCTCATCAATGAGGCATACCAAGTCGATCAAGAGTTGATAGGCGAATTGCTCAAGAAGTTGACATTGCACCTGTCCCTAGAAATCAATATCGAGTCGAAGCGATTGATCCTAGTCTCTGTTCGCGCTGTAGCGAGACAATCTCCATGGTTGGTTGAGCCACACCTGAAAGAGATTGTACCTCTGATGATGACATCTGTCAGAGAGCGTGTGATCCCTATTAAGTTGGCAGCCGAGCGCGCATTGTTGTTTGCATTACAGCTTCAGAAGGATGACTCGATTTATCAAAAATATTTAGGCACGATCGATACAGCCGCTAGCAAGGCCCTCACAGACTACCACCGTCGCATCCTATCGAAATTGGCAGTTAATGAGAGAGCTAGATTGGAGCAACTTCATGGCCAGGAAGATGCGGAGGCTGCAGAAGAAGATGCGGAAGTATATTCTGTGGGAGGGCTGAATTTAGGCACCAATGATGATGAGTAGAAAGGAAGAGAGGAAAGAAATTTTCCTGCTTTTTTTTTTGTAGATGATTTTATAAACATGGTATAATAAAAAAAGTGTTTTTTGAGTGGCACTTCACGTCTTTTTCATAGTTGTTCTATCTGCCAATCTATTCTACCTAAGAGACGCAGCATTACTGGCCATATGGGTTGGTTTGATTGATGGCATTTGAATACTTTCTGTTAGGGTTATTGATTATATTACTGGTAGAGCTCTGAGAACCGAGATCAAGGTTTTTCGCGAATGGCGCATAGCGATGCAAGCAACCGAATGATAAGGTCTCAACTTCAAGCAAAAGATTCGATAGTAATAGGATATTTAACAACTGATGAATAATTTTGTATTCAGGATTGCAGCGACAAGTGAGGGTCAGCTTGAGACGTCGCGTAGAATAGTTTCCTGTAGCACAAGCTCTACTAGAAACACGTGGCACAATTGGTTAGAGAGTCATAGAAGGTTTGCCGCCAACGATCTTTTTTAAATCATCTACAAGTGACCACGCGAGGGAGGCTTTCGCCCCTTTCTTTTGACCTTGTTCTTATCCTCACTAGCCCTCTTGAGGCCCCAAATTCCACACCTGTAAACATGTATGGATGTGGATGAAGATTCGATAACCACTTATTTCTTCAGTACATTCCATATTCTGTCTTTCGGTCGATTCAAAATCTAGTTTACATCCCTCATTTTGTCTGTATTTCCCTCTTTCTTCTATTAGTCTTCCTTTATATCTTCTCTGTATATGCTTTTGTTTGAATAAGCGGACCATATCTTCTAGCAGTCATGATTCTTTTTGGAATGATTAAAACGAAATATCTGCTATGCAGATCAAAATGCCTTGTATTTAGTCTGTGCTACAATTTTTTGCAATGAGCTCTAAAAATGATGTCAATACAGCGATCTTCAACGGCTTTTTATTTTTTAGTGTGTTTACTTTTGATGCAGTCCAGGTCTGATTGGTCCTGGCCACTTGTTTCTATCGCGACTGCATCTTTTGCCTTTGAGCTCATTTGGCCTGAGCAACCATAGTCTTCACAATGATAAAAAGACATCTTTTAACAATTAGCCCTCCCATTTTAATCTGTTAGCGGTTTATAATGATCTCAAAACCATTTCATTTTCCGTTCGCTTACTTAATCTCCCTATCTTTTGCTCTATCCTCTAACTCATTCCTACACTCGCTCTTTCTTCTTTCATTCCTTACTATTTAACTCAGGCCTTCAGATACATTTCATCAATTAACAAGACATAATAGATAAATAATATTTACCTTTTTTTTATTGCCTACGTGTCAATAAAAGATAAAGGAAATGCCAGCACTTCGCTATTCAAATTCACCTTCACCCATCACCTACTACACCTCCAACAGTCATCCCGTATCCTCTCAGCCTTCAGAGCCTTCTTCACACCATCATGGCGCTGTAATGGACACTACACGCTCTACGGTGCTGAACTCTCCACCCTCCTCCCCCTATATGTCTCATTTGCGCAGGCGCCATTCACATGATGTTCGATATCAGTATTCGCATCAAGTCTCATCCCAGCAGCATCAGGACCATCACCAACAACAGACTTTAGCACGAAGTACGATTGAAACATATTCACTCCCACAATCGATAGTAGAGAATGAAAGTCAACTGGGCAGAGTACCTCCTCTGAACAACCGCCCATATCAACAACAGCATTATTCTGAAGGGAACGGTGACTTTAATAGCCGTCAAGGATTCGAACAGGCGTCCTCGTCTAGATATGGGTACGGAAATGGGTATGGTCAACAGCAACGCGTTCAATATCTTCGCCCCTCCTCCTTTGCTTCCTCTAGCGCTGCCGCCGAAGAAGCATCTTTCCAGCATCTGGTTGCATCACGCCAACAGGCGCAATTGCAACAGCAGCAACATCAACATCAACATCAACATTATCAGTACCACCTGAACCGATACCAACGACAGCTGCATTTGCGTCCTATTGTGCCTGCACCGTCTGGACCAGACTCTACCAGCTCTACATCACTACAGCAACATCATCACCAGCAATATCATCATCAAACAATTCAGAGTAATCGTAGCAACAGTGTTGACCATAACAGCATTAGCGGTGGTCATAACAGCAGCCTTAGCAATAATACCCATGCAAGTCAACTTAATATATCACCTTCATTACATCCACAGTTCCGTGCTAAGGCGGTTTGTCGTCTGACATGCAAGAGTTGTCGTACAGATGTGTGTATGCGTGGCATGAAGGCCATTTTGCTTGCTGATTCAAGGATTGAACTATATTCGACAGATCGCCCACCCAAAGGGTAAGCTGAAAAAAAAAAAAAAAAAAAAAAAAAATATTTTGCTCTTCCACCCGACGATTCGCTTTAGTAAAAAAAAAAAAAAAAAAAAAATGACCATCCTGCATACACTTTTGTTAGAGTTCAGCTGGTGTATGATGACTACAGGACACGGAACTGCAAGTGTCGGATTCGTGACATAGCCTGTCTAGGTTGTGGCAATACTTTAGGCTATCATGTTACTCAACCCTGCGAATCCTGTCTTGAGGCTTGCAACAATGGTCATTTCTGGATGTTCCACTCTGATGCTGTCACCTGTACGGAGCGATATCTTCCCAAGGCATCATCACCAACAAGATACAGGAAAATAGACGGTAGTAGAAATTCAGGAAGTCGAGACGAAAGCAACCTGCATTCTTCTTCATCGTCATCATCACCGATAACAATAATAGCTTCAACACCAACATCACTCTCATCTTCTTTTGCTCAAGAGCCCGATCCTTCATTAAGGCGACATACCAGCATCCACGATATGGAGTACTACAATGCCGTCAATGCTGGAATATATTCAAACCAGCGCTCCTACTGTAGCGATTATTCAGTAAATGAGGATGATGAAAGCGAAACTGAAGAGAAACCACAGGTAATGCTTTGGGCTGCCTTGCATGCACAAGAGGAACGATATCTTCAACAAATGCAGCAACAATTACTGATTCAACAACAATATCAACTACAGATGCAGCAACGCATGCTTCAATATCAACAACCACAGAGGGAACAAGAAGAACAGGGAGATCGACAGCAATTGGAAGACCAACAACAACAACAGTCAAATTCAGTCCCAATTTCATTTACGTCGATCATCAGCCCCCCAACAGTCGGTAGCAGGTATCATAGTATGATCAGCACAACCATCAGTAACGCCAGCATGATGCTTTGGGACGAGGGCAAATACATGAATCAGTATGAACAGATCTGCCGCTGAAGAAGCTGCGAAACCCCCCCCCCCCGCAGGATAATAAATCTCTTGATCTCCATCTGATATGAAAAGCGATTAATCAAAATGCTCACGATGTATTCAAGAACAAGTATAGTCCTTTTATTCTTCAAACAAGGCATGTTCTTTTGTCAACAAAGACTTTAAATGTAGTATAGTGTCTGTGATAATGGCACATACAAAAAATGTGTTCTATGCAATTACTCTCCCTTCTGTTGTTGTCACATAAATATTCATATGGTTGATTAAGTGTAGAGCACCTTATTTTACATGCCTCGCTCGGCGGCTGCGGCATTTGCAACAGCTGGATCAATTTCGGGTGGAGGCGCCGGTACCAGCGATGTAATAAAAGTCAGCAACCCATGCTCTATGCTTCGCCAAGTAGACACAGGCGGTTGTTGTGCTCGGCGTTGTTGATCTACTTCTACTGTCTGAACTTGCGCCTCTAATACTTCATTCGAGACAGTGGTCGCCGATGATGGTGAAGATATGGCTTGGGTATCATTACCACCAACATTGCTGTGGGGTTCATTTCCTGACGTAGAATTGGGAGCTTGCTGTAAATTATTCAAGACATTGTTGTTATCAAGTGAAGTTGTTGATGTTGTAGAGGTATTCTGGTGAGCCTGAGTAGCTGTGGTTGTGGGTATGGGTGCTGCCCCGGGCTGCGCTGCAGGAGGTTGTTGTACATCTGCTGGTGGATGAACGATCCTCCGAACAATCCTGAGTCGTCCTGTCTGATGTCTAATAATCACAAACGACACATTAATGAGAATGAATATTTTTAGCATTGAAAAAATATAAAATAAAATAAAATTAAATAAAAAATAAAAGGAATAGCATCACTATCAATACATACAGAAAGATGATAAGGGCAGCGATATGCAATAGAACAATACGCTCGATACTCCCGTTTTGACTGAAGATATACACGCCAAACGCAAGCTTCATTAAAAGCCATAACGATGCAGCTCTTCGTTGATGATCCCTCGCAACGTTAACTTGTCTATTTACATTGGGTTCTACTTGTCCTGCTACCGCCTGTTGATCCTGAGCAGACTGAGTATGGGACGATTCCTCGCTATTAAACATGAAGGAGCTGCCATAGTATGCTTGAGCTTGCTGTATGCAGTGTTGGTGATGGAGAATCGGCAAGTACGCAGCAGGAACTAGGTATGGCATACCACTGGTTGTCAATGAGAGCATCCAGAGAGAGTGCAGATAATGTTGATTTGTTAATTTAATGTTGTAGTCAAGAAAGGCTGGCTATTGCTAATGAAATGAGTTTGTAATACGTGCTCAAATTCTATTTGTCCTCCTTGCAGTGCCCTTTATGCAATAGCAGCATAGCTAGTGCGAAGAGAGGCCTGAATTGATTTAACAGCGAAGATACTTACTTGATAATGACATGCTGCATAGATTGTTGTGCAGGAGACGGAACAAATCCAGCAAAACCAGAAAACCCATAAGCAGGTGGGAGCAACGGGTCAATGAATACGCTGAAGGTCGGCACAGAAGTGACAGTGCTGTGAGTCACCATACCACCTTCGGCTTGGCTCCATGGCATTGTTGTTGACACTTCTGCTGTTGAAGTAAATGGAGTTAATGAGGGGGTGGCATTGATTACTGATGAATTGCTAGAATTGTGTGATGCTAATGGCGTTGCAGCGGTCGACATAGTGTTCTCTCTGAACCGAAGAGATGAACCTGGTGAACTAATGTGTTGTCGCTGTGATACCACCAAATGGATAGTGGGTGAAATATCAGAACAGTCGACCTTTGTTGTTTTTAATATCAAGACAAAAGAAGAGATAATTATGGGTCAACAAGAAAGGCCTGATTTACCTAATCATCAATGATAAGCTTCGCTAAATACTACAATATTATTACCTTTTCAAATACTCGATCAAGTGAATCTTTGTCGTTAAGAATACGCCCGCCATAGATAAGTCGTTGATCAGTGATAACAGGTTTCGAATCCAATCGAGTAGCAATGATTTCTTTGAGCTCCAGTATAGTGCACTGTCGAGTAACTGATAGTGTAAACTTGTGAGGAGTGTGCGCAGGTGAGCTGATAATCACTGACAGCGTATCCATGGCTAGAGACTATCTTTTTTTCTATTCTTTATATTTAACCTCAGTATGGTTGCTTTGGGGTTAAGCAAAGAAAAGCAATTTGAAGAGAGAATTTTGCAAGGGAGTCAAATTCAAGAGAATGGAGGAAAAAGTGTGTTCATGTTTGGGAAGAATGAGAGATGAAATTTTAGTTGGTCACAGGACCAATTTCATTTCATTTGGACTTTTGCGCCATGGGAGGCTGAAGTGGCCTGAAAAAGAATAATTTATTGGATTGTCTCCTATCTTATTGAACACTCTCTCCTTCCTTATTCTGCTCTGCTCGTAGACGCTCCAGGCGTTGAGCATTTCTTTTCAATAGAATCCTGCGAACGTTCGCTTTTTCAATTTCAGCCATTTCATGCCAGTTATCTATCCTAGACATAGTTCCGTCTTCATTAACGACTATTAAGAAACATAGCAATAGGAGTAAATAGCTATGAGTTTATATAATTAAGTAACACTCGATAAATATTTTTCTTTTGAAGACTAAATTGACTTACCAACAGGCCCTAGAATATCCAGCTTGAGGTCTTGGCCATTGACCTCCAACTGGTTAGCGCCATTGTCAGCCTTTCCTGGCGCAGGTAGAGCTAGTACAGTCTTGTTGCCATCCTGATTTTCATTATTACTGTTGTTTTGCGAATGAGATTCCTTAACAGATTGCTCATGTATATGCTGTGTTGATGAAGGCGAAGTTGACGACGACATTCTGTAGAATGTGATGTGTTTCGGGGCAGTAGCAGTGACAGTAGAGGATGGGAAAATGGTTCTTGAGAAGAGTGTAATGCTACGAAGAAGCATTTGTTTTGGGAAACAATAGAAGGAAAAGGAATGCAAAGTTGATCACAAAAAAAAAAAAAAAAAAAAAGCTGTCAAAATAACTGAGTATTTCAGTGTCTGTGCGGTGGACATTTCCACGCGATTCTGGAGATTTCTTTCACTGTCCTAACAGAGCATCATCTCACAACTTGGTAAGAGCTCACATACACACTGCAACAAGGATTTTTTTTTTTTTAAATTTTATTATTGCTCATGTGCACAGACAAGATTATGGTACAGTATGCTGAGATCTAGCGGATACGCGCGAAAATAAAAAAATCTGGAAAAAGTGCGAAAGAAAAAAAAAAATACAAGTGGTGCAGGAAAACTAAAGTACAGATGGCTGGCTTTTTTTTTTTAAGAGCGATGAGCATACATGCCTGACATGGGGTTCGGATGTGGCAAGCGTGCATATGGGTGGTGATGTGACTGACCATGCTGTCGCTGGTAATGATATGGGTTTTCACCATGAGAACCATGTCCTAAGCTAAAGTTACTCAATCCATCATAGGTCAATCCCAGACCAGTAGAATGTGGGCCATAGGGCATGTGGGTTGGATGCTGACCCCTGCCCCCCAAAGAAACAAACGGAGACGAGTATGAAGATGGTCCCCCAATATGAGCACTCAAGTTAAGGGCTCCATCCATGCTTGGATTCTTGATTCGCTTTCTGGACAAATCCACCAAGTGGACTGTCTTTTCGTGTGTCCTCAGATTGTGCAATTGTGTATAGGCTTTGGTGCATCCCCCTTGTGTACATTTGAAGGGCTTGAACTTGAAGTCTGCATGAGCGGTCTTGATATGCAGAGCCAAGGACTTGCGCTGTGAAAAGGCCTTGCAGCAGCCTTCAACGATACAATGAAATGGTTTAAGCTTGATCACAGGCGTGTGTCCTGTCCTCTCATGAGACTTCAAATTGTGAAGTTGTGTATATGCCTTTGCGCATCCGGGAACAGAGCACTCAAACACTCTTGCTGCAATGGCTTTGCGCGGGATCGCATTTGTGCGTGGTCTCATCAGGATAGTCGTTGGCGAGTCTGAGTCCTCTTCTTCGCTCTGCATCTGCGGAGGAGCCGTAAGAGCAGCATCAACAACTGTTCCAAATGAAGCGGAATCAAGTGCTGTAGTCAACGACAGAACTCCGCTGGATGCGACGGAAGAGGAGGTTGAGTTTACAGAGTTGGTGCGAGTTCTGTAACCAACACCGCGCTGGAATTCCAAGGATGGAGTGCGACTCTTCTTAAAGTTGACACGGATAGGACCATAACGAGAATCAGTGTTGGTGCTCCCATTAGCACTCGTAGGCGCCATGGAGGGTCCAACTCGACTATAATCAACGTGGGACATGATCGTAGGAGTCTCATGCATATCCATAGAGTAGGACGAGGGCTGGTACTCAGACTGGAGCATGCTTGTGGGTGATAAAAGAGGAATACCTCCCATGGACGGCATACTGGATTGCTGTGAGGCTACCGAGGGCTCACTACCATGTCCGTGTCCGTTAGTATACGAACCAATGGCCGAATTTCTGTTAGATTGAGGATAAGAGCGTTGGTGATAATGGCGATCTTGTTCTAAAGGTTTGGTAGGATGATGAAAAATAAAGGCATGTGAGAAGTTAGTTGAAATGAAAGGAAGAAAGAAAGGAAGAAAGAAAGAAGAAAAGAAAATAAGAAAGAAGGAAGGAGGCTTGAATTCAACTTTAAAGTTTGAGTGAACAAACAAACACACACATCTCATCATCAACGGAATTAGAGTGCCTTTTTTGGGAGTGAAAACAATAATTATGCATTTGAAAAGAGATGCAAGATGAAGATCCAGATCCATAAGCATAGATGCAACTGGCAATGGAAGACAAACAGAGATAGAGAGGAAAGATGTAGAAAAGATAGAGATGTTGGCGTAGTATTGATGACCGTGGGATAATTTAGCAAAAAAGGCAACTGAACATAGCCCTTGTGGTCACTTAAAGTACGTGGGTGGTGTGCGTATATGGCTTATTCTGTGCTGGCACTTTTCAGCTCGTACAACTCATAACGCCCGCAGATCAGCGGAGCCCAAAAAAAACCTACCAAGTATCTCTTGCTGCATATGCAAGTTATCTGCCGACATGCTAGCCACCCAGACCTGAGGCTGCTGATGATTATCACTAATGATTTGAGGAAACAAAAATATATCATGTCAGAGAACATTTAGCGTCTGGGATGGAGCTCAACGTTTAAGGATTATTTTGAATCCCTTTTTTTTTTTTTTTTTTTTTTTAGCGTGTCCTTTATTTTGTTTACCTGCATGGATAGTGGGATGATGCCGATCGGTTGTGTTTTGGCGACGACTCATCATTAAATGGAGTATAATCAGGCGTCGATGGAGACAGAGATGACTGCGATGACAATTCATCCACAGAAGGAGCTATTACAAGACACAATATTAAAGAGAGAATGCTTTAGTAAGTCTATGTATTCTTCTTGTGTGGTTGGATGTATGTTTTTTTGACTTTGAGGACTAGGTCATGCTGTCATGAAAACACTGTGCTGGGTCCATTTATAGCTGAGAGCCCTTTGTTTTTTTTTGTTTTTTTGTTTTTTTGTTTTGACAGGTATTGTAAAAGAACGAGGCAGGGGAAAGGATTTAACAATGAACAGAGGGGGTAACAGCGGAGCGGACAAAAAAAGAGAGCAAATGCGGGAGTAAAAAAGAGCACGAAAAAGACAGTGACGAAAAGAGCAATGGAGATGATATGGCCAAATGGACAAAAAAGGCGAATACGGATATAAAATATAAAGTGCATGCAATATGACAAAAAGTCCAGAGGAATGATAGTAATATTAAAAAATAACAATGAACAACAATAATAATAAAAATTACGTACCATTGCTCGCTGTCCAGGTGGAAATGGCTGGGATCATCCCAACTGCATGGGTGCTCAATGGCGAAGGCAGCTGTGAACTAACCGTTAACTGATCAGGCGATGCTGGAGCATGGAATGTGGACGAAGATGTTGCTGTTGATAATGCAGGTGAAGCAACTCCGTTGCTGCTGTCGTTATTACTGACATTACCGTTATTCGAGTAATCATGATTTTCTGACGATGTGGCTGTATTGGATGAGAGCGATGGCGTTGATGTGGACGATGTCGTGGATAATGTTGATGTTAGTGTAGGAGTAGGTGTCGAAGCATTCGATCTCTGCTGTTGCTGCCTCGCATTATAATGGTAGGAGTTATGCTGGTGATAGTCATAGGAAGCATGATAATTACTCGCATATTGGTTGTTCAACTGCCGGTTCATCATGGGATTCATCAAGTCAGAATCTAGGGTTTGGTGCGGCTGCTGGTAAATGTCAACTTGATGTTGAGTAGGAATGGCCTTTTGCAAGTCTGAATGATAGCTATGGTTGTCATTTGAGCCGTGGCTGTGCTGGGGAGAATTGCTATATGCTTGCGATTGCTGTTCGTCATGGTAACCAGATTGGGACGAGTTATAATGGTGCTGTGAAGACTGTTGACTAAATTGATTGGAAAGAGGGCCGTTGCTTCCTCCATTGCTTAGACTGCTGCCCATGGCAACAGATCCGAGTGAATAGTAGGCCGCAGGGATCTGGACCTGGACTTGAGTATTATTGGAATGCATATTCGAGAATACTATAATAGGAATATATAAGGAGGAATGGCGGCAATGTTTATCTAACTTGGTGAGTGTGGTGTGATTGTAAATGCCGTCAATGTTGGCAATTGGTATGAGATCGGATCAAATCAGATCGATGGTAGGACAAGCCAGATCAGGGTCTGTCTATTGAATAAGCAAGCACTCAGTCGCGCAAGTTTAGAAAGTGATAGCGCTCCACAAAGTGAATTTGTTCGAAGATGAGGGTGAAAAAAGCGAGAACGAAGAAACCAGGGTATAATTTCAGAGACGATAAGACAGTGAAAGAAAAAATAAATCAGGGAATGGGAGATGCAAAAAAAAAAAAAAAAAAAAAAAAAGGAAAAGGGAGAAAAGGCGAGACAAAATGGAGAGTAAAGAGGGCCTTAACAAAGCGGGAATAAATGATCTTTGGAAACAACGAATTGAATCAACCCGTTATTTCAAGAAAATGTTCAGAGATCGGAAAAGTCAGAAAAGGGGGAGGGTAAAAGGAAGAGCAACAACAGAATCGCAGAGAGTAAACTTTTTTTTTTTTTTTTTTTTTTTTTTAGTTTTAGTTTGGGCAAAAAGACAACGTCTTTTTTTCACATTGCACACTTCCCATTCAGTGCTGCAAACGCAGGTTGGCTAGTCCAATAGTTTAAGGTCCCAAATCCTCCTCTTACGGAGGCTGGAGCCGTGTCCCACCCAGAGCATTGAATAGGAATGAGTTAATATTCTTATAGTTACCTTTCGGTTTTCTTTTGAAGAGACTATGACTTGGCGGTATACGAGTGCAGGTGTAAAGGGGCGTGTTCCAAAGAGACTGGCAAATAACAGAATAGGTTTTAGAAAAAAAAAATGGCTAACAGGGAATAGGGTGATGATGACACGAATGACGCAGAGTCGGGCTATTGAATTGGTCGTTAAAAAAAATGGGACAATACGAAGTGTGTGCGATGAAATTGTGTGGGTGAAGAGCGTGGGAGGAGTTGAAGAGGTAGATGGTGGGGAACCCAGTGAAATGGAGTGAAGTGGAGTGAATAGGCGAAATCCTTTTTAATTTTATTTTTTTCCTTGTGTTTCCTTTCTCAGATGTCTGGGGAGAGGATTCATCAATCCTTTTATACAAAAATGAGAAGGATATTCCTGATTTTTTTTCTTACTCTTTTCGTCTTGGTTTCCTTGAGCATTCGATGCTGCAACAAGATGAGTGCTTTGATTCATTTCTTTATTTTCTCTTCTTCATATTTTGCTCTCTATGAAATGTCGTTGGTTTATTCAATCGTTGGTTTTAATTCTCTCATATAAAAGACAAGTATAATATAATAGGAATATATAAAATATATTAAATTCTTACACATTAAATAGATGTATTATATATATTCAGATTGATTTTAAGGTTTTACTTATGATGTGTACATCTTTGTTTTGTTTGTTTATAATGCAACCTTATTTTCTTCGTTTCAAAAAAGGAATGTCTCTATTTTTTGCGCTGATATCCTCTTCAATACCACCCTCTCTCTTCTGCCTAGAACTGGAAAGACCATATCCCATATCCCATATTCTATGCACTTCGCAGATTATAGTGGATGAATATATATCAAATGGTGCACGTAGAAATATAGAAGGGCATTTTATGCGTATGCGTAGAGATCATGTTTGGGATGCCGTTCTTCTCGCAATACCATATTTTGGAATGGTATGTAGCTTTTGCACTTAGCCGTTAGCAGTACATAACACATATAGCAATTCGAACCTTCCGTTGACTCCCTTGTCCAATGGAGCTTGAGTGCCTTTTTTTATTGTGAGGCCAAGAACACGGTAATCAAATAAGCTAGGAAATATACTCTTATTATTTTAGCCACGTCAAGAGTTTCTTTCTTGTCGTCATCCTTAAAGGCCGCTCTTCGGTCGCATGCTAATTCGCGATAATGGGGAAGAAAGCCCTGTGTATATCGTCCTTATTTTCATACCCCAGTTGCCAGTTGCTACTCCTCAACTTTTTATGTAGTTTCCATGGCATAAACAAAGATTTTGAGATTTACACTTAGTAAAGGAAATTGTTTACAAATCCCCATTGAATTTCTAAAGCGAGTAAGTAAGGGTATGCATGTCTGGAATTATCAGGAATTTATTTTTTATTCCTATATAGCCAATGTAGCTTGGTAGCAGAGGTTTTAGAAAGACGGGTTTTTGGACTTGGTCAAAAGCAATCTTAAAGATGAAGAGTTATTAAAAATTTTATCCATTTTTCTTACGCCTGGGAATCAAGCGACAAAAAGAAAGAAGAAATACTTCAATCACTTCTCCGTAAAGTAATTGGCGAAGTCCTAGGTGCCTGTATCGAGCAAATGAAGAGTGCTGTGGTTTTTTTTACGCGTCTTCAAGGAACATCTGCTGGATTGAAGATAAAATTAAAAGATAAAAATAAAATTAAGAAATAAGTAAAATAGGCACGTTTCGGATAGTACATGAACATTGGACTTGCTTCTCCTTTTTCATCGTTTTCAGCAACAAGTACATGTAATGGACTTCCCGCCTATACCTCAGTCTTCATACTCCATGCACCATAACCATTATTTACTATTTAACTTTGACTCCTCGTTTCTGCGAAACGTGTATCAGTCCTATAATGATGAATATAAAAAAGCAATGTATATAATATATATATATATATATATATATATATTATGTATTTAGTAAAAGCTAAAATATGCTCTCATATTTTTCTTACAACATGGTTTGTTGAAATTCTGTGAATAAAAAATTGTCCGGTCCACGGTGCTGCATACATACTGCTCTGTGCCAAAAAGAGATACGACGGAGAAAATATTGTGGAGCAGGAACAAGGAGAATTTGTTGAAGAAAGAGCACATCATTAAGATTTGCATTGATGTAATAAAGCATGGAACATCGGTGTTGGGCGAGAGCAGACTATATGGTCGATTAAGGGTCATAGTGTGAGTGGTGTCTCTATCCTTTCAATACGTTGCCACTATGCAATGCACTCAAAAGACTGACATTGAATATAGCATGGCTATTTTACAACACCACAACATTGTTCTCGCTCTTGTATAATTCATCCGTCCCAATAGAGATAAGCAACGGCGAAGCGGCTCTTTCAATGCCCTCCAATGTCAATCCAAAACGAACAACTTCTACAAGAAAAAAATTAACCAATTAAGAAAGGATTGGACAACCACAGATCATGGGGAACATACACTTAAAATTATCCATTCGCGGTTTTACTTTCTTTTCGTGTTTTATATTTAAATCAATGAAATCATTATGAAAAAAGCAGGGGAATGAGGAAAGTAGGGTTGAGATCATGCAATGTGAATCATTGAGTATAGGTGGATAAAAGAGAGCTGGTTCTCCAAAAACGTGCTTAGATATTTTCGTGTTACAAGCATACACCATGGAAACATCCATCTGTTTCGAGAAAAAAGGACACTTTTACGCTGCAACATTGAATCATTCTCAACGCCATCGCTCTCGCTTCGTTATTTCTATCCCTAGAGCATTTATTGTTCTTTAACATTTTCATTGGCACATCTCTCTTCCGTGCCATTATGAAAAATAGGTGAAAGTTTTACAGAGTTATAGAGATGAACTACAAATCAGCTATTCTAGGCGCATCTCCGACCTTTTTTAAAACGCTAGGTTTATTTTCTCCTTTATTCACCTCAATTACTAATTGAGTATTGGGGGCAAACGTTTCGTCTTGGCCTTTACAGTATCTACGTACTTTATATTTTTATTTTTAGCGAATAGGTTTAAATAAACATAAGGCAAAAAAAAGTCTTTTCTAGCTATATTAACAAAGTCATAGGAGAACTGTATTGAGATGTACATATGTTATATATATAATATATTAACGAGACAGATGAGGCACCGAGTGATATGAATATGTGGAGAAAGAAAAAGTAAGGTTCGTATTGGGCTTCGCAGTATCCGTTTATTAAATGCGTACCTGTATCTGACCTGTCAAAAGAAACTTTACAATGAAATGACCAAGAGGAAGAACGGCGATGATCGAAACAATAAAAAAACTTTAGGATCATCAAATGGACGCGTTCAGCACAAAAAGTAAATCTTCCGACGCTTACAAAGAAATGATCCAAGCATCAAAAGCTTTCCAAGGTTTTCTTAATTATGAGCCATTTTTCAGTTGATTTCAGCTATTGGTCCTACCACGATCTCCCCAAACTCTATTAATTGAGTCCGCGCAACTGTATTAGTATCAAGAAGCTTTTTTTTTTTTTTTTTTTTTTTTTTTTTGCTAAACTCTCCGTTTCAATAAAGATACTTTTAGTGATATATACAGAAGTACTTAAAATGAGGGCTACATGCTCTGAAATGCTTTGTATATTTCAGCCCCCGTTTTTTGTCACAGGCTTGCTATTATTAAGCCATATAAAAAACTTTTTTTTTTTTTTTTTTTTTTTGGTTGCAATCACTATTTCCGTTATGATCTTGCCCCACATTGTCCTATAAAAAAGATGATAATGCAACAGTGACAGCAAATTGCAATAAGACGAATAGCTGTAATTAGACGAACTGCTGTGATACAAAAAAAGGAAAACCGGTTTTTTGTAACTCAAGCAATTAATGCAATGTCGCACGGTCGTAAGAATTAGAGAGATGCTTTTTTACTGGGAGATCATTCGTCAGTCCATAAAAATTAATGCGCCCGCTCTTGCATGTATGAACTATGGCCTAAAAAGGAATCAAAAAAAGGGTTCTTGGCTACATGTTTACCAAATAAGCAAAAAAAAAAAAAAAAAGAGAGCTTTTGGACCACGAGGCCTCGAACCTTTTTTTTTATTAATTGGGTACCATGGACTAGCCTATCTAAGCCACAAGATTTACAGGAGAAAGCATAAATGTTCCAAGTGTTTCAAGATATTATTGGGAGCCAGAATGGATTATTAGTTGGAGCCAGAATGGATTATTAGTTGGCGCCAAAATTGATATTACACAAACGGACTGCGGAAAAGAAAGAGAAGCCTACCTGAGAGATACATGAAGCTGTCATGTTGTTTTTGTTTTGTTATGACCATTCTGCTTTTTACGCCATCCGGTATTGAACTTTACAGGTCAAGCAATGTGGCTTTCGAAGAGCCGTCTAATTTAATAAAGAGGAACTATTGAGATCAGGTCATTCTTATCCAAAGTGCTCAGGTCTTCAGAAGTCATTCATATTATTTTTTAGTGTATATTAATATCATTTGTCTTCATAGTCCTCTGACACATATCATCGGATGCAACATGAACTGTACGCATCGCATAATTTCGCCGCACTCGAGGAAATTTTTTCAATAAGGTTAATAGCAATGATATGTACGAGTAAATGAAAGACACCTAAACAGTGATTTGCTGACTACGTGATTTGTGTAATGTCTGCATTAGTCTTTGATACTCCTTCGATAAAATGCGAAAAAAACTTCCTCCTTATCGTAAGAAGCCTAGGTAAATCTGACAATAATATGTATAAAATTAAATGATATTCTTTTGTGTGCACATGATAGTTATAGTAATGAAATAATTGTATGGATGAAGGCGTAGTGTGGAGATTACGAGACCTTTAAATAGCAGACTAACATACCAAATAAAAAGAAATAAAAAAGCGAAGCATTAAGTAGACAGGTAATGGTTGATTCTTGGACCCCTGTATTCCAAAAAGTTCCCTCTTCCGGTTTATTCAGCTTCAACATTACCGTGCTCTCTCATGCCCTCCTTCTTTACAGGCTATTGTAATTTACAGTTCGTGAAGAGAAGCAATAACACATAATTTTGAGTGCGTGGTTGCTCTTTTCCACGCTTTGATGTTCCACGACATGACGCGCCATTTCCTTCTAAGGAATACTTATTTTAAAGACTGAAGTAGCGTCCAATGAAAAACAATTGATCTTGGAAAAGAGAGAGTATGCCCTAGCTGTTTTAATTGTCCTAAAATCATGGGAGTTTGGTGTAGTTATCCTATACATCAATCCTTACTTTCTATTATGAAGAAATTCGTGCAAAGAGCTATATATTTCTTTATTTCTTTATTCATTAAAAAAAAAAAAAAAAAAAAAAGAATAGTAGTTGACGCTTTGGCAAGTTAATGTAGCTTCATGAAGTCATGATTCTAAGTCCAGAATTCCTAGCCAAGACTTGAGTGACAAGGCACAAAAGAATCACTGAAAGACGAGTGTGGCTGGGACGATAGACTTAGAAAGCTGAATATGAAAATTTTACTCAGAGAAACGATACTTCTAATATGGCTACAAAGGTTGTAATTCAAGTATTTATAATTGACCACTCATTTTATTTTATTTTATTTTTTTTATTTTTATTTTTATAAACCACTGATCGGATGATACTTTTGTCCTATCGTTCGTTATGTTGTTCAGTCCCAGTAGACGCCAGCCAGCTGCTCTTGTAACCATGGATTATTCTTAATTTGGTCGTGGTATTGGTCACGAACCTGTTCGATCCTTTGGAGCATCGCCGTACGATCTTGAACAAGAGGTTCGATGTTGCCTTGAGTGATGGCCTGGATCATTTCTTCAATCAAAGCCATACCAGCCTAAACATATCAAAACAAAAAAAGATAGCAAATGAATAATGTGCAGAATGCTGATGACGACATTATGCTTGAGCTCGGGTTCATTCAAAGCTTCCTCTCTGATGCTTGAGGGGGCAAGGACAAAGAAAAAGTGCAAAAAATAGCGCGATGTGAACTTAAAATGCTGCGGTAGAATAGTGGACTTTCAAGTCCCCTGAACTATCCTGCTTATTTTTAGGCAACTAATCACTCAACGCGATTAAGCTGGTCCTAGTCCATGGCTTTTTCACCCTCGAAAGGCTGGGAAGATTTTTGTGAAAGAAAATAGGAAAAACACCCCTGCTTTGGTTCAAGATCAAGGTTAAGGTTTGAGATGGGTATAAGACGATAGTGCAAGCTATTGTGCGCTGGTGTTAGTTGTTTGCATGTAATCTTTTTTTGTCCATGCACGAACACACATTCTAACCTAATCAGCGAATGGACAAAAATAACTCGCTGCCAATCGAATAAAAAAAAACTCCTCATCAACAACAAAAAAATTGACTAAAGTATGCTGTATCAGTATTAAACGTTATTTTTTTTTTTTTTTTTTTTTTTTTTTTTTTTGATAGTAACCATTTTAAGCCATTCTGATGGAGAAAGGCTGATTTGTGGAGACATTGACTAGTTGTCCCTTGCCATACATGACCAGTTCACGGAATACAAGAGGCTACACCTGTCAGCCTGTTTTCATCTCATTTCCCTATTTTTCTCAACTTAATCGTTGGTGTCTCTACTGCCATACTCTCTTATATCACAATCCTTTTAATCCTTAATAGCAATGACAGAGGATGTATCAATTTCAAAAGAGAATGAAGTTCCATGTCCTCTACAGTGAAGGAATGAACACTCCAGACCACGAAATAATCATGATCCCTAACGTAGAGTCTAATTTCCCACATACGTGCCTGAAAAAAATATAAAATATAATAAAAATAAAATAAAAAGATGCGCTCTGCCTTGTAGTAAATGCATATTCTGGTGCCATTAACCCTTATCGAGAGAAGAAGGTAAAGAAAAAAAAATGCGGTTGGAGGATGCCTAGTGTATCTTGTCTTACCTCGACATCTTCAACTTTAGCTCTTTTATGCAAAGCAGCTGCTTGTCCGCTTTTTAAACTTGCTTCTACTGCCACCGCCGTCGGTGACAGTGAAGACGATGCAGGTGTAACAGTTGAATGATGGGTAGAAAAGTCTTCAAGTTCCATGGCTTTGCGTTTGGCCAGTTGGACAACCGAGTCTGGAAATTGAGCCAGCTCTGCTACATGGATTCCAAAACTCTGGTCGCATACACCTTCTACTACCTTATACAACAAGGTGATTTCGCGGCTCTTGTTGTCACCATTGTTTTCAGTGCCGTCACCGACATGCGCGGTGACATGAAGGTTACCTACATAGGGCGCTGTCTCTCCCAAAGATGTCAGTTCATGAAAGTGTGTGGCAAACAGACAAAAGCACTTGATTTCTGTCGCAAGATGCCTGTCATTTTTATAGAAAAAGGTAATGAAGTGTTGGTATTAGTTAAGTTTGGGGCGACCATCATATAGAATTATGTATTGAAACATAAAAGGAGCGAGGTATTCGAGATAAGTGACATGCAAAAATAAAAGGTTTATTGACTTACTCAGATATTGCCCAGGCCAAACCAAAGCCGTCATATGTACTGGTTCCTCGACCAAGTTCATCAATAACAATAAGCGAGTTCTTGGTTGCAGACTAATGTGTTTTGAATAAAAAAAGTTAGAAAAGTCCGTGCCTTTCTCCCCAGGTGAGATGGAATTCTTAATCCTCGAGAGCCATTTATTCGCATATGCCATACGGAAAAACTGAGATGTAGCCCCATAGAGGTAGAGCAAATTAAGGCTCAAGTATGTGCGTGGCAGACTATTCTTCCAGCTCAACGACTTTGCTGCAATTCATGGGAAGAAACAAATAAAATTGAACCTTCCTGGCATGGTGCTCATATTTTACAATGAAAGAAGCGCTGTTCTGGTGCTGATTATGGCCATTACTGCATCGAATATTAACAGGTCATGAATGTGAGCAATTGGATAGTAATACGTTATTTTTTTTTGTTACCTTGAGAATGCTAGCTGTCTCCAACATTTCTGCCATGAAAGTAGATACACCCTTCATTTGGCTGTCACCAGCACCAACTCTTGCTAGAATGCAGTCAAACACGCAGAGTGTAGCTTCAGAACATGGTACAAAGCAACCGGTCTGAGCCATCAGAGCAATGACTCCGATCTAGGACAATAGCGACAAAATGAAATTAATGCAGGTGCAATTACCATGTTCAAAAAGGGGAAGCGTGTACCATGTGAATAAAGCACTAGGTATATGCCTGGTTGTTATTACTGTTGTAGTTGTGCATATGTAGAATAAGTATCATTACCTGGCGAATATAGGTTGATTTACCACCCATGTTAGGACCTGTGATAATGAGAAACTCAGTTTGGCCTAATATTTCTCACGTTTTCAGAGGGGAAAACAAAGGTGTCAGCTCCGTTTGATTCCAGAACTGAGATTATCATTGACAGCTGCATATGTACCATACCTCGAATTAGGCTGACATCATTAGGAATGAAAGCGACATCGTCTTGGGCCTCAAGACAAGGATGCCTTGACTCTTTCAGAATGACATCTCCAGTTCCCATAGCGGACATGCGAGGTTTGACAAACGGTAGAGGCGCGTGAACTGAAACATGTGCAAAACTATTATGATGTAGGAATCAAGGAAAACAAAGTGATTGATATAGTTAAGATTTTATCGCGCTTCATATTCTTGACGCCTATATTTTGATAAAAGGAAAAAAAAAAAAAAAAGCAAACCCGCTCTCAGTCAAAGGACGCTGCCAGCCTATTGGGCAACATGCCCATAATAGGTAAGAATAGAAGAGGTTTTGCAGGAAAATGAAGAAAATGTTCGTTTGCATGTAGTAAAATTGAAAGGCGCGAATATACGATCCAGGGATGCATTACCTTACAAGAACATCCAGTTGTGCAACCAGAGTGTTTAGCTTCTCTAAGACAGGGCAATATGTGGAAACGATTCCGATAACCTCTTTTGCTAATGAACTCTGTGTTTGCTCGTACTCCTGTGAAGCCTCTCTGAATGATTGTGAGGCAGTGCGCATTTTTGTTGTCGTGAACAAAACACCATTCTTTTGAGTGGCCAACTCAATATAGCTGCTCTTGTTTCGTAGACACGATGAGTCCTATTATCGATAGTAAATACATGGTTCTGATTTTAGTTCATCAGCTATTTTACAGGAAGAAAGTGTATTGGAGGATTACATACGTTACGAGAAAGACGAAAACTCCATCCGTGGACTTGATGGTCCTCCATTTTCAGCTTCTTGTCCATTTCCATGTTCAAGTCATCTGAGACACGCATTTGCTCTTTCTCCATGTTATCCTTAACTGTCTCCATTTTAGCTCGAAGCGCTTTTCATACAGTAAAAGAAGAGCCGTGTTTTTCTCATATCAGCAAACAAATCTGGATTATTTATGTCAGGAATTAGGGTGAAATTTGGGCGGCCAATCACCTTTCAGGCTTTGATCAAATTCGGCCTTGATCAAATATTCATGCCTGTCAACAGCATCCAGATCAATTGTGGTCTCGACTAAGTCCTGCAGCCTCTGTAAATTGTTAGAATACTCTTGGAAGTATGCAGTAAATTCACTCTCCAGAATCTCCTTATGTTCAAGCGACCCAGTTTCGCAAGACGCTAAGGCGCTGACCAGTCCAGGAAGACGAACAACAACCTGATAGACTCTGACAACATCTTGTAATGATGCAACACCACGTTGAAACCGTTTTGCCAGGCGATGTAAGTCAGGGATCATTTTTAAATGAGTCTCTTGAAGGCTCTGCCTCAACTCCGCATCTAAAGCAAACGCCTCCACCATCGTCTGTCTCCGTTCTGTTTAAAAATGCAATAAAGTATCGAAAGGCGAAAACAGTGGTTAGCAGACCACAGAGAGTTCCTCTCTACCTCATTCATTTGCATTCGAATATGGTAAATTCTATTTTACCGATTGTAGCAACATCTAACAGCGGTTGCTTGAGCCATTGTCCAAGCATACGTCCACCTTGGGCAGTTTTGCATTTATTGAGTAGCCCATAGAGGCTCATCGACTTGTTAGCTCCATCTTGTGGCCCAGGCATAAGGTTGAGCGCTCGAACAGCTGATGCATCCAGCTTCATATATTGCGACAAATCATGGCTCCGTAGTGTGTACTGTCCAAAGTTTGTTTCATCTGTCAACAATGCCAAATACTTGATGACACAGGCAGAAGCAGCCATTGCGTTTTTAAGTTCAAACTCTGGCAACGCGGCAATTGAAATCTCCTCTTCTAGCAGGCGGTTAAAATCCTGCTCCACATCCTTGACAGAAAACTCAGACTTTTTACGTTCTGTTATAACAACGTCGCAGTGCTGGAGGATGGCACGCAGTTTCGCAAGCTCATAATCTTTTTGGCCTTCATCAGCCTGAATTAAGCATTCTTTTACTCCAAGCTGAATCACAAGTGATTCGAAGTTAGAATAAAGGTCGTTGTCAATGAACTCTGCAATGCCAAGTTCCCGTACAGTAGCATCAGCGAAGCATACACCCACAGTTCTATGATCGCCTCCAATATGTGCTTTCACGGCCATGACAATCGGAGATGCAGCCATATCTGTGTGTACAAACAAAAGATCTTCCATGTCTTGCATATTCCCGGGCGAGGCCTACGGTGCAGATCAAACATTAATGGGAATTTTGACTTTAGATTTATGATTTAATATCCACGCTTCAGCTTTAAGATGCAAGACGCACGCATTATTACCCTTTTGATGATGCCCCAAACATTCTGTTTGCGGGGTTCTGCAGCCCAAATCTCAACTCTCATTTGTTGATTCAGTAATGCATCTCTCAAGAATGTTTCGCAGGTCGTCCTCGACAAAGTGCAACTAGGCACGCCAGTTGTAACATCGCCTGAATATGAATCCAATTGTCCAATAGAGTATAGAAGTATAGATTAAAGACTGATGATCAATTACTGTATAATTTCGCGTATTATATCTACGAAGCACCGTAATGAATTATTACCTCCAAGGTATTTAATAACTGAAGTTGTCTTGTAAACATGTTGAGCAACAAAATAGGCGTCCTCTCCGTGCACGCTATAAAAATCCTGTGAAGCAGAAGTTGGAAAGGACATTAGAGCATATGGTTGGAGCACATTCTTATTTTCAACACTGACGTATGACAATAACATACTCCTGAGCTTCTCTCAAAAAGGCGGATACAGTTTTCCTGACGGTCAGGAAGACTTCTCAGAAAAGAACAATACTTTTGTTCTCCCTGGTTATCTATCATTTCACAAAATTGAAGAGCCGACAAGGATTTTAGGCCAAATATTCTTTTTTTGTAGCAATGTGATGAGTGGTGTGTCCCTAGAAGTCATCCTGATGTTATTCTTTACCCAAGTCGAACTCAGGCCTATCCTTGAGTGCTGACTCTGACATTGTCTATTTTAGACTATGTTGCCTTGGAGATTGGAATACCTGAAAGAGTTGAGTTTGTTTTGTAGCAGAAGGAGAAGAGGACAAAAACTTCATGTCAATGGTCATTGATGTTTAAATTATTGTTTGTTTGCATCATGACGTTAGTGACTGCGACTGCAAGTTCATGGCCAAGGGCCGACTTTTCATTTTCCTCGGAGGTGATCATCTTCCTGAAACTATATGCACCAAGCTCCAAAAAAAGATGGCTTCAGACTCAAATATCGACACTCTCGAGGTGCTGCTACACCCAGGACTTATCAAAACTAAGGTAACGTTAAAGACCTACTCACAAAATGGCCTTCATGTTTGTCACAAAAAAAAAAGAGCAGGCTAAATTCGTTATCCTAATGTTCAAGCAATTAGTTCTAATAAAACTTGAAATCCATTAATATCAATAGCTGTCAGCTCTTCCTCGATTGACAGCACATAAAGAAGGCCGACGGTTATTGAAAGATCTCCTCTCGATCACGCGATTTGGGACGCCTGCTATAGTTCCTATAGACACACCCAGCATAAATAACAGTAGTGGGGGTAACAAAGGGGACGACGACGTGGCAGCCCAGCCGATCCAGCAGCAAACAATGACACTTACGGAGCGTCAGGGTAACTAGTTGACTGATCGGCGGAGGGTTGCATTCTTTTTATCCTTGCACTTATTTAAATTAGTGCAGACGCTTGAACCCAATTTCCCTGAAAATAGCTTTTAATTCCTCTAATGGTTTCGTGGATGGATAGATATGCTCCTGGAGCAAGCATATAAGACCTATCGCTTCGCATCACTATCACTAGAGGATATTTTGGAAGTAGTGCCTCAACCAAATCAACTTTGCCTCATCACTACGATGATGCTTTCAACGCAGTACGTGCGCACACTGATGAATATATAAGAATTTTTTACATGGAGAGAGACATGAGCTATAAAGAGGTTTTACGATTGTGGTGAGAATGTTTTGTAATTTCATTCACTCTATTATCTTTTTTTTATCGATCTTTCAGAAATACTACTATTCCAGAGATGGAAATCCTTTCTGAACCATGGGACGCTCTCACACTGTTCCAACGATGGATCCTTCGGTGTCGTATCAATGGCCTCGAAGAGTCAGGACTTGACTTTGGGGATTCAAAGGTCCATGCAGAGGCGTTAGAAACGAAACTCAAAGCCCTTGAGAAGGTACCGTGACCTTATAGATATTTAGGAATCAGCTCTAAAGAAGCAATCAAGCTATCAATTGGTCCTGCTACTTACGTAATATTTCTGTAATATCCTTATATAGGTTTCTTCGACTAAAAGAGAACAGATCCTTCAATGCCAGCTTTCATCCGAACTTGGTCAATATTACTGTTGGAGCGGTCAGCATGCAAAGGCGATTGAGTTTTTGGACGCATGCCAGATTGTACATCATGAACACTCCATAGAATCAGCAGCTGAGACTCATTTACAATGGTATAATGCTGGCATCCATGGACCGCTGTATATAACCCGCAACGACGAGCGAAATCTAAATATTATAGATGTATGGTTTTTGTATTTTAAATTTTCAACTTTAGTTACTTGGACATGGGTAGGATGATTGCACTTTTAAATCTATCAAGGTTGGCCACAGGGGAAGGTTTGAAAAGCCAAAAGGAGAGCCTATCGACTTTGAAGACATTAGAACAAAGTAAAGAGTATGTCAAGCTCGCAGATGAATTCTTGAAGGACAATAGCATGCGTGAACTTCCTTTTATATGGCGTCAGACGGTGCTTTACACGGCGTTAGAATGCCAGGAGCTTGAAGGGGCAACCTTTATTAGTGTTGCTAATGCGCTTTATAACCCAAGCGACCCATGTAAGCTTTCTTCAAGGGACTTAAACCGTCGTAAATGTGTCGCTTGTTGGAATAGTACAGCGGACATAATTCTTAGTTTAAGTCTTTTCCACTCACGTCAGCATTGGCTTTTTATGCTGATATTTACAGGTACAATGATGCTCGAGATCCCTTCAATAGTTCTTCAATTTTTGCGGTCGATTACGTTTCAGAGCGGACATGAGCCTGAAGCATATCTCTTGCCTTCAATATTCCAAGAGCTGATGGAGTTCATTAAAAAGGCACATGAGTCATATCATGACAATAAAATTCAGGATAAGATCAAGCATTTCACGCATAAACTGTGCATCAGTGTGAGGCATGTTCTTTGTTACAATTCTGCTTGGGAAACAGGTAAGGCAAAAGAGCTTCATGAAAATATAGTTGTATCAGCTCAATAACGTCAACATTAATATACATACACATGCTTATTATTATGTTAGGGCTATTGGATCCTTCGGCAGAGGATTGGTCACAAGTTTGGGATATGTATAGCTTTATTTTGGTAAGCTTGAAAACAACGCAGCGCTGCCCAGTCTTTCCCCCCTTCTTCTCTACTGCACTGACGCCTTTTTTTCATACAAGTCGCAAGATATACCTACAGACATCCATCTATTAGATGAAGCATTACAAACACCACTTACAGTTGAGGCCGGAATTAAAGGGCTTATTCTTGAACGTATGGACGCCGAAGGTCTGGAACATTACATTCGACAGGTAGAGCACCTATTGTCTTATAAATTACTGCAAAGGAGTCTTATTCCCGCCCTCTGACCAACGTCTATTTATTACCATTGTCTTGAAAATAGCAATCTCTACCCCCACTATCATCGGCTCTAGTTTTACTTGCTTTTGGTGCCTTTGCTTGCAGTCAATCCCGCTATTATGAAGGTGATCGATATTTCCAAGCAGCCACAAGGTTCATGATCCAAGAACAAGACCATTCCTCAGTAGTTTTTGGACAAGTTGAGTTCCAGACTCGTAAACATGCTGCATGGGCGCAGCTCGGTATTTTAGCTTTAGAATTCGAGAAAAGAAGGGATCAGCGAATTCACACCAGATTACAACAAAGGGTAGCAGCTAGGCTGCAGTCAGATCCTATGGCTAACTCCAATGGAGGCAGCACTAAAAGATCGTCAAAAACAGTGGCTAATTCGAATGCAGCAGTATCATCAGCATTGTATGGGAGTGCTATGGATGTTGATGGTTCAGCCGCTATGGACGCCGAAAGCCAAGAGCGTATTAAAAGAGAGACGCAGGCTAAGGAGGATGAGGCGCGCACAATGGATATCTGTCAACTCATGTCACTCTATACTCGAACCTATGGTATTCTTGAGTTTAACTTGCAAGTAAGTGCAAGAATTGCGTCTCTAGTCTTAATGCAGTATGACAGGACGTTTAGATGAAGGGTACGATTATATTGAAAGACTGACACTGATAAGGAACCTTTTTCATTCCATTTAATCGAATCACTGACCTGAAGCTGCGTTGCCTTGCAATCGGTATCAATGGTAGACAATGGGATTTCTTGTCTGGCTATGGACGTGCAGCAGCAGAAGCTCTTGACAAAAGCATACATGGAGGTACTTTGTTTACTTTTCTACTAGAATCAAATATATTATTCAAGTATGTTCAGAGCGTCGCCCTTAGATGTTTATATGATAGTGCTCATCATCTTCATGGCTTCATTATTTCACTTAGAGCTTTGCCAAGTCTATAGTGTTTTGGTGCCATTATGTGCAGTATTAGGAAGGGCCCAGGCTTTAGGTGTTGATCTGAAGGATGTCACATCATTGAACTGTCTTGATGCATTGTTCTCATCCGATCTTGATCCTATTCAGATCACGCGGATGGCAGCACTGGATATGGTACAGGGTTTATTGCCGTCTGTAGTAGGCAGAATTGCCGGCGGGAGCCGCGGGATACATTGCAGTCGATCTCAACATCAACCGATCTCTATAAACGCTAATAGCAACACCAATAATTACAAACAGCAGCCGCAACAACTACAGCCACAACAACAACAACGCGGGGTTGCTGCATCTTACGTGGCAATGGTTGATGAGGACGCAGGACATAGTGCAATTTTGAAACTCTTTAGCTGGGTACGTCTGCGTGGCGTTATTGATGTTTTTGGTGCCTTACTGGTTGGTGCTATTACATCAATCCTGCCTGAAAATGCAAAGCTTACTTTGAGCGAGTTTGGCTACTATGCATTGTTTACCACTTCAATGGATAGTTTGGGATCCTGGACTGACCCACGGGTCAAAATCATCGCAATGCTCAGCAATGGTGATGCTGGGAAGGCTCTGGAGGCAGTCCCTGGGGCGCATCAGCGATTCTTAAAGCTACTAATTCAGGTGTTTGAAGACCAGCTGGCGTTTGAATCGAATGCATTGAGTAAAAAAATTGTAGCGGAGGCTGCATTACTAGCGGAGGAGAGGTTTGATTCGCAGCGTGGCCTGACCAGGTCGATAGCAACATCTGCACTTTATGCAAGTTCACCCAAAACATGTGCGAGTATCACACGTTATGCTCTATGCCTTACAGATCTATATTACTTAGATGGAAAGCATCAGGATACATTGGCATCATTTCTTTATGGGTGCATGGTGGCCTCTCGTTGTTTTATAGATTTGGATCGGCTCGATCGTCGGGTCTGGTCTGCATATACCCATACCCCATCAATAATTGCTCCACCATCTTCATTTTCGCCAGCACTATCGCAGGCCATCGTACCCTCACAAGGAGGGGTTCCTCTTTCAGGTTCGTTCGGCTCTCTGAATGAAACGGTATATCCAACTCTGACTTCATTGTCCGCCATGAATGGTGGCAGCGTTGGGCCCCCTATTGGACTTGGTCTTACATCTAATTCAGCGCCAGCACCAGAGACAAATGGGATGAATCTTATGTCTCTAGGTCCAGAGCAACTCCCTGGACCCCACGGCGCGCCAGGGCCCATGTTTTCTTCGCTAGGCTTACCAGGATCATCAGGATCACCAGGACCAGCCCTAACAGGGCCTTCTTCTCTACCACCGCCGCCACCGCCAGGCCTGCCCATAGTCACTGGAGGAATGCCTATTGCTGGTGGTCATCATCAACAATTGCCCGTACCTTCTGCGTTTGCTTTGAGAGCCATCGATAGTTGTATGCAACTGCAGGAGCCGCTGGCAAGCGCAGCATTGCAGCAATTCCTTCCACGAGTAGATTATAATCAAGCCTTTGCTGCTATTCGGCTTGCACATGAGCACGGAGCGCTTACATTTTCTGGAAGAGGAACTTTAGCAATGGCTCCTTCTAATATACCAAGCATGCCCTCCTCCACACCCACTGTAGGGCTGAATCCAGGGATGGCGATCCCTACACCATTTGGGAGCTCAGGATCTTTTGGTAATAATGGTGCTGGAGGGTCTGGACCCGGAGCTGGAGTAGGACGAGGTGCAGGAAATCAACAAGGAGTAACAGCCGCACTAGGGCAATTCTTTGGTACTCCGACCTTGTCATCGGCATCGAACATATCCCCAAGAGTGCAGTCGTCTGGAACCGTGTTTAGACCGAAGCTTGACGCCAATGGGACGCCAATTGTCAAAAGGGGATCCGTGGGTGCTGGTGGTCCTTTCATTCTGAATGGAGGAGGTAGTGGGGCTGGCAAGAGCCAAGTGGTACATAGTCCACATAGGGTAGGCGGTAGTGGTAGTAGTGTCCTTTCTCCCCAATTATTTTTAGATCTGGTGTTTGATGTATCATTTTTGGAGTTAGTCAGTCATTTGTGCAAGGAGAGCAAGGATCAGCAGGGTTTGTTGAGAGTGCAGGCACGAATTAACTGCAACCGAATGGCGCTTGATGTTAGACAGCCCTTCCGGGATCAAGTGCATCACTTGGCCCAACAAGATCTTCTTACAAGACTGTGGTCAAAGTACGTCAGGATCGGGTAGTGATAATACGAGCTTATTTATAGACACATATTTTTTAAATGCAAACGCTGTTCTGCCATATTGTTTATTTAATACTCCTGCCACATAAAAGAGAACAACGGATATGAATTACTTTTGCATCTCAGAAAAAATGGGTAAATTATAACGCAAGGCCGTTATTTGCGTTGCATTTCTGTGTAGCGCACCCAAGAGTACAATCCTGAGCCGAATAAACTCAAGAAAATGCCGAACCCATTCTACAAATATCAATAGAAGTAAGAATTAGTTCTTAGTAAACTTCCAAGGATAGGGTATTATGTGATACAAGCTCAAAAAAAACCCCCCCCCCATACCATTGCAGAAATAGGGTTCTGGTAGAATACCATGGCTAACAATGTCTGGACACAGGATTTAGCAGTTCCAGAGATCGTATTGGTCAACGCGGTTGTATACTTAATCTGTAGGAACATGGCTGTATTAATCAAAAACCCTGCTACGCCAGTAAGAGTCATCAAAAACCAGAATCCTAAATCACCCAAAAAGTAAACTTCAGCCCAAATCTCACTCAGTTCGCCCGAAAATAGGACAAGTGGCAACAACAACAAGATGGAAATCGAGGTGTTGTAATGTAGCAGTTTCCACTGATTGTTATCTACAAGTGCCAGAGTCTTCTTTACATAGATGCCATACAATGCCACAAAAATACTGGATCCAACACCCGCCAACAATCCTGGCCACGAGAAATTGGTTTCTCCATAGGATCCTACAAAAAAGCCTAAAACCACAATTGCGCAGGAAAACACTGCCGCTGGCGAAGTCGTCTGACGGAGCATCGTAAATGTGAAGAGGATATTGAAAAAGATGGAAAGTGAACGAGCCACTTGATAGAATGTCACCTCCACCAGTTGGAGACACAAGTTATTAAGTGTCAACATTAACACATAGACGACCGAAAGAGGTGCAATTTTTCGGGCTACTTCTGGATCAAATTCAAATGGAGGGACCATAGAGAAAGTCCGATTACTGTCAGGAATAAATATGAATAAATAAATAAATAAAGCTATATATTTAGCTTACAGAAGACGAGTAACTTCAGTTGTAAAGCAAACGTATTAAAAGATACATACCGCTTGCCAAGATGCCCAGAGACAACTAGTAATATCAACGCAACAACTAGCTGGAAGAGGGTAACGAAGAGCGGGAATGGGAACTTAAATTCTGATCCAGACAGGATAGTCTTATTCAAGAATACAACTGATAGAGATGCAATCCAGTAGAATGCAATGGCTGAGACAATCTTGGATAACGCATGCTGTTGTGGCGTCCGATGCACCGCCGGTGATGGCAAGAATTTATCCTCCCGATCTGTAGATGATGACATGGTGTAATGGAATAAGGAAATGCAAAAATTAATGGATCTCCTTGGTGGCACAGGAATTTGTAACTGGGCTTCAGTTTATTACATCACTATTTTTTTACTTATAACGGATTTCAGTCAATAACGGACTTGCAAGTCTTGTCGTTTGAGTTCTGCTCCTCGAACTGTCTGTTTCGCCACTCAATTCCATCCTCACAATCGCATCCAAATCTGCGATGCCTGTACGCGCCTGTGCTCGACAAAGCGCATCTTCGTCCACTTCTTCAACATATCGCAGCGTCCTGTAGGCGCGTTTAAGTTGATCACTCTCTATCTTATAAAGCGAATGGGTACCTAGTGCTCTAACCAGCAAAACCATTACTAATGATGCTCCTCTACGAACTTCTACTTGTCGATCCAGATCAAGAATCGAGAGTACCCAGTCAATCAGAAACCGCATCTCAGGTAGCAATGCTGTAGGACATGTTTCTGCTGCTGTAGCTAGAATTGTCAGGGCACTTGAGCGTAAAAGTGAAGCTACATCCACAACCGGATCACTTTGTTCATCATTGTCCTCATGGGTTCCTTGGCTATTTTGCATTTTCCTATTTTCTTGTTCAGTTCTCCATTTTTGCTGCCGTTCCTCTGGCGTCAGCAATGCCTCAGATGCCTTCTGCAATTTCAACTTTTCTATGGCTTTTTTTTTCTCTTGCTCCCTCGCCTCTACAACACTCTTGTCTATTGTAGTGTTCATAACTTTGTAAAGGCCAGGTAGAAGTGCATTCAAATAACCACCTAATGCATCCCCACACCGTTGTACCGTTTGTACAAGGGCCTCCCCAACCCTCAACCTCGTATCTAATGTCTGTCTGCCATCCTCATTTGAATAGATCTTCATCAGCTTCTTCAAGATTTCAGGTCCATGGGCGTCTGTCAAAGCTGCCAAACATTTGACGGCGTTCAAGTATATGAAGGAATCTGGTTCCTGGATGTGTTGGACAAAAATGTCCAGAGTATGGTCTAATTCTCTTTCTGCTTCATCTCCACCAAATGAACGTGTAAGGAGGATCGATTTGGAAAGAATCATTTCACGAAGGATATGAAGTCCATGAGCCCGAACAGGGAGCAAGCTATCTTGAAGCGCAGCTAGTGCTGAGGCATATTTTTCCATCTCAATTTCCATTTCTGTCTTATGCGGAGCATCCTTCATGTTAAAGCTGTTATCCAGACGAGTAGGGATCAACGTCCGCAAATCATGTGCAACTCTCCGGATCTCAATCAGAGGATGGTCAGAAAGCCTCTTCAATTGAGTCAGTATCAACGACAGAAGATGTCGATCTTGTTCTGAAAAATGTTCATTCTCTGAGTAATCGAAATATAGATAAGTATTAATGATCATGGCACAGCGAGAGCGATACACTAAAATATTTATACAGCTTTTACCTGTCAAGATAGCAGAGAGTAGGGTCAATACCAGACCCACGATTTCTATACTGGTCTCGGCATCTTCACTATCAGACAATTCAGTTGGATCGGCCATTTGATGCTCCAAAATATTGCTTGCCAGCCCAATGATCTGGGTTACTTTGCTCATGATGCTTGGGCCCAACTTTTGTGTCATACTTAGGATAAGCTGAAGCATTGTAAGCATCCTATATCGAGTATATTTGATGTGTTTGTGAGTTCTATAAACTCAGGACTATTACAGATGCTAATACTAAAACTAATGCTAATAAGTTTTTGCCGTTATAAGGGCTTACCTCCTTGGTGATACTGAATTAGTTCCACGAGCCTTACTTGCATGATATTCGTCTAATAGATACACATAGAGATCTCCTGAAATGTCTCCTTGATGATCCCCAGCCTCGAGTTCACTTAAAAAGTCTAAAAACACATCAACATCTAACTCAAGCTGAGTTGCGGCACTATGGCCTTGAGTTCTATTGCAAAATGGAGGATTGCGTTCCATACCTACTGTAAGTATTTCAAGCTGAACAGAACATGACAAAGGACATAACCCTAGCTCACCTCCTACAACGCAGAACGGCACCGCCAGTTGGACCAGGAGCAAAGTAGCTCTCGCCAATAGTGCCCATCTCGACAAGGTCTGCGATCTTACGTCCAGTATACGACACTAAAGCTTGCCAAGGCTTTGACGGGGGCACAGGCATACGCCTACGCATTACAATTGCTTTAAGGACCTCAACAGTTTCTCTTGGGTCTAAGATCCTTAAATATGATATCAATAATTCCCGGACCTTCTCACGCAGAACAGATCGCACTTGAGACAGAAATTCATACAGCCTATAGAGACTTTGTGCAGCTTGCCCTAGAAATGCTTGAAAAAGAGCAGGTGAAGGTTCATTGCCGACAAGGAGCGAGTGCAAGAACATTGTGGCTTTTGAAATTTCGAATTCGGAGGCTACTAGTGGGTCCAACTCAAGGTCATCGCCGTCTCCTTCCTCACCAACTGGCATGGAGGCGGTGTCTGACATGACTGGTATTTTCTGGTTAGCCTGAGTACCCCATTTCCATAGTGGTTCAATTTCTTTTGCAACAATTTCCACCTGACAAATGGCTGGGTTTTTCATCATCAACTTGTTGATAACAAATGTCGTAGTTTGAACCAACTGCGGGCTTGGAAGAATATGCTGTTTCTTTGCCTCATTAGTTTGGTCTGGATCGTCTAGTTTTAAATCCAGCTCTATTATCTCAAGAAGCTCAGGGCAGATGGTGCGATAGTATTCGTGGACCGATGACATCTGATCAGGAACGCAAGTTACCAACCGCGCGATCCTCTCCAGTTGATCCAACTTTATAATCTCCGAGCTGCCCTGCATGTACTCCAGTACGACTCGGACACCACCAGGACGAAGTAGGATTTGAGATAAGAATCGCCCACTAACAGCCTTAAGCCATGTGGGAGTCAGATGCTTTGGCGATGATGAGGATAGAAGGATAGTCAGCGATTCTAAGGACTTAGCTGCCTCTGTGCTCCAGAACAAGTCATGAAACAATTTGGCGCTTTCCTCTTTTTGCTGAAGCTGGCGCGCTTTTTCGATCCCAAGTCCGCTACCTTGAGTTACCTCCGTTTGCCATTTTGAGTCTGCTGCATCTTTTGATAGGTTTACTGCCTCAGCAGAGAGCGGCTTTACTGTTCTAGACATCAGGTTCGCCGGAGTCCGCTTCGTCTGAATTGAGGTCGTCACTGATGGTGTTAGTGGGTCTACCCCTGCTTCTCTAATAGGCTTTGGGAGCGGGTGATACGCCAATTGTAATAAAGCCGCATACAAATCAGGTACATGTCGACTGGCCAGGATACTTCCTAAAGTTGTAAATCGTGTCACTTTTGGAGAGTATGCCACGGTAATTTTCGCCAAAGGCTCGATGATGGACCATAAAAGGTTTGTAAGTTTATACTGGGTAACAAGATTCTCGGCGACATCAGAGGTATCGGTGCTATTGTTAGTGCTGGCTGTGATTCCTGTCCCTGATTCAGTGGCGAAAAGCTCCTTTTGCATAGTGTTGGATCGAACTCGGCAGTGGAGAGGCATACCGACTCCAGGCAATAAACATGGATAAATCCCCCAGCAGACAATAATCTCGAGCATCGTATGAATCATGCGTTGGTCCATTAGTCCTAGAAGCTCCTTGTCGTTTGATGGATCATGTATTTCTATAGAAGTATCATGTCAAGGATATGTCCTCTCAGGGCATTCTGTATCTGTAGAAAAGCACAGAGTTAATATCAAGACCGATTACCTCGATCCCGCACAAGTGTCAATAGAATTTCCTCAAGTCTCTTAAGCAGTTGAATAGATTCCATCACAAAGTCTGTTCGCACATCTTGACATCCATCGGTCAAACGACTTTCATCATGATTATGACATGGATCTCTGGTATTTTGGAGACTCAGTCTTGACGTTGGTTCGCCCTCTATAGTCTCTGATCCTGACTGCAATGAAACACTATGCTGATTTGCCAATTCTGCACGTAAGGTCGTAAGTGCATCTAATCGCTCCTGAAGGACCTGATCAACTATTAAAGAATGACGGTATCATAGTTAGAAGATAACAAAGCTTTTATGAATAAAGCTCCCTTGGCCTCTCCTTCTCGCCTATCATTACATCTAATAAACTTACTATTTCGAATATCAACCCGAGTCCCCACTAACACATGAATCATTCGCAAATGTAATTTCATTTCCTTCTCCAAAGAACTTGCTTGTGAATACTCATTTGTAATGTCAGCAAGCATTCCCGCTTTATTCGTCATGTCCTTAATCTCATTAATGATATTGATATCTTGCTTTTTTTCGTCTACAAACGGTTGCATGTCGGAGCGATGTCTAGGAGGCAAGGCAGAAATGTGGTGCCAACCGTTGTCATTTTCGGACGTATATAGGCATATTCACGTGATATATGAACCTTGATATTGTTGCAAAATTTAGGGGCAGATGTGGTAGGAGATTTAGGTCGTTTTGGTGGATTATGAAGCCGGTCACTTCCAGCTGCAGATAGATAAATAATTCTAACACAATAAAAGAACACACACACTACTCAAAGACTGGACGAGAACAGTCAGTACTCAAATGGCTCTTGTGTAAAAATAAGGAACAAGGAGCCAGATTTTCCTGAGCTGTTGCTCGTTAAATAGTTGGTGGCGAACCCTCTACACGTGACTAAAACTAAAACCAACAATATGCGATGGAATTCCCCGTATACCTGGGCCGAGCTCTTCAAGCGTCTTCCTAAGAACCAGATCCGAGTCGAGTGCCTCCGTTAACGTACCTTTAAGTAAAACGATGCCCTCGCCTAAGAGTACGGACGTACCATAAATTGCTCGGCAATCAATTGGATTGTGTCTTCAGATATACCGTCTTTGAATAGCTTTAAGAGCCTTATTTAGCCCCTTGGGATTAGCGCTGTTGTGTCTGTGATTAAAGAAGTTAGTCGTACGTCGCATCAAGCCTCTATAGACAGGCGTCTACCAATCAGCAATCAACCCATCCAGTTGCAGGACCCACTTTGCGCGAACCAATTGAAGTATCAATCCTGTACTTTGCTAATGAGAAAGGCCTGTACGGCATTTTATAAAAGTCACAGCATTTTAATATTTTTATTCTAGCTAATCTTAAAAGAGCCACGGTGCTGGTTCTGGATCCGAAGCAAAAACAAAATTAGATTGCTCTGGGTATTCCATTAAGGCTAACCTCCACTCTTTAGCCATGCACCATTGAAGGATATTCCATGATGAAGTTTGGGTCTTGCCATCCGAGAATGGGTCTACACTATGGTCTAGCAAATGTCGCCAAACGGAGTGGTTTTGTGGGACAGATCCCAAAACAATGCTTGGGTTCACTGCATCGGGATCTTTTAGCAATAAATGGAAGCCTCGTTGAACCTGTCGTTGGAACCTTGGGCTGATTGCTGATGCTGATCTACAAAAATCAAGAAATGAGCTTAAAAAGCTCCACAAGACCCAGTCCTGCTTCTTCAATAAGCACCACTTCTGCTCTCGTGAAGCTGTATTTTTTGTGTCTCGTAAAATTGAGTGTAATTTTTGCTGTTGCTGGTGTGATTGTTGATTTATATTACTGGAAGGCTCATCATGCGCTTTTGCCGCTTCAGAATTCCATGACAAGACATCGCTTCGCCAGCACTCCAAGGACGAAATTTTATGAAGCTCAACATGTACCCTTCTTTCAAGAGGCGCAAGTTTAGTTAGTTGTTCCAAAAAATCTGGCAGTCGAGCTTCTGCCGAAGACAAATTCCATGTCCCTGAAATCTGATCAGCTTTGATAGTATAATCTGACATGCGCTTAGTCATGAAATTCTCAAACCATAGGCTCGAACCATGTCCTTCATTCAAGTAAATACTTTCATCTGATGATCGCTCGTCTGGAGTTGCTCCTCCGAGATATTGCATCAAGAATAACCCACGATCAAGTGCACATTGAGCTAGAACTAGAACGGCGTTTTGCCATGCACCATTACGTTTGTCGATGACATCTATGAATACCATTAAATAGATAAAGATTATTAACGCGACGATCTACAATTATAATAAAAATGCTATGATCCATTTTTTAGAACCGAACGTACAAAAGTCAGGATACTGAGCCTGTACTTTGATCAAGACAGGAAGGATTGTCCGAATGATCTGAAGGACCTGCCCAAACAGATGTATTGCCCGTAACGTGTCTTTAGAATTCTCCATAAACGGATTTTGTGCCTCAATTACAGGTCTTAGGTCGCCAAGACGCTCTCTGACAATCTGAAGCCACTCAATATTGATTAGATCGAGACAGCCTACCAAGCATTGTAACAATGAAGGGAACAACATGGCCGTCTCATATTGGAAACTCTGTATGGCCATCAGAGCAGTATTCATGCAATATCGTTGACCTGCAAGCTCAGCTGACATCTGCGCTTGCGGCTCCTTACGCAGCTGATGGATCATTGCGTCTACACTACCAGCCAGTCCTTCAATTACTGAGATGGTCCAACGGCAAGCGGCTGCTGCGATAATAATTAAATCAAGCCGTCGAGGCAGCCTTAATGCAGTGCTAATGATTCCACCTTCCCCCTGTAAGAACGCTGGCCGGATGCTCCGGTAACCCTCAGAGCCCAAAAAAGCCGTCAATAGAGGGCGTGTAATAGAAACGAATACCATTACACGGAAAGAGCTCGTGATCGCGTTCCTGTGCATATATAAGAAAAAGGCAAGCATGAGGCAAGCAAAAATAGCACCAGAATCAGACACAGTCAAATCAAAAACGATAAGGCAGATGTCAAAGCACATCATAATTCTAATAGTCAATTTAAAATAACTAACTATTGGCAAATGTCTTACCATTGTCTCCAGTTCTCACCAAATACACCAGAATTATCCAATGACGCTGTTAAAGCCCATAATGCTTCCTGTGTCTCTTCATATGGGCTTAACTGATCCTCTGCACGACTTGAGAGTAGAGCTTGAATAATAACTCGCCATGGCTGACCAACTAAATGTCGTAAGGATGTCATCCCGGTATTACGTCTTCTCAATGGAGCTTTGTTATTTATAGGTAAAGCTGTCGCGTTCTCGTTCTGGATACCAAGCTCAGATCCCATCGGAAATGCAGATAAGAACTGAACTTCACTTCCATTAGGAGTTAAAGTCACATCACACGAATTGCCGCGATCTGAGATCCTCATCGTCACTACGTTGGCTACAAGGGCACCTCCAGCAGACGGTTCCCTCTCTGGCCAATCGAACCGCATACTATTTTTCCCATGAACGAGCTTTAACTGCGACAGGATCATTTCTAAAACATCTTGGAAAAAGTGGTCTTCCCCATCGTTGTAAAGCATGGCATAGCCACGAATTCTGGTAACAATTTGGATGCAGTCGCTAAATTACAAATGAAGTGAAAGAGTATAGCAATATTGTCGTTATTTGACAGCCATGACAATTAATTTTTTAACATAATTCTAATCATCAACTTACACTGGGGGTTGAGGAAAATGCTGAGAAGATGTCAAAAAGTTAAGGATGGAGTCATCGGTCCTAAGAAGTCCAGAGTCTTTGATGATCACGCCGCAATGCTGCATGATGTACCCTATCACTAGGTGCGAGAAATCAGCAAGTTGCATAGTCTCTAATGCCAGTCGCTTCGACTCTAACCTCTATGTAGATACAATGAATTGATACATTCAAAATTAACGGCTCGAACATTCTCAAAGGCCTACGATCCTTGCACCAATGTCTACTTTTTAAATAAGACGAACCTCCGCGTCAGCCTTGATACGAATTAGCAACATATTCAGATAACCTTGACATCGACCCTTGACCGCAGCTGCTCGATAAGGTGAGATATCATCACGTACAGAACGACAATGCTCTCCCATATTAGAAAGCACTCGTTCAATCAGCTTTGGCCTGTCTCTCATTAGCTTCTGGTGCCACCATGCTTTCTCCTTCACACTCTTTGACCATTGGTCTGTAGCAGACTTATTTCCATGTAAATGCCCAAGATCCAGGGGTGCGCTCGGTAGGTTTTTGAATAATTCCTTACAAAGACCTGAATTTTGACCTGAAAGGCTTTGGCTTCCCACCCTGACAATATCGGCAATAGCTTTCGTGAATCGGTGTTGTAGTGTAAGCTCGTGAGCTGGAAGTCCAATTGTGGCGAACCACAATCTCAAAAAAAGATCTTCATGTTCCATTAGCACCTCTGGCCAGGACTCCGCTACACGTGTCGCCCACACAAGCTGGTTCTGTAACACCTTAAATTGCATCCATGGCGTGTATGATGGCTTTTGCCCAAAAATGCCTGTAATATCATGCATTTTCAAATGATGTTGTTTGAGAAGAATTACTCCACAGTCTGCCAATATTCCCAGGGCTATCCATGTGCCCTGCTTTGATAAATACTCTACAGCCAATGAAGTAGGATTTTGTATTGGTTGATGCGGGTCTGCGGCATTGATGAGGGTTTGCTGGTGGATTTTGACGAGCTCTAGTAGAGAAGGATATACCCATGACCAGAGCACATGGCCAAAATCATTATTCTCGGGAAGATCCATTGGGGTACATGAAGGGTTTGTAGCTGTGTTGATAGAAGTAAGAGTTGCTTTTGGTATAGAGTCTAATGGTGAGTTGCCAGGTGGTGCTACAAAGTCCTCCAGGTCATTCTCATCAAATACAAGTCGTTCGTCATCGAGCCATGAGAATTCATCCTCTACCACATTAGTGGTTCCCTGCCCTTTCCTCACTATCGATCCTTGATGCTGTATCATATACATTCTTCTTAATGTCAAAAACCGAACGATCACATCTAGGACCTGCTCTCGTAGCTTTGGAGGATACGGGACCTCAGGGTTAAAGATGCGACTTAGTCCTAGATAATAAGGACAATATTTAATGTTCGTGTTTTTAAAATAATTAAAAAAATAAAATAAAAATAAAAATAAAAATAAAAAAAAATAAAAAAAAGCAGATGATTATATAAATGGCATATCAACTTACGCTGATCTAAGAATGCAATGTTTGGAAACGATAAACGTCTTGGGAAGAAAAATCTCTCCTGATGTAGTAAACGAGAAAGCTGACTCACGACGATGCCAATCATGCCCGTCTGTTGCTGCTGCTGATTCGCAAGGGAAGTCGAGGTTGCGCTTCCATCGCTTATGGCTACCCATTCGTTTTCAAATATGTCACACAAAAATGCGAGTCGACTAAAAATATTTTCCAGAATCTTCGTCAATTGTCGCCCACTCTCTCGGCCTTCAAACTTGTGTTCACGCTGACGTTGCCATATGGTACCAAGATAGTAAACAGATTCGAGTGATATGGTCCGCGAAGCATTATCACTCTCTTCAAACTGGAGAATACTCCTAATCTGGCCAACAGAGGAAGGTCGCAGAACGTCCGGAACCAAAAGGTCAATTATGAGAGCAAGATTACAGAGATTGCAGACAGAAGAGTAAGTATATCCCTCCGAGGAAGGCATCGTCAGACTAACAGGCACGGAAATAGCAGCTAACATCCGCTTGCACACTTTGATCTTATTTGCCCTGTCTAATGCTTCATAGATAGCTCCTTGATATGAAAGTGAATCTGTTGAACGATCCCACTGATCGACAATAGTTTTTTGTGCTCTTTGTGTGCCATCAGGTTCACCCTGATCCAGATCAATATGGTACAGTTGCCACCAGATAGTCATTGCTAGGACCTTGAGATAAACCTCAAAACATCTGTCATGTTCCTCTACACTCGTCACTAGCGACATATTCACATTCAGTCCTGTCAGCTTGTCGTTTGTGATTTGCTCTCCAGCATGTGTATGTCGCCGTGGAAGCCGCGTAATCATCCTCTTTAGAAATTCTGGTAATCGATAGCCTGGCTCTGTAGGCATGTCTCGAAATCCTTGCTTCGAAAAATGTCGATACACACCCACAACGACATCGACACTTGGAAACCAATCCCAGATATGGATCCTTGAATGACAAAACACAAGAAACCTTCGGACATGATACTCTGCGTCTGCACTTTCTGAAGGAACACGTCCTAGCCAATCTTGGTCCAGCATCCACCGAACTAATCCCCAGTTGTCTTTTACCTTGATTGAGGCGTTTGAACTCCCATTTGCCTCAAATTGGTGTAGCCTGCAGAGCTGCTGTAGCAAGTCCATGAAGTGGTTGGCTTGAATCTGCCACTCCAAATACTGTGAGCGATCCCCAGTGACATCCAAGCTCTGGTTGATACCTTCCCACCTATGTTGCAGCTGACGATTAAGTGATCTCCAAAAATCAGACGAGCCAGTCCGCACTTCCGAATATCTATTGAGTAAATGAATTGAACAGATCCAGATTTCGATTACATCCTCGCCTCCTATTAATCCACCATACTGAGGATCCAAGGAAGTTGAAAGCCGGGCTAAAAACCCAGCATCGCTAACGTCAAGAAGCTGTCCCATAAGAGCTCGAATTGCGCTGTCAGCGTGGCTATACTCTGTTAGCAAAACGCAGTCTGCAATAACAGCCCAAGCCATTAAAGACCAGCGTGTCCAAAGTACGAGAATTGCATCCAAAGACCGCTTTCGTTCAATCCTCTCGGATTCAATCAGACGTGCTAAAGGTCCAACCACGGCCGATTTGAATACTCGCCAAAATGAAGTGTGCTCAGTCCTTTCCATGGCAGAAAATCGCTCGATCAGAAGATTTCCGAAAGTAGCTAGAGCATCCAAGACCGATATAAACTCTGTACTGACATCAGAACCATTTCTCAAATGAGTCTCACGAGCAATTGACCACTCCTGTATGAGCTGAAACCTTCTTTTCCAATCCAGCACAACAACCCCGAGATCATGCTCTACGCTAGTCATGTCTTTCCAATTCGGTATGAAGGGCCGGCCGAAAAAGGCTAGGTCTAATATAGTTGGTTGCGCCATAGCCTCTTTATCGTTCGCATGGGCTGATATCGAAGACAAGAGGCGGGTGAGGGAACCACGACCGATGTAGGTGTCGCGAGAGAAGTATAGTCCATTAGCAATAGTCCCTTCGGATGCAATATCATTTTTGTTTCGCTTAAAAGCAGCTCGTGAACGTGGTATGGCCGTAGGACATTCCGTACTCTGAGGTTGAAAATTTAAAATAGGAGTTGACGCCGATTCCTCATATGATCTACTCTGCTCTGGCTCACAGCAATTGCCAACTTTTTCAGGGGTTTTTTGCCTCCTTTTCTCAAGTCGACCAAAGTTAGGTTGTTGTACAGGAACTTGAGCTCGTTGCATCGTCGGTATTGTCCTTGAAATAGATTGAAAGACTGGTTTATCGATGTACTGTGCTGGTCCGCCTGGTTGAAAACGTGCTGTCCAAGGCAAATAAGAAACCTTTGGACGTGATTCTTTAGTCTTTACTGGCCGTTGAAGATCTTCAACAACAGAGTATAGCATGCCACGAGAGGTATGAGGAGTAGCATTTTTTTGCTTTCCCTGTTTTTGTGGCTGCTTCGACCGGTTGACTCTTGTCCTTCTCTGAATGAATGCAGACCGCGAATTATTAATATGACGGGGCTTTACCATGGAGTTGTTATTAGTTACAATTTGGATGCCAAGTAAGGGACCCACAGGCTTTGGAGATGCAGTTCTGAAGGAATCATATCTAGGGAGAGCATAGTGGGGACTGTGGGTACCCCTTTGCGACTTAAACATTTGCGTCAGACGAAGCTGCCCACCAACAATGTCATCATCTGTATCGTCGCTTTCGCTCACTTGCATATGGCGATATGTGAGATCATAGTTCCCAAACAAATCCCCCCCAGCACGCTTCCTAGGCGCTGTATCAAAATCCTGATCCCGAAACTCAGTCCAAGCCTCGGATTGAGAATCTGAGGCTTCACCATTTACTTCCGCTCTCAAGGAATGGGTTGAGCGTTTGTGTGGACGCGAATAGGGTCTTGAGCTGTTTATACGATGGATGTCCCTGAATGAATGATCCCCACCCATGCGACGCCTCTTCCTTGAAATAGTAGCAGATGATGGTCTCCTGGAGGTTGAAGTTGCATGGCGTTGTCGAACAATCATGCGGTCGATCAAGTCCTCTGTTTTGCGATGAGAAGCCTGATGCATGGCTTTTACGGACGGGAAATATGATGGTAATGTAGAATCTAATACTCTTCTTTTCCTTTCATTATCATTGAGACTAAAGTCTTCTTCGTCGGACGAAATTGTCTGTTGCGATAGAGAGGCTCGGTAGTTTTGAGTATTTCGCTACGAATGCCAAATATTCGATCAATAGATTAGCCTTGGATTATACTAAGCATTGAACTCAAGCATTAAATGTAACACGATATTGAAAGCATGAGACGTACTCTAGTCCAGGACAATCCACCTCGAGTGGCCACGGTGTCATCCAATGTAGGATGTGAGCTCCAATCTTCGTCTCTAAATAGATTATGTTCAAGGACGTCTTCGCGGTCTTCGGGACTAGCATGTTGTGAGACTACGGCCGTATGGTCAGCTTCATCCTCGCTTTCCTCTTGCTCTTGACCTAACCTTGCAAAAAAATCTTTCAATCCATCGTCGCCCTGTTTCATTGAGGGAATCCTTCGTTTAGCAACATGTGGCGGTAAGAGGTGATCTGGCTTAGATGTAGTCCGACGTCCCGGCGGTTTTGTGCGTGACCATTTTGAACGCATCGTTTTCAATTCTATAGGGTCCTGTGGGAGATTGTGTTGTTTGAAAAATGATCGCGGAAGTACATGCTGCCATGATTTCTTACTTCTCTTGGTGGGTCGTATGTCGTGCTCATTTTCAGGCCTCGGTGACCCTACCTTGTTTGCATTGGTGTCAATGTCAGCTAGATCTTCACTATGCGCCATTGGAGGGGGGCTTAAGGATAGTTGTCGTGATGATGACCCAATGCGATTGGAGCTAGAATATGCTTTCGTAACATTAGAGGCTCGAGTGTTGGAGTTGCTCTTTGGGCCTTCATCTAAATTATCTAAAGACTCTAGCCGTTGATGCACAAGTCTCTTAAGACGCCTTTTCATATTGCTTGGAGATGAAACATCATCGGAAGAGAATTGTTCTAAATCTTCAGCAGTTGGTGAAAACGAGCCTGCGCTCTGTAGCGCCATAAATTGGTGCCGTAGTTCATCAATTGATGGAAGGCCATCATTATCCAAGTCCTGAATGAGAGAATCTAGTGCTGACTCATTTTTTCCACGTAGCGTCCGAATAAATCGACGCCTTGACGGAATGATTAGCTCGGGCTCCTTCAAAGCGTTTCTTTCAGTTCGGTTCTCTTCATAATCCGAGTCTTCTTCGTCGTCCTGATGATTCTGAGACAAAATACCTTCATTAGAAGTAATACGCGTCAAAGAAGGCTGCTCAATATTGTTGGTTCGTTTTTTGTAAAAATAGGCATGCTGTTGCTTGTCAACAGTGTACGGTTGGCGCTGTTGAATGGTACGTTCACGAAGAGGATATGACCGAAATATTGGCTGAGAGTGATGGATTTGTTGCGTTGGGGGTGAGGCGGGGGTGTCTGATACAAGGCAGTCATACATTGTATTATGGGTATCAAGTTCTGAACTGAGTGCAGTTATCAGCGAGCCCACTGGCTCAAAGGATTCTGAATTCCTGAACAGGCTTTGAGGACCCCCTGACATAGTATCATTATCATTTGGATCATTAATTCCGGCCATGGGAAGAGTCCCATTAGTCACAGATGCGGAAGCGGTATCGTCGACTAATGCAATATCCATCGAAGTAGCTATCGGCGATGACATAGAGAAGTCGTTGCTCCCTCCGTTGGTTACATTAAATCCATCATGTATCTAGAGTCAAAAACGTAAATGTCCAAAATGAGGTACCGTTATTTGTCAAAAGCAATAGATAGTTTTTAGTCCTTTGCGCCAGCAACTTACCTCTCGTGTTGACTCTGTAGTGACTTTATCTACAACATCCATAACCCCGTTATAATTGACGACAGCTTTACTTTTGTTCTTTTGGTCCGCGTTGTCCTCGTCTTCTTCTTCGCTTTCAGAAGCAGATACCACCTAAAGATTTAGAATTAGGGTTAGGGGTCGACATGTAAATATACATGCAGATAGGCTTTGGAGATACCGACCGAAGATTCTTTACACTCACAAAAGGTGAATCAATAACAGACGCCTGTCCTGATTGACTAGCCTTGCAGGAATACAATATATCATTGGTATCTGGACTGACACAGCTTAGTGTGAGTAAGCTTTCTTCTCCAAGTCCAACTCTACTTTTTCGCGCAATAGTTGCAAAGGGAATGGGGTTTGCTTCGCTCATGGTCATCAAAGCAGCGGCACGAACCAGATACGCAGTTGCTACATGACGCGAACTGGATACTGTTTCTTTTTCTAGATGATCGATCACCTCCAAGTTTTTCAAGTTATCATGCTGCTTCACTTCCTCGGATCCACGTGTGTGTTCTTTATTTGAATCATGAGTATTTGTTGCGATGAAAGGAACCTTCGCTACAGCAGTTGGCCGCTTTTTGCTGGCACCACGGTTTTTCATTGGGCGATAGCCTCGGGCGAAAATGCATTCGTCTTGTGTCTGGCGGAGAGTGCCTGAGCAAAGCTTCTCAGTAGCGACCGCAAGGTAAAAGTAATTGATGACGGGAAGAGGAGGAGGAAAAAAGAAGTGCTTTACGAACGGTTACTAATAGAAATATATATCGATTCTTTATTACAATTATCACTGTCACTATTTTGGTGGCGTTTGTTTATAGTAACTAACGCCTGGTGTACCTTGATTCTCTCGCAGCAAAATAATAAAATAACAAATGAGAACACGAACTTGAATGTAAAGATTCTTATTTCAAGAATTAAACATGTCCTATGAACCTATGAATTTGTTGGTGTGATAAACAGGTTTTTTCAGGGACATCTTTTATAGGCACGTCACAATCCTCATTCATTAGACATGATCTGCAACAATTGGCTTGCCAGCAGCCCAGTCACGGATAACATTCTGAATTCGAATCCAGTATTGCAACTCAATCGCAAGAGCCTTTGCTGCCTCTAGATTCTGTTCTCTGAATGCCTTTGAGAGCCCATCGACAGCCTGTTGAATACGACCTAGGATGAACAAAGAAATCGCATTATCAATTTTAAATCCATCTAATTTTTTAACTGCATGAATTCTTTACGAATTTTACCATTGTTGATTTCTTTCAGCCCTTCAACTTCTTCTTCTGTCTGGGCATCCTCCAGAAGTTCCCTGGCTTCCATGACTTCCATTAGTAGCTCTGGTTCGTTCAGTGACTCCGTCTCATGAATAGGCACTCCAAGGAGCTCCAGTATATAATTTGCACGGCTGAGTGGCTCCTTCAATGTGGCATAAGCCTTGTTCACCAACGATGACTGCTGTTGTGCATAAAGCTGATCGCCCTGTTGCAGCCAAAATATTTTACCATGGTTTTAACATCAAAGAAACTTTAATTGAGAAACAGTAGTACTTCCAAACGAGCTCTTTTTTTCATAATATATAATTGTTAACTCACATTTATGTTCTGAGAATAAGAGTCTGGATGTACTTGCTGCTGAATCCTAAGGAATTTATTTCGTAAATCCTTGGCTTCTAGATCAAATTTTGGCTCTGAACTAAAAGTAGTAAAAGGTTTGAAGCACTAATGTGTCATTGCGTGGCCTGTAAAAGGAAGGAATGCGCTAGACAAAAAACCGTGGAACAACTGCGCAGTATGGCTGTCCCTTAACCAAGTCCTCCTTACCTTAATCCAAGGATCTCAAAATAGTTGGCTCCAGGCGTTAAAGCTTGAACAACCTTGCAGTTTGGATTCATGCACACCACTGTCATGTATGGTACAGGCGTAGAACATTTCCAGCAAGGACGTGTCTCTGGCCTCTTAATGGATTCATTTTTCAAATTATCATTTTCTCTCTCAGTTGATGTAGATGTGTGGAATTCAGTGATCATTAATGCTCTTCCAGGAGTGGTTTTTGGAAAAGTGCAATGTCGAGAAAAGGCTGAAACTGAAGTAGGGCTCCCAATACAGGTTCGGAAAGGGTGAGTAGTAATTGAAGTAATAGTGTGATATGAGTGGAGTATAATTCCATGCCCAGGATCTATCCTTGCTCTTGTAGCCGCCTTTTTCTGATGTAGTGGCGAAATTATGGTAGTGCGCCTGAAGATGCTGAGGAGCGATGACTTTGCTGTGCTTGACATTTGTATAAATTGGTTGAATGTAAGAGAAGGAGACAGATCAGCATTTTATGTGGCACAGCATTCTGTTGTGACAGCTGAACGCGAAGCCATTTTTATATTTTTGTAGGTCATTCAGTGAACAGAAGCCTTTGATGATGACCAGTCTCTATTTTCATGCAATGGGCTATATTGTCATTATGCAGGCTTTGTTTGCTGAAGGAGCTCCATCGCCTGCACTAGAGGGGGAGGACCAAGTAGTGGTCTTCAGTCGAGCTCTATACTGGAATCAGGCGAGATCCCTCTCAAACCCATGTCAGCGTGAGAATGTCCAATGATAGATTGCAAGCTTGCAGGAAGCGAAGCGCTAAAGAATGCGTTTCCCCACGTACCAATTTATTATTACTATTTATATGTGGCTCAAGCTTGGGAACCCATTTTGGAATAAGCGTATTCTACAGTTACATTTAAATTTGCTCCTTAGTTCTCGATTTAACGATTACACTGCCTCTGTGTCCGAACCTACAAAAGCTACATAAACTAGGATCGGATGGGATGCTTAGTTCTAACTGACAGGTATCCCAATGTCTTAAAGCAAAATAAAAAGAAAAAAGGTTATTAAGCATATAGCTTACTGTAGAGAGGAAACGAGATGGGTATATTATGCTCGGCATGTAGGAAGGTCCTATTTTTGACAGCATGTCAAATAACGTGTATATGGGCAAAGCACTAAGGTTCTCTTGGACAAGGTGCCACTGAGGCTGTCATTTGATTACGATCAATTGAGTCATGATGTAATTTTAGGTAAGCAGCTTAATCTTTGTGCCGACTATTAAATACGTATTTTGCAAGGGGGCGTCGATAGATATTTCAGAGTTGAATTGTAAGCATGATCAGAGGGGGAAGTAGATGCATTTGAGAAATTATTAAAGAGAAATCTAACGAGAACAGTGTCAGACGCAATCCTCCAAAACAACAACCATTGTTAATTAAAATCTTTATTGAGATACGGACAGAGGTATTCTTATTTCCTGTTTTGTCTTGGTTATAGAAAGAATCCAGGTAGTTTGTAAGGGTTTTTATCAAAGAAAGAAGTTATCAGGACTCCAAGCTTGAGTATGTGGGAAGTTCCTAAGCAATGTCTTTTTCAACCAAATTTTTAATGTCACATGTGACGTAAGTGCACATGTGGTACGCGTTTATTCATCGATTCTACTCAGCAATCTACTTCATTCCTTTCACTATAGGACTACACAAAGCAAGGATACAAGCTCAGCATAACTTACCTCATCACTCGCTCCAACTCACATTTTCAATATCATGACTTCAGGACGCAACGCATTGCTTCAGTTCAAGGCAGGACGATGCTTCCGGGATGGAACTACAAATACAGTCATGCCAGATTCAACTAAAGGGTAAACAACACAACGCTAGAATATAATTCCACTACTTAGGAGAGCCACCGCTTGCTGGAAGACTAACATTTAGTACCATAATTCTGTGCTTAGGTTGGTCTACATGGAGGAAGACGAAGGACTGATGCATTTTTGCTGGAAGAATAGGACGACAAATACTGTGGAGGATGTAAACTATCTCATTTTGTTTCCCTTTACATGCACAGATAAATACCAAACTCTATCGTCTTCCATCAACACCAGTGTCTTTACTCTGTTAGGCTATGTGTGTTGATTGCCTCTTCCATTATGTAACTTACAAAACTTTTCCTCTCAAAATTTTCTTACTGTAGGATTTGATTCTCTTCGCTGGTGATGCAGAGCTTAAGAAAGTCCCTGAATGCACTACTGGTCGTGTGCTGATGCTGCAATTCAAGTCCTCCTCACAAAAGCTGTTCTTCTGGCTTCAAGAGGCTAACTCCGACCGGGATCAGATCATTCTTCAACAGGCAAATGCACTCATCAATCAAGGACAGGATGGTGAAACTGGAAATTTTGAAGAGGATATCACCATGGAATGATTTTAGAGCCCTTAAAATATAAAGATAGAAACAAATGCCAGGGACGATTCAATTTTAGTACCAAAGTTCAGGGGCGCACCGTAAATCGTAGGCGATCTATCATATAGTTATAATTCTGGGTCATAGGATCTGAATTAGGATAAAGCGAGTATTCGGGCAACATTTGTGGCCAAATATTCAAATAAAGGCAACCGGGATTATTTTGGATACTAAAGATGTATTTACTGTCTATGACTCTAGATGAGGCCATAGCGTTTTCCAAAGCATATGGCCACAATACAATATAAGCCCATGAACCCGCAAAGTGCCCACCACCAATGTAGCGGTTCATCTTCTGCTCCTGGTTCACCTGGCACATGAACATTCATTCTATCAAACAATGGTTTTCAAAAAAAAAAAAAAAAAAAAAAAAAAGCATTTCGATGAGCATTTCTCTTGTAAGCCATAAATCTAAAGATGCATTATAAACCATAAAGCGAATAAACCAATAATGATTTACCCCCAGAGGCCAGCCACAAATGTCATAGGAACAATTAAACTTGCAAAGAATGTCAGTGTTCCGACGACGTTATTGGTTTTGTTAGAGAGTTGATTGATCTCGAGCGAGATCTGTGCCAGATAATTGGAGTGTGATCGCGCTAGGATTTTTTCATAGCTGTAAAGGGATTGAAGCATCGTTAAGACGTGGTCTAAGACGTCACCTAGATAAAGCAGGATTTCGCCATCGCGATACGGCTGCAGAACCTGTTGTTGCTGCATCTGTTGTTGAGCAGTGTTTGAAGAAGAAGTCGCGCTCGCTCCAGTTTGAATTGAGCGATCCTGTTGTAGTCCTGTTGAGGCCGTAGGACCCTGCTCGGCTGTAGTACCCCCAATGATAGGGTCCCTTACAGCCTCCCTTGGTCCAGAACTTATCACGGTTGGCATTCCAGCACTTGATCCTGCTGCTGCTGCAGCGCCTGCCCCTGCGTTGCTCCAAGCTCCTCCTGCTGCAATTGTGTAACGTTCATCAAAGCGCTTCATAAGTCCACGGATCACATCTGCTTTATTTGTCAGCAATCTAGAAATTGTCATTACATTCTTTCGACAAGATCCAATGCGACGTAACATATCGGATGTCTCATTCTCTCGTAATAGCAACACTAATTCATCGATAGAATCGACTTCATACTCGATTGTCTGAATAGGAGATGCGAAGCTGTCGGTGATATCATCTAAAAGGGCATAGTTAATCCAGTCAGGTGTCAAAGTGATATGTGAATGGAATTGCTCTAAACGCCGAAGTACATTCAAGTGGTGCTGTGTGGGTCGGAAATGGAACTAATAAATCCGACGAAAAGACGGAAGCTGTCAGCTCATGTTCAATAACATCCTATTATATCGATCATAGGCTATAAAAGATTGGAGACTTCTCACAAAAATACAAGGTATTACCGTAATAATCCCATCTCTAAGAACAACGGAATACATGCTTGCGGGCTGAAGATATGATCCTGAGTTATAATCCTGATCAAAGGTTCGGAAGCACACAAAGTAGTAATTTTTAAATACTTCATACTTTTCACGAATTTCTTCTGTAGAAATGTCCTCGATTGTTAAAGGATGCACATGGAAATGCTATAGTATAATGGCGCATAAAAATATAGTGATTGAGCAAGACATTGCGATGTTTAACAATAGACAAGATCAGTTTTCTTGAATAAATATTACTAACCTTCGAAACAACCAACATATCAAAGTCAGTAGGGTCAAGGATATCAATCCAAAAGCAACCATCTTTTAGCAAGTCTGAGAACACTCTAGGGGCCTCTACTGAACCTTCCTGTAGCGATGTCTGTGCTAGGATCTTTGACAGGGACGGAGCTTGGATTATTCCTGTAGTCCTTGAAAAGAATGTGTATCGTTGTTGCTCTTGTATCGGTGGCTAAAATGACATGAACAGTTCGGAAACTATACATTAAGAAGCATATTCTGCATCACTCACCTTATTTTTTTCTTCAACAATAAAAATTCATTTACCCGAGGTGCACGTTCACCATAATAACTTGCCATGCGAGCAGACCGTTTCCGGAGTATAGAACCATCTTTGGATTTCGTAGACACTGACCCAGTGGAGAAAGCTCGTGCTATATCTCTCCCGAAGGGTTCTTCAGCCTTGCCAGATAAAACAGTATCATTTCTACCGTTTCCCAACTCCTGGATCTCATTGTCTGTCATTGAAGCCTCATTAACACAGGCATCTAACCCCTCGTAATCAATAACCATGACATCGATTCCGGACGGATCATGCTCGTGCTCATGATGGTGATGATGATGTCGAAAATGATGTGAATGTTGATGTTCCTCTATTCCGCCACGATAGTTTCCGCTGTAATGTGGAAATTCGCTTTGAACAGTAATGTTGGACATGTATGGTTTAGCTGTTGATTGCTGCTGTTGCCCAAACAAGAGTCGCTCCGAGCGTAATGTCGGTGAGTACCCTGCAGAGGAAGGGCTGGGGCTATGTGGTTGAGAAAAGGTGGAGAGGAAAGGCTCTCGCTGCTGGATGAACGGTTGAGGCCGAGATGGCTGTTGTTGATTCTGTGAGGTTCCTTGGTCAGTGCTGCAATTGATATGAGTACGGCCAGGACTATCAAAGCTGTTCGTCTGTTCGATCGACGAGCAATCTGTATGATCCCCACTGTTGCGTGTACTGGACATTAAAGCAGGAAACGTAGTATCAGAGAGAGAATGAGTAATGGTGATGAGCAGGATTGGATGGAAAGGAGATAAAGAATTAAGCAAACAAAGGAACAAGTATTTTTACTAGATGAGAAACCTCCTCTCGGGAAAGACGTCCTTTTTCATCATTGTCTGTTGTCAATATGGCACAAACGCTAAAATGGGCGAAGCTGTTTAAATGAAGTCCAGTTTCCATTAGACCTCACTTATTCACTTCTGCATGGATCAAATCTCTTGAAATAATAGAAAAAACTAATTATGAACGAAACAAATTCATCCATAGCTCACTTTATTCTCTTCTTCCTTTCTTTTTTACACCAACAACTGCAACCATTACCATCACCAACTGGGGATCGCCAAAACCATGCTAGATTGGCCATTCTCTGATGTTTGCTCTACAGTGTCGTGCTGGGCACTCTTGTTCTCTGTGATCCTTCCCTCCATGCAGGGCTTAGGAACGGAGGTCACTGCCAGGACTTTATTCGCATCGCACCTCTCTTCTTCTCTCCTCCACGTCAATACTCAGCAACCACAGGGGCAACACCATCATATTCAACAACAGCATCTTCATTATCATTCTCAACATCATCAAGACTATTCATCGCTACAATCACAGCAGATGTTTTCTCTGACTTTCTACCTTCGAACAAACTCCAATGAGATGATTTCTCTCTCACTCCTTGCCAATCTCTTTGTGCCATTATTATCGACCCGAGAACGCTGGCTGTTGCATAGTGCCATTATTGAGGATCAAGCAGCATCATACATTGATCATCAGCAGAGGCAGGACAAGCAGACGAAACAGAAGCAACAGAAACAGAAGCCAGAAAAAAGAGGCAGTCTAAACAAACAGGAAGAACAGGAATCAATTTTAAAACACAGTTGACACACAGGAACAGGTGGCCCACTTCGTCCCTACATATACAGCCAAGCAAGAATGTCATAGTGAGCGGAGGCGCTTATGAACCTATTAGTAAGGACGTTAAGAAGCTCGTATTAGAATTTGAAACTACAGCAGGACAACGAGTAACTGGAGGATATGGCTATGGTTATCGACAACTGTAGTACCATTGCTTTGCATTCGAGTCAATCTACCTACTGTAGGTGGAATCCCCAAAAACAATCGACCTTCATGATCCAACATTTGTTCCATATCATAAAGAGCAGGCACCAATTGTGGTGGAAAATACACATGTGGAGGAAGAGAGAGTTCGATTTAACGCTTCAATGAGTCATGTGGACGCCGATGACGACCCGTTTGCTCATGAGGCAATACAGCTAATACCTACAGTGAATGAAAAGGGCAAAGATCCATGGCAAACGGAGAGCCTGTTTAGGCTGCTGTCACCATCACTTTCATCCCTATTATCGCTGTCGCTAATAGCGTTGATTAAAGATAATAAAAAAGAATTGGTAACGATTATTCAAAAGTATTGGGGTGAACTCAATGTACTTTACAGGATTCAAATGCAGTCGGAAGAGCAATTGAGTGATAAAATTATTGGTCATGGTTATCTGGAGCAGAAAATTCAAACAGGTGCTGTAGAAGGTGTTCGAAAAGTATCTTCTTTACGACAGTAGCATTAGCAACAATATGTCTCTGGCGCCTTCATGGCTGGACCAAAGCATTTCGGTAAGCAGTCGACACATTTATTTATCAGTTACATACCTAAGTCATACCACATCATTCTGAATAGGTCTGGGAAGACAACTCTACTAGTTTTGACAGATAGTTGGAGAGTAACGACAGCGGGGAGTAGAAACATGGAAGGGAGATCTCGTCATTTTCTATTAGGGGCGCATCACAATATACAAGAGACACAAAAACAGCAACGGCGAGGCATCAACATCTATTGAGTACAACCATGGTGACAGTGATCTAGTGTACCCTTCATAAAGAAAACATGGATGTGGCAACAAATCAGCTTCAATGCATTTTTTATTTCTTTCCCGCTTTCCTTATTCTGAGCTCTTATCTGCATTTGAGACTGTTCCGACAAAAGGGTTTGAAAAGCACCTAACCTTCTTCTCTTTCTAACAGCAACCTCTAGTGCGATTCCATCTGCCTACGTCTATGCCTACAATGTCTCGCCAATGGATTGCATTGACGCCTTGCGCGCCCAGAAAGACTTTTGATCATACAGTTCTTCATTTGGCTGCCTCTGCTATCCTCTTCTATCCAACTTTGGGAGTCAGTTGCAAGGATGAACCGATCGCTTCTCAAGACCATTCCGCTTCGCTTTTTACCTTGGATCATGATGCAGCTGAGTAACTTATCATGCTGCTTGATAACCAAATCTACGGAGCTCAAGCCATGGTGACATTCACAGGGCTGGCAACAATTCAGGCGTCAGCTTTAGCAAAGTCCGAAATGACAACCATTAATGGTGCTCGAGATCGCCTCTTGCACCAGGACTTCGACATGTCACATGCTCAACAGCTGCACGGACAACAAAGTCCAATGATCACCATCAAGCGGCCTTGTGCTAGAAGTAAATTGCTACTAAACATCGCATTCACAATGGAATTTAGAGCCGTGGTGCAGCTGAAATATATCTTCATCAACCTTAGACTAACCACCCTTCAGGATGAGCCGCAAAAGGATAAAGAGACGCTAGAGGGAGCCATTAGCTTGGAGGATGTTGTGCCTTTAATAACTTATCGCTATACTCCGAGGTCAACAGCATAATCCAAACAGAATTGGATCCACCGGATGTTTTGTGAAGCAGATCTCTGTGGCCATGTTGAAAAGGACAGCGACAACAGTTTGAGTATGATGACAACCAGCTTGAACCTGCAGTTGCGGCAAGAAGAATTGCTTGCAGCAGCTTATGAAATCGCTTCTGCTACTGAAAGCCCCGCGATTGTGGATCGGAACACTCCCAACACTAGGGTACGTCCTAACCGTCCGGTATATTCCCATCTAACTCTTCCTTCTCAGGCATTAGAGAAGGTTAAGCCATTTAGTCTCCAAAATAAGCATTCGTATTGCTCCAGCGGTTTAAGCAGTTTATGGCGTGTTAGCTGCAATCAATTCTACAATTTTAGTAACAGCATCAGCAACAATAACAATGGAGCTACCAGTATCTCTGGGAAAATAGCCATGATTCCAATGAGCACCATTTGCGGCGTAGGTGTGAGTATGTTCGTGGCATTGCTGTTTGTCATTTGCGAAATTGAGCGCTCAGACAATATGTGCGATCTGCATAACAGAATATGAAATTGGGGACCATGTGCGTATATTGCCATGTTCGATCAATATCATACTGGATGCATCGACCCTTGGCTGCTGCATGTAGCTTCGTTGTGTCCGATCTGCAAACGGGATCATTGGCCAGCGTCGATTATAAAAGACTGATGACGGAAGGCTTCTGTTGGCGATTCTTAGTCTATATTTTACTATGGTGTTTTGTCAAGAAAGATGTTGCACAGATCTCAATAGACTAAAAAAAGTTTCGTAATAACACAAATTTTCATTATTACTGAACCATGTGGTAAAGCATAGAATCCATAAGCTTTTATTATGTTGCACCGCAACAAAAGAATCATCTTGCGGCCTTTTTTGATTCATCGCCCTTTTACTCTTTCATCCTCATTCTCATTTTCATTTTCATTTTCATTTTCATTTTCATTTTCATTTTCTCATTCGAAATCAAGGATCAGCTACTGCTTTCTTTCTCTCTCTGATACTCATGACACAGCACAACCTTCTTCGTCCTACCAATGTTTTGCCCTTTTCAGAAATGCCCGTAATCCCTCCTCGATTGCAGCTACAGGAGCAACAGCGGACGCTAGAGAAACATCGACGACAACAGCTGCGTCATAAGCAATCCCAACCCATCCTGCGCACACAGCGTTCGTTTCAACACGACCACCAACAAGCACGCCATAGCAGAAGTTATAGCAATGGTAGTAATACTCTAACAAAACCAAGATTATTCGAATGCACAGCAACTTCTCCCACCTCACCCACTGCTCACTCAGGACATTCCAACTACAATGTCAGCAATAATAGCATTGACAATATTAGCAAAAATCATAGTAAAAACGACTATGGTCACAATCATAACCATGATCATACCTGTGTCGATAACAATGGCAGTAGCAATAGCAATAGAAATCTCGGCATGGCTAAAGGTAGGATGCGTTCAGGATCCAACCCTGCCCCTAGCAGTAACAGCAGACATTATAGGAATAATTCAAATGCGAACAATCTTCAAGAAGACTGGGCTTCGAGTTTATCCACTCGATCCAACACCACAGGATCATCCTTTCAGGATCGATTAAGAGAACGTGATCGAGAGAGGCAACAGAAGGAGAGAGAAGAACGTGAGATGGCTGTAAAAGCGCTCCGTGAGGGTAATGGAGGGGCAACTTTTGAATGATACGCATAGCAAGCTGAACTTCAGATGCTCAATTCAACTCCCATTTTAACATCTGTATTAAATAGATACCAATCAAAGTGCGTTCAACACAACATCAGATCTTTTCGCTGCAACTACACCAGCTGTACAAAGCACAGGAACAACGCTCTTGAATAAACTACGAGCAACTAAAGACGTTATCAATGACGCTATCGCAGGTGAGGAGCGCTGGCCAGGTATGTTACAAATAACGCAAACAAATCTACACAAACAACAATGAGTGTCATGTTAATAATGTAATTTATTTGGTTGGCTCTCATATTTCATCGATTTTATTAAACACGTGCATATTTATAAAACTGAATATACTTTTAATAATTTCATTTGTCTACAGATTCTGATGACTCGGAATATGGAGGCGAATCTCATGTTCGTCGTGTGCTCCGAGAATATGCAGATAAGAAAGAAACTACACAAGCGGCTGCCAAGATTGCAGAACTTGAGGCGATCCCAATTATACCCACAAAGTCCGGATCAAGGTCTCAAAACACTAGGCGTATGGTTCGAAAGGAGAACATCATCAATAACGTTCGCGCTATCAACACAACGAACATAATCAATTACTCTATCTCGCCACAGGCCTCGCCCTCAGCAACATCTGGTCTCCCCACACCGCCCTCCCCTCTAGATATGAATTCTTATTCACAACACCAGAGAGCAAGAGGCGGTAATAATGTGTCATCACGACCAGAAGATAGCACAAAAGGACGCGAAAATAGCGACAGGAGTTTGATCAATGATCACCAAAATAACCCCATCAATAGCAACACCACGCTGCATCCGCCAGTGCGGATAAACAGATTCCGTACTAGTAGTGATGCTAGTCTGAGTGAAGCCCTAGGTCGACTGGAAGGTAAACGGAATCAGGATGCATTGATAGCACAAGTCAGTCATTTGGGAAGCACAAGAGCTAGATCTCCTCATCGTAGTAACCGCACATTCAAAGAAAACATCGACACCTCGCCTCCTCCGCCATTACCTACACCCAAGAATAACTTCCGTCAACATCAGCAGACGACACCACGGTCGTTATCCCCGCCATCTTCTGCTACAACACCGTCGCCGCTGACGTCGTCCTCTTCTCAACGACTGAATAACCTTGGTGCATATGGCCAATGGAAACAACAGCAGGAATAGCAATAGCTTTGTGTGATCATTAAAAATGTGCGGTGTCATGTGTGTATGTATCCAACCAAATGTGAATTGTTTCATCTACGCGTTTCATTTTGTAAGCTACTAGAAAAAAATTTCGCTATTTTGCTCTACATCCTTTACCTCTTTCTTCATTATCTCCTAAAAAAAAAAAAAAAAAGATATGCAACGAAGCAACGAACAAAACAAACACGGTGCCCGCAATATTGCCAATCAGTATGATGCCAATCATCATAATACCAATATTGATCAGTCTGCACGAGATCTCAACGCCACTTCTTCCAACAATTCTGACAGGCAGCAATCCGGTGCCACCGCCATGAATGCCCAGCTTCACAATCCTCAGCATAGATCTGAGTACGAAGTCGCTGGCCCTCATATTGGGGGTACACCTCAGCCCTATGACAGCGTCAAGATCGAACATGCCAAGGATCATCTCGTCGAGTCAATGAACAAGTTGGCCATGGACTCCAAAGACAACACCAATACCGCCGGTTCTGTTAGCACTACTGGGGCCCAAACAGACCAATTTGTCAAAAACTCTACTCAGGATGTAGCTGGTATTGGCAGCGTTCATTCTAACTCTACAACTACTCCCAAGACATCAACGTCGCCTACAAATATGCACTCAGTGCACCAGCCACAGACAACCTCGCACATCGACCATAGCAGCCAGGTAAGAGCTAGTTCACAATACCTAAATGTAGCCCCTCATTACGTATTCCATAACCCTGTGATAATTTATCGGACTCGGATCTGTTTCGATTGTACAAGCATAGTCTGCCCACATCAGCCCTTCAAGCAAAACCAATGGTGCTTCAAGAGTTAATGCAGCTGATAGGAGGACAGGTGACGTCATGCCGACCACTTCAGTTACGCCATTGGCCCCTAGTCACTCATCGTCTACCAGTGACAATAACCAATACCATCAGCGTCATCATGGCCAGACTCAACAGCAACACCTTGACCATAACCAGCAGCAACACCCACCTGTGTCGATGAAACATAATCAGGTTCCTACAGCTGCTGTCATGGGTGCTGCTTCTGCCATATCCTCTGCCCCACCTTTGAACGACAACGTGACCTCAACCACCGATACTCCTGTGACTCCAGGACAGGCAGCAGATCGTAATTTATCTTTGGAGGCTTCACCTCACCATAACTCAGGTCAGTACCACTCAACCCATCCAGGTGGTATGAAATCGGAGCGTACGGCTGAGAATAAGTACAGAATGAACGATCCTAATGCGAGCCATCATCAGCAGGAACAGCGTCATCAAAGCATCACTGATAAGGTCAAAAGCCTTTTTCACCATCACGACTCGGCCACAACATCCGAAAATGAGCTCGCTGCTAATGATCGCAGCAACGTGCATTCAGGTGGCAACGTAGCCGATGCTCCTACAGCTAATGCAAGAACCGCAGAAACAGCTGCAGCTGCCAAGCTAGCGTATATGGATAAGGCTTCAACCCCTGGCCATCATTCGCTCACCCACAGTACTTTCAAGTCAGATCACCATGGCACTTCTGACAACAAGGCCGATGCACAGTTGTTAAGGACCAAGCATGAAGGGCATCAAAGCCCCAATAATACCTCTACTTCTGCCACTACTTTCTCTTCTAACGCCAAGGATTCGAGCTCTTTAGGCAGAAATCCAATGACTTCCCGGGCTGATGGCTCTGAAGTAAGAACAGCGGCTGGAGCAGCGGGCTCCTACCTTGGCAACAAGAATACTCTTGCCACAGATGCGCCCAAAGATCCCCATCTCCACAACGATAAGCTTGACAAAATGAAAATCTCGTCCCATTCGCCCGTAGTGAACACGCATGTGAATGCTAACACTGGTGCGGACATGGACTCCTCTGCTACGACGTACACACCCTCGGCCAATAGTGCTCATATGCCTACGCCTGGAAGCAACCCTGCTACAATGGCAAAGATGACTGCCACCGAGAGGACCTCTGTTTCTGCGGGACATCATGCGAATGATAATATCAAATCCCCCACTGACGCTGCTGCCGCTGGCGGCGCTACTTCTGCTCATACAAGCCATAAACCAGCAACAGCAGCAAGTAAGGACTCGGTCTACATGAAGGCCACTCCTCATTCAGCGAATACCGCCAGCAGAACAAACATCTCATCTTCGGGCAACAATGCCGGTTATTCAATGGGCAGTCATGTTCCGCCAACCAATGACAGAGCGATACCGACGATGCCGGGGGCTTATAAAAGTGCTGCTCCACAGGTTGGACCTGGAGAAGAAGTTGTTTGGGTGAAGACTACGACAATCACAGACCCCGAAGGAAACGTGGTGGAGTCTCGCCAGAACATCATTGACCCACGTTAGCAAAACACTGTCAAAAAAGAAGCTACGCTGTGAGCTAACAAGGAGAGAATACTCTATCCAGATGCATGTCACTTGTAAATATCATTGCAGTCTTTAGCTTAATGCTGACTATGTCACTTGAAAACATCAAGGACGCTATTTCAACGATTAAGGTCCAATAATAAATTGATTGAATTAACTGAGCTAATCATTTAATCATGGACATTGCGATGCGCTCCGTCAAGAAGTTCGAAAGAGCGTCGTTGACGGCCTCAGGGTTCCCTGTAATGACATTGTATCCGCTCTAATAAAAATTGTCCCCTGCGCCAACTCCGTAAACAAAGCTGTTGGGTACGATGTAACTAATGCTGGGATAATAGCGATGTCATTTTTGTCTAATAACTGTAATGAAGGAGCCATTTATAGCTTGTTGATAATGGCTAAAAAAAAAAAAGATCGTGTGAGCTTGGGATATGAACATATTTTATTTCTTTGATGTGTATGAGCGCATGAGTGCGCCTGTTATATTTGAACTGAACTGATGTCGCTCATTCGATAATTGAGTGACTCAACTTGATAGTAGTTTTAGCCTCCGTGAAAAGTAGCGTGAGAGAAGGTATCATAGTAGTATTGTTTCCCTTCAACGTCAATACCATTTCAGACACCATTGGGTGTGTTGAAGTAAGTTAAGACTTGTTCGTGGGCCTGATACACCCACATGAAGCAAAAGACATGTCCGTTAGCCTTCATGTCCGCATGCATCATTATTCTACAAGAAAATATAAATATACATAGGTGGGTCTCGTTACATTGCCATTGAAGCGATTAGTCTCTTGGATATCCCTCTTATAGGCTACATGTTACCTGAGATACGGATAATAACTAAGGATCATTTCAACGGACAGTGATAAGCTCCTCTTATGGTTACGTATATGGAATATCAACACTGAAAAGGATAGTATATACATTTGCGTTTTTTCCCCTCTTCTTTGCTCTTCTAGGTCCTGTGATTGAAACAATATCGGAAATAGACATCATATTTAAGCTATTATGATGCATGACGAGGGACTCTGGATGATCAATTTTCTATTATTATTAAAAGGTTGTTTTTCTTTTTTCATAATGAAAAGAATGATCTTTACTTAGACACTTCAAAACCTGAGGCATTTAGCTCAGAATGAACGGTATAGTATCTCTCAACCAGGTATAATTTGCTGCGAACCTTCTGGAGGGGTTCATACAAGCATAGGTTCTTGTCACCAATGATTTCTTGGCGAACGTCAGCTGTGGTACCAAGGTGAATAAGAAGAGTAGTAGGGAAGGAGAGTTGGGGAACCAAGCTGAGCTTTTTCTCCAAAACGGACTCAGATATGGAAAAAGATATGCATAGCAAGACCCATTCACTTTGTTCTAATGGCTGTCAGTCAGCAAACTGAACGCCATTGCCACCTTGCGTCTCAGTTTTAGTCTGATCTGCAAGGACCTATCAATAGGGAGGTTTCTTTCTAGTTAGCGAAAGGATAGGCGCCCATAAGATGATTGTTTGGACGGCATTCAGAATAACTTTTAATTTTTGCTATAGGCAACACTCGTCATTCTTCATATAATTTCTCTGTGGCATCCGTAAATTGGCACTAAACTGTAAAGCCTGTCATGAATATTAAATAACGCCTTTCTTTACTTGAGATGAAAAACTATTGCTGAGGCCAGAGCGCTGAAGGTTTTTATAAGGCTGAAAGCAGAAGGTCAACGTCGGACGCAAATAGTGGGTGGCTCCACCGACTTTAGGCTCGCTAATTATTGCGAAATTATGTACTTTACTTGTAGATAGCATCCTATTTCTCAATTGCTTGGTACTCACTGTTTACTTTTGTGAGCTGTTCATCTACACGAAACTAGATAAACTGTGGCTCATAGAGTCTTGCGAGGTGTTTTGCTCTGGGCGCAATGGGGTCTTGGGCTACTTGATCTAATTAACAGTCAACTCTTCACTAAACTTTATCATGCTCTGCCGAACCCTAATTGTTTTTGTGCTACAATTAATCTTAACCCTTCACGAGTGTATGGATCAAAGGAATTAAAGAGGCGTCCCTTTGTCGTCTTTAACCACTTCGAACGGGAGGCAGGATAGACAAGAAGTAGCGAGTATAATTGAAAAACCATGATGCGTGAAGGAGATGCAAAATGAATCATGCGCTGACTGAACAGACATGGTCATAGGAGCGAATACCTATTCACTAAGAGGAAATGGGGCTAGGCCCAAGACAAGAAGGCTATAGCCGATATAAGAAAGCTCGTTGCATTGCTTAACATCTTCGCTTTGGTTACTCTATTGGTCCAGTTATCAAAGTAGGTTTATTCCATCTCCTCTTTGTGCAACAGTGTTGCTTTGTTGCTTACATTTACGATATTTTCATTCTTGTTCTATATCTTATTCCCTACACTGGCCTGGCACTTTTTTTGGTTTTATATTCCATGAATCAGTTGACCGCCATGTATCTTTTGAAAGTGCGTTAAACTTTTTGATCATAAGCTAATACATGCATTTATAACATGCGTCTTTGCCTTACATACCGTGTGCGATTTACCTTATTCGTACTTGCAATTGGATCTTTTTTATTACTACTATTATGGTTGTATTGATTAAAATAAAAACATTTGGAAACAAGAAACCAAGCATCTAGAAGAGTCTGACTTCCTCCTTTGTTTCTAGACAGAACTATATAAAACTTTATACAATTCTGCAGCCTATGGATGAGAATGATGGAGCAGTTCTTTTGTGAGCTTACGACGCAACAGGCAGAGGTACCCTCGATGATACGTTGACGCGTAGCACCTACAAGGAGGATGAATGGTCATACTGACGAGAAAATACATTGCTGAAGAAGAGGTTGATCGAAGCTTCTGCATGTTCGTACCCTCGCTCATCCTCTTCTATTTGTGAGGAAACAATCAGCTAATGTGGTTTGGAAGGAATCTATTCCCTATTCTACCCTTCTTTCGATTCTTTGATCTCTCCTCCTTAAAACGCTCACTCCAAGACTTATTATTCAGGGAATTTGAGAGCAAAGTAAAAAAAAAAAAAAGCCGTAAGTGGACTGTTTTAACCATATCCTAAAGAAGGATGGGAGTACCAACCTTAACCTTCCAGAGAGACGCACAATGGTGCGCGTGTTGTGCACGTTGCGGTGATCTCACGTGCTGATTGGCCAGAGTATCTCCAACATTCACCAGTCATTCGTTGCGTGTTGAGATGGAGATCAAGATAGAGAAAGGGAAACGATCATCCCGATTTCAAACAAAAAAAAAAGCTGCACTAGACTCTGTTTACTCTTTATTGCCACTTTTTTTAACGGTTGTTCTAATTTCAATTTTATTAGAAGTAGCTCAAATATCATAATCCGTAACAGGAGTGAAGGAAAGAGGCCATTTGGTATGGAAGTCCAGTCTCTTGAACTCAGTAAAAACTTGAATGGAAAGGAAGGAATTTCTGATATTTTTGAACTACAATGAACGTACGATCAGAGTGTACACGGACAGACATTTAGACCATTCATTGAAAAAAGATCGCGACGCCACAAAGCCAAACAATTGACTCCGATACCGTTCTTTTCGTCCCTTTCTTCTTTCCCTTCCTTTTCTGCTTCTTGATCACTGAACTCTCTTTTTCAACCCTTATTCTCGTCCTTGCACACACTTTAATATCCAACTATTACTTTTGCATTCGCTCTTTTTCGTCCACCTTGTTACACCCTTTCATATACTCCTCCGCCTTCACTTGGAATAACTAAGAAATTTTTTCTTTTTATTCTCTGCGAAACCTATGCACATATTCAAATCGATCCGTCAGTTAACACTCTGTACACTTCCAGCTCAACTGCGCTGATCTCTTCATATACAAACATATACACATTTAATAAAATGTCATCAACAGGTCCTCGTTCGCCTCACGCTTTCAGGAGTGGTGGAAGCAATCAGAGCTCAGATGAGATCGCGACCAACAATGGGGTTCCTCAGCGACCTCCTCGCCAGAATAGACAGAGGTCAGGGTCGTCTTCATCCCCAGTCATGAATGGTACACAATACTATCAGCACTTTCAGCAGCATCAATATCAACAAGATCCGTATTACACACCATCGCTTCACTCTAATCAATCTCCTCGACCTTCGCCTCGAACTACACCGAATACATACAGTGCAAACTACCAATCTGTGCCAGCTTCTCCCATGACGTTCCAACTTCCTCCTTCTACCATATCGACTCGTGATGATTCATTGAGATCTGGATCTATCCCACTCCACTCACACCAGCAACATCAGCAACACCAACAATATCCACAGTCATCATCATCTTCTTATCGATCACCGCACATGTCACCTGGATACCCTAGTAATGGACAGTTGCCAAACATGCTACCACCGCCTTTGTCACTACCGGATTCTTTTTTAGAAGATCAATCAGATTATGCTGGGTACTACTCGTCTGATGTTGGGATCTTTTCCAGCCCTCCACTTCCAGGGACTCCACAGATACAGATTCCCTCAAGCAACAGCTCTCTTCACCCGCGACCTTATTATGGACATAGTCCAGATCTTCCGCCTAGCCCATCCAGGCCAGGAGCCAGAAGTGGAGGCAGTGGGTTTTTGCCATCGCCACACATGACACCAGCAACTTCTCCTCTCCAAATCGATTTTCCATCGCTATCCCTTAATGGTTAGTAAAAAGGATTCTTCTGGGAAAAGGAGTGGTTTAAAATTATATATTTTGGTTTACTCCCTAAAATTGCTGCATGTGTTTGTTCTCTGGAATGGTGTGAGAAAAGCTTTTATTTGTTTACTTTTACTTTTATGGTTGATTCGACGTTTAGACACCGACAATCGAAACAGAGGTGAAAAAGAGAGTGCGAGGGAAAAAATGGAATGCAAGAGTAAATTGAGAGCCATGTTTTTCACTACTATCCTGTCAAATGGACAGTTACAGCAACGTGGGTCAGGCGATTTGCAGTCACACAACCAAAAAAACTATCATGGCCCTCAGAGTAGCACCCTGATAGCCATGTTGGGTGCCATGTGTTTCATGCTCACATCAATATTTATTTACTACTCTAATAATTAAGATGGTAAAAAGATAATTCATGACATGGTCTGGCCTCAATCCGAGAATATCAGAAAAAATAGATAAAATAGATCTTTGCACATAATAGATGAATTATGTATGTGGAGGATGGATACAGGGGTCATGGTGCTTTACAACAGTATGATCTATGCTCCTCAAATGTATTCGTAATAAAGCTGACTTGACTACCATTCAAACTCAATCTAGATGCTTGTCGTCCTAGTCATGCTAACTCTGGGCCATCCTCAAGCACAGGAGGGCGCGATCGTTCCTATTCAACTTCGCTCTCAACTGTGTCGACAGATGAGTCGGTTGCGAGCCGTAACTCGCTCATGCCTCGAGCTAATGGTGATTCGTCTACTCAGCCTGAAGGGTTCTATCGAGGCCATCCTATAGTGCCAACAGAATCTTTCGTGATACCCACACATGATCAGTACCCTCCTGACTCGCTTATTCTGTTTGGTGGAACGGCGACACATTCAGAGGGAGGACTCTTCCGAAAGGATGCAAAAGAGTACTTGATGCTTACCAACTCAAGCTTGCTCAAGTACAAGACAATGGAGAAGGCTTCCAAGGTCTTTGGTAACCACTCTGTCTGGTCTTCCTCTTCGGGACACCAAATCTTAACCCCTCAACAGATCAGCCAGATCACGAAAGACCATCGTATCTTATCGCTTAACTCCATTGTCGGTGTTTACGCTCACCAGTCACCAGGCAATGACGTTCAAATCATTATCGAGTACTTAGTTTCAATCTCAGCCCAACCAGCAACAATGCATTTTACTCCATCTCCAGAGCAGGCCGAGCCATGGCTCAGGGAGCTGCGTCAAGGATGCAATTATTATGCATCTCAGGCAGGATTAGTCTCCAAAGGCACTCGTCAGCGGCAATGGGTGGTAGAAAAGATGCAGGATGACTTTATCGCTCTTCCCACTAGCGTTGCAGAGAATCATCCCACAGCGTTGGCAGCTGGAGGTATGTGGCGAGCCTACTTCAGAAGCCAGAATATCAAAGGCGTACCTGTACAGGAAAGCGGCACCACACCAGATACTAAAGTTGCATTAGAGGGCAAAGTAGTGGTGGTTGCCGTTGGAAACTCTTATATCCACATAATGCCTCACAATCTCGGGAACGGGAGCACAAAAGATGATATGAAAGATGAGCGCACGATCCTACAATACCCACTGCTGACCGTCAGATCCATCCATTACAAAGAAAAAGACGACACTTTCACAATCTGCTTTGGAACAACTCTTCGTCAACGGACAGTTGTTATCACGTTTGCTTCAGCTAGAGCACGTGAAATCATTATTGCCATCCGCGCTAGAATTGAAAGTCTTCGATGGCTGTATCCCTTGCAGAGAAAAGGCGTTGACTTGTCCATGTCTGAAGAACTCTCTCGACCCATTCCTGTACCCTCAAAAGAATATATGGTTGATCTCGGATTCGATGATCTATTGAGAGCCGAATGTTACGCCATGGGTGTCGATCGGAAGGTTTTTAATAACGTAAAGGTAGATGGCTTTATCCTCACAGTGGGCAAGGCTGGTGATACATCAGAGACCAAGCGCGATTACAGCGTGGATGAAATGAAGTGTCTCTTTAGAGCTCTTCGATTCAACACTACATTCAAGGAGATTAGTTTCCGTGATATTTCCTTTGCAGCACTCCACAAATCCAAAGTCCTACGAGATGGCACTACCCGATATGGACTTCGCCTTGATCAAGAGTTTTACGAATTAATCATGGGAAATCCCCATATCCGTGCATTGGACCTACACAACTGCCACTTAGATACCAATACAATCGGTAGCATTGGGCGTGCCATCCGAGATGGGTACACTGCTGGCTTGCGTTTGGAGCTCTTGGACCTCAACGGCAATATTGCTTCAGATGGTGCTGATGTCATGACTCTTGCCAAAGGGATCGTCAAACACGCTGGCACACTTCAATGTCTCGATGTTGGTAACTGTCAGGTTACAGGCGATGGTATCAATCAAATCATGCATGCATTCGTTGCTAACCCAGATGTAGCGTCACATCTGCTGGAGACATTTAGCATCCATAATAATGCAGAGAGCAAAGTTAATTCCTTCATCTTGGATATGTTCTTGAAACATTCGATGCGCCTTGAGTCACTGAACCTTTCGGACTTGACCTCTTGGAGTAAGTCCCCAATTTTAATGGCTGAGACTCTGACTAGCTGTGGTGGTAGTCTCAAGTCCTTGGATTTAAGTGGCATGGCATTGCACCCTTCTACACTGGATCAGGTCCTTACTTGGCTCTCAAGCAGCGGTTGCAAGTCTCTGGAGCAGATCAAAGTCGAAGGATGCGGATTGGATGGCAACCAGCTTGCCAGTATCCTAGAGGCGATTGGTCAAAGCGGGAACCGTAAAATTGAGGTCCTCGCTGGACGGAACTTGCTTTCAGATGGACAAGATTTGCCCGACAACTTACTTGGTATCTTGGCTACTGGAGAGACAGCGACCTCTTTGGGCCTTCGAAGGACCTGCTGGAGTGAGTCGGCATTGCGCCAGCTGTTCGTTAGCTTGAGCCAGAGTTACACGCTCAAGAAGCTAGACTTGAGCGCTGTTTCGTTGGCGTCGAGCCGCGATCCTGATGTGGAAACATGTAAACTTTTAGGCCAAATGCTTGCTTCATCCGCAGGTCGCTTAGAGGAATTGTATATTCAGGGCGAGGAGACTCCAGAGTTGACATCTCGCATGGGCAGAAACTTATGGAGATCATTTGAGGGGCTAGGCCATAGTCGATACTTGGCTAGGCTCGATGTACGACGTAATCGATTCAAGGACGAAGGAGCCATGGCTCTTGCGGAAGCCCTTCGTGTCAACCAGAGCTTGGTTTGGTTGGATATGGATGAGAATGATGTAAGTCTTCAGTTTGAATCCACATTAGACATCAAGGTGCAATAGCTTGGAAGGAAACTCATTGTTTATCTTCAATGCATCTTATAGGTGACAACGGACGGATTTAACGCAATCTTGTCTGCATTCTACCAGGGCGGTACTGAGCAGGTACCCACCAGCAGTCGGTATTACAACAGCACATTGTGCTACTTTGAGCCTCCGGTGAGGGATGTAAATAAACAGACTCAGATGCTCAAGGATGCCATGTTGGAGACTTACAAGACCGAACAAGAAACACGGTTCTTGTTGAGCAACTCTACAGGTAAAGATGCGCGCGAGTGGAAGGAGCGTTTAGCACAAATCATTCGACAGCGCAGCCAGAGTTCTGAAGCGATCGCACGTCTTGAACGTGCAATTCAGGGTATTACAGCTATTGTGGACCGTAACAAGGCAGCCATGGATGCTGTGATTCGTGATCGAGAGCGCCGACGTGAACGAGATCACGGCTACGATCAGACCAATGATCATCGGCACTAAGTACTAGAAAAAATAGAGAGCAAAGGAGATCAATCCAGGCAAAGAAACGAACAAGCTATTATTACTATGACTATTTATGTTCACGTTTATACCCACGCATTCTCACGCCATTGCAAATATGATTTTTAGATTACATATATCACATGCATTTTAAATTAGTAAATATATCTCCTTAATAAATAATTTAATTCTGTTAATGTCTATTATTTGTTTGTTTTCCACATGCACAGACATGGCTGCCAGTTCATCGCACTTGCGAACCACAGTCGTAAATTCCTCACTTGTGCATCTGCTGAATACATTATTCTCAGAACACGAACACGGATCAGTCTAGTTGGATCAAGGGCTCAATTCAGCACAAGGGTGTCACTACGACTGTTTCAAGATCAAAGCACAGTAGCTATCACCGATTCTCATTCTTCAACAACAACCGCAGCAATAGCAGTGAAAGCCGCTGGTTTGACTTATAGGCCTGCTCTTGCTTCAAAGAGCAAATTTGTTATCAAACCATTGGCTACTGTCCGTACTCCACATCAACAAACAGAGCATCCATGGACATCACAGGAGGATGACCTATTATTTGATCTTCGACAGCAAGGCAAAACATGGAGAGCTGTTAGTACTCAGCTCCAACGACCGATAGGATCGTGCTATTCTCGCTACTATCGCTTTCTGGACCCATTTCTAGCAGATGCAATCGAAGAGGATGATATGGACGAAGGTAGAGAACCAGATTATCAAGAATTTATGAAGAGCGCTATCGAAGCTAGTCAACGAAATCTGGAAGCCAATGTCCCTCCAGCACGGTTAAGAAGAGCTAAGAAAGAAAAGTCGAGTGAGGCACCATTGCCATTGCCGTATTCAGTTCAAGGCCCATGGACGACTAAAGATCGAGAACGACTCGAGATGTTGGTCGTAGCTAAAACACCTTGGTCAGTCATTGCTCGGGATCTTGAACGAAACCAAGAGAGCTGCAAGGAGAAATGGCTCCGGATCCAAAAGACTCGTTTGGAGGAGAGGCGTATATCGAGACGAATTAGGGGCGATCGGTGGATGCAACTTTACAAGGAAGGATTTACACCTTATCATCGGGATCAACTTGTTCAGGCGGTTGAGAAACAACTAAACGCCAAAAGAATTAATATAGAAGTAGGAAGAGGAGGAGGAGGCCGTTTCGACGATTATTATCCGTTATCCAGCTTACATGATCAGCAAAACAATGGCGAACCTTTTGCTATAGCGACACCGAACCAGATAGCACATTCCGGCGATTTTAATACCGGTACTTGTAACGGCCAAGTAATAACAGGAGGAGGGGGTGGGATGATAATAATCAATTGGGAAGCGGTTGCGTCTTCTCTGCACAACAAGTTTCCAGCAGATCGTCTGCAATCTATCTATCACGAGCTTGCTGCTGCAAAGCTGATATGGACTCCTGAAGAGGATGAACGACTTATGCGAGCTGTTATTCGATTAGGGCCTCCCGAATTCCAGCCAAAAATTTGGACTATGATCAAAGATGCATTCGGAGATGTGGTCAGAACCTCTGAGGATTACAAGGCTCGATGGAGAATCCTTGATCAGCCTCCGTTGGAGCGCGAGTGGGATGATTCTGAAAAGGTAAAATTTTGGCGACGATGGATGGAGTTACAACGCGGAGAAGAATCCTTATTGGCCACAGCGCCCTTCTCGAATACGAGCAGAAATCCTTCACTTCTTTCTCAGGCTGAGGCAATCGAAACTAAAACAGGCGAACAAAGTGAAGGAGCAGTGGTGGGGACTCCGTGGAAAGACTGGGCAATTTTGAAGGAGTCCATGTGGGACATCATTGCCGAAGGGCTAGAGTACAGACATGGGCGAGACTGTGAGCTTTATTTTAAGCAGACCACTCTTAGGTTTCCAAAAGACCCAGAGCTGTTTCGATATTTGACACATGAAGTCGCTAAAGTTTATTTAGAACCACGCAAAGTTCATTGGACGCCTGAGACGTCTAGGTTGCTAGTAGCTACGGTGAATACGTATCGGCAGGCCAATAAGACCATTAACTGGCGATCAGTGGCACAAATCCTTGGTGACAGATTCACCATGAAGCAATGTGAATATCGATGGGATTATTGGTCACAAAAGCAAAAACAAGTAATTGATCAACAGAACTCAGCAACACTGGACTCAAATGGGACTGAAGGAGCAACAGAAACAGCTATGTTGAGTGCTAAGCAAGATGGTATTGATATTCAGCCCAATGAAAGCCATAATACATTAGCTGTCATAGAGGATATTGAACGGGCTAAACCTCGTTTATGGACAGATCGGGAATTGGAGCTGCTGAATCAAGGTGTGCAAGAATATGGGCACAGTTGGGCGCAGATTCGGAATACTCTCTTACCACATCGGACGACTAAAGCGCTTTATGAACGTTACTGGCGTAGTCAAGCTAAAAAGCATGGCCGGTTTACAGAACGGGAAAGAAGCCTACTGGAGACTGCAATCCAAACACTGGGAGAAGACGCAGATTGGGCTTTGATTGCAAGCCAAGTTCCAGGCAGAACCGCCAGTCAATGTCGAAAAAATTGGAAATATAGTCGGACACACCATGTTGCAAAATTGGGTGAACCTTGGACTGACCAGGATGTCGCAAGGCTTAAAGAGGCAGTACATCGGTTTGGAACTAAGAAATGGACATTGGTTTCTGAATATGTCGTAGGCAAGACGGTGAGTCAGTGTCGATATTATTGGCGCGACAAATTGGATCCGAGCGTTAACCGCAAGCCATGGTCTGGAATGGAGCTAGATAAGCTGATGGAGCGGGTTGAAAAGATTATGGCGCGTAAGGACGAGGAGGAAAGGCTTCGGAACCAGGAATATCAGACGCGGGAGATGGAGAAGACCGATGGTAGTCTTGGTTCAAAAGATGTGAAACAGATAAACAAAAAGAAAGCGAACGAACTAGTTCATTTGGACCTTACACCGCGGTTTAAGGGCAAAAGAAAAATTGACTGGAAAGAAGTAGCTGAAGGAATGGATGGTCGCACGCCTGAACAATGCAGAGCACGCTTCAAAGCCAACCGTGAACTCTATCGTATTCAAGAGGAAGACTATTAAAAGTATCAATAACAAATAAAAAAAAAAAAAAAAAAAAAAAAGTGACTTTACTGTGGCTTTTGTATTTTTTTTTTTTTTTTTTTTTCCATGCTTGGTCAAAAAGTATTACTTCCAACAATCGCATTCTCCATCCCACCATCCTCTTTTTTTTTTTTTTTTTTTTTTTATATATATATATCAACAAAAATATAGAGACGATGCCAGCCGCCAAAAAAATTGTAAATCCAGAAAAGGAGCTTCGAGGAAAGAAGCCCTATAACCGTCATGGATATGGTGGACAAAAGAAGACATACCAAGCAAAGCCCAAAAAATTGGATGAGGGCGAAGTATTTGAGAGTGCAGCGGCTTTGAAGAAAAAGCTTCGCGACACTTTGAGACTATTGAGTAAAAACCCTAAGATGCCCGCAGATATCCGACAGGAGCATGAGCGACGTGTTGAAGCCTTGAAACTGCAGATTGCAGAGAAACAAGTCAATCAAACGGAACAAAAGATGGCTACTAAGTACCGCATGCTAAAATTTTTTGGTAAGTTTAATAACAATATATATATGACTATAAAAGACAGATATTCAATGTTAATTTCTTTCTTCTATTTTTTTTTTTTTTTTTTTTTTTTTTTTGTCTTGCAGAGTCCAAGAAAGCAGACCGCAAGATCAAGGTGTTTATGCGGCAACATCCCAACTGGGAGTCAAATGAAGATGAGAAAAAGGAATTGGAATCGTTGAAACTGGATTTGGCTTATATTCAGCATTTTCCGAAAACACAGAAATATATCTCACTTTATCCTCATGAGAATGCGGACGATCCAAAAGTGGCTAGAACCCGAGATGAGATTCGAGAGAAGATTCGCGTCGGTTTAGAATCAGGTCATATCCAACAGTTTATAAAGGAGGCGAGGGACGAAGCTAAGGCCAAAATCATTAACACCAAAAAAGATATGAAGATGACAACCGAAGAAGCCATTCGATTAACGGCTGAAAAGATTAACAGCAGCAAGCAGAAGAAGCTTAGATATGATGATCATGATAGCCAGGACCCGCTTGCTGCTCGTGCGAAGGCAACTGCCGAGCGTGATGCTGCCAAATCAAAGCCACAACAACAGCAAGCCGTAGAGACGGAAGAAGAGACATTCTTTGAGACTGTACCACTCAAAGTTGTTCCTGCAGCAGAAGTGAAGACCGTAGGAACACCAACAACACCCAAAAGCAATAAGCAGCAACAGGATAATAACAATGAGCCTGCCAAGAAGAAGGCCAAGGTAGAAAAGAAGGCCAGCGCTCCAGCACATCCAAGCCAAGAGCTGTCAAGGAATGGGCAGCAATCCACGGTGAAGCACCTCGGAAAGGAGCAGCAGCAGCAGCAGAAACAGAAAGAGCAGGCTGGAAAGGAGCAACTTAAAGCGGACACAAAGAAAGAGGCTGCTGCAGGAGTTACTGCTAGTGGAGACTCACAGCCTGCTGGAGACAGTGAAGTCAAAAAATTGGGCAAGTGGGCAAGGAAAGCCATGCGTGCTCATTCTGCAGCTGCAGCAAAGGAAATTAATTCTGCTGCTGTCGAGACAACGACTACAGGACTAGAGCCTACGTTAGATGACAAAAATGTGCCCGAGAAGAAAGAGATATCTGATACAGGAAAGGCTACAGTTACAAAGGAAAGCTCATCCGAGGAGAACATGAAGCCTACTGAGAAGAGCAAGGACAAGGAGAAGCATTTGGAGTCAGAAAAGATGACCAAAGTGAAACAAATGATGGAGGAGAAGAAAGGTAAAGAGCCAAACAATGCTGACACACCCAAGATCACAACATTGAAGATCGACCCTACTGATGACAGGGACAATGATCTATCAGAAGACAGTAGCAGTGATAATGAACAACCTATAGCACCAATTCGGAAAGTTGTCAAGGTGGATGAGTCGTTGTTAAAGGAGTTACCTGAGGTCCCTAAACGACGTGGTGGTCGCAATTTGAACAAATTTAAAAAGTAGGATATCACAAATCTAGCATATCACCTGAATTATAATAAAGACCTTTCGAAAATATAAAAATAAAAGGCCTTACTTACTATAAGCAAAAAGTTTCCGGTTTATTATTAAGAATAATGTTGCAAGGAGAAAAAAGATAGAAAATAAATCATGGCTGTTTCCCCCGTTTGATAGTTATAATGGGGCTAGACCAACGTTCAACGTTATTAGGTCGGCCGCGGACACCCCATGGCTTAAGCGCTTTGATCACAAGACGGTATCGACCATTAGGCAAGGCTCTAGTCACATCGTTTTTCTTTTTCTTCTTGTGCTTCTTATGTCCTTTTCTTTCGCCCTTTCCTTTGCCTTTGTCTGCAATCCCATCACTTCCATGACCACTATTCTCTCTATTCTCTCTAGCAACAGCATCATGATTTTGTAAAAGTAAGTCACCCATCCATGAGAACATCTGGATGGCGTCCTCTGAAGAGCCACTTCGTGTGACCCATGGATTGAAGCCATTAGGAATTAGTCCCAGTATTCTGGGTAAACATCGTGGCCGCCGTCGTAGGCCCTTCCCACCATCAGCACCACGCCTTCTATCCACAACCGGTCGTGCAGAGTTAGCTTGTTCCTTTTTATTGACCTTGTATCGCCTTCGCCTGCTTTTGTATTTGTTCCTCTGCGTCTTCTCCCGGTTAAGACGCATCACCTTCTCGACAGCAGAAGGTTGTAGCATTACACGTGAGTAGCCTTCATAAGGCATGTACAGACCACTCGGCATAAATGCCAGCTCTTGTGATCGAGCCAAGCGTTCTTTCATCAGCGCCAGCCTTATTGGATCTAAATCCAGATCAAAATTCACACTTTTATCTGAACCCCCTTTCTCTCTTGTCACATTCTTCACTCCTCCAGCATCCTTACCCAGTTTTGATATTCGACTCTTAGCTAAGACTTGGGCTTGTGCCTGAGCTACCACCTGCTCAGCTTCTCGGAGTCTCTCATCAGTCTCGATTTGGAAGGAGCCCTGTTCAGAGCCTCCAATTTCCAGTCGAATCCTGTCACCTCCACCACCAGGACCATGATCATCATCACAAACTGACTCAGCTTCGATGGTTAAGAGGGCTGTAGGGAAATTGATGGAGATTAAGATCTGGACCCAGTCTTGATTATGCTTCCCCACGACTACGCGTTCAAAGCTGTCGCGATAAAGATCTTTGATGGTATCCTTCTTAATTTTACCTTTCCCCTTGTGCTTCCCTCCAACTCCCTTTCCAAGTGGTGCAAAAGCTGCTTGATCATATCCTGACCTAAACTCAAATATGGGACCAGTTTGGCTCACAAGACTTTGAGGCTTGGTGAGGGCATGTGAGAATGTATATCGATCGAGCTTCAACGCAGGATATTTTAGTCCAGGATTTAAAATGGGGATTCCAGCCAGATAGCCATGCATTCCACCATATGAGACCATACTTGAGCCACAGATCTCACCCTTGTCTGTCCAGCATTTAAATTCTAGGAACCCACTGTAAAGCCATCGCTCCTGAATATCAAGATCATTGGGTGGTTGAATGTGGACACGGATCTTCCCGTTTGTGCCTGGGTGGAGAACAAGCTCTTTTGGTGACATGCTCACTCCACTTGAACTGATCTCTGAGGTCCGAAGGCGTGATTGGTTCACAGGGATGTAGTTATTGCCGTCCCTTTCAAAGCCATTGATTGAAAGTGCAGGGCGATGGACCAATCGCCAAATCCTAGTTGAACTGGATAAAGCTGGGTTGGTAAATGTGATTTCATGGTCCAATTTTTGGAATTGGGTGTCATTCAGGTACAATGCAGTAGGTGTGACAATCGTTGGGGGGTCGGTTGCAAAGAGCTTTTTTAGCGACACTAGTCCTCCGCCTTGCTGGTAGACCGAAGCTAGGCCAATTGCAGAACTGGGCCGGGCTGTTGGAACGGCAGTAGACTGAAGGAGATTCAATAGGGTCAATGCATCTGTTTTACCAAATTTAGACAGGTATAGTGCTTGAATGCCTGCCATATAGGGTGACGCCATGGAAGTGCCTTGCAACGTTGCAAGTCCACCTTTGGCAAGAGGGAATGTCGAATGGATCATGCCTCCTGGGGCTACGATATCTGGTTTATATCTCAATCGTGCATCAGGTCCCCATGATGAGAAATCTGAGACTTTGCCGCCACTAGCCAACTGTAAAATCTGATCCGTACCCGAAAAATTTACTGTAAGCTTTTTGCCCTGGCTTTTATACTTTGAACATCTCGGAGATGTCATTGCATCAAGGATTATGGTGGCATCTTCAAATGACAATCCCGCGGCAGAGACGTTATTGCTATTCACAGTCATACTCAATGGTTGCTGCTGAGGAACAGTGTCATATACGAGCATTCCCCCTAACTTAGCTGCAACTACTAGCTTCGCTTTTTCATCAAAAGTGCAATCGCCACGGCGCAGAAGTACTACGATATGTGACATGGGTGTTTGGAGGCTTTTGGAAATCAGTGTTGGATCATAGGCATGACAGCCTTTTAGATTAGACATTGGGATATAGACCATATAGTCGATATCATTCCTGAAAGAAGTCACAGGGATATCCAAATCATTGGCAGCCATGATTATAGCAATCCTTCCCACAGAACTGCTCTCCTTGTGAGCTGAGTCTTCCGATAGCCCTGTTGTTCCATAGCCTTGTTGATTCGTTGTTTTCCAGTAGAGATCGCCTGCGATTCCAAGGAACTGTGTATTATCGACACTTCCTACCGCAATAGCGCCCACAGCCGTGGCTGGTGCAGCGTCTTCGAAGAGCCCTAGTTCTCCATCATTACCATTTGCAATAGCTATATGTAGCCCCTTGTCAATATATGCGCTACATGCAATTGCAAAAGGTTCATCGGGCCACCCTGATGATCCACCCAGCGATAAATTCACGACGTCCATACCATCCCTATAAGCTGCCTTGAGCGCTGCAAGCAGAACATCATCGCTTACGTCTCCACCGCACCCGAAAACCCGGTATGCGCCAAGTGTAACTAAATTATTAAAAAAAAAAAATTTACTTCATGCCCTATTTTAAACTTTTTCACAATATGCAGTGCATTTTTTTTTTTTTTTTTTTTAATTACCATCTGGTGCAACGCCTACAAAACCTTGCGGCCCCAATGTGTCAGGGCCCTCATTTCGAGCAGCGACGATCCCAGCTACATGAGTCCCATGCCCTCCACAGTCCATTGGATCGTTATCAGGTTTGGGTATATCCTTTTCGGGATTACCACTATCATAGTCATCTCCTACGAAATCGTGTCCGTACGCAACTTTGCATCCTGGACCAAAACATCCTCCTAGAGCTGGGTGTGTGTAGTCGATACCTGTATCTATGGTATTAAAGGTGCGAAGTAAGGAAGAAATGAGTTTTTTTTTTTTTTTTTTTTTTTTTTTCGTATGTGTATTCAAAGCACGCTATAGTATAAACTTAATTGTTATTATACCAATAATCCCAACTTTGATGCCTTTTCCTGTCAGGTTCAATTTTTGATGAACTGCGGTTACCCCTGTCAAAATATGGGCTGATTGCAGATGGGGCCTAACCGCCTTGAGTGGGCCTAATGGCAGTTCTCTGGGCCTCTTTCGTGTTCTCTGATAAGGAGTGCATATAAAACAAACACCAATAAAACAACGACATAGATTGAAACGGATCAATTAAAGTGTGAATGCTTAAATGTAACGGCAATAAGAGGAGGTTTAGGCTGCTGGTGATTTACTTACCACAGGATAGATTCCAATTACTCCATCTAGCGCTGCAACATCCTCCAGCTTATCAGCCCCTCCTTCCAATCTAAACGAGATCACGTTCAACACATCATCTTCATCAATGCCAAACTCGTGCCGGATGACTACTCGGCCAGGAAGGGTTTCAAGTGCATTTAGTACTGCCGCATGCTGTGCTTTAGCTTCCTTTGTTCCTGGTGGCGCTGAAAGTCGCGCATAGTAGGTCTGGGCCGATCGTTGTTCCGATAGTGTTGCAATGTGGCTATCGTCACCTTGCTCTGGACTGAGCTCAGATGATGGCGGTGATGGTGTAGAAAGAGAGGGAGGGGAAGGATATGGTGTGAAGGCTAGAGAAGCCTTTTGCCTACTTTGCCGCTGTTCCTTCTTATCATAGCCATATGCCGCCTCACAGTTTTTATTATTCCTATTGCAGCCATTGGTGCCAATATAGGCGCCGCTTTTGTAATCTTCAAAATCATCCCCAGCAGACATGCTTTCAAGAAACGAAGGCTTGGGATTATCAGAAGACAATGCGAGAGAATTTTGTCGATGGATTTGCTGTTGGCGCTGTCCTAATGTTTCAGTCATGGAGCTATATGGTGGCACATGGTTGGAATGTAAAGATGCCAATCCTTCTACTGATGGGTTTGCTCCTTGCTCTTTGGCTTCCAAGGCGCAGACTGATGCGATTGAAGTGCTCTTGAATGTGTGCCAGGGTGGGACGCTGATAGTGCCTAGAATAAACATTAATGCTATATGGATACAGACTGACACAATTACGCGTCTCATCTTGACCTTCTTGAAAATAAAAAAATAAAACTGTTTGTGTTATTACGATGGAAAAGGGAAATGAAAGAGTAAGCTGGAAAAAATAAGAGAACGAGAGATAAGAGTCAGTGATCCGTCTGAAAGGAGCAGTATGGGTTAATTTAGCAAACAGGAAACACGTGGGGAGAAAGGAATAAAGGAGCCTTGAGAGATATGGGAATGGAAGGGGTCAAAGAATGAACGACTGAACATGTCTATCGCATTACTTAAGGATATGGTAGGATAAATAACGCGCATTAGAGTGGCCCATACGGTCATACAATGCAAAGTATATTAAAGTATATTGTACATGTATAAAATCTGACAAAAGCTACAAAACAATAGTGTATAGTACACCTTTCAGCACTAATAATCTTCACTCTTTTTTTTTCTCTGCCAAAAAGGGATGCTTTAGCGCGTTTGCGGCTGTGATCCTCCGTCTTGGATCAAGCGTCAACATCTGCTCCAGGAGATCTACTGCCAGAATAAGATCCTCTTGTGAATCAGTTCCAATAACGGGGGGTTTCTTAGATCGTGCTTTCCTCCGGAATTCTTCTGTTGCATTTTTGCCTACACTCTTGCTTTCAGTTGCAGTACATTCTGCAGCTGCAGCAAACTCATCAATATCGACGTGGCGATCATCTTTTTCATTCTCATAGTCATCCCCATCCCCATGCTTCATATTTTGTAGTAATGCTGACGTTGAACTGCCATTATCCGCTTTCTTGTTTTTATCGCTAGCATCATTATTAGCTACATGTGGGTGAGCCATGGACGGGTTGTAGGGAGGCTGAATGGTGCTAGCGGAGCCTGTTTTAGTTCCGCGCGTAATCGTTGTAGAATGAGTGGTGCGGTTTTTAAGTCCATCATTCGGATTTAACTTGCCATTTGACACTATGCTCGATGGTTGTTGTGAATGAGCTGTATGAGTGAGTTGTCTATCATCCTTAGTGTAAGATACAGTAGGCGCCTGTTGGTGCTTTAATCCTCTAGGATCATTTGAGGTGAACATAGGGCGCTGTTGACTCTGCTGCACAAGGCTTGTTTGTGACGCTGTTATACCACTCAGAGATAGCTGTTGTGCTCTAGCAGCTCTAAGAGCTCTAGCAGCTCTAGCGGCTGATATAGCTGCAATTTTCCGATGCGAAAATTGGGTGACATACCCCGGAGGCGGATTGAATCGAGTTGGATTCAAAACCCGGCATATTTTAAGAAGGCAAATAGGTTCATCTTTAACAGTGGGCACATTGGTAACGAAAGATCGGTCTAAAATAGGAGACCAGATAGAAGACATACTTAGCGAGATGTCTAAAGCCTCATAAAAGGTGGCCATTAAGATCACAAATGAAAAGCATACCAAATGTCGCTGCGGCTTTTTCCATTTCATGTCTTCCAAAAAGAATGGCGATTTCGAGCACAGCTTCAACATCGTCGATTGAATTGAAAAATGGGAACCTTCCTGTCAAGAAGGCTATCAGAATACATCCCACCGACCATATATCCAACGCTGTCAATAGAAACAGAAGGTTAGCTTTCGGACATTGTCCAACGGATCTGACCTAATGTATAATATCAAATAACCCTTGCATTAATTTACCAATTGTCTGATGTAAATGTCTAAATAGCACCTCAGGTGCACGGAACCCTCTTGTCCCGGCTCGATTGACCCTTACTACTGGCCTAGAAGGAAAGTCAATGACATAAACCTTGTCTAAGTCAAGCCTTGCTTGATATGAGTTTTCATGCAGTCAGGATGGTTTGAGAGCAAAAAAATCCAGTACCTTGGGTCTTTTCGAAGTACTCCAGGCTCACGGTTCGTAGCAAGGATTGAATTCTGTGAGTTGATTGGCCCTGGCATGGGAACAGAGGTTGGTATTTTTTGCTTTGTACTGTTGATAGATGTTAACGTTTGGAATGCTGATGACGGTGCAGAGACTGAGACATTAGACAACTCAGTGCCGGATACTTGATTGCCTGATTGGTTTGCTGGATTACTAGTAGCAACAGATGTATTTTTGACGCCTGAACCCGTTCGAATTGCTGTATCTTCAGTTTTAACATTGGAGGTTGCTAGAGAATGAGCCACATTAGTTTTCTCAGCATTGACGTCTGAGGTCCCTGTCATAATGTTTCTTGCAACGGCTACCTGTGGTTGGATATTCGTATTTATTCTATTGTCAACTGAAACTCGGCTATCCCTGGCCGCCTTAGACTCAGGGGTAGTAGATGTATCGTTTTCCCTGGTGGGTGGATCTTCCTGCCGATGAGCCAACCCAAAATCCACGATTAAACCCGTCCTTGCCTCTGTGTCGTAAAGGAAGTTGCTTGGCTTAATATCTCTATGAATGATCCCAAATGAATGTACATGCTCAAGTCCTCTCAAGAGGGCTCGAAAATAGCAGCGAATATCATCCATTGGCAAAGTCTTGTAGTAGTCCTGGGTTTGAAGCGAGGCAAATAAAAGATGAATTTGCTGTGCATCCAAAAATGACGATATAGCCATGAATACAGAGACGAGTATTAGACATACCCGAAAATCGCGGTGTTCAAAGTAAGGTAATACTACAATGACTTGGTCCATGGAACGGAAGGCTGTGATGAGTGGTACTACATTCTTATGGCCGCTATTATCATGGAACACATAGACATTTTTTTTTAAATAAAAAAAAAAAAAAAAAAAAAAAAAGCCCTCTCCTGGCCGTTGAAAATACAAAGTCTCAGAATTGCAGGCAATACCTGAGCTGGCGCAAAATAGATATTTCATTTTCAATCCTCCGCGGACTACTTGTGACATAGATACGCTTAATTGCAACAACTTTGCCTTCTTTGGCATTATTCGATTTTACAGCGACCTCTGGTATATCTTTGGTTTCTTCTTTCTGCTCCTCGGCCTCACCAGAGCTCCTTTGGGGATGTCTATCTAGACCATAATCCCATCCCGAGTTGTCGTACTGATCATACTCCAAGTCAATTGCTTTGTACACAGAACTGAATGTGCCTATAAGGATAAATGATAAATTGAATTAAGCTTAAAACTAGCACCTCAAAGGGAATAAAGAATGCAGTAAAAGTTTCAGCTTTTCTGATATGCATGGTTGACCTACCCTCTCCTATCTTGTTCAGAAGTTTGAATTTTCCTTGTAAACCATTGAAGCCTCTCTCAAACTCCTCCATTTCTTTCCGAGCAAAGTCCGAAATTGCTGGACGACCATGGCCTTCCTCACCATCTGATTCAATATCATGCACATCACCCTGATCATCCTCAGAATGGGGTCTAGCATCTTCTGAATAATGAAGCTCCGTCTCCTGATATGTGGTTCCTCCTTTTCTTTCTAGCTGAACTCCATCTATTTTCGCCCGTTGTTCAGCGTCTGTCTCAGTACCGTCCAATTTCGTCCACCCTACCTTGCTTTGCAAGGCATCACTAATATTTGTTGTACTCGCACTAGCATGGTTCCATGGAGGATTTCGCGTCTTATTTGGTCGCTCAGATGTGCCTGATCCTATTGGGTCCTCAAGGACTGACTTTGGTCGCTTCTCGACTAATGGCTTCTGGAAATGAAGGTTTCTCTCCATAGAGACTCGGACGGATGGGCTACCCATGATCGGATCTCTGTTTGAATTATTGGCTTGAGCACATTCATATCGTCGCTGTTTTTGACTAGTATCATTGGAGTGTATAGAGTTGTTGGCATGCGGTCGCTTTTTGCTGCTGAGAGGTATTGTTACAAGTAGCCGAGGTTGGGTGTGCAATCCGTTTTCTGCACCGGATGATAAACGAGTTTCCAGCTCTACATCACCCTCCTCAAGGATCCCAACGCCGTTTGCTGCGCTCGCATGACTGGGACTTTGCGATTGAGGATCAGATAGATCCCCCATGATAGCTCGTGCAAGCGGGGGTAAATTTGATGTACTTCGCCTAACACGTCTCATATTCATAGGTGTTGGGGAGGTCGGGTCTTGCCAGGCAGGCATTATTTTAGGGGTCCTTGGCGCTCCTGGAGCGTTTATCTGATCATCTCTTCCTGCTCTGCTTCCTCGATAAGCACCCAAAGGCCTGGACGGCGGCGTTCGAGGTGCAGGAGGGGTTCGAGGTGTCAGTGGTGGTGGTTCTCCAGTCATATACCTGAATTATTGATGAATAGTCTTTTCTGTAGTCAGTCGTATGCCTTTTTTGAAGTGAATGAATAAATGAAATAAATCAATAAATGAACGAACAGAAATGCTAAGCAATAGCGTAGAATGGCACGTTGCACCTGCTAGAGCAGACAATGGCCTTAATTCCTGTTGTCGCGATGATGTTGTTGATGCAATGAATGAAGAATGAATGAAGCACATTTGACTCTCTGTGTGACCTTGTGTTCTTGTTGTAGTGCATGAATATTTATGACCTACCAGCCTAAAATGGACAGAGCAAGCCACTTCAGAGCTTGCCATGATTGTGCTGCTTAGAATGTTGGAGCTTTTTGAGGGCCACATGGCTGTAAATATGATATTGTACAATTTAATTCTTCTTGATCATTCTTTCCAGACTTGGATACTCATGTTGTTATAATAAGGATGAGTATTGAGAAGAGGCACGGTTCATTGTTGGATAAGAAAAGATGTAAATAAATTCGTTTTGTATATATACTCTTTAGCAGCTGCTAATATCGCTAATGTATGCGAATGAAAACGATCTACTGGGCGTCTTGTCCAGAGGCGTTACTCGGCGAATAGAGCTGATAAGCAACTGACTCAATTGTCTATAAGCACAAGGCATTATATCGACCTAATTATATGGACCACCTAAGAAACGATTTTCATCAAGCTCGCGATCTGAGATTATAGTTGCCATTGCAGTTGATATATTAATCACGAAGAAAGCTTACTTTCTCAAATCATACCTGGCTGGCTTTAAATTCATGCGACGATGATGCACTGTTTAGACCGAAAGTGATCTGCATATCTCGGTTACTTTCCCAAAATGTTCGCAATCTCTTCACTATTGTTAACAATGTTATTCCTGTCTACGATCCTTAACGCATCAGAGACATGTAATAATTGTTGATCCAAATACCAACATGCCGTTATTAGATGCAGCTGCTATCGACTTCGCTTGATCCAGTACTAGCTCTTTGTCAACGCCCCTAACGCTCCAAACCCCTTGTAGTGATACTTTGATTCTGCAGCTATCCGTGTTTATTCGCGCATGAGATATACTTATGCGAAAACAGAACATCTAAAATCATCTGTCTACCTTCGATTCGAAGCAATTCTTACTAATGCACTTGACAAAAAGGGTCAGTCATTATTGCCTAGCCATGGTCGCTTTCTCAAAACGTATTTTGGCTGAGAGCAAAGGATACAGGAAAATAGTAATCACTCACGGCACTGACGTATATTATGTTGAAACTAATGGTTTTCTGGCGCCATTGCAGTTAATTTTCAAAGTAAATCACCATGTGGCCTTGAGGCGGAGAACTACATGATTTTCTCCAAGAATTTTACGATGTAGGGATCAGAAACTGGATATTTTGATGAATGCTTGATCTGCTGACATCAATTGTATGGCCAAGGCGGATATGAAAAATATAGATCGTCTCCTTAATTGATATCTTGTCCGTCATCCTCTTTTTTTCCGCCTCTTGATACTCTTCTTCGTTTTGTTCTTCCGATGGGAAGACTGAACCGCTGTGCTAGGCTGATAGCTGCTACGATCTTTAGTATCCTTCACAGCAGCTTTCCTTCCATGCGAACTTAAGGACATGTCAGTTATAACCTGATGGTAAAGGAAAAGTCGGACGAAACTGGCTCGCAGTGTTCGATTGGTTCATGACATGATGTTGAGCGTATATGGAGAGGGTCGCTGTTACTGAAGGGATAAATTTGGGTTTCCTTGAAACATCATTGATTTGAAGCTTACAAAGTATTCTTCGGACGATTAGTACAAATGAGTGTCTGCAACTAAGAAAAATCTGGCCATGTGGAATGCTATGCTTGTCAAAGGCAAAGATAGACGACCTATCCGTCCTCTTTTTTTCTCTTTTTCTTTCTCTTCCTTCTTTCCTGTCCTTGGCACTTGTCCGCATTCCTCTCCTCTTCTTCCCTTCCCTCTTTCTTCTTCCTCTTCTCCACGGACCATCTTCTCTCTCTTTTTCTCTTCTCTTTCTCTCCTCACCCTATTGCAAAACAGACCAGGTGTGATTTTTTTTTTTTTTTTTTTTTTTTCCTTCTTTCTCTCTCACACACTCTCATTACTGTCTGTTCAACAAGAGATCAATAGTCTTCAGATGGTCACATCGATTATCAGCTCAAATTCACTAATTCATTCATCATCTTTTTTTTTTTTTTTTTTTTTTTTCTGTACTCCATGTTTAGGAAATAATGCCTTCATCATCCATGCTCTTTCAGCAGGGCGGCGTCGGAGCCATGGCCCCTGCTTCACCTCGAGGAGGAGCTGACAATGGAGAGGCCAAGAGCCCTGCAGTAGACAGCAACATTGTTGCAGCCGCTGCCACTCCCATTCCCTTAAGACATGAATGGGTCTTCTGGCATGACAAGTATGTATCTCTCTATTAGCAACTGCGCTGAAAGAAGGAAAAATATAAATACAAATACAAATACAAATACACACTTTAGCACCTCGTCATATTTGACTTAATAGGTTTTTTTCCCTCTGCTTTTTGTGCCTTCCTTTTATGGCACTTTAGGTTTGTTGCCAATGCAACTCCTGCAGAGTACACAGAGAACCTTCGAGAGATCGCTGATGTCAACACTGTTCAGGTACAAAGAGTGGACACATGTTCACAGCATAGTTTTCTGTCCTACATCTCTTGGTTATGACAAAAAAATACATTGAAAAACCTCGTTTTGCCCCACTCATACTTGCATGGACCCTGCGTCTTTATTCCTGACTTTCATAGACTTTCTGGTCAGTATACAACAATATCACAGGTCCCGAGCGTCTAACGATGAGATGCTCACTGCATTTCATTCACAAGGGTATCAAGCCATTGTGGGAAGATCCCAAGAACGAGCACGGAGGCGCATGGAACTTTAGGACAGCCAAGGCCGACACCGCCTTTGTGTGGCGTGAATTGCTAATGGCCTTGATTGGAGAGCAATTCGAGGATACTATTGCAAAGGGTAAGGTGTTGGCAGAATAAGAGAAAAAATATATATATATATAAAAGAAATTGGCAGGATGTTGTCCTCTAGCTATTGCGAGATTCTCGACGATGCTTCGTCCATTACATTCATGGCTTGCAATCAGAGAAGCCTAGAATTGGGCTGTATACTTTACAGTGGCAGGATGAAAAAATAGCTCAAGTCATGGCGAAAGCGCAAATATCCCTTACTTTCATTAGCGCGCAATGCCTCAATATCTGAGCCTTCATTCCAGGAACAAGGCTCTTCACCCCTTGAGTATTTTGATCCTTGATTTTCAGTCGATGTCATCAATTCCGTTGTCATATTCCAAATTTATGCAAGAAGGGCAACAACAACAAATACGCAATCAATCAACTTCAAAGGGCAACGATATAAGAAAACCATAAAACACAATGCTGATCGATTTTTTATCATTGTTATTACTACCATTGTCGTTGCATTTTTCTGGCTTACGACTGACTTCTCTAGGTGATCAGATCTTTGGACTGTCCGTGTCAGCGCGTTGGAACTCAGACATCTTCCAAATCTGGAATATGGATTCCTCGTTGAAGGATAATGCTACAGTTATGGATAAGGTAGCTGAAATCCTCAAAGACATTCAGATTCAATCGCCATTTTACAAAGGTAAGGACTATCCACTTGCTTATACATTATCTATAATTATATTTAATGGTACACTTACATACATCGTCTTCATCATTTCTCTCATTCTTCACGACTGTAGCGCACAAGGACCATGATCATTTCAAGATGTAAAGCAAACCAAATTGCTGTCACTTGTGCTTTTTTTTTTTTTTTTTTTTTTTTTTTTTGTCGAAGCAACTGGCCTTTTGTAGATCTTACGCCCCGTAGTTTCAATTTCCTTCTTCACTTATACTCCTACAAGTGCTTGGAAGTAAAGCGCGTGACATCGTCTTGATTTCTGTTTTAGTTATTTATTATTTATAAAAGACTAAAAGCGTCAAAGCTGCCATTCCCCATCATCGCCCAGCCTCATTACGGGCACTTTACCCAAAAAATTTCGTGTTTTGAGACCCCTTGGAAGGTACTCTTGATCAATCTTCACACCTTCAGGATAATTAGGCGGATACTTATAATCGTGGCCATATCCTAAATCTTTCATTAGACTTGTAGGAGCATTTCGAAGATGAATCGGTACAGGATAAGCAAACTCTTCTGCGATTGTTTGCTTGACAAGGCCATAGGCGTGGTAGACATCTACAGATTTCTTGGCGTTGGCCATATGGACTACACAATGCGCCAGGTTCACATCACATTCTGGCATGCCAATCATCTGACAGGCTTGATAAGTCGCTATTGCCAAAGGCAGAGCGGAAGAATCTGCTACTCCAATATCCTCTGATGCCAATCGAATCAACCGACGCGCAATATAAAGAGGCTCCTCTCCAGCAACTAACATTCGACCTAGCCAGTACAGTGCTGCGTTCGCATCCCTATATAATTGATAGAGAATGCCTCAATGAACATGATACAGCAGGATCAAAATGGTAAAAACACGCATGTAGAACGGAAAGGAAGGTGAGGGACAAGAGCAAGAAAGCACATACCCTCCTCGGATCGATTTATGTAGAGCACTGATTAAGTTGTAATGCTCATCACCTTGCCGGTCGTATTGAAGGTGCGTCTTCTGGAATGCTGCTCTAACCATATCAGCTGTCAACCTTGTTAACATCAGCTTTTCAAGAACACCTGAAACAGTACTAAGTGGACTTGTGTTGTTTGATGTAAATGGGTCTTTTGTTCGAGGAACAGTATCATCTGCTGAAAGAATAAGAGTCGACTGTGCCTGAATCGCTATCTCGAGTGTGTTGATGGCAGCTCGACCTTATATCAAAGCAAGATACACTAGTGTTAATACAGGAAACAGAAGTATAGCATGGTAAAAAGACAAAGTAATGTTTATCTCACCATCTCCATCACTCAAGTCAATAAGCCATTTGACAGCGTCTTCTTCAATGGCTCCATCAATCCATTCATTCATCGAACACTCATCCTTGCCTATCGTAGCTTGATACTGCTCCAATTCAGTTTGCGACATTTGTTCCTGAGCCATGTCCAAAATATCATGCCATTTTATCCGCGCGGCGCGCCGGATCATCCGATCCATTCCATCGCTCAATGACAGTTTCTCAAGTGTCAGAACACGACACCTTGACAGTAGTGCATTGTTGATCCGAAAACTAGGGTTTTCAGTTGTTGCCCCGATTAATGTGATGGTCCCTTTTTCAACAAACGGGAGAAATATATCCTGTTGGGCCTTGGTGAAGCGATGTATTTCATCCAAGAAAATAATGGTTCGTTGGCGGGTAAGCTGAAAAAGATTTTTGGCGTCCTCGAACGCTTTCCTGTTGCGAAGGGCCGAGAGGTTGATCATAAGTACGAGATCTTCATGAATAGTTCCTTTATCGTTTTTTTTTTTTTTTTTTTTTTTTTTTTTTTTTTCATATATAAGCACCATATTACATTACCTAAGATCTCCAACCCCATGTGCTGTGGCGCTCATTTCTTTAAATTGCGCCTTCGTAGTATTGGCAATGATTCTAGCCAGAGTGGTCTTGCCGACTCCACATGGCCCCCACAAAATGATTGATCTGCCAAAAAAAAAAAAAACAAAAAAAAAACCGATATTAAAATTTCTGCATCGGATAGAGCTCTTTCTTGGCTTAAAGCATGAAAACTTTACGGAACGGTATCTTGAAGGACTAGGGCTCTCAGTATCCCTCCTGGACCGATCAGCTCTTTTTGACCAATGTAATCATCAAGGGTAGTTGGTCTTGCTATAATTAGTTGAATATACAAAACGTGCGACTTAGAACTCTCCTTGACTTCAATCCTATCCTTGTTTTCTCTGTTCATAGATATACCTCGTTCTGCAAGTGGTTTAGACCGTTGTATTGCCACATTGGCCTTTTGCCTTTCGTTTCGACTGTTAGAGGAGAATGATTGGTGCTGTTGAAGCTGAGCTGGATTTTGCTGCAATTTCTGCAGCCATTGCCGCTGCCGTTGCTGCTGTTGCTGTTGATGCATTTTTTGCAAATCCCGCAATTCATGCTCTGGATCTGGGGATTGTGAAACGGATGGTTGCTCTTTATCCTTATCATCTGTCTCTGACATATCTCGAAAAATAGCCTCGTCAATGTCATCAAAGTCTTCCATTTCGCTTAACCTCCGTTTTGTACTTGAGCTCTGTTTTGTCTAAAAAAATAAAATAAAAATGTAGCATTCATTATATTTTCTGTCTAGAATCCTTCCCGATTACTTGTTTCTCCTTCATCTTCCCTTCACTTACCAAAGACTCGACAACACTATCCATACCCTTGCAGTCATTGTCAAGGTGGTTGTTTATGAACCTAAGCGGATCACATTAAAAATGAATGCCAGCGACTATTAGTGACTATATCACGATGGCTGAATACCTTATAGATACTGCATCATCATGGCTACCGTACCATTCCGGTATCGATTTCTGGCAAATGGGACATGGAACTAAGCCGAGATAATGATCAAGGTCGAAGAAAGTGTTAACCAAAAAAGGTTATTGACAGGAGTGTCAACGAACATGTTTAAGAGAGTTTCTGTTCTACCTAGACTCGATGCAGCAGAGAAAACGGATGGACTTTGTTGTAGTGCTGATGGCGATGAGGATGTTGATGTGAACTTTTTAGATTTCGGTGTATTGAATGGGTTCATGTTGAGATAGCAATAACAACAAACGACAACAAACCAAGAAAAAATTAAATGCTAAGATTAGTTCTGCGCTACACAACTGAAGATCTTATTCAAATTACCTTGGAGAAATACCATACTTTATGCTCTCCTCTTTTGATAGTCCATCATCGCCTGCCCCTCTAGTTTTGCCGTTGATTATGAGGTCTTAGGCTAAGGACAAAGGAAACTCAGCTCTTACAGCTATAAACATCGCATCGGTCCCCGATGCAATTCTGGCCTGCAATCGAAGAAGGGCAGTAAGAATGGTAATAATCCGTCAATGTTGGATTTCGGCAACAGCGCCTTGACTGTCGGTCAGTACATCAAAAGTGGCGAGAGTTTTGCTGACGATCGCTCTTCTATCAGTTCCTCCTCAACATTTGCCTTACGGAACCTGTGCCTCCTCTCACAGTCTCAACATGCCAGATTTTTACTTCGAGTCAGCAAGATGCATAATCTGTAGGTTCTTTCATTCACGTTTCCAAATACAAATGCAGACCTTGGACTTCAACTTAAATAGCATGTGTTAATCCATACCTAACGCCACCACCGTACTGGTGGCGAGAACTCTGCTATGCGTTTCCTACACAGCAAAGCAACATCCTATTCCGAAAGTAATATTTTTGAATATCTTTTCACAAATCAATCAGAATGAGACCCATAGTTCTTTCTAAAGTCTCTTGTGATGTGGCCACCCTCGTTTGGGGCATCCACCTACAGTTGGACCTTTGTCTGACTTGATGGGAGTTTTGATGTACTAAGCTTCCTACACTCAACCAACACTAATTTTCAGTTCTATTAATTGTTTAAGCATTGCTCCAGATGTAGTGATGAAGCATACATGCACAGCAGTATAAAATATAGACATGGGCGCTCGTGTGGCGCCTTATTGAGTATGGACATCGTAAGTATATATTTATACAACTATCATGTGCAACACAAACAAAATAACCAGGCTCCGTATCATTTACAGAAACCATATTCATCCTTACTCCCAAAACAAATATGAACCTGATCTTGTATACAGGCTTATCAATTAATCTAAACTCATGTATCCAGTGGAAACTGTATAAGCTAGCGTTAATGGCATTCATATGCAGATTCAACTGTGTATACATGGTCCCTAGACTTTGTCGATGTGTTTTTTATTAGAGAGGTAGCAAAAGAGAGGATCAATTGTGGAGAAAGAAAGGAGTTGCCTCTAGACGACATGTAAGATCGGCGGTCTACAAATTCGGCTCAGTCAAAAACTCCGCCACTATAGTGCTTCTCTTTACTCCCATTAATCTTCTACTCATTGCATAAAATGATCTGAGAGGACAAAAGTAAATATCTGCGAGCCGAAGTGTAATAGGCGCGTGAGAGACGTGAAGTCTCTAGTTCGTAATAGAAGACAGTAACATTGATACAGCAGGCAACTCTTCATGATGGATTGAAGGAGCAGTTTGATGATTCGTGATACCAACACGCCTAAAGGGATTTTCCCATGTGTTGACAAGGATCTTCCAACAATCAAAAAGTCTGCTTCATTTATTAATAATAAGTGCTGTTTATCAAGATTTTTTTTCACACGCCTCTGTCAGACAAGTTGGCAATTGGCCTGATCCGAACTTGGACCACCGAACTCAAAAAAAACAAAAAGGAGGGTAGACATTTGACATTTGGCATATCACGAACAACATCAGTGCGTAAATGAATGTATAATTTTATTGTGTATGAACTTTTAGCTAATTGCCAAAGGCTTGTTTTCACCAATCAACGCCTCAATGTCCAAACAAAAATGGCCGAAAAAATAAATGTCCTCTTTTATTCATCTGCATTGTTGCTGCTGTCAGCAAATGCCTCCAATATCGAACAAAGAAGGGGTCAAGTTCATATCCTCATTTTACATACTACGGCACAACCTCATCGATTCGTAGGATACATATTATGAAGTGATCGAGTCATACAATAAGTGGATCAAAAATGCCTTCGCATGCAACCAACCATGTTCGCTTTTTTTTTTTTTTTTTTTTTTCTGCTCCTGTGTTCCTGCTAAAGTGATTGTCTCGGTGGATGATTACGAAGAGTTCACAGAAAGTACTTCTGCTCTCAAAAAAAAAAACCTTGTTTTATTGCTCTCATTCACATTGCCATTCTACAGCAGGATTTCACATCACATCATTCTGGTTTAGTATACATCAGCTTAGTTTTTGGAGCTGAATGGGGATAAAAAAAGAGCCTGCAATAAGCGCCAGGATATTCAGTATGCTGGTCTTTACGCAGCACTCCTGCACTCACAAGATAGCCACTGGCTCATGCTTCCTGGTAAGTGAGAGTGTGCGTTGCATGTGCTTTGCTTTGCTATTACTTTTGCTCATATTCTTCTGGTTTCTTGCTTTCCTTTCTTTTCTTTGTCCTTTCTTCTCCGACCATCATCTTTTCATTTTCTCCTCCTTCTTCTCGCCCTACCCTTCCCTCCTTTAACAGGCGCACCATAGTTCTTCTCCCATCGCTTTGTCACTCCTCTGATTTTAATCAAAGGCAAGTAACGCTCGCCTTCACATCGTTCGATAACTCCTCACCTCCACATCCTTTGACAATTACTCTATTCCTTGCAAAGCCGCGCTGTACTGTTGCATCCTTACAAACATCTTTGCAACCTTCCCTCTTGTCGTATATTTTTTTATGTTCTTTCATCACCAGAGTGGTTTCTCCTCGAATTATCGTATTGCCATTAGCATGTTACATGACACTAGCATCCCCGTTCATTAATTCATTAATACCCCTTTTATTCCATCAGCATACACACTTGCATTTTTTGTTTATAATCCTTGTTGCACTGTACCTGAAAATCAGCCCATTTCTTGATCACATGTCCAACGGGCAAGGATTCAATTTGTTTCCTAATAATCCCAATTAATACCTTAAATTGTTCAACTTAATTAATGTGTTCATTGTTGGGAAAGTGCTTTCATTTTCTGCTTCTCAGTACCATGTGAGGGTTTCAGCTGGGTGTTTGGTATGGGGTTGTATGCATGATGAATGTGCATAAAATAACCCTTTTACTCATTCATACACTTGGTTTTCGCTGCCTCTAATTTCAATTTTTGGTGGCATATCATATGAAAGCATGCAGGTAGACGCGCGAATATGGGGATATGAGCACTCAGTAACCAGATTTGACTCCGCTACACCCACATTTGTCGTTCACCTTTCGTTCACATACTGTACACTTTTTTTGAACATTCTCCGGTATCGAGCGGACTTGAAATATTCCCCACGTCTTCTCCACCCGAATGCTCATACCTCTTTTGTGGGTTGAAAATTTAGTAAGGTGTCCATTGGCACATATTCAAACAGTCTCTAATTTTTTTTTTTTTCGTATTAATATATCAATTCGGTCACTTAGGATTTACAAGGACGTCCCAGCTAGGAGCTTAGGACTTCAAGCACATATTATCTGAAAAAAAAAGAAAGAAAAGAGCGAGATCGCCGTTAGTCTAATCCCAGGAGAAAGACTTTCAGGCTTGATCAATAGAATTATTTCCTCTTACCCCAATTACACGCCTTCCCCCCGTCTATCATTTATACATGTCATCATCATCTCAGAGTAAGGTCGCCAAGATGGGCTCCTTCTTAGCTGTTGCTGGTATTGCAAGCTTGGCTGCCTTTGGCACCTCAATGGCGCCTTCTGCAGACGCTGCAGTCACGTTTGGTGCTAATAGTTCGCCTGGATCGATCATTCAAGGAGGACTTGCCTCCATGGTACCTAAACCCGTCAGTATGATGGATAAATACCTTGTTCCTGGTCTCCTCAACATGACATACATTGGTGTGGCCATCACCAAACCCACCCAGATTGTTGTCAGTGCTAATGCATCGCTTATGAACCCCTTTGGTTCTATGGCATTGCCTTTGGGTGTAGTCGGTTTAAATGTCCTCCTTGACGATGTAACTTTAGCGACTGTAACAACTACACCCTTGACCATCGCTGCTGGTATTGGCCCACTCTCCGTGAATGCCACTGTCGACGTTGCAGACGGCGAGACTAACCCTGCTTTGAAGAACTCGATCAAGAATTTGGTAACTGGATTCTTCGGTGGTGTCACACCTAATGGTCCTCCTCCCAAGCTCGTTATCAGTGGTATTAACCTAGCTGGTACACCCTTGGGATTGGATCCTATCGTTATCCCCACCCAGATTAAACCATCTGGCCCCATCAAGCCTACAGATGTAACCGCAGGAGCGGGAAAGCCTCCAGTCATTGGCCTGGCTGGTCTGATCAACCCTGCTATTAATTTTACTATGCCGACGCTTAACAAGGTCACACTCAAAGCCGTTACTGGTGCTCAGCTGACAGGGGGTGTTGGCTTCTCTTGGAACAACCCTCTGAACGTTGGTTTGGACATCCCTTATGTAACAATTGATGTTGCTTTAAATGGCACGCGTCTATTGACTGTAGGAGTCGATAGCCTGCACCTCGCTCCCGGTAACATGACTGCTGAGACATTTGTCGATCTCAAGTTCAATAACGACCCCGCAGCTTCTGCTCAGTTGGCTGCTCTTGTGAATGATTTCCTTGCAGGTATGAAGCATTCTTTTTATTTTTTTATTTTTATTTTTATTTTTTTTTAATTACTATTACTATTTACTATTTTATAGTATTTGGTTAACATTCAATCGCGTTTTTTTTTTTTCTCTGTATAAAAAAGGCAATGTAAATCACATATTGAGTATTGGCAACTTTACTTTTGGAACAAAGGATAACACCACTGCCACAGGCGTGCTCCTTAACACATTGTTCAGCGGAATTGAGATCAACTTGCCACTGCTGAATATCAACACCATTGCTATTCAGCAAATGATTGCTAGTTATCTCCAACCCTATATTCCTATCGATATCAGCAAACTCGGTTCGGGCACTGGTCCTTCATTGACGACCTACCTTCAAGCTTTGGCTATCTCCACTGCCCCAGGACACACTCTGTTGATCGAGCCCAAGATTCAGCTACCTTTGCCATTCGAATTGGACTTGAATATCCCTTACTTCGCCTTGGACATCAACCTCGACAACTCAATGCTTGGTCAGTTCTTTTTGGCTAACCTAGTTGGTACAGGCTCTGGACAGGTCGGCATCTCAGTCGGGATTGGTTTGGTCTTCAGAGAACCCGCTCCAGAGATCCCACCTACTGTTGCCAAGTTGGTGACTGGATTGACGACAGGTTCAAGTCTTGACATCTTGGCTGGAGTCTCCAACATTGCTATTGGTATCTCACCTGCAGATGCTGTAAATACTTTAAATAATCTGAATATTGCTGTACCTATCTCAAGTCTTATCACCGGCTCCATCAGTACTGGCAATTTACTTCAAGATATCATGGCTCAAACCAATGTTACTATTGCTCCCAACGCTGTCAATATCAAGGTTGGCTCCCTGGCTCAGTTCACGATCCATGAGGCTTCAATTGCCGTGTTGCCTAGTAACATGGTCACTGCTGGTATCAACCTGGACATGTTCCTTGGTCTGCCTGTAATTGCAAACATTGGCTACTTTGGCCTTCAGGTTTCCCTGGATGATGCCAACCTTGCTGGCGTTGGCTTAACTACAGGCCTCAATTATGGTGGCGGCATGGTCCAAATGAATGCTGGCGTGGCCATTTCTGTTGGCACTGGTCCAGAGATCAGTGGCAAGGTTGCCAGCCTTGTTAATGCCATTATTGCTCATCAACCTGTCTCGAGCTCTGTTGGTGTCGGTGGTATTGTCATTGGCCAGAGTGCCGACGATTTGATAAATGCTCTCTCGCAGGTCAAGGTCTCTATTCCTCTCGGCGGTTTCTTGGGTGGCAATGGTAAGCTAAGCGCGCATTACTGTTGATAGTAAAGTATTCTGGTGCATTTTTGCCTTTTCTTTTTAAACTTAGTAATATTTAATCATATTCCTTTAATGGTTATAGCACCTGCTCTTTCGTCAGGTTTCCTGGACAGCATTCTAGCTCAGCTTGGTTTATCTCTCACTGACTTGTCGTTGTCTACAATCCCTAATGCTGGACTCCAAGTCGGCGCAAAGGCTTCTTTCTCCAACCCTATCCCTATTTCGGTGTCAGTTCCCTTCATTGGAATTAGTGGAGGTCTTGATCGTATTGATGTCGTCGATGTGGGGCTCAACAATTTGGCTTTGTCGCCTGGACCCAACGCTCTTCAGGCCCAGGTTGCGCTCAACTTCAATAATGCTGCAGAGGCTCAGAGCAAAGTTGCTACCTTTGTTGGAGAGATTCTGGGTGGTCAGCTCGGTAATACTCCTGAAGCTCTGACCGTCCACAACTTGCGCATTGGTGCTTCCCCTTCGGACTACTTCGATCTTCTCTCACAAATTGATATCTCGATTCCATCCAAGGACATTCTTAATAAGCCTAACATGGATCTTCTGCTGGCTCACCTTGGCTTGAATCCCGCTGACATGACCAACAATCTCTTGAACAACTTGCAGATCGGTGCCATCTCTGCCAACTTGAACAGGGCCCCTGTGATGGAGCTCGGTACTTCACTCACTGTCAGCAACGTTTCCTTAAATGCCGCCGTCAACATTGGGTACTTCGGTATCGATCTTGCTTTGGACACCCATGCTTTGGCTCGAGTGGATGTACCTTCGATTACTATTTCGACTGCTAATAACCAACTTACTCTTGCTATCAAGGCCTCAGTCACTATCCAAGACACTCCTGAAATCCAGACTGATATTGCCAACTTGGTTGACTTCTTCATGGCCAACAGCACTACGTCTCCTGTCAACAGTCTGGTTATCTCCAGACCTCTGCTTGGTGTTTCAGCCTCAGATAGCATTCAAACTTTTGCTCTCATCAAGGTTCCAGTTGGCTTGTCTGACTTGCTTCTGAAGGCTAGGGTCTATGTCAGCCAGCTGCTTGCCGGTCTTGGTGGACTGAACACGGACAATTTGGCCATATCTGGACTTGCCCTTGACTTGAACAGCCCTTCAGTCATTGGTATTCAGGGTGGTGTTCAAGTCAAAAACTTGACGTTACCGATTGATGTCAGCATCAGCTATGTTGGTGTCTCTTTGGGGTTGGATTCGACTCCATTAGCTGATGTTACTGTTCCTTCATTCACCTTGAGCTCAGCCAACAATGCTCTCAGCGTCAACTTCCAAGCCTTAGTTGATGTTAAGCAGGGTCAAGAGCTGAGCGGTCAGATCGCTAAGTTGGTTGGGTCTCTCTTATATCCTGGTCAAGTTACCCCACCTACCAATGTTGTCATCTATGATCCCGTCTTTGGTGGTGATAAGGATCATTTGTTCCATATACTATCTAAGATCAGAATTAATATTGCCCTTGCTCCTTACTTGCAAAAAATCGGTGCCATTATCAATGGAGGCTTGGCTGGCGGCAGCAACTTGTTGGCTGGTCTCGACATTGGCTCTTTGATTATTGATCTCAACTCTCCTCAGACCATTGGCATTGATGCAGATATCTCACTAAAGAATATCACTATCCCTGCTGAGATCAAGCTGAACTATGTGGGTGTCAACGTTGCGATTGATACTGTCGGTCTGGCTCAGATCGCCGTCCCCTCATTCTCACTCAAGCCCTCAAATGGTGCCCTCGCGATTTCCGCTCATGTTGATATCGAAATTCTGCCCAGTGACCAATTGACTGCTGCGATCACAAATCTGATCAGTGGTGTCCTTAAGAATCAGACCACGCCTGCCACTAACCTTGTCATTTCTGGTGCTGTCTTTGGTGGTTCGCCCACTAACGTCTTCACGATCCTTCAGAGCATTGCCATTCCCATCAATGTTGCTCCATTCATCAATCAGATCCCCGCTCTGATTGCTGGCCAGGGCTCGCTCTTGGACCGCGTCGCCATTGGTGAACTCATCGTTGACCTGAACTCACCCCAGACCATTGGCGTTGATACCTCGGTCTCAATCAAGAATGTCAATCTTCCTGCTCAGATCAAGTTGAATTATGTCGGTGCTAATATTGGAATAGGAGAGGTCCCTTTGGTTAAACTTGGTATCCCGAAATTCGCCATGAACCCTAACAATGGCAACTTGGATATCTCGCTCCATCTCGACTTGGCTCTCCAGGAGAGCCAGGCTTTGACTCAAACGATTAACGGCCTCGCTCAAGTGATTCTCGCTGGCAAGCCTATCCCTACCACCACCTTGTTGATCTCAGGGGCTGCTTTCGGAGGCTCACCTTCCGATGTCTTCACATTCCTTCAGGGCGTCAAGATCCCACTAGATATCACTGCTTACTTGAACCAGGCTCTCACTTCGATCAACAGTCCTGGAGCTCCTTCATTATTGGGTAGAATTGGTATCTCAGATTTGGTTGTCGATCTGAACTCCCCTCAGGTTATTGGTATTGATGCCTCAGTCCTTGTCAAGAATATTACCCTGCCAGCTCAGATCAAACTCAACTACGTTGGTGCCAACGTTGCCATTAACTCAATCCCATTAGCTCAGGTTTCTGTACCTCAATTTTCGTTGGCGCCTCAAAATGGTGACTTGCTCTTAAAGGTCCATGTCAATCTGGCACTTCTAAGCAGCCCCGAGTTGTCCAAGACTATCTCTGGAATGGTTGGTGCTATCCTTGGTAATCAGACATTGCCTCAGACTGATTTGATCATCTCTGGAGCTACGTTCGGCGCCTCGCCCACCAACTATTTCACGATTATCCAAGGCGTTATTATCCCCATTGATATCTCACCATACATTGCCAAGATCGGTGGCATGCTTGGCGGCGCTGGTTCATCGCTCAACGGTCTGAGCCTCTCGGGCTTAACAGTCAACTTGAACCAGGCTCCTACAATCGGAATTGATGTCAATGTCGTCATTCGCAATCTTGTTCTGCCTGCTAAGCTCAATGTGGGTTACGTTGGCTTTGACATTGGTATCAACAGTGTTCCATTGGTTGAGGTCGCTATCCCCAAAATCGAGCTTGGCTCCAGTGGCACTGATCTTACAATTTCTACTCATATTGATCTTACCTTGTCTGAAACGGATGCTTCTCAATCCCTTGTGGCCGCGCTCGTGAATGCCATTGTAGCTGGTCAACTTCCTCAAGGCACAATTATGATTTCTGATATTGCTTTTGGTCCTAGCAAAAATAATGTTTACACAATCTTGCAAGGGGTTCAAATCCCTATCCCGATCTCGAAAATCCTCTCGTTCGTCCCTGCTCTTCCTGGTACCACTCCCGGTTCAATTCTCGACAAGCTGTCACTTCAGAGCGCAGATATTAACATGAAGAACCCACCTAGGATTGGTGCAGATGTGGACATTGCTCTCCTTGGCTTCCAGTTCGATGCCAAGCTCTTGCTCAATTATGTAAGCATCAGTGCCTTCTTAGATCAGACTCCCTTGGCAACCGTCTCTGTTCCTGGCATCTCATTGGCTTCCGGCAACAACCAAGTTGAGCTCAAGATCCGCTCGCTTGTCGACTTAGCTAGTGGTGGTGAGATCCAATCCAAGATTGCTGCCATTGCTGCTCAGTTGATGGGTAATGGCGGTGCTCAAAATGTGAACTTGGTAGTCTCGAAGATTGCATTTGGAAGCAGCGCTGGTAACGTTTTCCATATCTTGGATAAGGTCCAGGTCTCAGTTCCGCTTGCTCCTTACCTTCAACAGCTGGCTGGTATCATTGGTGGTGTTGCTGGTGGCAACGGTGCAGTTCCTCCATTCAACATCAACAAGCTGGATATCAGCGCTCCCGGTGCCAACGATCTCTCTATTGCAGTTGGTGCTTCCATTGGTGGCATTGGTTCTAAGATCTCCGTCCAGATGCCCTACGTTGGTCTTAAGGTATCCGCCGGTGGAGCTGGATTTGTATATCCAGCCATCAACAACTTCCAACTTTCGAATGGTAATATTGCACTCACCCTTGATTTGCCGTTCCAGCCTGCAGCTCGTCAGATCGTTGCTTCGCTCTCGACTCCTGTTTCGCAACTGCTATTCTCAACTGTGGGTCAGGTCCCTGGCTCTGTAGTTGTGAACAGCATTGAGTTTGGTGCCTCTCCAAGCCAGGCTTTTGATATTGCTGCCAAGATTGGGCTTGAAATTCAACTAAACTCTATTTTCCAGAAGGCTCAGGCCTATATTAATGCCCACAACCCACTTCACGTAAACGTAATGAACACAGTCCTGACGACCACCGGCATCCAGGCTACGATCACTGTCCCCGGTGCTCCTCTATCAGTGCCACTCAAGATGAATTTCCCTATCTCACTCTCCGCTTACTACAAGGGTGGTAGCCCTTTTATCGGTATCCAGGCTACATCTATATCCTTGGATCAGTCTCCATGGTCTCTCGGTGCTAACATCCAGACCATCCAACCTGCTTTTAGTCAAGCCATGGACGGTATCCTTCCCAATGCTCTCCAGTGGAAGAATGCTCTTCAGGATGTAACCATTGGAGGCTTGTCCTTGGGCGAATTTACCGCATTAGGTGAATTGAGGATTACTCCTCCTGCAGTCACGCTCTGGTCACCAATCACTATACCATTGGATCGATTGAAACTCCATCTAGTTCCTCTGGGCATGGACTTTTCGGCCGTATTTGACAATCTCGGCCCACTACTAGTGGATTTAGGCACGATTAACGTTTTGATCAAGGATCGTTTCAACTCTGATGTAATCGAGATTCAGAACTTGGGCGGACCTATCCGTCTCACCAATGGCAGAAATGATCTCGCTCTCAATGGATCACTCAAGTTCAATATCCTGCAGTTGCCTGGGATCATTATCTCACTTCTGAACCCATCCGGCTTCAAGTTTATCTTCAATATGAGAACTTCGAGTGGCCAGCCCATGCCCTGGTTACAGGATGCACTCAATGGTGTCCCTGCCACTATCTTCAACAACCTGTTACCTATCCTCGCCAAGGCCTTGAGTAACATCAGGTTTACCATTTAAATAGTAAAAGCATACGGAGTATAAGATAGAAATGGATGATCTCTTGGACAACACTATAGTTGCGAAAAGAAAAAAAAAGTCAAGTAATATCAAACGCATTTCTAGCTAAAGTCCAACTTATACATAGTACTAAATATCTTGATGCACACATTATTAAATTCCATTCTAATGAGAGAAGTAAATATTATTGCTATTATGTTTGTTGTCATTGTAATTATTATGATGCGGTTGTTTCTTGATATTTCCATACAAGGACGCGATTGGACCAATCGACTGTAACAATTGTGCTCAGATCTTGTGACACTGCTGTATCTCGAAACAATTCGTTGGAATCAGGATGGGAGAGTGTCTACGTTTGTTGATAAAAATAAAAAAAAAGTTACTGAATCAGATCTTTCATATTATCATAATATAGCTTTGAGCGTCTAGGCCCATAAGTTAGACTTACACCGGATGGCTTCTCTGCAATAATATTGCCATCACGAGCGCGTTTAGGCTTACGGGCCAAATCGTACACTAGAACTTTCCCATCTGTGGAGCCTGCCACAAGAATGTTTTGCCTCATCTCTGTGAGGTTGTTGCTTTTCGCTCTCTTTTTTTTGGATGATGTTGTTGCTACTGTTGATGGCACCGCAATCATATTCTCTGCCAATGTGAACTTTGTCCAGCTCTCGGTGATAGACCACTCAAGAATTGTCTTGAGCTCTGCATCTGTTGCTGTACTCTTTGTAGCCTCCCAAATAAGGATCTCGCCTTGCGAATTCTCCCTCGATGCAAACACGAATTCTCCATCATTTTCATCTTGTTCAGATTCATCCTGAGTCTTATCTTTCTCATCGTTTTTGCCTTCAATTCCTTCGTTACCGCTAGGTTTTGTGCGGCCTTGATTACGGATACGTCCTCGGGCACGACCTTGTCCATGTGAACTGCTACTTCCATTGTGCGATTTCTTATTTGCCATTGCGCTCTTATTATTGATTTCTATAGCGCCTAAGTCTGCTTTGAGGGCATATGACTCTGAGGAGAAATGTGGGATGTAGATGATTTCATCCACGGACGACTCATGCCACTCCTGCGATGGTGGGTATATCTTTTGAGGCGTGGCATTATACAGCGATTTTTTCCCTGACTCCAAATTCTTGTTGACTTCTTTTGCAAGTTTGAAAAGATTGTACTGGGCCATAAGTCCCTTCTCAGTTCCAAAAATCAGATACTTTTCTGAGACCCCAATCGCTGTCACTGATGAGCCGTCCATTCCATCAAACTTTGCAAGACAGCTAAAGTAAGCGTAAGTGGAAGTAACAAAGGTAGACCAGGCAAATTTGTTAGATTGGTTCATTATGATTCTCTGCTATCTTGGTAGTTGTTGACAAACACATACCGGGCTTCCTTCTCAAAGTTATGAGGCGACCCAATGTCCCAAAGTCGTGCAGTTCCATCCACGGAAGCACCTCCAAAAAAAAAAAAAAAAAAAAAAAAAAGGTAGGATACAGGAGACATGGTGAGAGGGCGCGATACGACCATTAAAGTTGTTGTCGTTCACAAAGTAATATAGTGCACCTTACTGAAAAGCCAACGCGGGTTGGTGAGCGAAAATTTTAGTCGAAGAATTGATGCTGTGTGTCCATGTAAGTACTTGTAGCAAATCCCCTGTAATGGATTAATCAGTTTGATACTACCCATGCGGCCTAATCCAAAATAGACAAAGAGATATTAGAGGAAGGGAAGAGGGATAGACATATGATGGTATTGGGATGGCCCAAAGCACCAAAGTATGCTGTTCTCCTTCTTACCTGCCACTGCCAGAATATTGGTTACATCATGGCGATCCGACAATCCTGACCTATACTCTTGCGTAAAAGTGCTCCAGTCTAAACCACCTTCACCTCCGCCCTCATCAAATGAGGATGCTAAAGTCGTCCATGCTAAACACATAAATTCTTCTTCCTCCAAATGGCTATACTTGGCTATGATCCTTCCAAGGCTACAATCAATTAAGCAAACAGTGTTACCGCCGCAAGTTGCAACCAAGCTACTGCTCTTTTTCAGGTAACTGGCTCCGTCCTTTGAGATATGTTGTTTCTGCTCCAGTTTCCTCCTTCTCTGGATGCCTCCATCGTCATGCTTATACTCATCCTCGGCTCCTTTATTACACTCCTTTTGCCCTTTCCCAGCACTACGTTCAACTTGGTTCAGATCCTGCACGTGAGTTCGAATACTTGATAACGTTGGTTCAAATGCCACTGCCCAAATATCAACGCTATCATCTTCGTGCCCATCGTGGGTGCTTCTGGAATGCGCTCTAAGCATGTGCTTTAAAACGTACTCATTTGAGGATTCGGTATGAGTGCCTTTCAATTTACCCTTTTTGGAACTCAATACATCTAAAGGCAATGAAAATCATAATCAGTCCTGACTTATTAAAGAAAGCCAACAAATAAAAAAAGAAGGTACAGCGTATTCTTTTACCATGATCTTACCCAGGAGGTTGGGATAAGCCCACAGCGAATATCTGTTACCTTCGCTCTGGCCTTGGTTTTGATCCTCATCCTTAGTTTCAGTAATTTCCCTGGGTTCGCTTCGATATTGATCGATACTTTCAGTAAATCTATTTGAGGTTGCTTTCTTATCTTTTAAATTAGATGATTTGGAGTTTCCTTTCGAGTTATGTTTCGGCTGCTTAGCAACAGAGTTTGCTGTAACATCCTTCGCATTGCTGAGCTTAGGGATTTTCTTAGCACGTCGCGGTGTTGCTGTCAATGTTTCTGAGCTATCGAAACGTTCCACAAGGCCGAGTCGCTTTATTGACGCTTGGGAAGTCCCATCCTGAATGCTTCTGGAGGATCTCTGGACAGAAGATCCCATCTTTGACACGGCAGATCTTTTGGGCGGCATTCTTAAAAGATCATTAATTTAATCGTGTTCTGAAAATCGTTTTAAAGAGTACAGCACAATCTTGGCCCTATTACATCACTGAAAACAGTCACGTAAATGGTCCTCGACGCCTGCACTCCGAACTAGACTAGCGTGTTTGCTGACACGCAGATATTGTCTATACTATGTAAAACTATGTGAGCTACATATGCTCAATGTGAATTCTCTTGCTACCTCTAGGCTCCTCTCCTTGCTCGGTCGGCGTCTGTCGCTTGATCGCTCTCTTTTCTCCACTCTCCATGGAAATATTCTTATTTTTGTTTGGCACAAGGTAGGATGGTCGTTCTTGATAAAGAAGATGACCTTGGACAATGTTGGCTATGTTATGCCCTGCCATGATGTCTCTGTGCATAAATGCCTTGCAGCTGCTGCAATACAGTCGACAGATCTCAACCTGACCAACAAATTCTTGACAGATAGGACATTTTTTTGAGGTGTAGTATTCGTTTACGCCAACAACGATGTACCCAAGAGATCGGGCCTAATGAGGTAGGAGAGCAAGATAAGTTACATTGTGACAACAACGGCAATATAAAGCAATGACCAACAGTTTTCCCATGGCTAGCTTGGCCGGCCACTGTTTCAACTACTACTTGAAACAGTATAGCCACCGGCCAAGTTTATTTTGTAATATTGAGCGAGTCCTTACCTTATTCACAAAATACGATTGGAATGATTCGTGTAACGAAGACAGCCTGGTATTAGACGAAAACTTGCCAAGACCCACTCCGATCACCACCTTATCTCCTTCATTTACCTTCGTTCCAATTGACCCGCCAACCATCTTGAGCAGACTGTTGGCAATCTTCTTGTATTCTTCAACCCGGGCCCTTTTCGCATCCCACCTATGTTTCTTGATGACATTGTTGCTGCTATAGAAGGAATCTAGGTCTTTCTCCACGTCTCTAAGCTTCTCAATGTAGTTTTTTATGCTTGAATCATTTCCACGAAGAGAAGGTAGGCTACCCCCAATGTCACTAATGGACTGTGAACCGTAGACCGCTGCTGCCTTCCGCCGCTCCATCCAATGTCGGTATTTGAGAGTGGGCTAGTACGCTGCCTTCTGCTTGACGGCCAAGTTGTAAAATCTGGATGTCTGGGTCGCCGTGTTGGTGAGCTCAGTACTTGGTAACAACGCGCTTGCTTCGACGATGAAAGACTGCCCTAAATCTAGACCTAAAATCTTGATTTCTTCTAGCTTGCAGCCCCAAAGGTCGGTGATATCTTGCTTAGTACTCACTACATTCCTTATCTCGGTCAAGAAATAGTCTGTGCCGCCAAGAGTGGAATTGATTCTACAAGGTAATCTTTCCTCGGGAAGTCGCCGATATTTTACCGCATTGAGTTCGTTCAATTTGAATGCTAGCAATTGGAGACGAAACCCATCAGTTCGAATTGACCCTCGTAAAATATAACCGCGCTTGTCGTAAGTCTGAGGCCCGGGCACGAAGTCATCCTCTCGAATGTATCGAATGTGCTCTCTCATCATGCTGAGTGGCATTATGGAAGTTGTAGCCTTAAATCCCTTGTATTTCTTGCGCTCTTCCTCTTCAAAGCCACCAATGTCAGTTAGCAGACTTGTAATGAGATACCCAGGGTCCCTGCCCGAGAGCCACACTCTAAGGTCGGCTTTCGAGGGTGTGCAAGTGAAGTCACCTCTGGCATAACCTTGAAGTTCAGCTTTGAGCTCATTGTCTTGCCAAAAGATCTCAATCAGTTCTAACTCTGAGAGATTTATAAAGCCATCTTCAAAAGTGGACAACGGAGCAAGTTTTCGACTGTTATTGCAGATTTTGTTCAGGCGAACAAAGTTCTCTACTGCGGATATGCTAGGGTGCTTGTTATGTCTACAGGTAGCAGACCCTTGTTCTTGAGAGCTTCGATCTGTTATAAAAGGAATGAAGATATTAGAATATCATTCGCCGTTATCTTACTCAATGATAAAATTTGAGTGGGGATGATAGCACTCATTAGAGCTAGGCGCGCATACCTTTTCACAAAGTGCTTGTGCGCCCTCCTTGTAATGCTTCCTTAACTCAGCCTTGAGTTGCGTGGCAGTTGATCTCAGGATAACTGACCCTGGATAACGCATTCTTGTATTGATCGAGCCAGCATCTGCCATAGCTGGCAAAAAGTCCTTGGCCTTATGGATGAAGTTGAGCACATGAGGATCCTTTACGTTGCCAGTTGGGGGCCTCTTGTTATAGATACACACGAGAAGTGATAGCAGGAAGGTCGTGTTGGCATCATTCGTTTCGTTCTCATCATTCTCATCATTATCCTTCTCAGCTCCATTGGGGCCTTCATTGCCGGCCACGCTCTTGCTAAATATACGTGGGCAGATAAGATCGAGCAGTTTTCTGTCTGTGTTGCTGACATCGGTAGCTGAAGCTGCTCAATGTACTGGCCAATAGCTCTCTGGCAAGTGCGTTTGGTCTTCGAAGCATGGCGAACGACTTCTTGGAGGCAGGCTTTAATCTTGGATCTCAATTGGGGCTTATCAGTCAATATTCTATTTAGGTTGCCGTTGACCGTCCCAATGTCAAGAGTCCTAGTTGGGTGTTCATACTGCATAGCCCTAACTAAGTCTGTTTTATCCATTTCGTCCACCGCTTTTTGTGGCTTTTTCGACTTTTCCTTCTCTTTCTTTTTCTTCTGCTTGTTAGAGTCAAGGGCATTCGTATTGGGATTGTCTTTGTATTTTCTCCCTGAAGAGTGAGAAGGAGGCCATTGGGCAGGAGCTCGGTCAACAGAGCGAAAGATATTGAATGTATCTGAGTGATTGTTCGACTGGGATGAACTATTGACGGAACCAATGTCCATGTGAAGGTTGTAAAGGCGGATTAGTTCGATGAAAATGTAGGGAAAAGGGATAAAAAGTAAGGCTAATGTCAGTGCATTACCTCTTGTCTATTCTCCCATTCACTTTTAATTGCTCGCGGATTGGCGCCAGTCTCTGTAGTAGGCTTTCATGAGTCGCGGGAACATGTATGGAAGTCTGAAATGCAACAGGAAGAGATTTTCTCTGTTGCAGATCCACGAAAACCCTTATAGAGTCTTCAAAATATCCGTCAGCTACCTCCTTTCCCCTCACCTCATTGTGTCTCAAGTAATCCTGGATCATGTTCCTGGGATCTTTTTTTTTTAAAAAAAAAAAAAAAAAAAAAAAAAAAGAAAGAGAGAGTTTGATGTGAAATTCAGTCTTTTAGAAGCGTGCAATCCTGTGGTATACCATTACCTTCTCCAACCTGCTCCTTGACAATTCTGTAGTTGGTGACACTTCCAAGCCGGGAAATGTTGCTTGTGTAGTCGTTCTTGCTCACGATACACAGCACCGTCAATTGCGATCGTGTAATGTTTAGGGTGGTGAGTACGTCTGCAAGCTTGTACACTAAAATGCGATCTCTTGAGATAGGGCGCCAAACCGTTGAGATATTCTTGTATGCGAGCATGTCACTGTCTCGGGAGACAACTACATCCTCGAGCTGGCAATCAGTCGCAATAGCAACGTCTGCCTCGAATTGACATTCTTGAACAAGCCAGCTCTTGTTCCGCATGTATTTCGCGAATGATTCTCGTGCTTCTTTTGACCAATGAAAGGCCTTATCCAACGCCTTTATTACGGCAACGAACTGTTTCTTTCGGACTCGACTCTTGCTTTGCACGCGTTAGTATAGTTCATCGAGCCCTTGTTGGGCGTCCATCAATGCCTTGGCTCGTACTTCCTCTCGATATATATGAGTATGTTTTTTTTCCTCACAGGCGTCACCGTCAAGATACAGGATAAGGTTTTCTGGTGTTCCATACTTCCCCAGCTCTCTTTCCATGATCTTGTGGGCTGTATCGAGGGAATGATTGGAATATGCGTTTTGAATTATGGGATGTAAGGTTCCTAGGACATCGAACCTTATGTAGGCGTTGCAATTGAAGGGATTGAAAGGATTAGAGGTGGCGCAGATTAACGAATGGTAGTGGAGAGTTGCCTCGTAGCCTGTCTTTAGAAGAAAAGACCAGAGGCCCTCGATTCCCATTGCTAAGAAGTGATATCAATATGGATATGGGAATATCGATGGAGCTGTTAGAGAGAAAGAGGTGTTGAAAAAAAATCGTGTGAATTTTTGCATGGTGTTTCACGTGGCATCTTTCCAAAAAAAAAAAAAATTGACTGGTGTGAACGGGCATGGTGTTTTTTAACATAAAAATTGGCAAATACACTAGCGAGTCAGTGAAGCATCACACAAGGAACCGTCGGCGGCACTTGATGGCATTATCATTGTCAATATGAATATATATAGATATATATATATGCCTAGCGCGCTGCCGCACCGAAGCAAAACTTACCAGTGCTTGCTGCGTGTTCTTCTCTGCTCTGTTTGAAATCTTGATCATAACCTAGGCATGGACCCCTTGACGATAAAATACATCTTACCATACTCGCTAAATTTTAATCCACATCAGTCGGTAGCCCCCTATCCCATTCCTAAGGAGATACCCGACCCTTTTACTACGGCTTTCACATTCAACGCGTTCCGTGAATTTTGGAGCCAAGAAAGACTTGCGTACCAATGGGCAGAGTGTTCGGAAAAGAACTCTCGATTCATTCTTGCCCACAAAGAGAATCTGGATAAACCACTTCCTACGCACAGTAAGGCATATCCTGGCCGCGGTCGTCCACGTGAATTCGATTGGACAATCAAGTACGTCTGTTGGCGCCAAGGTCCGAAAGAAGAGTTGACCATTCACCGGGAATCAGTTGGTAATAAATGTCCGGTCTATATCAGGATTTAAAAACCTGTTGAGCAAGACCAGGTCATGGTGGAGTATTATAGACATCACAACCATGAAACTTCAACAAAGTCTAGGGTCGCTCTTCCTCTGAGCCCTAACGAGCGCAACTGGATGAAGCCAATGGTCTCCAGCAGCCATGACTGGAAATATATCAAGAATGAATTGAGGCCAAGTGAAGAAGCTCTTCAGGTAATGGTCGTCCAAGCATGTATTAAATATTTTTGCATTTACTTAGGCAATGACTAATATCCCATGACTTACAGGTTGAGGCAGAGACGAAAAGTGTCCCTCCAAGCTTCCTTATCACTTACAACGATGCACGCGCAACGATTTATCGTAAACAGATAAAGGAATTTACAAGAGGTGATAGCATTGTTACCAGTGTTGAGGGATGGATGAAGGAAATTCAAGCAAACGGGGGTAAAGGATGGTTTGCTAATGAAATTGGTGTCAACGACCCACAAAGCTATTTGATTGCCTGGTGTACGAAGTTCCAATTGGAGGTAAGGATTGCTCAGATCCGATATGATCCAACTGGCGTTAACGTTACTTACCGTCCTCGTTTCTGTCTTCAACAGGTCGCAAAGGACAATAGCTTGATAGCCTGCATGGACTCTACACGGAGAGTCGCTATGTCTCTGAGAGAAGATAAGGATAAAAAGAGCAATAAGGGAAAGGGCAAAAAGGTAGGCTCGTTCCCATCCCTCTTCACTTTATAAAGGTGACAGGAAATTCCATTTCCTTTTTGAGTCACCTAAAGTGAAGGGGCTGGGAACGAGCCTAGCAAAAAGGATAGAAGTTCTTCAGCCTGCCTGTTTACGATCCTTGTCAAGGATCGAGTTTTGAGAAAATGCGTTCCAGTTGCCCATATGCTATGCAGCTCAGAGTCATCGTATGTTTGAGCATAGTCTAGCAACGATGTGAAGATGGTGCTTATCAAACTGAGACCATTGTATTATGTTCAACAACAGGTTCCTCATAAAGAGATGGTTATCATGGCTCAGAACCGAGTGCGGTTTCAAGATGTCAAAGTTCATGGTAGACTGTTCTGTGACACAGAGTGAGGCCATTCAAGAGGTATTCCCTTCCGCATCAGTTTACTTCTGCCACTTTCATGTGTAGAAGTTATGGGAAGACCGCATGAGGGATGTGTTCAAGGTAAGATATATCATGTTAATGCTCAATCAAGATACCTTTGGCGATAATAACATTTTAATGCGACTCCATACTCTTTAGGAGCGATACTGGGTTTGCTTAAAGAAATGCGCATTACAGGGTCTGACGAAAAGTTAATGACATCTGGAAAGGTATCAAGGACCAATTTTATGATCCGAGCAATGACAAAACAAGCCTCTTCTTTAACTATATGGAAAAGAACTGGATCGCGAAAGAGAAGAGACCAAGATGGGTGCTTTTCGTGAGAGAGGTAAGATAAAGCACCAGTAAACGGCGGTATTAAATGACTTCTTCGACGAATTTCAATATCCGACATCCTAATACACCTAATAGGACTACCAGCACGTAAATACAAACAACCTTCTGGAGTCTTGGTTCAACGCTTTGGAGACACATGCACTGGAAGGGAAGCGCGGTTTACGAATTGATTTACTCATATATAAATTGCAGGGACCCATTGACCAGGACTTCAGGACACAGTATTTCAAGGTCAAAAATGGAATACAACTCGCAACGCTTTCACAGTACGACCAAGAAAGACTGGCGAGAGCAATGGCAGTAAGTACCGTGGAGGCAAGGGCCATGGTATGCGAGAAGTTAGTCGAGAAAGAAGTATGTGTCGAAAATCGATAATATCAAAAGTTTGATTGTATATGGATAGGCTCTAATCTCTTTCGTTCTTCAAAGTTCGCGGTAAAGTCGTCCGAAGAATCTGGAGTAGAGTATTCCGTTGCCGCGGATGTAGAGAGGGGCCTCCTTCAGTCATGTTCAAGCCCCGACTATGTCCGACAGAAGATCCCTTGCAAACACATGTGTTTAGTGTCAAGGATTTACGACGGCTTCGATGTTCAATATGCCGCTGCTCCTTCGCACTTTGAACATCAGAACAGGCACTTAGAGTTCGACTTAGGGCCTCCTCTCGAGAGCTTTATCTCACCAGTTTTACTGCGTGAAGAAAAGAAGAGAAAAAGAGAAGAAGTCACCACCCAAGCGTTTGAAGAGTGTGAAGAAGAGCTTATGGTCCAGTGGAAGGAGCTGGGCCGTATAGTATATAATAGGCAGAAAAGAAAGTGCACATTGAAGGATATGCAAGACTCAATAGCAGAGCTGAGGAATGTAATCCGTACAATGACAGCGGGTGTTCAAGCACCTGAACAAATTGACGATCCCTTTGTTTTGGGCCAAGATTGCGCTACACCCGTTTTAAAGAGTGACGTCACGTGAACCGCGATCAAAGTCCTCAGCAAACTTGACAGCCGGCCCACATCCAATCATTCTGGCTTTCTTTCCCCTTACTGACAACTGATTTTATGTCCATAAGAGGCGGGAGCAGGATCCCTATTAGACAAATTGAAGAAAAGTGGCTGAACTTTGTGATGTAGTCATGTATTACTACCCACTACGCCCAGTTGGTTCAAACACTGTGGATCTATATTATCTTGCCACCAATTTGGTTTATCAATCAAACATCTTTATATGCTCAATGCGATCCAGGAACAACCGTCCTCAACTTCAACTTCGGGTGCTTAATTACTTCACACAGCACATTCATTTCATTTCTTGGCTACTGAAGATTTTTTTAAACTCCTATTTATTTCTTTAATGTATTTCCTTTTACTAACATACTTTACAAAACTAATCAAGACCGTACACAAACATCTTTTCCCTCCGAGTTCTTTGCTTGCAGAATCAGATTTACTCTTCATCATCAGAGTACTTGGCATTTGAGGATTTACCTTGGCCAGAAGAACTAGAGCTGTTGCTGCCTCCCACAGGGTTGTATCCAGGTCGTCCTGGTGTCGCTGAACCACTGCCTTGTCCACCAGATGAGTAATCCATCGGCGAGAATGACGTCGCGCTAGGAGAGTAACTTGGAGAATAACTTGGACTCGCTGGTGAATAGCTCGGGCTCGTAGGTGAGTAGCTAGGACTTGTTGGCGAATACGAAGGCGACGTTGGGGAATAGCTCGGGCTCGTGGGCGAGTAGCTTGGTGACGTGGGTGAATACGAAGGTGATGTAGGAGAATACGAAGGCGACGTAGGAGAATACGAGGGCGAAGTAGGAGAATACGAAGGCGATGTAGGAGAATACGAAGGTGATGTAGGAGAGTATGAAGGTGATGTGGGTGAATACGATGGCGACGTAGGCGAATATGATGGCGATGTAGGTGAGTACGATGGCGATGTTGGAGAGTATGAAGGTGATGTAGGAGAGTAAGCCGGCGATGTCGCTCCATAGCCGTGGCTCGTAGGGGAGTAGCTCGGGCTCGTAGGCGAATAGCTTGGAGATGTGGGTGAGTAACTTGGTGATGTTGGCGAATAAGACGGCGATGTAGGTGAGTAAGATGGCGACGTAGGAGAATATGAGGGTGATGTCGGCGAGTAAGAAGGCGAGGTAGGTGAGTACGATGGGGACGTAGGGGAATATGATGGGGATGTAGGGGAATAGTTGGGTGATGTAGGGCTATAGCTGGGTGATGTGGGGCTATACCCAGGACTTGTTGCATACATTGGCGAACTGGGTGAATAGCCAGGCGAAGCTGGGGAGTATCCAGGACTGGTCGCGCCAAACGGGCTTGCTGCATCCCATGTACCTGCTCCCATCGGAGAACTTGCTCCAGAATTGCCCATTGGCGAGAACACCGCATCCATTGGCGATCCTGGGTGTGAAAAGTCCACATACTGCGGTGACCGTCCATCGTATGGTGTCATCTGTGATGCTAAATTATCACTGTTCATACCCATGCCCATATTCACACCCATCATGCCTGGACGTGGTCCTTCAACAACAGTACTGAGCATCTTCTCATCCAGCATTAGATCAAATTCACCCGTGCCCAAAGGTGCCAACTGACCTAACATGATATTTTCAGCAACACCACGGCAGTCATCCAGCTCTCCTACTGCTGCAGCCTCCATCAAAATTTCAACAGTCTCCTCAAAAGAACAGCGCATCAGTGCACCCGTCTCAGCACGATTGATACCATGACGTGTGATGGCCATCAAGTGGCCACGGTGCGTCATCACATCACACAGCAACGACAAGTGGCGATAGTTGACATAAGAACCATCAAACTCGATAACTCCGCGCAACTCTTTCAACAATGCCTGACGTGCCGCCTCGATACCTAGTACGGCCATCACTTCTCCACAGTTGTTCGAGTATGTACGTGTGGCATCGACGTCCTCCTCGCACATGACCGCCTTCAGATTCGATCCACTTGTTTCTAGGTACCATTCCTTCTGAGAGTCGAACGTTCCATCTGATTTGATGTATGTCTTCTTCTTCTCCACCATGTAAACGCGTGCAATATTCTTGATGCCACGCAGGCTGATTGAACTAAGCAAACTGTTCTCAATCTTCTTTAAAAACACATCTTCCTCGTCTTGTACGTCGGGCTGCTTGTCCGCTGCTTCCTCATTGATAATACGGCAGCGAATGATCAACCTCTCAGCGTTGTCATCTGAACAAATACACATCAAATCACGTTGAAAGTCCTCTGATATCTTGTTCGAGACATCCGCCATTGTCAGCTTCTTATCAAGCATCATCTTACGGTCCAACTCAATACGAAGCAACCAAGGTGATGTCCTGGATAAATTCAGATCCTCATCGGGCATCGCATAGTATGCAGATACAAAGTCCTGATCCTCTTCAATATTAGTGTTCTCGGGATCAGGATCATAATGAATCTCAGTCGCCGACGTAACTTTCTTCAAGTTAGTGTACTCCAAAGCAACCTGCACCTGCTTAGCACGCTCCATGTTACGAGCACATTCTGGTGTCAGATAGACGTTCAGCGAAGGCGTCTTGATGTTCGTCGCCACATTGATAATCTCTTTCAAACGAGGAACACCAAGTGTCACATTCTTCGACGACACTCCAGCATAATGGAACGTGTTGAGCGTCATCTGCGTTGCAGGCTCTCCAATCGATTGTGCTGCAACCGTTCCAACCATCTCACCAGGATTGACAATTGCATGTGCAAAACGCGAACCAATCTCACCTACAACCCAATCAAATGCTTCACGAGTCAAATGGAACTCTTCAATCACCCTACGCACCGCCAATGTCGATCGGATCAACATACGGAACAACAATGTTGCGTTATCTTGAGCCTCTACACTGATACGGTCCGTGCCGCGTACCACTATAAGCTGCTTCTCCAAATTCTTAACACTCTCCAAAATGTGGCGGGGATCAAGGTCACTTGGTCGCTTATGATCTACGTGAAACATTTGTTTCGAGTTCCAAATGTATCGCTTGATGTTAGTGGGAAGGGGCCACGAGTCATCGCCTTCGGTGAAGATGTAGTTGCGCAGAAGATGGCGGTCGGCCTCAAGCTGCCTGAATTCCTGCTCCAATAGTGTCTGCATGTCAGGTTCACCACGCTTCACTGACTCTATATCTGCCTCCTCCATTGCCTTGATCACAGAGTAATCTAAAGCACCCGGCTTGAAGCCTTTAGCTTTATCTGTAAGATCAATCTGAAACTTCTTCTCAAACTGTGCGTTCGACATCTTCACGGTGTCAATGCGCTGCTTCTCAACGTGGCAAGCATCCATACCGTCCTCGCCGTAACAGAATTGAACCACGTGCCCGAGAGAGTTTCTCACAGTGCCATCATACTTGACCATCACATCCTCCAAAGCTTTGACGAGACGACGCTGGATATAGCCAGTCTCGGCAGTCTTAACAGCGGTATCAATTAAACCTTTAAATTGCAAGAGAAATAAAGCAATCGAAATGTATCATAACGTTGATTATTACGCTCACTAACATTAGTACCGTTTATATAATATATGTGATCCGGTCTTTGATCCTTACCTTCACGACCTCCCATGGCATGGAAAAAGAATTCCTGAGGAGTAAGACCTCGGAGATATGAATTCTCGACAAATCCACGGCTCTCAGGTGAGTGGTCGTCTTTTGTAAAATGAGGTAATGTGCGGTACTTGAAACCGAAAGGAATACGCTTTCCTTCCACGTTTTGTTGACCCACACAGGCTGTCATTTGCGAAACGTTGATGAACGAACCCTTCGATCCTGAGATAACCATCTGTTTGACATTGTTATCCTCGCGCAAACTCTGTTGCGCCATCTTACCAGCATCATCACGGGCTGTGTTCAATGCTCTGTTGACATTTGACTCGAATGTCTCACGCAGTGTCATACCAGGTTTGCACTCTAGCTTATCCTGTTGTGCTTGAATAATCAAATCACTCACATTCGTAGTTGCATTGTTGATAATTGAAGTAATTGTCATGACAGTGTTACGATCAGCGACTGTATCTCCAATACCAATGCTGAATCCGTGATGAAGAAGCCAGTAATTTACAACTGTTTGGCATCCATTGAAAAATGTTTTCGCAATTTCAGGCCCATGCTGATTCATAATAACATGGATCAGTCCACCTCCAGATGTACCAACGGTCTTCTTGCAAATAATACCACAGATCAGCTCGCCATTCTCGACAATTACTTTGGTATCCCCAGGTGAAATATCGCTTTCCTCATTATCAGGGTGGGTCGAATGAAATGTAATACAATTGATACCCTTAGGGATAATCATGCTCACTAATTGTTTTCCAGTCCATAGCGGCTTAGGTTTCAGGATAGCAGGCGTCGGCAAAAAGCCCTCCCAGCCAGGAACCCACATCACCAGATTCATCACCATCTCCTTGGTCAGAAAACAATCGCGCTTTGTAAACTTGCGGATACCGCACAAAGTATCTTGTACGATACCCATGACTGGTTTGTTGGATTGTGGTGATACAATTTGGCGAGGGACCATGCAAATCTCTGTGATCTCAGCTCGAGTCTCTACTGACTGGGGCACATGCAAATTCATCTCGTCTCCGTCGAAATCGGCATTATATGGAGATGTAACAGACAAATTCAAGCGAAATGTCGAGTAAGGCATAACACGAATCCTGTGGCCCATCATAGACATTTTGTGCAACGAAGGCTGTCGGTTGAAAATGACCACATCGCCGTCATTGATATGGCGCTCAACCTTCCATCCAAGCTGGAGAGGTACTTCGCGCTTGTTCCACCGCAAATCAATACGTTGCCCATCGTCGCGAATCACATATACTGCGCCAGGATGTTCCGTCGGACCATTTCTCACCAACTCCTGCAATTTGTCAATGTTGTAAGGCGTGACCAGCTCTGGAAATGTGAGCGTTCGGGCAATACTGCGCGGAACACCAACCTCATCAATCGATAGGTTAGGATCTCCTGTAATGACCGTACGTGCCGAGAAATCCACACGTTTACCCATCAAATTCCCACGCAAACGACCTTCTTTGCCCTTCAGACGTGCACGGATTGATTTCAACTATGTATAATCAACCAGAAGAAGAGAAAAAAAAAAAAAAAAAAAAAAAAAGATGTCAGTTATGGATATGCCCGCAATATTCGGACTTAATAATCTTGAGATAACGTCATAAGTTATCCTTACAGGTCGTCCATTTTTATGCGCGGCTGCTGGCTGGCCAGCAATATCATTGTCCATGTATGTTGCCACATGATATTGAAGCAGTTGTTCGTGCTGCTGAATCAAATGAGCCGGTGTTCCATCTTGCGCACATCGATAAACATCAGCATTAGTCTTAATAATGGCGAACAGTTTGTGAGTCAGATCATCCTCTCCTGTACTTGATCCATCCATCTGAATACTAGGACGAACTGCTAGAGGAGGAATGGGCAGGACCGTCATGATCATCCACTCTGGCCGAGCAAATTCTGGTGACAATCCCATCGCCTCAATATCCTCGTCAGAGATACGTTTGAGAATATGATAAGCATCGCTGGGTGATAATGTGCGCTTGCCTTCGGGTTGTGAGTCATCGTTGGCATTGGCCTTAAAATTAACGCTCAGTCCCAGACCTTCTTTGCGGAAGATGGGCTGACGATGCCCACATCCTCCATGTGACTTTTTCTTTGGCTGTGGGTTTCCATGCTCATCAATTTCCATTTCGTTGCCCATCTCACCGTCAATTTCATCGCCGCCCTCGCAGACCATTTTTGTTTTAGCCAACTCCCACACAGCTTTCAATCGGACCTTAGGATCTCTGATTCGACGTGCGCGAACAAACTTGCTATTGTTCTATAAAGATGATGCAATTATCCAGTAGATGCGATTGGCACTTTGTCATTGAGTGTCTTTTTTTTTTTTTTTTTTTTTTTTTTGTTTTTGTTTTTCTCTGTAGAGAGTTTATGTGGAAAAAAAAAAAAAAAAAAAAAAAATACTAAACGACCAAATCCTTACATCGTCCACTTTGAGTTTTGAGCAGGAGTAGCATACACACTCAAGGATCTTTTTGACTTTTGTGAGGAAGCCTAGAAAGTTTAAACAGATATAGATCAGATTATAGATAATAAATGGATAATAAAGATTAACAATAGTAATTAAAAATAATAAATAATAAATTACAGTAACAAATAGTAAATAAATAAATGATAATAGTAGAAATGCTGTTTGATTAGAGCCAATTAAGTGTACCGTTGAGATAGACAGGCTTAGCAAGCTCAATGTGCCCAAAGTGGCCAGGACACTCAGCCATGCCTTCAGAGCAAGTTTGGCACTTGAAGTTTCGGTTAATAGTTCCCATTCTAGGGTCATGCAGGCCACCAATCTTAGGTCTCTTAGTGGCTTCGTCGATCAGTTCTGCATGCTCAATCTTGGCCACTGACATATTTTTCTATATTAAAAGAAAAAAAGAAATGTGAGAAACCGATAAGCATTTATTAATATTGCTTTACTTTACGGGAAGCAGCGATAATACATCTTGTTTCTCTTTTCATCATGAAACGTACAATTTCCTCAGGTGAAAGGATGCCAAACTGTACGCAGTCCACACGCCGCAGCGGTGCTGATGAATATGCGAAACGTGTATTACTCATGATAGAGAAGGACAGATGACAGATGACAGAGCAAAGAGAGAATCAGATGGGAAAACTCCTGTCTTTATAGCTATTCTCCACTTTCTGCTGCGCATACGTAAAAATAAATCTTGGTGACGTACGTAGCTGCGTGTCTAGAGCTTGAGCGCTAGCTAACACCTCAGCTAACACTTTTTTTTTGTTAAATGCACCTCAGCTAATACTTTTTTTTTTTTTTAACACTTTGTACCCTCACTCACGTTTCCAGCAGACGCCTAACGTTCTCACCCAATGCACCTCTTTTCCTCATTTTCCGATTACATGTCTAACGACCTAATTCAATTCTATTGAAGTCCTCTCTTTTTTCTAGTCATTAAACCTTACAGCAGTAGACAAGTTTGTGAGTGATCCTTTCCCAAGCTTGTATTCATCACTAGGCTCAGAACCTTAAGAGGCTTCACCACCTTTACACGCATTACATGAGTCCTACATTGTCATAAAAAATTTACATTATATAACACATAAAAAATAATAAATAATTAAAGGATCTTTATTTTTCAGTGGGTGTCCATGAATTTGTACCTTGACCGCCCTTCAAACCTAGTCTTTAGGCAATTTGGCTGACTTAGTAGGATAGGTAGTTGATTTTCTGCTGCACTCAAGCCGAGGCTGTCTGAGTCTTTATCTCTTTCTTGCTCTCTCTTCATAGGCAGTATACAATCGACTCACCATGTTGACTATGGCCGATCAGAATCTAGGAGAATAACAGGAAGATATTGGTACTAATATTTATTGACTCTCCTTGCTGCAATAGACATTTCATTTTATCTCGCACATTTGAACTTCTTTTCACTCTGTCGTTGCTATCGTCCATAATTTCACCTGCTTTGTGCCTCCTTTCCCCTTCACGGCGGCCTTCCTCTGCCTCCTCCTCTCCTGCTTCGCTCTCTTCTCATTCTCTTCTTCTCTCTTTTTCTCCACTTCTTCCTTCCTAGCCAATATTTATCTTAAATGATCAAAATCATTTGATATGTAAACGGATTATTCAGTAGGCGGCGGTCGTGTCCATTTTCTATAGTTTAGTTCCTTATGAAACTTGTAAGACTTCACTTCATTTATCCCTGGCCTTTCTGATTCCACGCACCTTCCTGATTCCGGATTCGGGGAGCCGTCGCTAACAAGAGACCATCACTTTCTAAAAAGTAGGAAAGCATATTAAACTTAGATTTATGTATAACTCCCATAAATTCTGAATGATAGGGACGATGATACTCCACTTACTTAGAGTAGACGTGCCCAATTCATGTACCAGTGTTATCTAATACAAAAATAACATAAACCTAGGACCGTAATCTACCCAGAAAGAGAGTTGATGTCATGTCCAAGCCATCCAGAATCTGAGTTTCAAGAGGAGCAGTACCTCGAGTCCAAATATGGCACTCTTGGAGGCAACATCAAAGTTGGGGCATACTTTAAGGTCTTGACTTTTAATGAATTCACAAGACTAATTTGAGTGCTAGAGTCAAAGGGAACGAAGCAGACAACTTAAGGCAAGCTACGAAGAGAAATGAAGCGTAGCTTACAGCAGATACGCCAAAACAACCCATGCAGGGCCAAACAAAAGAAAGTTGGCTCCGAACCGCTTGTTTGGCAAACTCTGTTGCGATTAGCAGTCATTTACATGGGTTTTTACTATAGCTAAGATTTTTACCCTTTTTATTTAACGAAGATCCCTGGATCATAATAAACACATCTTTCTTTCGTTCTCGTTACTTATTATGATCCTGGCATATTTCAAACTCCAAAACAAGCTCTGATATTAAGTAACCGTTATCTTAAATATACGACAAGACCTGGATCGTACATATTATAAGGGAAGAATCCATGGCCAGTGCCTGTATCCCATGAAAATGGCAAACATGAGAGAAGTCCATGTCCGCGAAACACAGATTTTTTTAATAAAAAAAAGAAAACTAATGAATCAGTCAAACTCTCCTGAAATCATCCATGTTTGGCCTCAGGCGCGTTCATTTTTTTTAGTTCGCTTAATATGGTGCTTTGCATTTTGTCCATTTTGTCCAAGGTGCTCTTCAGCTCGGCTGTGGTGCAGATCACAAGTAGACATGGCAAAGCATATTAGGCAAAAAATAACATTAAAAAAATAAAAAATAAAAAGTACAGATATCAGAAAGCCTGTTGTCTGTTGTTCTCAACTGAATTGAATTGATATCAACTAACTTACAGACATTCTCTTCTAGAGATCTTAGACGAGATGCTATAGTACCACCATCAGCTTCACTACCATACTTGCCGGGATCTGGTGAAGGAGAAAATGCCTTGCTGGGATCTGGTGGAGAGAAGAATTCTGCGGATATGACGACCGGGGTCGGGTCGAGATAATGGTGGTGCCTGCTGCGGTTGTCAGGCAGTGCCACAATCGTGGCGTTTTTTGGACATTTTTTTTTCTCCGTAAATATATCTAAAATCATCGTCTGGCACGCATGGCATCTGTGGACATGCCGAGGAAACCTTACATGTCCAACTTCACTACATTCTTCCCCGGGCGGTTTGAACGTGCCAGTTTTTGTCGGTGTAGTAGTGTAGGCGATGCACAGCTTGTTGGGAATAAGTGGTTTGATGTAAACGATGGCACTTGTAGGTGTAGGGGAAGAAAGGCTTTCTTTATCATCGTAAGGAGGAGGGAGGGTATTAAGCGTGACAGCCTTGAATTTTTTTGTTATAGCTTTAGGCATTACAAAAAAAAAAAGGAACTTGATGACAGGAGGAGAAGGTGTGAATTTCTTTTCATGTTGGCTGCCTTTTAAGTTGCGAGTACCCCAACTTTTTTACACGACTTACTGCGTCGATATTATTTGAGCAGCATGCTTACATTTTACAGTCGATATTGATTTTTATAGGCGTTTTCTTAAGAAAAACGTCTACAAATTTGATTAAATTGACCTCCCTAAATGTTTTATTCTAAAATGACGTTTGGAAAGTCACACATATATATTTCTCACATGACATGTGATGAGAAACAAAAATTTTTATTTTTTTTACTCATTGCTGCTTATAACAAAAAAAAAAAACTACCCATTGCTGCTTCTCGACGTGTCAGTATCCACTTCATCCCTGCAGCTTGCACAAGTACGCACCAAGTCCTTCACTATCTTTCGGATCTCCCGTTTCTTTGCCGAGCCTTGGCTAGTCTTCTGTCTGATGTGTTTAAGGCCTTCATGACTGAGTACTTCGTGATCTCCTGCTAAACGCTTCAATATTTGAAGGTCACATCCATATCCATATCGGCAAGCGGTGAGCTTTCAGCTTCAGCAGGGCTGGAAGTAGCACTACTAGGTTCTGCTACGTATTCGCTGCTTGTCCTATCTCCCATGGCCCTCTCCTGTTGCAGGGCTTCTTCAACTAGCTCTTGCTCATCCTTTTTCTGTACTACTTCGAAATGCCAGCCTTTGATCATAGAGACCTCAGCGATCAACTGCTGGAAGTATGCTCTCTCTTGATTTTTGTATCGGTTATGTCGAATAAGCAGCCGCATTTCTTCATCGACTGCCGGCCTTTGACAACGGAGACGCTCACGCATTTCAGTCGGAAGGATTGGCGTTTTGGCAAAACAGTTTCGAAGCGTATGTGGCTTGATGTAACTCCATGCCTCAGGGATTAGTGCCCATGCTTCGCCGTTAGAAATAGATTTTTTGTTGCCAAAATTCTGAACGAGATACGTTTCGGAAGTAAGTAATTCCAAGAACGCCCGCTTGAAAACGCTTATCACCCCAGCATCGAGAGGCTGAGTTACTGGAGTGGTAGTCGCTGTATTCGGATATGCCTCCAAGGGATCCCTTCCTCTGGAACGCGCATGTCGATGTCGTTGTGCGCTGTCGCGGAGTCAAGGAGAAGAAGTGTGGGTTGCCAAAGCTCATCATCAAACTTTTGCAACTACTTGATGAATATACATCGATTCATCCATCCTGAATCCGCTTTCTCTATAGTCATTTTCAATGCCTTATCTTGTTCGACTTGTCTCGCGAAGTGTTTGGCTAACGAATATCAAACAAATGCAATTGTCACGAAAAGAAATAAGAAAAAATAACAGCCAACATAGACTATTACATTCAATGTATTACCGATGACTAATGGCTTCAATGAAGTCATTGTATTGGCCATAGAGAGAGAAGTGCCAGAGGCATTGATGCAAAATAAGATAGACACCTTGCATTCTCTGAGAGCTTTGGCACCAGTTTTGGAGGTTGGTATCGTATAGGATTTGGAATCCAGCTCTTTCAAATAGAACCCTGTTTCATTGCAATTAAATATATTATCGGGGGTGTACTCAGCGCAGATCTGGCGAATTTTTTTGAACTCAGGTTCAATTGCGTCCAAGAGCTGCCTCTCCATGAAGTTGACAATATGAAATACGATGGCGCTTCTTAAAAGTATCGAACCAATAAGCCGAAAATGATGGCTGTGCTTCAGATAGTGTATTTCCTGATTCATCTTGAAGATCACAGAGAACCGTGTATGTTACATTGGCTGCGTGTTTGAGCATCCTGCCGTTGATATACCGACTTTTCTTTCGTTGTCGCTGTATCCAGTAGTAGAGGACTTCCTCGAGAACCACGTTTTTTCGCTCAACGATATAATGTGAGCCCGGGGGGTATACCTCGGCTGCAGCTCGAATTTTGTTTTCATTACGAAGTATTCGCTGAAAGCTACTTTTTGGAACGTATAACTCCTATTAAGCATCCGAAAGATTTAGGAGAAAGCTTGACTGGGAGGCAGTCTTTCCGCTGTTCAAGGTAATGATAAATATCCAATAGCTCAACTTGTTTTTCAAGGGAGTATGAGAACCTAGACATCGGGATCTCAAACTGTTTGGGGTTTGGGAGCAAAATAACAGCGGACATGTCATTTTTTCGGGCACTCTTTAAAAGCTCACTATACCTCTGTTCATGAGTGCGGTCGAGCTCTTCCAGCTCGCACTTTGTATATTTTTTATCATACTTAGTGGGGAGGAGAAGGAGTTTTTTATTGTTTGGCATCGTTTTAATTGAACTGTGGTGATGACTGTAAAAAGATGTAGACTTTTTTTGATTGTAAAGGGATGTAAAAGCTAACAAAAAAAGTGTGTCATGTGAGAAATATATATGTGTGACTTTCTAAACGTCATTTTAGAATAAAACATTTAGGGAGGTCAATTTAATCAAATTTGTAGACGTTTTTCTTAAGAAAACGCCTATAAAAATCAATATCGACTGTAAAATGTAAGCATGCTGCTCAAATAATATCGACGCAGTAAGTCGTGTAAAAAAGTTGGGGTACTCGCAACTTAAAAGGCAGCCAACATGAAAAGAAATTCACACCTTCTCCTCCTGTCATCAAGTTCCTTTTTTTTTTTGTAATGCCTAAAGCTATAACAAAAAAATTCAAGGCTGTCACGCTTAATACCCTCCCTCCTCCTTACGATGATAAAGAAAGCCTTTCTTCCCCTACACCTACAAGTGCCATCGTTTACATCAAACCACTTATTCCCAACAAGCTGTGCATCGCCTACACTACTACACCGACAAAAACTGGCACGTTCAAACCGCCCGGGGAAGAATGTAGTGAAGTTGGACATGTAAGGTTTCCTCGGCATGTCCACAGATGCCATGCGTGCCAGACGATGATTTTAGATATATTTACGGAGAAAAAAAAATGTCCAAAAAACGCCACGATTGTGGCACTGCCTGACAACCGCAGCAGGCACCACCATTATCTCGACCCGACCCCGGTCGTCATATCCGCAGAATTCTTCTCTCCACCAGATCCCAGCAAGGCATTTTCTCCTTCACCAGATCCCGGCAAGTATGGTAGTGAAGCTGATGGTGGTACTATAGCATCTCGTCTAAGATCTCTAGAAGAGAATGTCTGTAAGTTAGTTGATATCAATTCAATTCAGTTGAGAACAACAGACAACAGGCTTTCTGATATCTGTACTTTTTATTTTTTATTTTTTTAATGTTATTTTTTGCCTAATATGCTTTGCCATGTCTACTTGTGATCTGCACCACAGCCGAGCTGAAGAGCACCTTGGACAAAATGGACAAAATGCAAAGCACCATATTAAGCGAACTAAAAAAAATGAACGCGCCTGAGGCCAAACATGGATGATTTCAGGAGAGTTTGACTGATTCATTAGTTTTCTTTTTTTTATTAAAAAAATCTGTGTTTCGCGGACATGGACTTCTCTCATGTTTGCCATTTTCATGGGATACAGGCACTGGCCATGGATTCTTCCCTTATAATATGTACGATCCAGGTCTTGTCGTATATTTAAGATAACGGTTACTTAATATCAGAGCTTGTTTTGGAGTTTGAAATATGCCAGGATCATAATAAGTAACGAGAACGAAAGAAAGATGTGTTTATTATGATCCAGGGATCTTCGTTAAATAAAAAGGGTAAAAATCTTAGCTATAGTAAAAACCCATGTAAATGACTGCTAATCGCAACAGAGTTTGCCAAACAAGCGGTTCGGAGCCAACTTTCTTTTGTTTGGCCCTGCATGGGTTGTTTTGGCGTATCTGCTGTAAGCTACGCTTCATTTCTCTTCGTAGCTTGCCTTAAGTTGTCTGCTTCGTTCCCTTTGACTCTAGCACTCAAATTAGTCTTGTGAATTCATTAAAAGTCAAGACCTTAAAGTATGCCCCAACTTTGATGTTGCCTCCAAGAGTGCCATATTTGGACTCGAGGTACTGCTCCTCTTGAAACTCAGATTCTGGATGGCTTGGACATGACATCAACTCTCTTTCTGGGTAGATTACGGTCCTAGGTTTATGTTATTTTTGTATTAGATAACACTGGTACATGAATTGGGCACGTCTACTCTAAGTAAGTGGAGTATCATCGTCCCTATCATTCAGAATTTATGGGAGTTATACATAAATCTAAGTTTAATATGCTTTCCTACTTTTTAGAAAGTGATGGTCTCTTGTTAGCGACGGCTCCCCGAATCCGGAATCAGGAAGGTGCGTGGAATCAGAAAGGCCAGGGATAAATGAAGTGAAGTCTTACAAGTTTCATAAGGAACTAAACTATAGAAAATGGACACGACCGCCGCCTACTGAATAATCCGTTTACATATCAAATGATTTTGATCATTTAAGATAAATATTGGCTAGGAAGGAAGAAGTGGAGAAAAAGAGAGAAGAAGAGAATGAGAAGAGAGCGAAGCAGGAGAGGAGGAGGCAGAGGAAGGCCGCCGTGAAGGGGAAAGGAGGCACAAAGCAGGTGAAATTATGGACGATAGCAACGACAGAGTGAAAAGAAGTTCAAATGTGCGAGATAAAATGAAATGTCTATTGCAGCAAGGAGAGTCAATAAATATTAGTACCAATATCTTCCTGTTATTCTCCTAGATTCTGATCGGCCATAGTCAACATGGTGAGTCGATTGTATACTGCCTATGAAGAGAGAGCAAGAAAGAGATAAAGACTCAGACAGCCTCGGCTTGAGTGCAGCAGAAAATCAACTACCTATCCTACTAAGTCAGCCAAATTGCCTAAAGACTAGGTTTGAAGGGCGGTCAAGGTACAAATTCATGGACACCCACTGAAAAATAAAGATCCTTTAATTATTTATTATTTTTTATGTGTTATATAATGTAAATTTTTATGACAATGTAGGACTCATGTAATGCGTGTAAAGGTGGTGAAGCCTCTTAAGGTTCTGAGCCTAGTGATGAATACAAGCTTGGGAAAGGATCACTCACAAACTTGTCTACTGCTGTAAGGTTTAATGACTAGAAAAAAGAGAGGACTTCAATAGAATTGAATTAGGTCGTTAGACATGTAATCGGAAAATGAGGAAAAGAGGTGCATTGGGTGAGAACGTTAGGCGTCTGCTGGAAACGTGAGTGAGGGTACAAAGTGTTAAAAAAAAAAAAAAGTATTAGCTGAGGTGCATTTAACAAAAAAAAAAGTGTTAGCTGAGGTGTTAGCTAGCGCTCAAGCTCTAGACACGCAGCTACGTACGTCACCAAGATTTATTTTTACGTATGCGCAGCAGAAAGTGGAGAATAGCTATAAAGACAGGAGTTTTCCCATCTGATTCTCTCTTTGCTCTGTCATCTGTCATCTGTCCTTCTCTATCATGAGTAATACACGTTTCGCATATTCATCAGCACCGCTGCGGCGTGTGGACTGCGTACAGTTTGGCATCCTTTCACCTGAGGAAATTGTACGTTTCATGATGAAAAGAGAAACAAGATGTATTATCGCTGCTTCCCGTAAAGTAAAGCAATATTAATAAATGCTTATCGGTTTCTCACATTTCTTTTTTTCTTTTAATATAGAAAAATATGTCAGTGGCCAAGATTGAGCATGCAGAACTGATCGACGAAGCCACTAAGAGACCTAAGATTGGTGGCCTGCATGACCCTAGAATGGGAACTATTAACCGAAACTTCAAGTGCCAAACTTGCTCTGAAGGCATGGCTGAGTGTCCTGGCCACTTTGGGCACATTGAGCTTGCTAAGCCTGTCTATCTCAACGGTACACTTAATTGGCTCTAATCAAACAGCATTTCTACTATTATCATTTATTTATTTACTATTTGTTACTGTAATTTATTATTTATTATTTTTAATTACTATTGTTAATCTTTATTATCCATTTATTATCTATAATCTGATCTATATCTGTTTAAACTTTCTAGGCTTCCTCACAAAAGTCAAAAAGATCCTTGAGTGTGTATGCTACTCCTGCTCAAAACTCAAAGTGGACGATGTAAGGATTTGGTCGTTTAGTATTTTTTTTTTTTTTTTTTTTTTTTCCACATAAACTCTCTACAGAGAAAAACAAAAACAAAAAAAAAAAAAAAAAAAAAAAAAAAGACACTCAATGACAAAGTGCCAATCGCATCTACTGGATAATTGCATCATCTTTATAGAACAATAGCAAGTTTGTTCGCGCACGTCGAATCAGAGATCCTAAGGTCCGATTGAAAGCTGTGTGGGAGTTGGCTAAAACAAAAATGGTCTGCGAGGGCGGCGATGAAATTGACGGTGAGATGGGCAACGAAATGGAAATTGATGAGCATGGAAACCCACAGCCAAAGAAAAAGTCACATGGAGGATGTGGGCATCGTCAGCCCATCTTCCGCAAAGAAGGTCTGGGACTGAGCGTTAATTTTAAGGCCAATGCCAACGATGACTCACAACCCGAAGGCAAGCGCACATTATCACCCAGCGATGCTTATCATATTCTCAAACGTATCTCTGACGAGGATATTGAGGCGATGGGATTGTCACCAGAATTTGCTCGGCCAGAGTGGATGATCATGACGGTCCTGCCCATTCCTCCTCTAGCAGTTCGTCCTAGTATTCAGATGGATGGATCAAGTACAGGAGAGGATGATCTGACTCACAAACTGTTCGCCATTATTAAGACTAATGCTGATGTTTATCGATGTGCGCAAGATGGAACACCGGCTCATTTGATTCAGCAGCACGAACAACTGCTTCAATATCATGTGGCAACATACATGGACAATGATATTGCTGGCCAGCCAGCAGCCGCGCATAAAAATGGACGACCTGTAAGGATAACTTATGACGTTATCTCAAGATTATTAAGTCCGAATATTGCGGGCATATCCATAACTGACATCTTTTTTTTTTTTTTTTTTTTTTTCTCTTCTTCTGGTTGATTATACATAGTTGAAATCAATCCGTGCACGTCTGAAGGGCAAAGAAGGTCGTTTGCGTGGGAATTTGATGGGTAAACGTGTGGATTTCTCGGCACGTACGGTCATTACAGGAGATCCTAACCTATCGATTGATGAGGTTGGTGTTCCGCGCAGTATTGCCCGAACGCTCACATTTCCAGAGCTGGTCACGCCTTACAACATTGACAAATTGCAGGAGTTGGTGAGAAATGGTCCGACGGAACATCCTGGCGCAGTATATGTGATTCGCGACGATGGGCAACGTATTGATTTGCGGTGGAACAAGCGCGAAGTACCTCTCCAGCTTGGATGGAAGGTTGAGCGCCATATCAATGACGGCGATGTGGTCATTTTCAACCGACAGCCTTCGTTGCACAAAATGTCTATGATGGGCCACAGGATTCGTGTTATGCCTTACTCGACATTTCGCTTGAATTTGTCTGTTACATCTCCATATAATGCCGATTTCGACGGAGACGAGATGAATTTGCATGTGCCCCAGTCAGTAGAGACTCGAGCTGAGATCACAGAGATTTGCATGGTCCCTCGCCAAATTGTATCACCACAATCCAACAAACCAGTCATGGGTATCGTACAAGATACTTTGTGCGGTATCCGCAAGTTTACAAAGCGCGATTGTTTTCTGACCAAGGAGATGGTGATGAATCTGGTGATGTGGGTTCCTGGCTGGGAGGGCTTTTTGCCGACGCCTGCTATCCTGAAACCTAAGCCGCTATGGACTGGAAAACAATTAGTGAGCATGATTATCCCTAAGGGTATCAATTGTATTACATTTCATTCGACCCACCCTGATAATGAGGAAAGCGATATTTCACCTGGGGATACCAAAGTAATTGTCGAGAATGGCGAGCTGATCTGTGGTATTATTTGCAAGAAGACCGTTGGTACATCTGGAGGTGGACTGATCCATGTTATTATGAATCAGCATGGGCCTGAAATTGCGAAAACATTTTTCAATGGATGCCAAACAGTTGTAAATTACTGGCTTCTTCATCACGGATTCAGCATTGGTATTGGAGATACAGTCGCTGATCGTAACACTGTCATGACAATTACTTCAATTATCAACAATGCAACTACGAATGTGAGTGATTTGATTATTCAAGCACAACAGGATAAGCTAGAGTGCAAACCTGGTATGACACTGCGTGAGACATTCGAGTCAAATGTCAACAGAGCATTGAACACAGCCCGTGATGATGCTGGTAAGATGGCGCAACAGAGTTTGCGCGAGGATAACAATGTCAAACAGATGGTTATCTCAGGATCGAAGGGTTCGTTCATCAACGTTTCGCAAATGACAGCCTGTGTGGGTCAACAAAACGTGGAAGGAAAGCGTATTCCTTTCGGTTTCAAGTACCGCACATTACCTCATTTTACAAAAGACGACCACTCACCTGAGAGCCGTGGATTTGTCGAGAATTCATATCTCCGAGGTCTTACTCCTCAGGAATTCTTTTTCCATGCCATGGGAGGTCGTGAAGGTAAGGATCAAAGACCGGATCACATATATTATATAAACGGTACTAATGTTAGTGAGCGTAATAATCAACGTTATGATACATTTCGATTGCTTTATTTCTCTTGCAATTTAAAGGTTTAATTGATACCGCTGTTAAGACTGCCGAGACTGGCTATATCCAGCGTCGTCTCGTCAAAGCTTTGGAGGATGTGATGGTCAAGTATGATGGCACTGTGAGAAACTCTCTCGGGCACGTGGTTCAATTCTGTTACGGCGAGGACGGTATGGATGCTTGCCACGTTGAGAAGCAGCGCATTGACACCGTGAAGATGTCGAACGCACAGTTTGAGAAGAAGTTTCAGATTGATCTTACAGATAAAGCTAAAGGCTTCAAGCCGGGTGCTTTAGATTACTCTGTGATCAAGGCAATGGAGGAGGCAGATATAGAGTCAGTGAAGCGTGGTGAACCTGACATGCAGACACTATTGGAGCAGGAATTCAGGCAGCTTGAGGCCGACCGCCATCTTCTGCGCAACTACATCTTCACCGAAGGCGATGACTCGTGGCCCCTTCCCACTAACATCAAGCGATACATTTGGAACTCGAAACAAATGTTTCACGTAGATCATAAGCGACCAAGTGACCTTGATCCCCGCCACATTTTGGAGAGTGTTAAGAATTTGGAGAAGCAGCTTATAGTGGTACGCGGCACGGACCGTATCAGTGTAGAGGCTCAAGATAACGCAACATTGTTGTTCCGTATGTTGATCCGATCGACATTGGCGGTGCGTAGGGTGATTGAAGAGTTCCATTTGACTCGTGAAGCATTTGATTGGGTTGTAGGTGAGATTGGTTCGCGTTTTGCACATGCAATTGTCAATCCTGGTGAGATGGTTGGAACGGTTGCAGCACAATCGATTGGAGAGCCTGCAACGCAGATGACGCTCAACACGTTCCATTATGCTGGAGTGTCGTCGAAGAATGTGACACTTGGTGTTCCTCGTTTGAAAGAGATTATCAATGTGGCGACGAACATCAAGACGCCTTCGCTGAACGTCTATCTGACACCAGAATGTGCTCGTAACATGGAGCGTGCTAAGCAGGTGCAGGTTGCTTTGGAGTACACTAACTTGAAGAAAGTTACGTCGGCGACTGAGATTCATTATGATCCTGATCCCGAGAACACTAATATTGAAGAGGATCAGGACTTTGTATCTGCATACTATGCGATGCCCGATGAGGATCTGAATTTATCCAGGACATCACCTTGGTTGCTTCGTATTGAGTTGGACCGTAAGATGATGCTTGATAAGAAGCTGACAATGGCGGATGTCTCGAACAAGATATCAGAGGACTTTCAACGTGATTTGATGTGTATTTGTTCAGATGACAACGCTGAGAGGTTGATCATTCGCTGCCGTATTATCAATGAGGAAGCAGCGGACAAGCAGCCCGACGTACAAGACGAGGAAGATGTGTTTTTAAAGAAGATTGAGAACAGTTTGCTTAGTTCAATCAGCCTGCGTGGCATCAAGAATATTGCACGCGTTTACATGGTGGAGAAGAAGAAGACATACATCAAATCAGATGGAACGTTCGACTCTCAGAAGGAATGGTACCTAGAAACAAGTGGATCGAATCTGAAGGCGGTCATGTGCGAGGAGGACGTCGATGCCACACGTACATACTCGAACAACTGTGGAGAAGTGATGGCCGTACTAGGTATCGAGGCGGCACGTCAGGCATTGTTGAAAGAGTTGCGCGGAGTTATCGAGTTTGATGGTTCTTATGTCAACTATCGCCACTTGTCGTTGCTGTGTGATGTGATGACGCACCGTGGCCACTTGATGGCCATCACACGTCATGGTATCAATCGTGCTGAGACGGGTGCACTGATGCGCTGTTCTTTTGAGGAGACTGTTGAAATTTTGATGGAGGCTGCAGCAGTAGGAGAGCTGGATGACTGCCGTGGTGTTGCTGAAAATATCATGTTAGGTCAGTTGGCACCTTTGGGCACGGGTGAATTTGATCTAATGCTGGATGAGAAGATGCTCAGTACTGTTGTTGAAGGACCACGTCCAGGCATGATGGGTGTGAATATGGGCATGGGTATGAACAGTGATAATTTAGCATCACAGATGACACCATACGATGGACGGTCACCGCAGTATGTGGACTTTTCACACCCAGGATCGCCAATGGATGCGGTGTTCTCGCCAATGGGCAATTCTGGAGCAAGTTCTCCGATGGGAGCAGGTACATGGGATGCAGCAAGCCCGTTTGGCGCGACCAGTCCTGGATACTCCCCAGCTTCGCCTGGCTATTCACCCAGTTCGCCAATGTATGCAACAAGTCCTGGGTATAGCCCCACATCACCCAGCTATAGCCCTACATCACCCAACTATTCCCCTACATCCCCATCATATTCCCCTACGTCCCCATCGTACTCACCTACCTCGCCTTCTTACTCGCCGACATCACCCTCATATTCTCCTACGTCGCCATCTTACTCACCTACATCGCCGTCTTATTCGCCAACATCACCAAGTTACTCACCCACATCTCCAAGCTATTCGCCTACGAGCCCGAGCTACTCCCCTACGAGCCACGGCTATGGAGCGACATCGCCGGCTTACTCTCCTACATCACCTTCATACTCTCCAACATCGCCATCGTACTCACCTACATCGCCATCATATTCGCCTACGTCGCCATCGTATTCACCCACATCACCTTCATACTCTCCTACATCACCTTCGTATTCTCCTACATCGCCTTCGTATTCTCCTACTTCGCCCTCGTATTCTCCTACGTCGCCTTCGTATTCTCCTACATCACCTTCGTATTCACCCACGTCACCAAGCTACTCGCCCACGAGCCCGAGCTATTCCCCAACGTCGCCTTCGTATTCGCCAACAAGTCCTAGCTACTCACCTACGAGCCCGAGCTATTCACCAGCGAGTCCAAGTTATTCTCCAAGTTACTCTCCTAGCGCGACGTCATTCTCGCCGATGGATTACTCATCTGGTGGACAAGGCAGTGGTTCAGCGACACCAGGACGACCTGGATACAACCCTGTGGGAGGCAGCAACAGCTCTAGTTCTTCTGGCCAAGGTAAATCCTCAAATGCCAAGTACTCTGATGATGAAGAGTAAATCTGATTCTGCAAGCAAAGAACTCGGAGGGAAAAGATGTTTGTGTACGGTCTTGATTAGTTTTGTAAAGTATGTTAGTAAAAGGAAATACATTAAAGAAATAAATAGGAGTTTAAAAAAATCTTCAGTAGCCAAGAAATGAAATGAATGTGCTGTGTGAAGTAATTAAGCACCCGAAGTTGAAGTTGAGGACGGTTGTTCCTGGATCGCATTGAGCATATAAAGATGTTTGATTGATAAACCAAATTGGTGACAAGATAATATAGATCCACAGTGTTTGAACCATGAACTTTTTATTGTATTCTTGCGCTTTCATTTGTCCCCTCCTTCGGCAGAACATTGGCTCTATACGATTCCTCTCGTTTACCGCAGTGCTTTCAAATTATAATATGCGTATTTGTCCATGTCATTATGAAATAAAACCTCTTAACATTCACAGCTTTGATAGTGAAATTGGCTTTATCTACGGGATTGCAGGAGCTTTTCAAAAATTCTGTCATTTGCACGTCCAATAATGACCATCCTCTTCTGTACTCCCATCATGTACTGCCCTCGGGAGGTATGCATCTCTGACTTCCAGATGAGTTATCTATACTCTCCGTCATGTTCTCTACTAAGGCCTGTGTGATGTAAACGGCCAGGGATTCACTTTTGGTAACTACTGGACTGTCTTTTGGCCACACTTGGCACTCTTTTCGGTGGCAATTGTTGTCCGTGATCATTGTGTATACCAATATGAGGTGCGCCACTAAAATAAAAGCAAGATATTTGACCGTCACCTGTAAACAATTTTTTTTTTTTTTTTTTTGTGCTCTGGTTTTTGGTTTCGTCTCTTTCTCATTCACAAACTCACAAACAGGACACGCATTCAGTAGAGCAATGGGGATTGACAAGAAAAGAAAGCGCTCCAAAGAAGAGGAGCCAACGATTACCTCTGGAGGAAGTAGAGCGAAACGTGTGGAGGTGATTGAAGAAACTTCTAGAAAGATGGCCGAAGTTATCAGTGCCAGCACCGGTAGTAACATGAGGAATAGCAAGGAAAGCAAGGAAGACAAAAAGGAAATAAAAGACAAAAAGAATAAGAAGGAAAAGAAAGAAAAGAAGAAGAGAGGGAAAGAAAAAAAAGAGAAGAAACGTATCGTTTCTGAATTGCCTCTATCATCACTTCACAGCGAAGCTGATTCTGATACTACAACAAGCCTCGGCATGGATATGGATGTAGATTTAACCCCTACAGCCACTACAGAGGAACAGAGAATTATGAAAGCGCTTACTGAGGTCAAAGAGACTTCTGATCAAGGGAGAGATTCCAAGAAAGCCAAGGACATGATACTGGTCAAGTCAGTGAAATTTAATTCAAAGGATGCGCCTCCGACACTTGTCATGAACACTTCAAACATCACGGCTGACCATAATATTAGCAGTAGCGATGACTCGGGTGATTCAAGAAAGGACAATGAGAGCGGAAAGGATGGAGACAAGAAAAAGACTAATCAACTCAAATGTACAGGCTCATTTCGTGCTCTTCTTTTGCACCATGGCTAGGTTAGAATAAACCAGTCTTCAAATGGTGGACTAATATAGACTTGTCCTTGTATCTTATTACTTCCTATTACATAGTGGATGGTTTGACAAAGAAGGAACGGAAACTTCTAAAGATCAAAGAGAGACAATTTAACAGGAAAAGCGAAGGAGATGGTGAACCTGCTTTTATACTTAAAGATGGTCACGATCTAACTTTGGGGGTATGAGTTCAGGCAATGCGCTTAGTTATCATATATAACCCGGGTAATGCGTTTACTGGATTTATCAATTCAAAATTTTTTTAATTCTTGCTGCTACTGTAGGAGTTACGTGACCTTGTTGTTTTTATCCTGACAGAGACCCCATCATTGCCATGGATCCAAGTTCTCAACAAATTCAAAATTGAAAAGGTTTTATTACTTTACATCTCAGGCCTTGACCCAAAACTGTTTCATATGAATGCAAGATCCTCAGATGCGCACAAGTCCATCGCATGGGCCCAGCGTGCAGACACCCATATGGGCCCCGTTGAAGAATTTGAACATCTAAGAGAGTATTTTGACCGGGCTAATGTTGTCAAAGCAGCTGGAGACAAATTCAGAATCTTTTCGCCAACAAATACACTGTTGAATGTACCACTGAGTAACTCGGAGAAAGTCAAACGAGAAAAGGAAAAGGAAAGAAAAGGTATCTCCATAGAGCGTTATGGGTTCTTCTCAACATTGATTATATACTTAAATTTCTATCTACTCTTTTGTTTATATTGCCTTACAATTTATACTTTCAATTATTGTTTCCAATCTAGAAAAAAGCGCAGGGAGGAAAACAAAACCAGAAAACTATATGATGTCGTTGGAAGAGCTGCAGGAAAATAAGTTTCCTCTGCCACGATACCTTCTTGAAGAGGCATCGAATCTGGGTGAAGGTTGGATTGAGACACCAAAGCTCAAAAAGACCACATTAACACCTCCTCCCAAGACAATGATTGCCATAGACTGTGAAATGGTTAGTATCATTACTACCATTCTTTTGTTTTCTTCCTATCAGTCATGTTGCGCTATCTATCGCCACCGAATGTTGCCTAGAGTGGTTTATCTTTACTCATTCTTGCATTTATTCATTATTATTATTATTATTATTATTATTATTATTATTATTATTTTTTTTTTTTTTTTTTTTTTTTTTTTTTTTAATATCAGTGTAAAACAACAGCTGGTACGGAGTTGACGCGTGTGACTTTGATAAATCATGAAGGCAAAGTCATCTTAGATGAACTAGTGAGACCAGAAAACCCTGTATTGGATTATCTTACTCAATACTCAGGCATGACCGCTGCGAAGCTTGAAGGTGTCACCACAAGGCTAGTAGATGTTCAGAAGAAACTGAAAAAAATCATCAACTACAACACTATTCTTGTGGGCCACTCTCTTGAGAATGATATGACTGTGTTAAAGGTACAAATACAAAAAAATGGCCTAAAACCTGGTGTATTAGGCTTGCTGAAACTAATCGTTGACCCTAATGGTTACCGTTGGTCCTTTTTTTTCCCCCAAGCTCGCTCATCCATTCATTATCGATACTAGTTTAATCTTCCACCATACTCGTGGACCCCCATATCGCCCTGGATTAAAATGGTTAGCACAAAAATGGCTGCAACGTCATATTCAAGATAATGTAGAGCGAGGACATGATTCTGCAGAGGATGCGCTTGCATGTATGGATCTTGTTAAGCTCAAGTTGTTAAAACCTAAAGGGTTCGGCGAATATGAACAAGATCAAGAGTCACTGTTCTCAAGATTGCATCGGTTCAACACCCTGAGGACCTCCGCTTTAGTCGATTCAGACGCTTTTGCGGGACAGTCCGCAACGACTACCATCCGGACTGCAAGTGATGAAGAGGTTGTGAAGGCTATTCCTGAGGTTATTCAGAAACACAATTTTGTGTGGGCACGTCTAAGAGACATTGAGATTAATCATGGAAAGGTTCCTGAACAAACTCCAGTAGAAAGGCAAGAAGTAGACAAAGGGCGGGGTGCGAAAATTAGCAGTGCGGACAAGATCCAAGCTTCAGAGGAAGAGATTCGTGCAGGTATTCGATCTATTGACAAGAGCGTGAAGGCGATTATGGACTCACTGCCATCACGTACTGCTGTGATTATTACGAGTGGACAAGGTGATCACCGCGAAGTGTCGAGGTTGCAAGCAAGGCAAAAGGTGTTTCAAGAACTGCTTAAGCAGAAAGGTTCAATCAATGAAGTTCCACAGCAAAACCGCTTTCTGGAAGAGGATATGCGCAAGCTGGAAATAGCTGTAGAAGATGCAAAGGGTGGTATTTGTCTTTTAACAGTAAAGAAGTAGCGAGAAGAATAAAATTGCACCAGAAGAATGTCAAGGAAATGAAGTCGATATTTAGTCACGTTTCAGACATCAAGAAACTCCATGAACTTAATAAAATATGTCGATCAATTAGACCATATTGGCCCGAAAAAGAAAAAAAAAAAAAAAAAGAAAAAAGAAAAAAAAAAACACTACGCAGGTATTAAATATTGTACAAAATGCAGTTTATCCATAGTAATATCTCTTAGCTATTCTTCATCGTAATTGTCTTCATCCTCAGCCCGTTTGCGTTTCCAAAGATCATGGTTTAGCAGATTCTGCTGATTCTGTGTCAACGACTGCTCCACAACAGCATCTTTCATTTCCTCATCTTCGTCCTCGTCTTCACTCTTAACTTTGAATAGTGATGGTGGTTCTGCTGATAACGGTGACGCCAATGGCGCTTCTCCTACTCCTCTTCCTCCTATTGACGTGCTTATAGCATCTGATGAAAGACGCTGAACACCCGATGGCGGTAGCTATTAAGCAATGAGTCATAGGACATTAAAAAAAAAACTGTTTAGTACAAAGACGTAGTTGGATTAAAGACCATATCCAAGGGGTATATCGCTCTTACCTCTGGAATAAGTTGAAAATTGACTGCTGTAAGACAATGTCGTTCATGAGGCAATCGGATACCGTATTTTTCTGGGATTAAAGGAAGAGGGACCTTATTCTTTTCTTCTGCAAGCTCGAGCAAGAACTTAGGAAAAATAAAAATAGTAATGGTCAGCATGTGCACAGAGGTACACTATTTTCACCATATTTCAATCAATTACCTCTTTGAGCGGCGGTGATGTGAAGGAATGGTTAACACGGCCCTGGATAGCTAACTTCACATCCTCTAGTCCGACTTCGGTCCTGCCTGCATGTTCAGAGTAGAGAAGTGCATCCTGAAAAACATCCGTGGTATATCCTAAAGACACATTATATGTATAAAAATAATATTGCTACGCGCTATGAGTATTAAGCATAAACCATAGCACATGCTGAACAAGAGAAATAAGACATACTATGCGCGAACTCGAGTAATTGATGAATGACTTTTTGCTCAGTATCCTCCACTGAGAGTGACTGAAGGATCAGCGAGATGACTAATTGAAAGTTGAGCAAAACAGTATTGAAGAATAAAAAAGTCAGAATGTCTGCGCTATTTTTGGCCCATGAGCGGCTCCATTGAATGCAATCCTCTGCGTGTACCTTTTGCATCCCTAGGCTGAGTTGTCTGTGCCATTTCTGACGTCTTTAATGGATGTTTCTCAGATTATGCCCTCTCTGTTCTTTTCTGATTAAGAATAATTAAGAATAATATTTATAATGATTGTTGAATATCACCTGACTAATACCCGATATGATCTGTGCAAACCAATCAAAATGGACTTTACAACCTTTACAAGGGCCTAATGACCGTTCTATTCAAGTGGGGACTACCCACCAAGCAGAAACAAACCACCAGTAGCGGAAAAAGCTGCAATCAAAATGATATCGCATCTAGTACAGCATTGGCCCACCAGCTAATGAGCATGGATAGATATGACGAGACCCTTACAGTTACTATCTGTTGATCTGTACGGTTTTTGCAAAAGATTAGAGAGGATACAGGAGACGAAAATAAACAGAACTTACAAATTTTTTGTGGGTGTGCCGGCACCCAAATACTTGTGTCTAGCGTCGTGCGCGCTTTGCAGCCGGAGCAGGGACTCTTCCGTGGGCTTGTACTTTGCAGGCCTCTCTTGCCTCTCAATTTGAGCAAGACCGATTCTTGCGATGTTTTCCGCCCCTACTGCGTCACGGTCGAAGAATACCTTACATGTCCAGCAATATTTAGAGCGAGGGTACACCGTCTCTAAAAAGCTATCGCAGAGAGGTCGGGGACAGCGGGCGCTGGTGTAAAATTCGTGCGCCCCTACAGTGAAGTGTCCTCGTGCTTTGACCTAAGCGTTTCAAATGGCAGTCGTTTATTAACAAGGGCTCTATGGCTTTCCAGCTTTTCTTACTTTTTTTAAAAAAAGCCATACCTGTGTGACAAGGTGTCTCGTTATAGCAGTGTGCTTGCTGGGAACTCCTTTACTACTTTCAACGGACCCTAGGCCGACGAAAAGCACCCCTTTTCCCCGAGCATCTTCAACACTCGCTGCACCGCGTAGTCGAACGTAGCTCGTTGAGCCTTTCGTAGGTCCCATTTTTTTTTCAGGTCCACCTGGACTCGTAGAATTCTTGAAGCACATCCAAATTCTTTGATCCTATCTGTGTCTGGGACTCCTCGTTCATCCATTGAAAGTACTCATTGTACGTATCCCTTCCAAACACAGGGATGGCGCTCTCAACCTCAATCATTCCTTTTTCACGCTTCCTTTTGTTCAACAGGTGATTGAAGCGGAGGACGGGGAGGTACAAGAACCTGCTTCTCACCTTTACCTTTTGCCGCAAGTTAGGGTTGTGAGGATCCAGGGAGGAAAACGTAAGGGCGTTAACAATACCAGTATCACATCCGACGATAGTTGTGGTGTTTACGGATGGGCATCGCCCTGGTTTGTTGAATGTGAGCTCAACGTTTTCAAGCAGTTTGGAGCTCCTCTTCCAGTTTATGTTTGCGTAGTCTTCATCTGTTAGGTCTTCACCGGCCGCCTCTGAACACGTCGTGTTGAGAAATCCCTGAGAAAGCTCCAGTTCTTGGCTGGGGTCTTCTTCATCTACGTCAGACTGCTGCTGTCTCTTCTTCGTCTGGGTTGTGTCATAGGCAAGTAGATTCAGAACTAGACCGTTGGTAGAAACTGTTCCTTTGAGTTTGAACCGAGTTAGATCCTTGTCCTGTGACTGCAGGGATACTTTGTCTCGATATCCAAGAACCATGCGATCGCCTCCAATGTCACAAAAGAGAGCCTGAATCAAAACCCCTTTTGTTCCCTGTACACACTCAAACATTGCAGTCTTGGAAGGATTGTCGAGAGGCAGAATACGCTCCAGCAGCTGCTTGGTATCTTCGTTCGCCCAGAGGGTGTCAACTAGGGCGTGTTCAGACAGATACACATACCCGGGTGACCAGGGGGACGTAGGAAAGTCTGAGTATTTTTTCACTTTTTTGTTCTCCCGCAAAAAAAACTCAATGTCGCTCATATCTTCGTTTGTTTTCTCGACATCAAACTAGGAAAAAAAAAATAAAAATAAAAAATAAAAGTCTGAATAAAGAGCATTTGATTGCAGAATATACATGAAAATACCTTACACAAGGTTATACCATTGCGTTCCTGTACTGCCGCGTTCCCTCCCAACATCTCACTAGCTTCCCTTAGGTAATCTCGAAGCATTTTATTGTAGTTCTCGTTCCACGCAACCTTTCGAATTAATCGAAGATTATTAATCGGGCCAACGTCTCGAGGTTCCTTGAGTAATCATTGCCTGCGATGGCACAGAATAACACCAGATGTTCATGTGATGACGGGCTTAGTGCTTGGATAACGTTGTCTACATCGTAAACCCCAAACTTCCGTCTACGGTGTGGAAGGGGTCGCGCTAGGAAGCAGACTCGTTCGCACGCAAAAAAATCAGAGTCTTGGGATATCACGATTCTATCATTCTCCTCATTATGGCACCCTATGCATGGGTCCGCTTCATATGTACACAGACAGACATCGAAGACAGAGCTAAGGCCTGTTGCCAGCTGATCCTTTTCCTGGACGCTAAGGGTGTGGACTTCTCGAAGACCCTTCTGGATGCGCCTCATGACTTGAGGACGAGTCCATACCCCACTCCGAGAATTTCTCTCGAAGGTGCTCATATCGTTCTCCAAAGCATCCATATTTTTTTCTCTTATGGCTTGCCGTTCTGTCCTTGCTTTTTCTTTCTCAGTACAAGGTTCCCCATCAATATGTATAGTCAGATTGTCCTTTATCACGAGAGCCAGGGACCTTCCTACATCAATGATGGATTCGCTTTTCATCTTGGCATGGACGACTCTGCGGAGGGTGTCGTAATAGAACGTACCGAGGAGATCTACATGAACAGAATGGTCAGGGTTTGCCGCCAAGAAATTGCCCACGTCAGTTTCCGAAGGTAAAACCCCGCGATCCGCAACCAGTTTGAAGAAGGACTTCAGCCCCATGGTCAATATCTAAGCGAAAGAGAAAGAAAAAGGAAAAATGGTGGTGATGAAAAGAAATGAAAAAGAAAAAAAAAAAAAAAAAAAAAAAAAAAAAGAGCGACAAAGGTATAAAAGGATGAGATTTTTTATGGTTTAAAGATCCAAAGTGAATAGATAAAGAATATTGAGGGAAAGATACAGGAACAAGTGGCAGTGGTAAAAGGGATGGGACTTTGAAGGAGGAAGGCAATGGTCCCTTTTTATATCCTGGATTGATCATGAATTTTAACATTGTCTCATATAGTTTTGATATCGATCCTTTGCTTCACAGGCCACATCAATCTTTATTCAGTTTCTTTGTTTGGATTGGGGTTTGTTCAAGTCAATAGCAGAGATTGACAAATAAATACAAGCTCTCGCATGAACGGCAGATTGGAAACAATAGCATTGAGATACCAAAGTGAGCATTCGAAAATCATCTCCATATACAGCATACAGTGTCGATGTCGATCCTTTGTTACACAATTTTTTTTTTTTTTTTTCAGTTTCTTTTGTTTGTACTGGCCCTTGCTTTGTGCTTTGTGAGGAATTTAATGAATAAAAGAAGATTTATAATTTTGAACAGGGGTAATAAATGCATTGACAGATATGACTCGGTGATTATAGGTAACAACTAAAGAAAAAAAGTCTTTTTTTATCAGAGAATGGCTTCAAATGATGCTCTTTGCTCCAACAGCCCCAGTACTATTGCGTTAAAGCAGAGATATTCGTTGACTCTCAGATTCCGGCATCAATGGCGGAGATAGGAGTGATGTAGTTGCATGCGCTTATTGCTTGGAGTTAAAGCTATCTAAGCACCCTTTCTTACTGGACGATGCCTTGTTAATGGTGATATTGCGCAGCGCCTTGTGGATGGAGGGAGAGCAGAAGCGAGAGTGGTGGTTTTTGGCGGTCGTTTGGTGTGTGTATGTGTGAATTTGATAGTTGATACCAATCGCCAAAACATATGCATCTAGAAATACAGAAGCGAGATTGATACCGACGCGTTTGATCCTTTCCTAGGGATTGTTATAACCATGGGATGATTGTGGAGTGGCCACCAAAATAAAGTTTGTTTGGAGGCACCAATGGAAAACGCTTGTGTTTTGAACAAAAAAAGACGCCGCGATGTAAAATGTGTTTATACATGTACAGAAACCAAAGAGATGCTTCAGCTGCTTATTCGTGCACACAGTGATTGACGAACAAAAAAGGAAAAAAAAGCCCGCGATGAAAGAAGGCATGTGCAGACAACAAATAAACACAGCAACTGTTTGCTCACATACATTTTTTTCACCGTTGTCTGTATCTCTTCTAAGCTTTCTGTCTGGCCGTCTAACACAAGGAACCCTCAGAAAGAGAAATACCTCGCATGATTGGTGCCAGGTCTGAAAACAACAATAATGCAATGCTGTACGTGGAAGATAGGGTCTAGAAACTATACCATTGATCACAACTGCTACTCATGCCCTCTTGCCAAGGACTTGAACATGCATACCAACCCCTTCTTCCTTGCTCTCATAACCGCTCACATCCTTTCGATGCATTCTTCCGCCGTTTATGTCCACTACATCTGAACCACACACAGTTCACCACTCACTCCAACAGAGATATTTGTATCACCTTGGGTATGATATGTTGTTGTGGTTCCCTCTGGTTTCAACAGGCCCAACAAACTCTATTAGCAGTGTTTACCAACCCAGATACATCAAGGGAACGCAAGAAGACGAGCAAGTAAATGATGTGACAAATCAAGTCTTGCCGAGCTTTACAGGGTGCGGTAGAATGAATCAACTCAGATTGCCCTCCTTTCAAGTCGAGACTACGGCGGCGAATATTATCACTGCTATATTACACCTGTCAATAAATAAACGATACAATGGACTCCCAAGAGGATGCTAGGGTCATGCGAAAGTCTTCATGAGTTTTTTATTTGCACAAATAAAGAAGCCAGGATAGCTCCATGACAATTTAGTTTTCGGTCATTTATTTCGACATCGAAATGAATTTTCAAGACAATGCCCATGGATTGCTGGATTTTAAGCCCATTTATAATGGCAAATTTGCCCTTGTTACGGACGAAGGGATAAGGCACCTTTGGGTCAACTACTTTGATAATGACCAGTCAATATGTAAAGTGGATAAGTTGCATTTCCGAATGAAGGGAAGTTTCGAGGAAGAACAACATAGATAACCTCTGTTTCAAGCGATTTTCGCTTTTACCTCAAAGTTTTTCATTTTTTTTCATTTGAAAAGTATACAATTAGCCGCCGTGTAAGAAGGCGTTGATGTGATTATTCTCAAGAGTTTACACTAAAGTGCTTTTGGTCACGCAGTCATTTGAATCTGAAGTTTACTTGATACAGGGTTTACGACAGATCAGACATGATGGCAGCAGCATTCAAATCATATTCAGTCTCTCAAGGCTCCCACAGGACTGTATTGGCAACCTTTATGGTGAAGGTGTTCACAGAGTACAGATATAAACGCAGAGACAAGCGTTAATGAGCTTCTTAATGAGAACACAGCATAGATCAAGCAAACTCCTACATGATACGTGTCTCACTGCAGACGTTCAATAGTGGCAACGTCTATCGTGACAATACAACAGCGATGCTACTTCCAAGTGGAGGAGAAATTATTCAAGAGCTCACCAAGATTATCCCATGAAGCACACTCATATTAATAATCTCAATGGTCTATCCGATATAGTTCTACTCTTTAGCGGGTTGAGTCTGGACACCTTGAAGCGCCTCTCCAATTGGGAGCAAAGGCCCCTTAGTTCAAAGCAGATCCTACATTGATTGCAGCATGAATTTATGCAAGCCTCATGTGTCCACGCAGAATTCAATAAGTATTTTATCATTCCATAACCCCGTAATCCCACGAAAAGTCATCTTTAATGAATACTTTTATCGAGCTATACTAGACATTTTTGAATTTTTATTTTACTTTTTTTTTTAAAAAAAAAGAAAAGAAAAATCAATCGTCTTCATCCTTCAACGGAAGTAGAGTTGGCCTTGTGTTTAGGATCAAAGCGGAATGCCTCAGGAGCTGGCCCTAAAATCATTTCACTCAGCTTAATCCAGTCCTTGACATCAGGAGAAGCCATCAGTGTCTCAAGGTCATTACGTCCAAAGAAAAGAGGCGGCCGATCATTCATCTTTTGCGGAAGGACCTCAAGCAGGCCAACTGGGACATAGCGATGCAAAAAGCCTATGTAGGGTATAGCAATAATAACAGGACGATAACAACAGGTCAACTGAATAAATCGATTCAATGACCGCTTCCAAAACTTTTATCAATGGATACATACTTTGCCACTCTAACAAAAAACGACGGGTTTGGTTAACGCCTTGAGTATCGGAACCCCAGTGTTCTAGCCCATAATTACAAAATCTCTTCATCATATCGAAGCGCTCGCCAGAAGAAATGTCCCAGTCGCGGTTTGACTTTATCTCCTCAAAGATCCAGGGCTTCATCAATGCACCACGTGCAATCATGCATCCGTCCACATTGTGCTCCTTCATATGACGATAGTAATCTGAGGGTCCGAGGATATCTCCATTGCCAAAGAGTGGCATATAATCATCTGCACCTAGAGATCCACGATTGATTTTAGTACATTGGCTAATATAGTCCCAATCAGCTAACTTGGTGTACCGTTGTTGTCGTGAGCGGCCATGAAGAGTACCAAGAGCCGCTCCAAAATCATAGAAAAGAGATGTCATAGTTTCGCCAATTGGCTTCTTGTCATGTACAGCCATCCTAAATTTGACTGTGACAGGAACATCCAGTACTGTCTTCATTCCCTTGATCATTCTCTTGATCTTATTGGGAGAGTTTAGTAGTCCACTTCCAGAGCCCTAGCAATGCAAAAAGAATAACGTTCATCAACTTTCGAGATCTAACTAGGGCAAATACACAATGTATAGTTATGTTCTAGCCACTGGATTTTTTACATTGTTGTAAACAAGGTCGATCGGGCACCCCATGTTCAAATCAACAAAGTCTACATTAGCCACCTGGTTGATCATATCACAGGCTCTAACAACAACATCGACCTTGTTACCAGTCAACTGCACGCCAAAAATGTCTTCGCTTTTGTGTCTTCTCAAAAGAGCCAGCTCTCCCTTTTGTCCCTGTACTAGATTTGAAGCCATGGCCATCTCGCCACACGTGATGTCAACACCATATTCTTTGCAAATGCGTCGAAAAGGTAGGTTTCCAACCGTAGTGAGAGGTGCCAAGTATGTCTTGCCCCTAAAATCGATCTATGAATGATAGGACATTTAAGTTAAATATATTAGGTAAAAAACGATACGTCTGCTTGATATATGCTCATGCCGTATTGAGCATCACCTACCTTCTTCTTCTCGCATGGGCGTAATGGAACATCAGGCGTGTCGGCAAGTGTAGGACCATCTATAGCAGTTGATGTTGTAATACTCTTGATATTTCTGCCTTCCAAATCTAAATCCTGATCCGATATAATCGTCTCTGTTTCTTTAGTAGCTGTGTTGGACGGGGACAGCGTCTCATTGCTACTAATTTTATCTACTATTTGCTCTTCAGACTTATTTGGCGCATTTTGTGCAATCTCCTCTGCCATTTTCTTGACATATGCCTCTGATCGTGAAAAATCGAACTAAATATAAAATATTATAATAACAATTAATAATTGCGAACATCTCTTGAAGAGTATGTCAATATCAGTTCAGCCATTTGTAGCGGATGGCATTTTACATACGTTGAAAGATCGGAGCTTAAGAGTAAGATCATGAGTGAAGACATTGAGAGACTGGGGTTCATATTTAGCGATTTTTTCTTTATCCTTAATAAGTTTCCCGTCTGCGTCTAGATGAGCGCTCAAATATCTGCATTTATATCCGTAGTGACAGCTAATCCACAATGTAAGGACGAAGCCTTGTGTTAAAAAAGGGAAAAGGATTAACTTGATAAAACATATTATGCGCTAAATGGGACATTAAAATGACCTATTATAGCAAATCAATAAGACGTACTCTCCAGTCAGTTCATAGTTAGGGCAACGGTCACCTAGATCCTTCCCTTTTGCTTCCAGATACTTTTGAACATTATGATTAAACTTGCAGCTATAGTGTAAAATCATCCACGGAGCAGAGTACCAGTTAGAAAATATACACCTGGTATCATTTCATTTGCAACACTAATGTATGGGCAATACCTATCGCCTTTATCGCATTCCTCGCCTCTTGCAACTTTAAAGCAGATCTGAACCTCATCTTCGATGCGACGTGTAACAACTCGATCCTGAGTTTGCCCTCCACGCTTCTTCTTATTATTCTTGACATGCTTCTAAAATATTCGATGAAGAGAAAATATAGTGTTAACACATTGATCAATGAAAGAAGCCATACCTTTCGGTGGCCTTTTAGGCAAAATAAAATGAAATGAAAATAAATAATAATAATAGATAACAATAATTACATCTTTACGGCTTCGCTTGTTATTATCATTCTTAGTATCCTCGTCTTCTTTTAAGCTATTATTGTCACCCTCTCCAGTTCGTCCCTCATCGCCTTCTTTCTCGACCGTTTCACTTAAGGAAGCTATGGTTTCCTCCTGCTGAACTGCCGCTGCTTTGGGGCGAATATACTGGGGTTTTATGGGTGAAATTCCCTTTTGATAGGTTGTACTTGAGGAAGATTCATCTTCATTCAACATGGTTGCTGTCGGTGCAGGGTTTTCAGAAGACATGTCTGTTGCCTGTCTGTCGTGAAGAATTATAATGGTACATCAGACAGTTGAAAAGCCCGACGTTATCCTCAAATAAGCAGTCATTTCTGTTGATCCGCGAAAAAAAAAAAAAAAAAAAAAAAAAAGCAGCACATGCGATGCTAGTCTACCTTCTTTTATTTCACAGCATATTAAGCTTTTTTTTTTTCTGCGAGCTTTTGCTAATGAAGCTTCCTCCCTGAGTTAATCAGAGAAATGGTTGGTGACGTGAAAGAACAGAGCCAAAGATGCATCAAACGGGCTCTACTCTCTTTTCCGAGATGAACTTGGCTAGAGCTTTGTTAGCTTTTTTTTACATCTATTTTTCTCTGTTGCATCGCATTCAATATACCTCTCAGAAAGCTTTTATTGAACGAGCCATTGACATACTTTATAGCGGTATGTAACCCCTACAAACGCATTTATCCCATCTAAAGGAAGACTGCTTTCTAATAATGCCATTCAAAATACTAATTCTTTGAAAATTGATAGTCTTGACCTATACAAGAAAAAAGGAAGGCAGTATCCAATGTTTGGTTCTACGTTGACTTCATCACGAGGCGTCCTCTTGCCATCAAAGGCTCTTAAGCTCTTCAATCTTTACATGGAGGATACTCGGAGAATAGACAATGACCATGCCATCCTCATGGAGCTGTGTCTCGATGCAGACTTTGCGCTGTCTCGAATTGGGCGATCGGAGAGAAAGAATCTGGCCTCTTCAGGTTCCATTGAAGACAAGATGCTTTATCAAAGTATCGGCTCGGCCCATTATGAAGTTGCTCGCTTATTCGAACGTTTGGGTCGCTCAAATGATGCCAAGAAGAGCGACATAAAAGCAGAGAAATGGGGATATGTCCCAGGAAGCAGCAATATATGTCAACAACCATCACGATTCGGTAGCTTTACTAACAATAACAACAACAACAATAATATCAATGCTAAGCAGGAGAGCGGCGGCAACAGCATCAGCAAATTGAAGGAGATGAATAAAGCAACAAAATTTGAAACGACACACAGCATCGCAGTTATTCCCTCAGATATTTTTGACCGCGACGTAACTCAAGCGACCTTCAAGTGTAACCTGCCAGATCCAGATACTCCATTAAATAATACCCAGCAGCTAGCCTACTGTCTCACTTTGCTTTCGACTGCACAACAACCACTAAAGGATCTTACAGCTCAGGAGCAAGAGTGGTCTTCGGCCACATCGAAAGATCAAGATGAGAACGCTAGACTTTATAACTTGGCTTCAGATGTAATTGCAGTGTTCATCGAGGATGATATCAAGACTGAGGCTGCTGTTGCTGAGGTCGTGATGCTGGCTCCAGTTCTCAAGCATGAACAATATAGGAAAGTGCTCATGACCTTGGTCAATGGAATCAGCCAGAATATCATGCTGGCGACTTACTTGCTTGAAGGGTTGGCTCAGCTGATTCAGCATGCTTCTCCTGGATACCTCGACTCTGATGATCTGGTCAATATCCTCAACACTCTCAATTCTCGCTTACAGGGAACGCACATGGAGTCCAGCAGCCATATCTATCGGCTTTGTGTTACAGTCTCACATGTGCTTGATGCCATGATAAACAATCAGGTTAAGGGTCTAAAACGGGAACAGCTCCATGAGCCATTAGCAGCCTACTTGAAAGAACTAAAAGGCAGCTCAGATCCTCATCTGGTATACCATGCAGCCTATGCTTTCCAAGCTCTGCTATATATCCCAAATGATGAGTCATCAATGCAGGCCATGCTTCGACGTACATCAGCAGTGGCTCGAGGAGTATTTGGACTAGTGAGTGCAGTCAAAGAATTAAATCTAAATGACTTTATGGATGAACTAGCCAATATTCAGAATGAGCTTCATTATGTAACAGACATTGTTGATAAGAGTCTGGATGTGTACAAAGGCGCGGTTTCACTATACGAGAGTGGAGCGGCATTCAAACAGGATATGGAAGAAGGGCTCAGCTTTAACCGCAAGACTGCATGGTATCCAGCGCTCCGCGGAGCTGATGCACTCCTCCAGACTGGCGAGTTCACCAAGTTCAAGACTCTTGTGTGTGAAACATCCTGTCGAAATGATACAGCATTCCAATGGGGACTATGCCAGCGGTTAGGACAGATTGCAGCCAATCCACAATGGGACCTGAAGGTTCGACAAGATGCCATCGCATTCCTTGGAGAGATGTACAAGAATGACAAGGATTGGGGCCAACATGTGAAGATCAAACAATGGATTGTAACTATACTGAAGGGATTGACCTCGTTACCAATCGATGGTCTACAAGGTATGTAGATATGATATGGTGTCTCCGTCATCATTGAGTCGGTTATGAGAAGCGAAGATACTGATGCTGATGGTATATTATCTATATACATTTCATTGTAGTTGTAGAGTCACTCCTGCATGATCTTGCTACGGATGGAGATACCAACAAGCAACAGCTCTTCAGCAATTGCTCTCAAGAGGCAATAAGACAATACCCTTTTATTGTCGCTCTGCCTCCGCCTGCATCTCCATCATTGATTAATCGTGCACAGAATAGGCCCGATGTGGAAAAGAGTCTGCGTCTACTCATGCGACAGCGGATGGCGAACAGAGATGATAAATACTTTTACATTCAACAATATGCCAAAGCCAGTCCACAAGCGAATGACGACGACTCGTTCTTGCTGATGGACAAGGTGAATGAGTTCCTGGACAGCGATCAGAAAGTTCTACTTATCCAAGGTGATTCAGGGGCAGGCAAGTCGACATTCAACCACGCTCTAGAGCACACTCTGTGGGAAGCATATCAAAAGAACCATGATCGAATCCCACTATTCATCAATCTACCAGCCATCGATGACCCATCCAAGGATGTGGTCACAAAACAGCTGCGAATGTATGATTTCACCAAGGAGGAGATCAAGGAACTGAAGATGACCCGGTCATTCATCTTGATTTGTGATGGGTATGATGAGGCTATGCAGACTAATAATCTGTATTTCACCAACCACCTCAATCAGCCTGGTGGGTGGAAGTGTCAGATGGTGATCAGTTGTCGTAGTGAATATCTTGGAAATGATTATCGAAGCCGCTTCCAGCCTATGAACCGCAATTACCAAGTAAACGCAGAGTTGTTCCAAGAGGCTGTGATTGTACCATTCTCTGAGGCTCAGATCGATGACTATATCAAGCAATATGTCGCAACAATGGACATACTGTGGGGTGCAGAAGACTATCTGCGTGCACTTAAGATGGTCCCTAGTCTACGAGAACTTGTGAAGAATCCATTCATACTATTGATGACGCTAGAAGTATTGCCACGAATGGTAGATCCGGATCAAGATATCTCCAAAACGCAAATCAAGCGCGTCACGCTGTATGACCAATTCGTTGAGCTGTGGTTTGAGCGAGGCAAGAAGCGATTAGGCGAGATATCGATGCCAGAGGATAGGAAAATGTTCAGAATACTATGCGATGAAGGGTTCGCACAAAATGGGATCTTGTACTTGAAAGAGCTTGCTGTGGCAGTCTACAAGAATCAAGATGGCAATCCAGTGGTGGATTACTCCCCATCCAAGGATAGGAGTACATGGAAAGAGGAGTACTTTAGCAGAGATAGCAGGAATAATCTCCTGCGAGAAGCATCACCTATGAGCCGCACAGGTGGCCAGTACCGGTTTGTGCATCGGTCTATTCTGGAATACTGTGTGGTACGAGCGATGTTTGAACCACAGAAAGTGACAAAAATGAACGCTATTGATACAGAAGCAACAGCGATACCGAATTCCCGCCGAAGGAGCATCAGCTCTGTATTCAGTTTTGAGGCGGAAGAGAGCCAAGCAGTTGAGCAGGCAGCAGATCCAGCCGAAGCGAATGAGACCTCGCCTTTGGTGTGGAGAAGCTTTGTGAATGAGCCATCGATTCTTGAGTTCCTGAAAGACCGAGTTGGAATGGAAGCAAAGTTCAAACGGCAGCTATATGAGTATGTTGAACTGTCGAAGAGCGACAAGCAATGGCGGACAGCAGCAGCAAACGCAATGACGATCTTAGTCCGAGCAGGAGAGTCGTTTATTGAAGCAGACTTGCGAGGCATCCAGATCCCAGGAGCCGACCTTAGCCATGGAATATTCGATGGAGTTCAACTACAAGGAGCAGATTTGAGGAATGTCAACCTTCGTAGCTGTTGGCTTCATAACGCAGACTTGAATGGAGCAAAGATGGCAGGTGTACAGTTTGGAGAATGGCCACTTCTTCATGCAGGAGGGAAGATACTCCAGGTATCATATTCGCCTGATGGTCAGACATTAGCTGCAGCTGTGTACGATTATGATACCGATGAGTATTATGTCAGGATCTATAATACGTTGACATGGGAGAGGTGTATGAATTTGGGGACGGAAGAATACGGCCAGAACTTTATCTACTCCCCAGACAGTCGACACATTGCCATATGGCATAAGGAGAAGAGTGCGGTTCTTGTGTTCGATGCAACATTAGGCACAGTAGTTCATAGGTTCGAGGGTCATACAGATGTTATCTGCTCAGTAGCATACTCTCCAAATGGTGATTATCTCGCCTCAGCTAGCAAGGATGGATCAGTGCATGTGTGGGATGCCAGGTCTGGAATGACCCAATACATAATAGAGGCTCATGCTAGTAAGGTAGCAAGCCTGGTGTATTCACCTGATGGAAAGCAGATTGCAACTGGAGGTGAAGACAAGGCGGTACGGTTATGGGATGCTGCATCAGGGAAGCTGATGCTAATGCTTCAAGTCTATAGTTCGCAAGTTTTGCAAATCGTATATTCACCTAATGGTCAGGAAATCATCACTCGCTATGAGGCCCGTAAATCATTGGATGTATGGGATGCTAGATCTGGTCAGAAGAAATGGGCCCTAGAGCATAAGGGCGATGTTGACGGCGTTCAATATCCTCCTGATGGAAAATACGTCGCTTCATTCTCCAAGAATACAGCATTTCAGTGGGATATGCAAACAAGGGAAATCATTCATACTCTTACTGGTACTTCCAGTACCATTAATGGCTTGAAATATTCGCCAAATGGAGAACAGATTGCCACTTACGGCAAAACAGTGCGACTTTGGGATGCTCGATCAGGACAGCTGGTCAACACATTTTGTGCCCATTTTATTAATGTAAGGGGTATGGCATACCCACCAAACGGCTCTCAGGCTGCATCATTCGGTGAAGATGGGACGATACGGCTGTGGGACACACAATCACAGCAATCCAACCACGATCAATATGGCCATACAGATATCATTAGACAAGTGAGGTTCTCACCGAATGGTCAGCATATGGCCTCATTCAGCAGGGACGGTACAGTGCGTATGTGGAATGTTCGAACAGGACAGTGTATCCATGTCTTACAAAGCCGAGCAAAGGACATTAAGTATTCGCCTAGCGGCCAGCTGCTCGTATCTATCGATCCCTTAGTTGATCCCATTTACTATTGGGACACTGAATCAAGCCAGATTATTCAAGTCTTACGCTCGCAACACCAAAGCGGAGGCATCAATGCCTTTGATATTTCACTCATTGGCCAACAAATTGCTTGTGGCCATGGAAAGGGGAACGTGACTGTATGGGACGCGCGAACAGGACAGCTCATACATACTCTGCAAGGGGGTAGATATCTTGTGCGTTCTGTGCTATTCTCGCCTAATGGTCATCAGATTGCTTCTTATGATAACAACAGTAGGATCAGAGTCTGGATGGTGCACTCAGGAGAGCTCCGGTATGAATTAGAAGCCATGGGACTGGATAAGCCTTATTTGGTTTACTCGCCTGACAGTCAGAAGATAGCATTTGTTCAAGACTACAAAAAGCTACAAGTACGGAATGCGGAAACAGGCGAGCTCTGCCACGAAACAATCTTCGATGGTATTCCACCACAGATAGCATTTTCGCCATCCGGTCGACTGGTAGTTGTTGGAAGTGCAAAAGGGCCAATTAATATGATGGATACTGAGACAGGGACTGTGCTACATACGCTCGAAGGGCATACCAACTGCACAGTCAGCATATCTTATTCTTGCGATGGCCAGTACATTGCCTCAAGCAGTGAAGACGCGACTGTACGACTGTGGGATACAGAGTCAAGCCGGTGCTTGGCTACTATCCCAATCGCAGCTGGATATGTTCATACCCTTGGATGGAGTATTTCCGAGGAGGATTACTTTCTGGCGACAGGACATGGTGATGGCTGTATTCGGATGTGGCAAATTGTCAAGAGTAAGGATGGCCAATGTCATACCCGCTTGAAGTGGAGCACAAAGCAAACAGTTCTATGCGCTACAGGAGCAAGCATTCGAGATGTAGCGGGCTTGAGTCAAGCTAATAGAAAGCTTTTGGAACAACTTGAGGCTGTTGGTGATCCAACACAGTGTCCGACTTCCCAAGCATCAAATCATGAGACAAAAGCAGTGCCATCTACGCCATCTGAGCTGGGAAGCGACGTTTTGAGTACGATATCAAAGAGGAGCAATTCTAGAGCAGGGCTATTAATCGCTAAAAGTGAAGGAATCAAAGAATATCAATTTATTTGCAGCAAATGTAATGAATGCAACGAGTGCGATGTTGCGCATTTTATCTTATGTGGCTCATACGACAGTATCGATAGCACTGATCTGCACAAGGTGAAGAGCGCACATATCGATCTAATAGAGTGAAAATACCCTACTCTTCCATTGCTCTTTCTTTATTTCACTTGAAATAAAAGCCGCATAATCTACTTGCCGAGTTGAAACTCCTTGGCGTCTTGTCTTTTCTAACGACATGAGTGATATAAATAGCCTGTGACAAGTTCTGTTATTTCTAGCATAGATGCAGTAATTGAAAGGTAATCTAAGACGAGGGTAGACTAAGCATTCGTTTGGGTTCGTAGGTGGGTGATTGGTTATTGATCATGAATTGTGAAGGGATGGTGTCTCCCACCTAGTCATACATTGGGGAGGAAGCGAATGTTCTCGCTGACTATCACATGTATCATCAAGAGTGGTCTTCTCTTTTCAAGTTTCATTTACTGGATTTTTAATTTTTTTATTCTGGTACTGTGATTTGAACATCCATTGAAACCAACGCATTTAGTATCGTCCCTTGCAGTTCATTTTTTACACCCCAGAACATCTCGGTGAAACCCAGTTCGCGGTGGACTTTAGGAGCCATATCAGCTGTACTCTAAAATACATGAAGCGCAACATCCATTTCTACCATGGGAATGGCCGTCTGCCCCGAAGCTCGTACGGAACATTAAAACATCAAGTTGTTACGGAGAAGTGAATCAAGGACTTTGTTCCACCTGATCCTCACTGTGATGCGCACTTTAAGATGAGCCATGAAATGAATGGTGATTGAAATGTGCTTTGACACTTTATAAACAATGTGACTGTTACCGAAATAAGTTCTTTATCTGTTGCAAGCGCACTCATTCAACTTCCAAAAGGACCCGTCATGCTTGCATCAGTTCTAAGAAGAGCAACAGTGAGACACTTATCAGGAACGGCAGCAGCGCTCCCAAATGTATCTTCACGAATGCGTGTGGCTACTACGAGGCTGTCTGTCGCTTTGGTCCATTCACGAAATATCACGTCAAATAGTACTAGTTCTCAGCAACAGCAACAGCAACAACCACAGTCTGCAGCGGCACGCCAGTTTATTGAAGGTCTTCGTCAAAAGAATATCCCATCTCCAGGATCAAATGAAGACGCAGCTGGCGCTATATCAGGTTTCATGAATATGTTCAATGATAAGGAGTCTAAGACTGTTACGATCACTGCCTGTACAAAGCATGGTTTCGTCACCACAGAAGCCATTACTCTACAAGGGCCTGTACTTTGTATTGGCGGACAAGTTTTCCTATGGGATATCTTCAAAGAATCCGGAGCAATAGCACAGTCACTGGAAAAGAGCTCCGATTCTGCACAAAAATTAAATTCCTCCCAGCGATCCATCTTTGAAACCATAGATGAAAAAACTGCACAGGAGATCTTTAAAATATTTGAGTTAATGAATCCTCGGCCAGGTAATACAGACTGATATACCCCTAGAAAGGCAATATACGTAAGATTAGTATATGGTGGAAGAAGACGACTAATTCTTTTTATTCTTCACTTCTTATAGAGATCTTAGTCATTGGGACTGGAAAGGCTTTCGCGCCATTAAGCCCAGCTATTCGGTCTGTGATCCGTAATTTAGGAATACAAGTTGATATGATGAGCACAGTAAGTCTGAGGCTAAGGGCCATTGGGTATATGCCTAAAGGTAAACATGATTAAAAGTTAATACAGTGCTCTGACCATCTGCTTACTCCCTTCCTATTTGGTTTTAGGCCAATGCGGCGGCGACTTACAATATGCTGGCAGAAGAGGGTCGTGACGTTGCTGCTGCTCTCTTACCATTGGAACCTTCAACAGTTCAAATTGTCCATGGTAGTCAATAATCTATTTATTTATTATTTTTTTTTTTTTTCAAAAATAAATAAATAAATAAATAAATAAATAAATAATAATAATAATAATAATAATAATAATAATAATAATAATAATAATAATAATAATAATAATAATAATAATAATAATAATAATAATAATAATAATATATACTCGTTCCGCTATTTGGATCTTTGTATCATGACCATTCTATCTTTTATACAGTTAAGGCGTGTCTATGTCTACAAGTACATGCATGTGTTTAATATTTCTGAATTATCTTCTCTCAAGTCCTTTTGCTCTCTGAATCAACAGTTGGCTCATGGTTGGGCATATTCTCAAGCAATATAACGCTGGCTCTCTCTTGTGAATCTGCTACCTCACCAAATGGACCCTGTTGAAGCTTGAGGCTCCGAATTTGATGTTGTTCACAGTCAAAAGTGCCTATGGCTCTCATATGGTCCCGACAGCAGTGTTTACATCGTTGATGCACACATTTTAATGAGTAAGAATGATGACAGGCGCCACTCAGGCAAAGGTTGTACACGGGCTTTATCTTCTTAACCCTTTTGTTTGATATGATTGAATTAATATCCTGTGCTTGATCTGACTCTGTTGCAGCGGTAATAATACTGAGCTCATCCTTGTGCTGTTCCGTAGTCATTATGTCTACCTTGCCACTAGCTATCATCGTTGTGCCTAGTACCTCCTGTTCGTTGTTGCTCTTGCATTTCTGTTGCTGCTGCTGTTGTTGCTGCTCAGGCCTAATATACGGCTGGACGAACCAGTGGGGCAGAGTTGGGAAACCTTGGTTATCAGCTTGGTCTTTAGAGTCTCCTCTAGTCGAACGTGATGCCTCTGCATCCGCCATAAGCCTTGCTTTCAATTTCTTCGTAACTGCCCACATTTGCTCGTTGCTCTCTGCCAGTCCGAGCTCCGATCTGAGATCTGTATGAACTAATAGACTGGTTCTGAAGATCTTGAACAAATGCCCACGAATATGTGCTAGTTTGGTTTCAACTTGATCACAGATAGTCAGGTACTCTTCAGCAAGCTTCCAAGCTTCTAAATGTCCTGGCTGAAATATACCAGGATTGTATAGGTTTCCTTCTGCTGTCATGACTCCAGCACATCCTGTTTTCTCAAGGCACTTAGCAAGGTCTTCATGATAGAGGATGTTACCGTTGGCAATGACAGGCACTAAATCCCCAACGGCCTCTTGAACGAGTCGAATCTTTTCCCAATCTGCTATTCCAGTCAAATGGCCTTTCATCTCACGCAAACGACCATGGACAACGAGCATCTGTGCACCTGATTCTACAACCATCTTTGCGTACTCGATAGTCTTTTCTACCTCAGGGAAGACTCGAATCTTTGCTGTGACAGGAATGGGAAGGTGCCTGTGAAGTGTTGAGATGAGAGATGATATCAGGGGCCAATCTTCCATAAGAAACGAGCCGTAATGTCCACGTCTGGCGATGTGCTGTGGACATCCTAGATTAAGATCAACAGCATCACAATATGGTGCCACCATCAGTGCAGCTTGAAGTAAACATTCTGGATCGTTTGCACAAAACTAAAATTCAGGAACAAAAAAAAAATTTTTTTTCAAGATCAATGAAATGTAATCAAACTGTATACATGAAGCATAAACATTTTTTTTTTTTCCTTTACCTGTGCAATCAACGGTCTATCATTAAGTCCTCCACCTTCAAGACCTTCTTCGAGCCCAGTCCATTGCTCATCTCTGTAACGTTTATTTTCAATAAACAGTTTGGCGTTGAACATGGGTGTATAACACAGATCAGCATTGTATCTACGACTGAGGATCCGCCACGCTAGTTCTGACTGATCGACCATTGGTGCAACTATGTATTTGGGTGATCCGATGGATCTGTAGAATTCCCATCCGGATAGTTTCGGAGGGAAGGAATGCTCGGCTCTACATTTGGCTGCTGCTGCTAGGTTACGCTGTTCAGCCTGGTTCTTTATGGGGTTGATCATCAAATCGGTGTAATACTGAAGATGAGGAAACTTCTTGAACATTTTTTGTCGATGGCCATCAAGGTGTGTAGAAGTGAGAGGCTTTGGATAAGACCGATGTGATGTTACTGGTGTTGCCGGTATTGATTCTGATGGAGACGAAGAGGCAGGGGTATATGAGGGAGTGAAGAAGGACGAGAGGATGGCTGCATTATGAGAGGCAGAAGTGGAGATGTATTTCGGAGTTGAGAGGACAGAAGAGAACGTTCTGCCAGACAGCAGAGTAGCAAGTCGCATTATAAAAAAAAAACACAAAGTGAAAGGGGGGAAGAGAAATGAGAAAGAAAGGAAAAAAAAAAAAAAAAAAAAAAAAAAAAAAAACTAAAAAAATAAAGGGTGACTGTGGCCATTATGAAAGAAAGCACAGACAGAACTTACCCCTGGGCGAGTGACATGCCCCCAATTATAGGTCACAATTGCATTGCTCTCTGTCTCTTTCATTCATCTATTCATCCTCTTCATCCTCTTCATCTGATCTGTGTTCAACCGCATCAAACCATCACCCAAAATATAAACTGCTCATCAACTAATGAAGAAGACTTGGCACATATTTGTCAAGCTGTAAACACTCTATCAGTCCAAGTGCGCGTTTATAATAGTAGACTGTTGCTCTTTCCTTCTTACAACTCAAAGCATAAGGTAAAATGGAGCGCCATGTTTTTGCAGACAACACAAGCCAATCCAAGTGCAGGTGAAAGCTTCATACTTGTATGGATCAGATACTGCAGATACTGTCTTCCTTAGTTGATACTGACCAAGAGTAAATTGACCATTTGGTTTTTTTTTTTGAATTCTGTCTGGCTGTTAGATTGAAATTAACGGAGCAATTGATTGTACGTTATGGGATTACCGCAACCTATAGCAAAGCTGCTGCGATACGGCGTGCTGGCATACCTCGCAGGCTCAGTTGTATTTACGCTACACACCCATTTCAACCAGATCCAGGATTCTGAAGTTATACAGGACCTCAAACCTAGAGCTTTGCTGGAGCCGGGACAAGCAATATTCGATGTCGAGAGCATAGTTTACTCGAACCAGCTCATAGAATGGAAGTGTATGTTCAACAGCGGGGCTTTAAGTTCATTAACACACGTAGTCAACATTGGCTTTAAAATACAACAAAAGCCCAATAGAGTTTTTTTTTTACTCACATATTGAATTGTTGAACTCTTTTAGCGCCCAGCGATTTTCCCACCCACCAGACCAAAGAAGACGCTGTGATTCATAAGATTTTTGCAAACACCATGCAACCGTCAAAAGTCTTGCCGTACTACTTCAAGGCAGGGAGGAAATTTGATCCAGAGGCAGTGACCATTACAACTTTAATTACTTTCGATCGATACCCTATTTTCAGTAAATTAGTCACCAACTACCAGGGCCCTATCTCAGTCAGTATCCATGTCAACGACGACGAGAACCGGGACGAGAACCTGTCAAAGTTGCATGACATGTACAATTCCAACCCATTTATGAAAGAATTCGTAGATGTGCATGTCGTCGTTGATAAATTTGACCGTCAATTCAACATGTGGCGCAATGTTGCCAGGTTCTTTGCTAGAACAAATTACTTTATGATGCTCGATGGTAAAAACTCAATGGAAGTATAGACCATGTTATTGTAACTCTATTCTAATCGACTTGCTGACATATATCTTCATTCATGGTCTACATTTGCTTTGTATTCCTTGCCTAGTTGACTTTCATATCTGCACAAATTTAAAGCATCATTTATCATTGGACCCCGAGGCTCAGAAGCTTATGCGGTCAGGAGCAGCAGTGTTATTACCCGCATTCGAATATGTTAATCAGGATGATGGAATCGACTCGGCGACATTCCCAAAGGACAAGGAGTCGGCAATCCGCCTGGTGCAGGAAAAGAAGTTGACAGTATTTCATGACTTTTTTCTCAAGGGCCATGGCGCGACAAACTACGAGCGTTGGTACAAAACTGATTCTGTCTACAAAGTGACGGAGTATCAGCACTCGTATGAACCATACGTGATCCTCAAAAAGGAAGGAACACCATGGTGTGACGAGCGATTTGTTGGCTACGGAGCTAATAAAGCAGTACGTTCCGGTTTCTTTCACGACTTGGCTTTTTTTTTTTTTTTTTTTTTTTCCGCAATGATTGAGAAAAGAGGAAAGAAAGAAAACGATTACTTACTCTCACCCTTCTATTTACTATTTTTTTTTTTTTTTTTTTTTTTCAACATCTGCTCAGGCATGCCTATTTGAGATTTATATCTCTGGAATTGACTACTATGTACTGCCTCACGACTTTTTGATCCACCAATCTCATCCATACAAAGAGGAAACTCGGAAACAAGAACGCAAGTACAATCGAAAGCTTTATCAAAACTTCCAAGAGGAGGTCTGTTTCCGATACGCTATGAGGTTCGTACACGCCAATCTCTGGGATTCTCCGAAGGCTAATAATCTAAAGGAACAGTGTAACAAAATTCGAGGCTTCAAGCAGGCTATGACACAGTTCAGTCAGCTCTGAACAGGAAAATAAGACTGATCTTACGATATAGAAATGCATAGAGTATAAATAATAAAAAAGAAGAGTAAAGATGTGTAATCAGCTGGGGAGATTTCCTTCCAAGGATCACTTAATAAATACGTGAATCTGCTCAGCCTTCAAAATTATTTGCTTTTATTAAGAAGATTGGCAACATCGATTCTACAAAACAAGAGCATTGGCATAAAAAAAAAAAAAAAAAAGAACTTGTATAAACAAATTCACCTCTAGGATCACCTCATTGTCCTGTTCAATCCGATACAACAGCAACAGCTACAGTAGCAGCTACATTTCTCTCTTCTCAAACAATAATGACATCAGGATCATCATCCACTAGTTCCGCAGCTCCTTCGCCCACAGCATTTCCTGGACCTTCTGCTGCTTCCACTCCAACTCCATCGACACCCACTACAGTAGCAGGCGTTACTGCACCTGCACCACGGAAACGAAAGAATGCAGCTGTGATGCCTTCATTACCCAAACCCAAAAAACAAAAGCTACATCGAAACCTTGATAATATTGTTGCAAGAAAGCAATTACCTGATGTTCCCACTGGCGCGAATGCGGGTGGTAACAAGACAGGACAACGTATGGTCAAGGGGCCTTACAAGAAACGAGAAAAGAAAGCGGATAATAAGGACGGCAAGAAGGGCGCTGGAGGAGATACAGCTCCTTCGACACCTGGAGGAGGAATAGGAGCATCGTCTTCTAAAAAAGGTAAAGGAGGAAAAGGAAATATGGGTAATACTGCTTCAGCTGCGGGGTCTATAGCATCAGGAATGGCAGCATCAACAGCAGCAGCACATTCCTTAGGAGGGATTGGAGGAGTAGATGCGGATGGAACTAATGGATTTGGACAAGGTGGGTATCAACTGGGCATCAAGAACGAGGATGATGATGAGACAGAAAGCCGTGCAGGACCGAGTCAAGCTATTGATGGAGATGGAAATCCCATTACCGGAGAGGCTGGAGGTGACGCTGGAGGTGAAGGCAAAGAGGATGAGGATGATGAACATGAAGAGGAACCAGAGTATACTGATTATGAATGGAGTCAGGAGGCCAATGCTAGGGGACGAAGTAAAGAGGAACTCAAGTAAGCCTACAATGCAGCTGAAAAAAAAAAAAAAAAAAAAAAAAAAGGCTGAACTGTATGATTATTTGTAGTAACCATGTATCCTTCTCTGGGTAGAGCGCTACTCGACTGCTTCTCTGAGGAACAACTACAACGCTATGAAGTGTACCGTCGATCTGTACTTAGTAAATCAACTATTAAGAAGGTAAAAAAAAAAAAAAAAGGAATTTTTTATTTTTTATTCTATCCTTTTAATTTTATTTTGATTCCAATTAAATCTTGATTTAAAACTAATCTCATTTTTATTCTCACTTTTATTTATTTTGATTTTCTATCTCCTAACTCTTGATTTATTAAAAAAAAAAGTTGGTAGGAACCATCTTGAATCAGCAAGTCACCCAAACAATGGCATTTGTTGTAGCAGGCTTTTGTAAGGTCTTTGTGGGCGAGATGGTTGAAAAGGGTAAGTAAAACCTAACTTTCATTCACTTGCTCTACTTTGTTATATGACACTTTTTTTTTTTTTTTTTTTTTTTTTTCACTTGACTTGACTTGACTTGGCTTGGCACTGACTTTACATTGCTCGTCTCTTTTAACTTCTTAATTTTCTATTCATTTTACTTGCTTTGGTTTGGTTAATGTTATTAATATCACTATTATTTTTGTTTACCATTATTATTATTGATATTGATATTGATGTTGTTATTGTTATTGCTATTGTTATTGATATTGTTATTATTAATATTGTTTACTATAAGCTCGGGAAGTAATGGAAGACTGGGGTGAGACAGGCCCAATTCGACCTGAACACCTTCGAGAAGCTCAGAGGCGGCACAAGAAAAAGGAGCTTCAACGAGGACAAGGTGTCAGGACTCCCTATGGATACAAACGACGCATGTTTTGTAGATAAAAATATTGAAAGTTAGAAAAATCAATTTGTCAATAAATTGTCCGCCCTGCCCTCTTCTTCCGATCATCCCCATTCACGTTCATGACATATGAATACACATGTGTGCATCTTTGCTTGGCTTGGTTTATAACCCATCTTGTTCCTCACATCTCTCGCCCTCTTTCATATTCTTTCTCTCCTTCTCCCAACTTTTCTCTCTCTATCTCTATCTCTCTCTCGCACATGTATATACAATAAAAGAAAACAGGGGTAGTGGAGAAAAGAAGAGAGAGAGAGCGGGGGGGAGGGGTAAGAGGGGGATGTGTATAACAAGTGTGAGAGAGACAAATCTTTGGCGGGATCAAGTTGAGCCAAATCACATGTAACATTTTTCCGTAGAAGATGTAGACGATTTCGTAGGACAAATTTTGGCGGGATGGCGGGAAGAAAAAGAGAGGGAGTAAAAAAAAAAAAAAAAAAAAAATGTATGGTCTAGAATAATAAAATAGCGCACAAAGAGTTGTGTGAATGTGCGTAATTTGTTTTGGTGCCTTGCTTGTCGCATGCATATTACGTATCCGATGGCATGTTCTCTCTTCTCTCTCTTTTTCTCTCTCTCTTCTTTCTCCTAATTATATTTATATATTCATATTTTATATAAATATATAATGTATTTGTCTATTTGTATATATTTGTATTTGTATTAAATTAACGAAATAAACAAATGAATACAAAAAGTAAAAATACACTTTGGTTTACTATTGTCCCCCCCTTTTTATATATGTATTAACATTAATTATGTGTTTTTCTCTGTTCCTTGATGACTCCATTCACCGTTGGAAGAAATGTTGTAGGGTCAATGTATTTATAAAAGATTGTGGATATTCGGAATATGTAAAACAGAAGGTGACAAATAGCATTGTCGATTCATTAATAACGTTGAAAGTGTAAATTAAAAAGAATAAAAAAAAAGGGGCGATAGATAGTTTGATTGTATATACTTTTTTTTTTTTGATTTGACTCCAACTCTTTTTATTTTTCCCTTCTTTTTTTTTTTTTTTTGTTTTACAACGTCTTTGTCTCTTTTTTTCCATTCCTCTTATGTTTCTTATGATTCACTTGATCAACAATGGCCATGCCAACAATCCAGTATTGTCTACCTTTTTTGGTACTTTTTGGTCGTATGGCCCTTTTCTTCTCTTTTTTACTTTCAACCGTTGTTACTCAATAACCCAATTCAATAAAAAAAATAAAAAAACTTTTTTTTAAATTTTTTTTTATTAAGTCTTTTTACGATACTGATTACTACATAATTGGCTTGGATATACAACAAAATCAAAAAGAAAAATGTAATTGGAATTGCATGCTTAAATAGACCTGATCTGACTCAGGCCCATTTCACGCGTCTTGCCAACAAGAAACCAAAAATAAAAAAAAAATAAAGTAAATAAAAATAAAGAGAGCACAAATCGGAAATGCAAAAAATAAAAAAGAAAAGAAAAAATAAATAAATGCAGACTGAAAAAGGTATCAAAAAGTAAAACTAAACCTATCTTTAAAAAAGAAATATTATAGTACAACAAAAAAAAAAAAGAAAAGATAAAATAAAATAAAATAAAATAAAATAAAGGGTAACCAAGTGCTAGACTGCAATCAAGTGATGCAATCTGGTCACAAGAATGGGTAACAAAAAGGTGACATACGAGACTACACACGAGCTAAATAAGCAGCAGATCATCAAATCAACCGTTTACTCGCTCATGCACTCATTCTCGCTCTCCTCTGCCTCCTCAAGGGCAGCACGGTGAATGATGTCGACCTCCTGTTGAGGAACACTCGAGAGGATCATGTTCTTGCCAACCATCGTCTTGTACAACGGTGTCGTTGGCAAATCCTCATCGTCCGAAGATGAATAATCAGATGATTCGTCGCTGTAATCATCCGATGAAGACGAGTAATCTGAATCATCTGTAGACTCATCATCCTGTGAAGAGTAATCATCCAAGGACGAATAATCGGTCGATCCCTCCGTAGACGAATCAGACGACTGCGAAGCTGACTCGTTGCAACGAGGAGGAACAACAAATGAGCTCAGCTTGACATCGCCAGATTGTGTCTTGTGTTCCAAATTCATAACAAATGGCTTTGTGAGCTAATTTCATCAAAAATCAGAGCACAGAATAAAATAATAATAATAATAATAATAACAAAAAAAAAAAAAAAAAAAAAAGTTAAAAATCATAAAGTCATTTTAAAATTGAAGAACAAAGAGACAATAGAGTACCAACTTACATCTGCGGAACCATCATCGACTTGCATATAAGTCTCATAGGGAGTATTCACAGCCAGAACCAGGGAATCTTGCAAAGAGTCAACCTTTTTGATATCATCCATGGTAACATAGGCATATCTATAGATTTGTCAAAAATAACTTGCGTCAGTTTCAAAAAAAGTTTAAAAGTGTCCAAGCGTGCAACATTCCAAGGTCTAAAGAAGATTATACACAATATGAAAAAGAAAAAGAAAAAAAAAAAAAAAGCTACTGAATACATACCGAGCAGTGTTTTCATTGGTAAGAGTATCTCTGATGGCACCATCCACCTGGGACCTCATCTGCATCAAACGTGCATGTTCCTGCTCCAGACGAGCCTTCTCTTGCAATAGCTCCTCTTTACGCTGGCGGATGAGAGAGGGCGAGGCCGTTTTGCAACCCGCCGTTGATTTGTTGACTTTGCTCGTGGCGGAGACACCCCTAATGCACAAAATTAAAATTGCGGGAAAAAATAAATAAATAAATAAATAAGCGTCGGGTCAGTAAGGGGAGATGAGCAAAGATTCAATGATAAACATGAAATAGACCCCTCTCCTTCAATTGTGTTGCATTCCTCTGTCCTCGCCTCTTCTCCCCTCCCCCTGGTCAGAAGTGATATTTAGTTGTCATCGACCTGCTGACCAGTCTGAGCGGAGCTACTCTGTGTTCGATCGCAAACCAAATGGTAACACAATAAACAATACCAAATATGCCAGTGCCACTATTGTCCGGGACAGACATGGTGCGCGCGCGGCTGTTCTGTCATTCGCTATTCTGTTTCCCTTTCTCGCCCTCACCCCTCACCCTTGTCACTTCTCTCCCCCCGTATTTTGTTCCATCTTGCTGTGCATGTCATCCAAGTCTGCCTTGTACCTTCTTGTTGAAGTTGTTGTAGTCTTTTTTTTTTTTTTTTTTTTTTTTTTAATAATGTTCGATCAAACATCCCTTTTTCGTTCTGCTCTGTATGTGTAAATCCCCATAGCCAACCTTACACAAAGACAACACGCATCACCAATGCTGTATCCCTCTTTGTCCTCAAGCACAATTCTTTTCTTTTTTTTCTTTTTTTTTTTTTTGGTGTGCCATTTCATTTGTCCCATGACCGCAAGGGCAGTAAGATGCACAAGAAATTCCCGCATTATCAATGCTCCATGACTGATGGTCGAGACTCAAAATATACGCTTGACGTTTTGATATCCTGATCTGAGGATGGTGATGAGGATGATAGCAGTGTATAGGATTAAATAAAAGAACACTTACTTCCAGCGGACGTTATTCTTCTTGAACTTCTCAATAAGGTCAATTCCTTCCAAAACGTTCGTGATGTCATAGATTCGGCGCTTCTGCACATGGAGTCTCTCCGCAGTTTTGTTGAGATCCAATGTGCCACTCTCGTCCTTAAGAAGCTGAATGAACTGCCTGGTCAGCATCCCGAGAGAGCGTTCCGAGCGGCTAGAATCTAGTATGCCGTAGGATGAATGACAGACATAGAATAAAGTTAAGTAAGAGAGAAATAAGGATAGAAATAAACAATCAGGAGCGTGGATCAAAGAGCATTTTTTTGTTGAATATTGATTTCCATCAAAACGGGACGGGAGATTTTTGGATCGCGCAAAAACACACGAATTAGTTGTTTGTATGCTGTACGAGTATGTATCTCTGTCTCTCCTTTGGCACTGCTTCTTCGTCCACCTATCCTCTGTCCTGCCGTTTCCTTTTTTTTTTTTTTTTTTTTTTTTTTTGTTGTTGTTGTGGTCGCAAATACTGGGCTTTGTACGGAGCAAATAGATATAGAGGAGAGGACGAAGGGTAGATGAGCAACCTACTCACTTCAGGAGTTGCTTCATCCTGCATCCAGTCGTCCAGTCACCCTCTTCAAAAGGTAAAAAAAATGTCCGGAATTTTTTGCTTAATGTGTCCATCATCCTGTCTCTGATCCGATAAATATATGGCGTGTCCATGAAACTATCTCCTTGAGTTGAGCCAAATGATCCGAAGAAGAAAAAATAAATAAATAAAAGTCTTTAATATTTTACCTTTAGGAGCAGCAGATCCCTTTGGCTTGGCATTGTTTGCGGGGGAGTTATTGCCCTTGCGGCCACGCTTGCCAGTTGCCTTGACCAACGAAGGTACGGGCTCGTGAGCAACATTCGATCGGTTCTAATAGTATGCGTGTGAAAATAATAAGAAATTTGAAGGTGTGAAAGAGCAATAGGGAGAGTTGAGAGCGAGAGAGAGGAAAGAATAAAGAAGTAAAGAGAGAGGTGAGCAACATGTTCATCAATCAAGGGTGCAACCACACTTCAACTATGATAAAATGCAATAAGACAGAAAAAGAGACGGATGAAGTGGGCGGCAGACGAAGAAAAGGGAAAGTAATAAAAATTGATTGAATGGGCAATTGGGTTGGAATATAGACTCAGGATATGGCGGACTATAGTAAACCGTAGGAAACACTTTGCTTCCAAAAGGCGGGAAAATTTTAAAAAAAAAAATGCTTATCAATTGAAATCAATAGGAGTGAATACTCCATCCATAAAAAGGGCAGCTCCACCCGTAACTCGCTCAAAGAAGTACAAGAGTCACAACAACAAAAAAAAAAAAGACATTACGCTCATGTCATAAAGAGCGTGCACAGAGTTTAGAATGAATAAAGTAAAACAATACGAAATAAATAAATAGCCCGACAGTTACATCGAAACAAGCGCCCATAATCAAGTGGTGGTGTGAACAAAAATAAAACCTGATTTCAATGAAGCGTGCAATGAAGCCAGAATGAGTGCAGTGTTTTTTTTTTTTTTGTCTGTGTCCTTCTTGTGCTGCTCTGTTCGTTTGAAACTTCCATTGCGCAAACGAGATCTCAATTGACCCGCCTCCGATGAGGAGAACATAATGAAATAATAAAATATGGTGGAACGGTGTATACTGTATGAAGTATATTGTGTGTCTCCATATTGTCAGTGCCAGCCGCCATTCAGACTCCTGCCTGGCTCATCCCAAAAGAATCTTTTTTTTTTTTTTTTACAGGTGCTAATCCCGAGAGGCGCAGAGTGTGTGCTGTGTTGTTGTGTTTTCTGGTCACCTTTTTTTTCCCTCTCGTCTTTATCCTGGTTGACAGTGTCGAACTGTTTTGCTGTGTCTGCTTGTTTTCCAGTTGCGGTTTTGAAGGAATGGCGACAATTGAGCTCCATTCCTGTGATCACCCCATTGTGGACCCGAAATGCACTCATTCATCGAACAGAGGAGGGGAAGGAAAAGGAGAAAAAAGAGAAAACCAAAAAAGAACAGAAGAACATGGCTCCTTCAACTCTTGCCACACGAGACACAGCGCAATAATAACCATAATAATGATAATTATAAAAAATAAAAGAAAAAAGCTTCCTCTTCCATCCCATACAAAATAAAAACCTTTTGTTCGTTCTTTTTTCTTTTTTTGCTTACCTCTCTTTCGACCCAGGCGTGGTCCGGGTACGAGGACATGGTGGGCATGGTTGGCATCGCGGCCATGACATGAGCGGCTGAGGACATGGTTATTGTGAACTGTGAGTGTTGAGAAAGAAGTTTATGAAAAAAAAGGCCTCGGAGGAAACCAGCGAGAATAGTGGGTTGAGGTGGTTGTGTGTGTGGATCGAGGTCTACAGGTGCTTGCTTGAGTGTCAAAGGCAGGTCCGAAAGGATTCTGTCCTTGTCTTGATAGAGAAACTTGTTTTTTTTTCTGGACGAGTGTCTTGACGGATAGATAATCGACAGACGAATTCTGTTTTGGAGCGCGGTGTTCGATTCGATCTTGGGGTTACGAGCAAGGTCTTGTTTTTTCGAGAAGAGAATGCGATCGCTTGATTTTTTCCTTTTTACGATGGCTCTTGGTTCGTCTTGAGCTTGAACTTGAACTTGGCTAGACTTGAACAAACGACGATGAGAGTACTTGTAGAATGAGAGTGGAAGTGGGAAGAGCGAGGGAGTGAGTTTGAGTGTGTGGTAGTGTAGAAGGTGGAAGGAAGTTGTAGTGTTGGAAAGTGGAAGAGGAGTGGATGAGTGAAGAAGAAAGAAAAAAGAGAAAGCAGAGTTGAGAAGAATTGAACGCTTTTTATACCTGTCAGAAAAGCGAAAAAGTCGATGAAGGCGACGATGACAAGCTCAAGAAAGAGCCGGATGGTCCTTGGACTGTTTTGTCTCTCTTTGGGGAAGGAGTGTCCTTTGGCTTGGACGGGTCCTTTGGGATGGAGGCAATCCCAGCGACTGCTGAGCAGAGCAAAAAGTCAAAAAAAAGTGGGTGGAGTTCCCTCACTTTTTTTATTTTTTGGTTTTAGCACGCACGCAGAAAAAAAATTTCTTGCAGCAAAAAAAAAAAAAAAAAAAAAAGAAAATGCTGCCCTGAGCCTTTTGGTGGTGATTGAGATGTATTTATTATATTACAGTTGCTAGACTCGTATAAACTTCCTTGACTCTGTCTTTTCTTCGTGCTTCACAAGGATATCAAGTATAAGGATAACGATATGGTGGACTGCACTGTATTAGATACTATGCGGAGGAAACAGTAGGCTGACTTATGTGATTCTTAAACAGATGTATGATATGTGATGTATGGTGTGCGTTGTGTAATGTATGTTGTGGATAAATGAAGGATGTTCTCGGTTTACGTTACTTTGCTTAGCGTTTGAATACCAATGTCTATTACCGGAAAGCCATAGTTCAGTACCAACGTAATATTAGATGAACAGAAGTGTAGCATCTATCGCCTTGATCTAAGAACGTGTGCTAGAAACATTACCTCTTATGCTTTCTCTGCTTGAATGTTCACTTACATCTTTCCTTGCTTCGCGTGACGATGTAGATGTTGTGAACACGATTGAATTGTCATTTTGTTATATCTGAACATATAAAGAGAAAGCAATGAATTCCAGCATGCCTAAACCAACGAAGGATAGGAATGGCGCGTCTAAGGAAAAAGGTGGCGGTCATTGAGACCAAAAAAGTATAAAAGGCTAGTCATGGAAGCATTCAAAAAGTTTATGAATATGATACATATTTGCGATGTTGCTGCAAGGTCCAACTCAAAAGGGAAGAGAGGGGGGGAAGGGGGGAAGGGGAAGGGAAAAAAGGAAGGAGAAAAGAATGGAAAGGTAAAGGTGAGAGTGCAATATCACCAAGACAGATAATATTGCTGTGTTTCTGCAGTCATGATAATGATGATGATGACGATGCTTATCGTTAGTTTACAATGATTCATAGCTACATTGGATACAAAAGAAACCAAAGCAATTGTTCTGGATCTGCAAACAACTTGAACTGTTGCTTGTTACTCGAGCTTTTGGCTTTAGAAATGAATAAAATGATTTCGGATACATGCACATGTCCAGACAAAGTGACAATCATTAGCAATACCAGCTTACACTGCAAACCAACTGTCGCTGCAAATTGTAAATAGAAATACAGCTACAGCTACAACTACAATATCAGTCTCGATAACAATGATTACAACAAAATTGAGAACCGGTGCGAGAGGATGTCATTATGATCTGTTGTCATTTACAGATCGCAAGTTACACTCAGTACCCCTGTCTGTTCTTGTCTTTCTTTCCAACCAACAAACTAAGAACGGGGATTTTTTATATTTTTTTACTTTTTATTTTATTAGTAAAACAGATATTGTTATTGTTTCTCAGATTATAGTAGCAGGAAAAAAAAAAAAAAAAAGAGTAATAAGGGGTAGGATTATGAGGATGAGATGAGAGGATGAAAGGATGTGAAAGTTGGTTCAAACAGGATACATACAGCAAGCACACAGCAACTTTCTCTTTTTGTTTTTGTTTTTTTTTTTTTTTTTTTTCTCCTGATGCTCTCTTCTTTGTCCTACCACTGGTCCATGTGCCAGTGCCAAACGTGCGTCTGCTTCCTGCTCTGTTCAGTTTGTTCTGTTTTTGCTCTATTGCCTTTGCTTGCGCTCATACTTGGAACCTATCGGGGCATGGACATGGACATTAAACATGTCCTAAATAAATTTGGAATGGTGTGGTGAATGGTATGAAAATCCAAGTCTATGCAGTAGTTGGTTTTGAAAGTCAACTTTCTTTTTTATTCGATTAACGCCTTTTTATTTCAATCAATCAATCATTCAAGGACACTAACTATGGCTCGCTTGCAATATACACATGTTCACCAAATACTCTGACTAGAACCACTTCACGTATCTGTACTTATCCTGCAATTGTTGTTCTCTTGTGTGTGTACACACCAAAAAGGAAGTTCAACTTGCGCCAATTGTCATCATCATGACCAAAAAGAAATTTAAAAGGACTCATCTCTTTTGCTTCTTCATTTTAACATCTTCACTCACTTGACACACTCACTTTTTATCGTGTTATCTCTTCTACAAGATTATGTTTTTATTTTTTATTTTTTATTTTTATTTGTCTAAAAGAGTCAGGGGATCATGGATAGAAGCAATGAGGTTTTGAGGCTTTAGATGTTGTATGCATATCGGGATGATTTCTACTTTTTGGAATAAAGCGTCTGTGAAAATGGATGGTGTGAATGTGGAGATGTGTTTGTGTAAATAATGTTTGTTGGTGATAGATTGCCACCAATAGCAACAACATCACGATCAGTGAAATAAGGGCATACCGCGGAATCTTCCCGCCCTTTTTCCTACGGTAGATTTTTCTTTTCTTATCCCTCCTAGACAAACCCAGCTGCAAGCATAAACAAATTGGGACAGCCTACAGATACATATGAAACAGATTTAAACAAGGTAAACAGGAAAAAAAAAGGCGTAGACTCCATTCTAAATCTGGTTACATGTATACCATCCATATATTATTTATACTACACACACTCACACACTCACACACTCACACTCACACTCACTCACCATGCACTCACACTCATCCATGCACTCACACTCATCCATGGACCCATACTCACACCTACATTCACACCTACACTTGTGTGAAGACTATTGTTCAATAGAGAGAAAAAGAGCGACAGTGAGAGAGACAAAGAAAGAAGTTATAAAATGTGGCACCCCTAGTTGACTAACATTCCACATTGGTATGAAGCCATGAAGGTAATGGGGTGTAACATAGTCTTGAACGACGCCATGTGCTGTGTAGAGTTTGGGTTTTTGAGAAGTTTTGATCCCACGGCTGGTTTTCAGTCGTTCGTTTAAAAAATATGTATGATGGAATCATAACTTTTTCGGACCGGATCATCAAATGGCTTTGTGACTGGCCACATTTTTCAACTCGTTGTCTTGTCCTTGGTGTTTACTCAAGGGGACAAGAATCCGCCCTTCAACAAAACAACCCTCCAATTGGATAAATTTGGGGACTGTTCAAAAAGCTCCTATCATATACCGGCTCGGATGTTGACTGAACGGTTCATCTCATGCATGTCAGTAACATTGCAACACTATTCATCTTTTATCTCTCTTCTTTCTCTTCTTCTCTGCTTTCTACGCTCCCCTTTTCTTGTGCTCTTACTCTCACTTATCCCTTGGGCTTCTCCAAAAACATCCTTTTTCCCGGCTCTCTTTTTCAAAAAAAAAAAAAAGAAAAAATGTGTCAAGGTGCTGTGCCTGAATATTTCAAGTTTAAAGAGGCTCCTCCAGAGCTACCCCCAGGTTGGCTAGGGTCTCGGTTCCTACACGAATTAGATGTTATCGATCCTCATACACAGACGAAGGAGTACGTGGTGTCCAAAACAGCTCCATGTCCTATCATTGATGCCCATGTTCATGGTAAATAATAATAAAAAAAAAAACACGATTTGTGATTAACATTGAACGAGATAACTTCAATTGGAGACTTTTCCCTCTTATTTAATGCATACTCGTGGGTTTCATTGTTAGTTTTCCCTCAGAAACTCATGGATGCTGTGTGGACGTTCTTTGACAACTTTTATTGGCCTGTTCGTTATAAGGGAACATATCTTGAAAGTAGAGCTGATTTCTTGATCGAGCATGGTGTCACTCATGTTGTGCTTCTGGTGTAAGTCTACCACACTAAAAAAGACGGATGAGCCAAGAAGCAGAGCACGAAAAGTAACAAAGTTTCTTTCACTCTACCTATTTTTTTTTTTTTCATTTTTTATTTTCATTATTATTATTACAAGATATGCACACAAGAACGGTATTGCGCGCGATTTAAACAAATATCTCGCTCAAGTCGTCAACGACATGAATACACGCTATAATAAAAAGTTCTCAAAGGAAGAGGCATCCGGCCAGATTCAGAAACAAAAGAGAAGAAGAGTGGCTACGGGTCTTGCAACGGTCATGCCTGGAGAACCTGGAGCTAAAGACATCCTAGCAGAAGCATTTACAACATTGGGATTATCAGGAATTAAAATGCATTCACATGTTCAGTCTGTTCCAGCGAATCATCCAAGCATGGATGAGGTCTATGAGACCTGTATCCGTTTCAACAAGCCTGTACTCATCCATGCAGGCAAAGCCCCCAATAGCTCTGCCTACAAGGTCGATGCAGGCAAGATTTGTGATGCTAGCATTGTGGAGGATGTACTCAAACGTTATCCTCGCCTACGCATGTGTGTTCCTCATCTCGGTATGACTCCTTGGCCCATCTCTCTCTTTTTGGTCTAATCGGATACTGTGACTTGGCTTATTAACTACTGTTTCGTATTCTCTTTTATACGTCTAGGCATGAACCAATATGAAGAGTTCTTTGATTTATTGGATCGATACCCTAATTTCTATCTGGATACGACCATGACATTCGGCTCATTCTTTCAGACGTTTGAAGAAAACAAGCCTCTAGCAGAACTGCTTCGGACAATGTTTCTTAAGCACAGTGATCGGATCCTCTACGGGTCAGATTGGCCTAATATTCCATATTCATGGAGTCGTGAGATAGCTAACTTGGTTAGTTTGATGGATGGTGATGGTGATGTTATTTCTTCGGCTGTAGCAGGAGGAGGAAATCAAAAAGGTATACACCGTACAGCGGAAGGCGATACGGTATTAGAAAAGATCCTGTGGCGTAATGCAAGCCGATTCTATGGCATCTCTGAAGAGGACTTGGGATTGTCCGACATTAACTCTAGTGGCAGTCAAAATTCCACGCCATTCCCATCAAATCTGTAGTTTAACATGGCGCTTTTTATATTCCAAAATGTGTTTAAATGCTGTGCAAGTTATGGAGGGACATTGATGTAAAGATATTTTTAGTGTAGCCCGTTCCATTTGGTCGCGATCCCTTATATTTTTTGAATACTCTTAAATGTATTGGCAGCCAATTGACTCGCTTGTTATTGCAAGTGGTGTGACTGGTCAACTGGTCATTAAAATTAATTTCAGTTTATCTTGTATCCACTAATCTGTCGAACCAGCTTAAAGGAATCTTTGCGCAAAGCCTTTGTAGTCATAGGCGGGTCCGCCTCACCTAGAAACTACCGAGTATAAAAGCCAAAGAAACTTCCTTCTTAATAAAGTCTTCAGTTTTCCCCACATGTCTTATTCTTCATCCGCAGTTCATCTTGCCATTTATCTTTTTCCCCTTTTCACAACAAGCATTTGTCTTCCGGTAACTCATTTTGTGAGCTCACCTATAAAGCTCCCATCTTTTCTTTTGACATTCTATGGCGCTGTTTGTAGTCAAGGTTATTTGACTCTATTTTCTCTTGTCAATCTTGTTGACACTCTTTGTCCTGCCTTTTCCTGATTGTGTCTATCTTTCTGTCCCTTAAGCAAAGATATTTTTTACAACAATGCCACCAAACCAATTTATTATGATTAAGATATGTGGGGTCTATATGTTGTCTAAATAGTCCTCCTTATAAAAAAACACCATCTAGACCAAGCATAGAAATAAAGAGATTAGTCAAGAAAGCACTGTCGAGCTAATACTTACAACTTTTTCAAGACGAAGGCCTTTCCCGACCTAGTCATGTTTGTAGTATCTCATGAAAAATTTTAGACAGACAAATAGTAACCAGGGAGCAGAAGTGAGAATAGGATGTGGGTTCACACATCACATCCATGGGGCATTTATCCAAATTTGTATCAAAATAAAACTGCAAGTTTGTCTCGGGCACCACACCATGGGGCATAGAGCTGTTAGTATGTCTGTATTATAAATTTTCATGTAACACGTGTACTGTGAAATATGCAACTGATCATATCCTATTGTTGTTGCCGGCTTGGTGTCTTTCCTCCCCATGGATTCAACGAAGGCTATTTTGGTATCTCGAGTTTGGACTCAACCTGTCAGTGAGCATTGGTGCAACGCATATAAGGCACACAGGCTGTTGACGAGCCTACTTCTCACCTTCACCGTTTGACGCAGGTCAGGGTTGTGACGGTCTAGCGAAGAAAACGTAAGGGCATTAACAATACCAGGATCGGATTAGACGGTAGTTGTGGTATTTGCAAATGAGCATCGCCCTGGCTCATGGAATATGAGTCCAACGTTTTCAAGAAGTTTGGGGCCCCTCTTCCAGCTTATGTTTGCGTAGTCTTCATCTATCAGGCCTTCACCGGCTGCCTTTAAAACACGCCGTGTTAAGGAATCCTTGAGAAAGTTTCAATTCCTGGCTGAGATCTTCTTCATCTACGTCAGACTGCTGCTGTCTCTTCGTCTGGACTGTGTCATAGGCAAGTGGATTCAGAACAAGGCCATTGGTAAAGTCGTTCCTTTGAGTTTGAACCGAGTTATACCTTTGTCTTGTGCCTGTAGGGGTACCTTGTCTCGATAGCCATGAAACATGCGATCTCCTTCAATGTCACAAAGAGAGCCTGTATCTAGACTTCTTTTGTTCCCTGTACACATTCAAACACTGCAGCCTTGGAAGGATTGTCGAGAGGATGTCAGTTAGGACGTGTTCAGACAGATACACATACCGAGGGGGGACGTAAGGAAGTCTATTTTTTTTATTTCTTGTTGATTGTCATGGCGAAGGCTTGATTTGGTAAATGTAGATGATTGGAGAAGAGCTGTAAACAATACTCGAAATCCAAAAAGTTAAAACCTGTCGCTGAGAATCTTATTGTTTCGAGTTGTTCCAAATTCATCAGCCTTTTGTTTCGTTCTCTTTCATACACCTATAAATACGTCCTGCCTCCTTCTCTTTTTCCCTCTCTCTCTCTCTCATTTACAACGACATTGCTTTCGCGCTCTCACCCGTACTCTTACACCCTCATCCCCTCACAGACCATAACTTTTTGCTTTCTTAAAGGTAAACTATCTCTACTCTAACAACTTCAGCTTCAATCTTTAGCCGCTTAAACCAACATTGCTTGCACTGTTTTACACTATACTTTCTCTAGATGGGTATTAAAGGACTCTATTCATACCTTTCAAGGAGAGACCTGCCACCAAAGGAGATTGATGTACATGAGCTTGCTGCTGAACCCCATTCATCTTTTGAGCTGGATCTGCTTGGCACTTTCCACAGCGATATACATAATATCATCCTAAGGAGATTCAGCCGGCAGAGTTCTTTCACTGCCTGCGGCCATGCTATGGCTAGTATCATTCGAAAGATCTTTGGTCCTCTTGCCACAGTGACGATACACATTGATGGGCCTCGCTGCGAAGAAAAAACGCGTGCCTATAGGGACCGAGATGCTAAGCGTACAGCAGCGGATGCAAAACTCGATACGCTCATAGCCAACATGGAAACCAAGTCCAATGAAGGCAAATGGGAATCTCGAAGCCATATGATTGCCATTAAAAAGAATCTTCGACAGCTCTTCACATTCAGTCATAACGAGAAGAGGGAGCTCGTGGCGCCATTCGGTCGATACAATAACTTTGTGATTTGCCATTGTAGAAATGAGGCTGATGTGTGTATTGCCGCCAAATGTACACCAACCAGTATCGCTGTGTCTGGGGACTCTGACCTTCTCATCTATCCTTCTATAAAAAGAGTTCTTCGTCCAATCCCTCGTCGCCATCACATGTTTGCACTCTATGAGAAACAAGAGGTCCTGCAAGCCCTTGGGTTTTCAAGGAACAGTCAACTCCTGGTCTATGGCATTATATCCGATAACGATTACACCCCAAATATCCCAACCTTTGGTCTTGCTACAAATGCTGAGATTATCTCCGCGCTCACTGACACTGATGCCGAAAAGTTGACGGTATCATATGTTCGTGAGGTCCATGCCCGTAGCCGTCGAACTCCTGCAGAAGGCCAGTTTGACCATTCAATTAATGTTTTCTTTGGTGGGATCCAAACCCAGGCCTCGCAGCAACCAACCGCTGAAAGATTCCTTCATTACCATGATAGAATGAGGACTGCGATATCTGCTAGGTACCAGAATAAAAATAATCAACCTCAACCCAGGTAAGCTCCTTCAAATGAACATTTTCCAAAGCATATACAAAAAAAAAAAAAAAAAAAAAAAAAAAGTCATCTAACCCTTGACATTGTTGTTCCTAATTAGATTCTATATCCCTAAACGCGCAAAGCCGAATCGCTATCGGCCTGTTTTCCCTACCCAGAAAAAGGAACTTTCCCCTAAGAAATATGACCTGACCAACTGCAAACAACACGACCGTCCCGTCAGCTCCAGCCGTCAAAGAAAGTCCCCCAAAAAAAAAGGAAAAGGAAAAAAAAGAGGATGACAAAGAAGAGGAGGTTAAGGAGGAAAAGAAGAAAAAAAAGAAGAACAAAGGGAAGGCCAAGTATATCAGAAAGACTGATAAGACCAGGAAAGTGAAGGAGGCTACTGCCGAGGACCGACGGTTGAAGAGGGCCCACCCCACTGTTGCATTAACTCTGGGCACGTTAAAGACATGTGTAGTTGCCAAGCTGGACTCTACTTCCGATCCCAATCTCAATCCCGAGCAACTTGCTGCAACAATTCAAGGGCTCAATCAATCATTTATTAAAATGTTGAATGAGGCACGGATTCGAGCTTTCTGGGCCTGCGCCTTGTGGATCGATAACCTGCTTACCACTGGGCCATCCAATCCAGCTGATCTCCCACAACTCCTAGATGAAGTTCTTGATAGCAGGGACTTTATTTACGGCCTTGCTGCGTTGTTGTATCACGGAGTGATGAGTCCATTATCTAGGTATAGCAGGGAAGTGAAGAAAAAAGGCGAAGGGAACGTAGCCAAGCCGTCCCAGCTCAAAGCATACGAAAACTTCTATGCAAAGACAGGGCTTGGTCCTTTAAACCAGATCTATCCCGATTTGGTGATCAGCAAGTCGTCTCGGATGGTCATGGTCCCTGTTCGAGCAGCGCTAAGGTCTCACTATCGGAATGCGCAGGTAAATATAATATTATAATATTTTGAGGTTATCTTATAATATGTTTATAGAAATGTTCCTAATCATTTCTTCAATATAATGTCTAGTTTGACATAGATATTCCAGGCGATGGAAGAAGTTCCATCCAATTCTTTTTTGAGCAAAATGCAACTGCCAAAAAATATCTGGATTTCCCTACGTCTGCTTTCCCGCCTCGGTCTCTCTGCCTAACGGAAGCCTGCCTCCTGGATATATTATGGTCTAACCCAACAGTTCGAGAGGAAATAGTCCAATTGTTGGAACTAAACATGAGTACCAAGGGGGCTGCGGAGGACAAGATCCTTAACCACAAGGGGATATTGTTGCAGGAGCTGTTTTCCTTGAAAGGATACAAGGACGTTGGACTGCAATCTGATGATGGCCCTAGAAGGAAACTACGGACATCGTTCTTTACAAACGGCCTTACCCTAACACTTCTTGCCTATGACACATCGAAGCAAAAAAGAGGTAGAGGTTCGCAAGCTGCCCAACCTTCGGATACTCAAAGATCTCAAGCAGTCCAGGCTTCTTCAAGTGCTCAGCAGGGATCCTCGTCTTCAGGCCATGGTGCAGGTGATGGTGGTGATGATGGAGACGACGACGGAAATGAAGATGACGATATCTTGCTGGGTATCAGCGATATTGACTTGCTGGAAGTTGATGAACCATTCTTAGATGGCGACGAGGGAGAAGAAGCAGCTGAAGAAGGTACATCGAGCACAAATCCACTGTCCCCGGTGAGTCCCAGTCCCCGGCGTGAGATCAACTGGAAGCAGAGATCCCGTCTCCTCGAGAATGTAGAAGTTAAATATGACACCCAGGCAGCATGCCCTCCCCCCGAAAGTACCATTATCATTGGGATCGATCCAGGCGAGAGGTACTCGATGACAATTGCAAAGTTGGATCCAAGGAAACCTAACGAACGTGAGATCCTCCGGATTTCTAGAGCGTACCTTTACAAACCATCCAAGAAGTTTCAGGGCGAGCTAGAGAGGCGAAAGCTTAGAAGAGGAATTACAGAGATTGAAAGCCATTGTAGGTTATCATGAATACTACACATCTGCCAAGTGTCCACGACCTCACTGTGACAGTATATTGGAGAATGTTCCTTTTCGATCCAAGTACTGTCGAAATTGTAAAACATACTTTGATCGAGATGCTGTTGGTGCTGAGAACATCGCAAGGGTCTGTGAGTCGCAGATAAGAGAGCAAAAACGACCTGCAAAATATATGCCACCGGACGGAGGAACTCAAGGCCAAGCTTCTAGCGGTAGTGGCGACGGTGGAGGTAGTGGTGGCAGTGGTGGCAGTGGTGGTGGTAGTAGCAGATCCACAAAAAGGGAATTTTCAGATGAAGGAGGAGGAGGAGTAGAGGGATCAAGACCACCGAAAGGACCTTTGCTGGGTCCAGGAGGAGGGGGAGAGACAAGCCGGCAACAACAGTAGGACACAATCTACTACAAACATGACTAGGTCCAGAAAGGCCTTCGTCTTAAAAAAATTGTAAGTATTGGCTTGATAGTACTTTTTTTTCTTGGTTAATTTATTTATTTATTTATTTCTGTGTTCTAATACATTTCTTCTTTTTACAATTGATGGAATGTCTCGTTTTTTAATGGGACGGACTACACATGGGATAGACACAGCCCAAACGCCTCGAGGCGTCGTGGCTTTCTTCTGATGACATGAATCCCATGCCTGTGTTCCGTTGGGCAAAAAAGAGAAGCCAACACAGCATGCGGCGAAATCGTGGCTCTGTATGCGGGAAAAAAGAATCGCGGGACGTACTATTTGCATGTAATTCACTCACTGAAAAAAAAGTTTTCTTTCTTTCTCACACAGTTGTTCTCTTTCTTTTTTTCTTTCTTCCTTTCTGATTGTTCATTTTGCATAATTATTAATTTCATTTTATTTCGCTCCACTTCATTTCATCGCAACTGTTGCTTTTTATACAAATCTACTCATTATAAAAAATAAAAAGACATTCCAAACACTCAATCTCCTGTTTAATCTTTCTCTGATCCACAACAAAAATATCAGCAAAAAGAGAAAAAAAAAAAATGTCACGACAAAGACAGCATTGTTGTTGGTGCATTCCTCTACGATTAGCCACTTTCATCGGTGGGTTTCTTCTCGCTGTAAGTACACACCAAGCTACAAAACTATTGCCTTCAAAGTAAACTTCACCTTCTCTTTTTTCAACCCCTATTTCTATTTTTTTTTTTATCTACATTGCCTGTAAAGCGTGATCATCTTCAACCCAATGAACAATCCTAATGCTATTCTTGAATACTATCAATTTAGGCTCTCGGCGGTGTAGGAACCTGGCTTTACTTCACAAACCCCGATCTGCGTAAGTCTTGTTTCAGCAACGCTTTCACTTTTGTTCCTGATATCCCTTTCTAACTCAATCTTTTATTTTATTTTTCTCGCTCGCTTAGCTAAGCGCACTTTCTCTGTATCAGGTACATCCCAAAACCAGAACAATACCAACGATGAACAATAAAAAAAAAAAAAAGAGCAGATCCAGGTTGAATAGGATCTTGGATAGGGGCAATAGCAGAACAGGGATGACATTTTTTTTATCTCCAAGGACCAAGGTTGCTATTATCATGTGTTGACTTTTTTTTTTTTTTTTTTTTTTTTTTTACACCCTTTCACTTAATAGGCGTCACGTTATCCCCCTTAGAATCAGGACAGATACTTTGGTATTATTTTGCAGGTGTCAGTGTTCTGGCAGCAGCTGTAGGATTGTTTGGGATGTTTTCAGCTCTTGCAGCCAACAGGAAGGCTGTAAAAGCATTCGAGGCGTTGTACTTTTTGGCATTGATGACACAGGTGGCTTTTGTGATCTGGGCCATGACTTGGTGCAGGAAGAACAAGAGTAACTTCCTTACAGTCTGCAATGCTTCTAAAGATGGTCTGTTTGACCTCCCAGCCCCTGGATTTGTCTCGGGATGGTCCTGTGATAACATGTTCTTGGCTCTGATGCTCTCCCTTGGCTTTGGTAATGCAATTTGGCTCATTTTCCATGTAAGTATATTATTGATTTGACATAAAAAAAAGACCGCTTGGGCTATTTACTATTTTAGTGGCGCATAGCCACAATGGAAAATTGGATTAGAAACAACACAAATTACATAGAGCGCAATTTATTGAGCTTGGATTGACCAATCGTACCTCTCTTCCGTATTTGAAAATAACCACTAATCCATTTAAACAATAATTCAGATTTACATGACCAATCGTGTGATCCACTACGCTCGCGAGCTCTTTGCTGAGAAGGCGAACCGTTACAAGGTTCTGGGTGAGGCTGCAGTTAAGGAGCTGGATCGAGAGCAACAGATTCCTCTCAACTACACTAATATTGGAGGTTCTTCAAACGACCGCGAGCCTCCTCAACCTTCATACAGTGATGAGATTGAGTACAAAAATCCTCGCTCAGATGATTATCACCAGCAATCCAGAGCTGCAGCTGCAGGTTTTGGTTCTTATGGACATGACCTGCCTTCTCATCAGCAGCAGTTCCACCAGGGTTACCAGCCTTATACTCACCAACCTGCTGCTCCTGGATTCAGCCATCGCGACTCTACTCAAGGACTGGATCTTGTGAATCCATACTATGATGATGGAACCATCCCTGCACCTCCGCCTCCACCTGTCGCTTCGTCTGCTCCTTTCGTGACTGTGCCAGGAGTTGGTCAATCGTTTGTTCATGGGTCCACCAATAAGATTCCCTCGCCATTTGATGATGATGTACCTGTTACTACACCTCCAGCACCAGCAACAGCACAGTCACCTAGCCAGGATATCAAAGTGCCAATGCCTCCATCACCACGCGACGAAGATGTTAAATCACCATCTTATCCTCCTGTGGATCTGCTTTCGCCTACTCTTGCTACACAACAAGCTAGTGGGAGTGGCAGCAACAACAATGGAAAGAGTGGTGAACCTTATCAATTTTAAAGAAAGGGATTTAAGAGAGCATTATTTTTTCATATCCATCAATCTTTTCGTTCTAAATACCAAATACCAAATACCAAGCAAATATACGGTGTGTTCATCATATGTAAATAAACTACAATAACATTTCATATTAAAAAAAAAAAAAAAAAAAAAAAAAAAACGTCATAAAAGCAATGTTCTCTGGTAAAGATGGATCTGCTATTATGTTGTGTGTCTGGCTTTGTTTAATAGAGATAGATCTGCAAGCCATTTTAGACCAATTTTTTTAAAAAAAAAAGACTTGTCAGCAAACTAAAAAACCTTTTTTTTTTTTTTTTTTTTAAAAAAAAAAACGTAATATCTTTTCCCGGATAATTTGTCGCTTGTTTATCCCTTTTGAACAATGAAAAAAAAAAAAAAAAAAAAAAAAAAAAAAAAAAAAAAAAAAGGTTAGAAACCGATAAAAGCAAACTCTTGGCTTTGGATGGGCTGTATACTGTGTGTGGCGTTGCCAATGAGAAAGGTCCTAAACGGCGGAAAAACATAATTGTTTATTTGCTCATGCAGTTCTGAGCAGATGATTCTGGAAAAGGAAGAAAGGAAGCATCGATTTCAACATTGTGTCACACAGAGATGGAGGGGGCTGCGCAGCGGCGTGTTTTTTTTATGCTTCAAAAATGGATTCTTGGCAAACATTCGCCTTGGCCAACAATGATCACATCTACGCTAATAAGCAAGTAGCTTTCATTTCAACTATAAAAAAAGGCCCCTCCCACCTTTTTCATTCCTGTCTTCAATTCACGTTTCTTTATCATTCAACATTTCAAGTCTACAGTAACTCAAAAGACTTTTCTTTCTTTCTTTCTTATAATTACTTTTACAATTTAAAAACAGCCTTAAAAAAGCAAATCAAACAATAATGGTACACCCACTTTCAGAGATGGATCTCAAATACAAGCAACAACAAGAGCAAGAGCAACAGCAACAGTTGCTTCAGCCGCCACAGCCACAGCCACAGCCACAAGACTTTAACAGAGCAGGCTCAATACAAACATCCATGCCAGGATCCTTCCCTTCTCATCCTGTCGTTTGCTCTAATGAAGTTTCAACAACGTCTTCAGGCACGGTCCGGCGTCCGTGCCATTCCCTTTCCTCTTCTTCATCTTGGTCATCTTGTTCATCTGCATCCTCTGCGTCCCGTGCTGCGTACAAGGCGCTGAAGAAGAGTATCAAAGCTGAAGCCAGAGCTGTCAAGAATGAAGCTCGCGCACTCAAGAAGGAATCTAAATATCAATCCAAGGAAGCTAAACGTGAAGCCAAAATCCAGGCTAAGTTACTTGACAAGGAGACTCATCAACAGACCAAAGAAGCTTTGAAACTTGCAAAGAAGGAGATCCACCAGCAGACCAAAGACGCTTTGAAAGTTGCAAAGAAGTCATGGAAAGCCTATAAAAAAGAATATATGGAGAGTTGTCACAAGAACAATAGTGACAGCAATAATCGCAACAACAGTAATAATTACAACTCTAGCGACTATGGAAGACGTCGGTGCAACTATAATTACAGTTATAGCTATGGTCACGGTCACGGTCAAGGTCGTCAGGATTACTGCAGACGTCGACAGTACTCTACACCAACAACTCCCTTCAGCCTCGCTCGCATTGGTTCACAGATAGTTTCCAAAGCTGTAGAACGAAGCATAAACATTATTGAAGGAGCGAACTCAAACCATCATCGCAACTCTCAGCAATATCCTCATCGTCATGAACTCTCTTCGCCACAGGTAGTGATTGTCTCGCCGCCACCATTGACTAGTGCGGCTCAGGTGCAAATACAAGCTCCAGTGACCACTCCTGCAGCTATTACAAATAGTACACTATCCTCATTTTACAACAAGCCGATCGCTCCTCAGGATCCCCTCATTTGTGCCATGGCAAATCTATCTGTTCACCATCCTACTCCTTCTGTGCCATGTTACCCTCCTTCCTCATCGCCATCGTCTGCATTACGATCCTCATCCACAACAACAGCAGCAATGATGACAAGTCCTATGAGACTGCCTTCATCATCATCACCTACTGCACCTATCGTCCCTATGGCGACCCCACGGCCTGACCTTGAAGCATTCCAAAGCCAAGATGACGATTTAGAAGACAGATCCATTCCTCCACCTCCATACGAAGCCTCTATTGCAGCTGCAAGGCGTTGAAGGGGATATACATAGTTGCTTTTATCTGCCTAATTCTCTACATGTATATTTCTCAAAAACGTATAATATTTATGATTTAACGTGTGTATTTGAAAATAATAAAAAACAAGTTATTAATAATAGTCAATTAATGTGCCTTGCTATGTATGCTATATTATATTACAGTTTTTTTTTATGCTTGTTCGCTTGTTCGTTTGTTTGCTTGCTTCGCCGCTTATTTGAGTTTCGGAGTAAGGAGTATCAGGACTGCATTTTTTAGCATCTAATATCAATATTACCGGCATAAGAGATAAAGGCACAAACAGTGATGTTATTGTTTGACAGCCTTGGGTCTTGGTAAAGCATCTAATGAAAGACGTGGTCGTGTATGATCGTCTACGAACGAGGCCTTGGGCACGGTTTGTCGATTATTACGCTTAACAACATTCTGCGAGGGGTATTGCCCATTACCATGACCATACGCTAAGCTCGTAGATGCGATCTCATTAGACTGGTTCTCAAAATCATACCGATAAGAGTCTGTACTCCTTCGAGGGGACGAAAAGGAAAGACGATCATTAGCATCACTCGAGAATGAGGAGCGTGGGACTACTGGCGATACGCTTGCTGTGATAGCGTTAGTGTTGCCTGTGGTAGTCATTGCCGTATTCCCTGTCAATGAAATGATCGCTGGGGTAGAGTCAAGGATTGCAGCAGTGGACGTATAACCAGGGGCAGGAGAGGATAATGAAGGTCGCGAGGCATCCATACTCCGCCTCAGAGCAGTGGCAAGTCCACCTTCCCTCACTGCTGAGGTGGAAAATGAGGCTCTAGCGGTGTCAACTGTGGGCAATTGTCGGCTAGAGGACGAGCGAGGGAGGTCTTTACTGTCTCTGCTATGTTGCCCATTGCTTAAATGAAAAAGATCACTCCCATTGCGGTTTCTAGCAGCAATAGGGGTTCCATCATCTGTAGAACGTGAATAATGATGGTGTTGGTGCTGCCGCTGTTGCACCCTTGAATCAAATGAAGTATCAGTAGTATTTATTTCAGGTTGTTGCTTTGCTTCTCCAAAAGGCGATGGAGCAACAATGTCCCAGTTAGGAGTAGGGCTAGTCGTCGTAGCAGCAGTGACGGTAGCAACATTTGGCTCTGGCTGCGATCCTGACAGATACGTTGTATCACTTAGATCTCGCTGCAGCAATCGGTTGAGATGATGATGTGTAGTATCCTCACGCTGGATCAAATCTCTTTGAGGCTCATTACTCTGTCGGTGTTGTTGCTGATTGAATACCTCATCATAGCCGTATGAAATAGGTGTTAAGTTCCTATTCTTCCCCTCTGGAGCATGACCATATTTTTCTTCAGAGATGTCAATTTGTATATGATCATCATTAAACCTAGTGCTCGCCGCTGGCTTCCAACTACCATGCTCGTACCCATGCCCTTCTTCATGCTCTTGTTCATACCCACCTCGTGCTGTGTGAATGTTATTATCCCCCATGTTACATTTCTCCTTGGGCATTGCTGTTATTGCTCTATCCTGAAAGCCATGATGGCGGTAGCCGTTTGAATTACTACTACTGCCAGCTCCGTCGCCACTGTCGGTGCTATCCCTCCCATCAGTATGCGAATAAAGCGCTGCTGATCCATGTTCGCCGGAGGAGTCAGCTTTGCTCTTTCCAGCGTTACGACGGCGAAGCACCAATGGTCGAACAACATACATTAAAATCAGGCCACAAACCGTTGCTGAGAGGATACCGACAATAGCTCCAAAGACAGGCTTGGACAAGGCCAAGTGCTTTGACCCTGAAGGAGGAGATGCATCTCCAATTGAAGGCGAAATACTGACCATGAAATCAGTAATCACATTACTACCTCCTTGTTGACCCGCTTTGCCCGTAGCTGTAGTGCTATGAACTGCTGTTTCTTTGAGATGTTTGAGGGCCTCTGGGGGATGCATAAGAGAAGCAGGGCCAAGAAGCATTTGGAATAAATATTCGGCTGTTCCTTGATCTGCCATCGCTACCGTAGATGGGAATCGAAGCGTTGCTTGGGAATCATCAGCATTAACAGTAGCAACAGTAGTCCCTAGGCTTTGCTGCCTTCCAAGCATGCCTCTATTAATCTTTTCTTGAGAGTAAGTTTCTCCACGTCGGTTAAGGAGGCGAGCTGAGCCGACAATGACGGGATGGAGCAACTTGTAAAGGAGAGGTTCATAATCATCATTCTCGTTTATATTACTGTTGCTGCCAATATCGCTTCTACGGTGAATGCTAGCGCCTTCGCTGCCATCTCCTCCTTTATCGCCTTCACCACCGCTTCCACTACCGCCGTTAGAGTCACTATTACCACCACCTTCTTTACCCCCATTATTATTACCATTGCCGGGGGGTTGTGTTGAGGTTGCAACAGGAGAACCCTGTGTGGTGGTAGTTGTGACCGCGGGTGCAGCAACTGCTGTTGATGAGGAAGAAAATGAAATTGGTGCTCCTGTGGTTGCGACCGTGGCTGTGACGGTGGCGGCAGTTGTTGTCGTTACTATCACTGTTGCTGTTGCTGTTGCCGTTGTTGTTGTTGCTAATGTTGTTGCTGCTATTGGAACTGATGTAGAGATGGAGTGAGGTAGCGGGCTAGGGAAGATACAGGATGTCTGGTTGTAGATTAGGACCGCTTGAGGATTAGAGCCTTCAAGATTAGCAAGCTTAGTTGTGAGTGAGCACCCAGCACAGTCCAGAAATGCGACCCATGCACGATCAATCCTGTCTGTGACCTTCTCATTACACAACTTTCCGACGTCGTACAAGCGACCCTGTTTAAGATTATAAAGAGCTCCTTTGTTAATAATGTGTTTTGTGTAAAAAAAAAAAAAAAATAAGAAAAACAAAATAGATCTCTTGGTTGAGTAAATCTTTATGTCATCCATAGGCTAGTTTACCCGTATGCCGGTTGCTCCAGGACGAGGTGTTCCATCGACAATCTTGATATTGCTAAAGAGCTTTGATTCTGGTGGAGAACAAACTGGAACACTCAATGCACTTGGTCCACTTCCTTTTCCATTTGCGGACGTAGTATCGGATCTTGTGCCTGCTACTACTCCTGCTGCTGCTGAAGATGCTGTGGTAGTGGCGGCGCCCATGGGATGATTTTCTTCAGCTGTACAAGAGATCAAGTTGGTCTGGAGCTCAAAATTGGTCGTTGAAGCTTTGTTTGCACTGATAACCGAAGCAGCGACTCGATGATGTATATCATTTTTGGCGGGCCATGACCATATCGAGACAAGCAGGACCACTGTACGGATGCTGATGATGGATTTCGGGATGCACTTCATGTTTATTATTTATTTGTGTATTTTTTTCTTATAAAAAAAAAAAAGTATAATATTATTGCTATTGAGGAAGAGGTACGTTTGAAAGGTTGGTTATTAAGACTGGGTAGAGGATAGGAGAACTACGACTTGGGGCACCCAGGCCAAGAAGATAGAGCTGCGGAAATGAAGAAGAGAGAGAGTAGGCAAAGTGATGTGGTATGTGGCAAATCTCCCTTCCCACGACGGGATGAACGGAAACGAACAAAAACTATTCGATAGGTAGAAAATGTCTGGTAAGGATAAATTGAATTGTGGTTCCAGACTTTAGAATTTGGGACGACAATAAAGACAAAAGCAATTGAGTAAAAGAGATAGGTGGGGATGGAAGGGAGCAGCATAACTGTCGCGACAGACAATTTTTTTTTTTTTTCCCGATGTTACACAAACGGTCTATATCGCGAGATTCTGATGGAGAACAGGTCTGATGCGATTCTTAACCTTGCAAGTGTGCAAAGTCAACACAAGAGAAAGCTTGCTTTGCTTTGTTTAGTATGATTAGGCATGTTCAATAACGTAATTTAAAAGGACAGACCAGGTTTAACACAGCACAATATTCCAATGTTTTGGGATTAATATAAAACACGAACAGAATAAAAGCTCATTGCAAAAAATATAGAGATGTATGCATGTATATCATGTATATTTATACTATGCACACAATGGTGCAATCTCACCACACTTGTCCGATATTTTGTTCAGATGGGATCGGATCTATAGCCTGCGCCATGATCGCACGCCATCTACGCAGATTGACAGCTAATACATTTTTTTATCTAGTTTCTTACATGTACATGCAGAGTGGCTATTGTGTTCCCACTTACCCGCATACACTCATCTTATGTATGCTTTGAGGCATTTTTTATTCAACTCCAAAAAATAAACACCACCACCTTTTCGCTGTGGTGCAATCTGTCCTGTAAAAAAGAAGAGAGACAAATTAAAGACAATGATAAGCCTACGTCTATGAGCATTATCAAGAGATGATATAAAACCATGACACGCATTTACACCGAATAGCCCCGGGCGAGAATGATGATGGGTCAATGAGGATCAAAGGAAGAGAGAGTGAAAGCTATCAAATAATAGGGGACATGTTGTGTTATGTCATTAGCATGAGAGGGGTAAATAATTATGCGCGGTGTCTTATCGTAATTAGTATCTCAAGTGTCTTCTCTTGACTAAAGGAGATATTAGTGAAGCACAAGGGTCCATGTGGGGTCAAGCAAGGGCTTACATTCACACATCTAAACACATGGCCAGTGCGCCATTTTTTTTTTTTTTTTTTTTTTTTTAATCCTCTGTCGAAGAAAAGGGTGTGATAGCTTGCCCGCATTTGCGTTACACACAGCACATGCACAAGGGCAAAACTTTTTTTTTTATTTTTATTTTTTTATTGGATAAATAGCCCATTCATTGCCATTGCCACAAATATCCCTTCATTGCCTCTTTGTTCATCCTCATTCTCATTTACTTTCCTTCATCCTCATTCAACAACAAAAACAAAAGTCATGGCAACAGTTATTCTCATTCTTTCTTAGCTCATCCATTACTCCGCTCGGAATAAAAAAATATTTCGTTTCCTTTTTTTTTATATCAGGGTCCAAGCATTCCATCATATCCTCTCTATTCTCTTATTCTCTTCTGACTTGAGTTTTACCTAACTGAGGACTAACCTTGAGAAACATAAAGGAAACTCCCTAACATGCAATTGACATACCCGGCTAACAAAGTCTCGACGTCTGCTCGTGCTGCGTCCTTCCTGGCTGCTTGTGCGGTTGCTCTTGTCTCTGGAACGCCCTACCTCTACTCCACCTACGCTAATCAACTTACCTCCAAGCTCTCGCTGAATGCAATCCAATCCAATGTAATGAAAACCCCACAACAAACCCTGTTTGTTTTTCTGTGTTCCCATGTCAAAAGGGGCTCATTCTTTCACTCTATTTTATTATTGATCTGCTTCATTGACCCAACATTCTGATTCTTCTTCCTCAATCACATTTATAAAAAAAAAAAAGATTGTAGGAGCCGGTGTTCACTATGGGCTTTTCCTCTCAGGTAAGAAAAAAAAGAAAAAGAAAAAGAAGATGAAATGATGAGCCAAGCATCTTTTCATAAATGATTTCTCCTTTCTCTTTTCCCACTCCGTTGAATTGATGGGATATTGTAGGACAGACGAGAAAGAAAACAACAACAACTACAGTAGGGGGTTTGGTAAAGAAATTGATCGGCAAAATCGCTTACGCTGAATGGTTCTTTTTTTATTTTTATTTTATTATTTTATTTTACGCTCCTGTGCGTTCATAGGTCCGCTCTTTGGGCGCTTGGTTGATATCCGTGGACCAAGAGCGTAAGTCACTCTGGTTTTCTTTTTTTGAGTTTTTTTATATAATCCACGTACACACACATATACCTGCATTCTATACTTTCGGCATGGGACATGATTACATCTTGCATAGTTCATAGTTTAAACTAATCAACAGACAGATAAAAAGTATGGCGTCAATGCCATCTTTTGGTTGAGGAATACAGATCTTCCATTTCTGTAAAATATCGCATCAGACCGTGAGAGGATGAGCATAACAAAAAAAAAAAAAAGAGATGGTTCAACATTCTTTCCTCCCCCCATCAGCTTTATTCCACTTTCGCTTCCCGCACAGACAATTTGCCTACAAACATGAGCATAGAAAAAAAAGAAAAAAACTTGTCCCGCTGTGCATATCTCTTGTCGATCATATCCATTGAATTTCTTGTCCCGTAGATTTTATTTTCTGCTTTCTAACTTTATCTCTTCTGTCCCACCTTTTTCTATTTGTAAACATGATGGCATTCTTCAAAATCAAAGTGCTGGAATCTTTGCAGCAGGACTGTTGGTCGCAGGATATTCAGGTCTCGCTCTCACGTACTCGGGCCTGTTTAATTCATTCGGCTTTTTCACCGCCTTCTTTTTCCTGATATTCGTGGGAATGGGAAGTCAAGCAGGCTACATGACAGCTGTAAGCACAAATGCTCACAATTTCCATTCTGCTCGAGGAATCGCAATGGGGGTTCCCATTGCATGCTTTGGTCTATCGGCCCTCTTGTTTGCTCAGATCAACAATCAGTGGTTCAAGCATGATACTCAGGGCTTTTTGTTATTGGTGGCCAAGTTGATCGGAAGCGTCATCTTGTGCTCGATTCTGTTCCTGAGAATCTTTCCTGGTGAAAGTGATGATGATATCGATCCAGAAGCTGTCGCTGCCGCTACACATCAACACCACCATTATCTTAACAATGGTCATTCTCATCGCGACGAGGATGAGGATGACGAGGCAGCAGAACGTCGCAGGAGAATCCAGGAGCAACAGAGACTTTTACCACCTAATTCTCCTCGCCAATCGAATTGCAGCTCTCACTCTAGCGAATCAACTGTGGCAGTGGGGCAGCCACAGCACGTACCTCCATCGCCAACACAGTCGGCTTTGAGTGGTTTCAAATTGTTCACTACAGCTCATGTCGCAAAGCTATTATTCTTGAGTATTTTGTTCCTTTCAGGACCAGGTTTGATGTATGTGACGAATGCTGGCAACATTATCCGATCGATCTATAGAGATCGTGTGGAGGATCCTACAGTTCCTCCTACTGAAGAAGAACTACTCAAGTTGCAACAGCTACAGAACTATCATGTCTCTTTGATCAGTCTTTGTTCTTGTTTGGGTCGGATTTCTGTTGGTTTGATGTCGGATGTGGGCAAGCGAGGCAACGGTCGATGGTGGGGGATTAACCGGATTGGATTCTTGCTTTATGCGGGTGTCTGTGTCTGGTTGGGCCAGACCTTTGGAGCTGCTGTGACCGAGATTGAGGATCTGGCCAAGGTCTCGATCCTTGTTGGCTTAGGTTATGGCAGCGTTTTTGGTGAGTCATATATCTGTATAGCATCTAGAAAAGGGGTCTATAAGGTTTAATTTATTAATGCCATATCTTTTTCTAATTTTTTTTTTTTTTTCTTCCCTTCCTTCTAACCAGGTGTTGCACCGACGATTGTTAGTGAGTGGTTTGGGGTCGGAAACTTTGGAACTAATTGGGGGTGGATTTCTGTTGGCAACGCAATCGGAGGTCAATTCTTCAATCTACTTTTTGGAACGTTGTATGATCTAGAGGCACAGCATGAACAAACGCTCCAATGTTTCGGAATTGAGTGTTTTCACACATCGTTTGTGTTGGGAACATGCTCAACATTTTTAGGCGTAGCTGTACTTGCTTATCTGACCTACATTACTCGGCGAACATATTGAAATCAAACAACTGCTTAAAACCCATCTTTATCCCTATCTTTCTCATTCTATTATTTCCAAAGACTACTACTAAATAGAAAAAAAAGAAAAAAAAAAGTTGTACATGTAAAGTAATGTTAAAATAAAAAAAAATGGACAATCTTGCATTCAATCCCCTCATTTCTTTTTCTCTATTATTTTTATTCTTTCTATCAAGTAACCAGGCTCTTAGTTGCCCGACGGCTCCACAGAACCAGAGTCTTGGTCTTTCTTGGCCCTCATGCCCGCCACAAACTTGCGGAAATTGACGTTTATCTTGGCACTTGCTGCAAATGATCCTCCTCCGCTTCCTGATTGAGGGCTCGTGACTGCTGAGCCCCCGGCACCTGCAACCCCAGAGCCTGCACCAACGTTAGAGTCCCTGTCCTGGCCTAATCCAAACAATCCACCACTACTATTACCTATAGATTGTTCACCACTAGTCCTTGCGCTCCCAGGAGAATTTGAGTGTTGAGCCGCCAATGCTGCGAACGGGCTATGGCTAAGAATACTAGAGGTAACAATGTTTCCAAGCTGATATGGGCTGTTATCCCGACCGCTATTATTTCCACTAGCTCCACTAGGTGTCATCAACCCTACTGGACTACCACTCGATGATGATGAAGAGCCTCCGACCCCACCAAGCACAATGCCCGTCATATTTCCTACTAGCCCTGCGGAAGGCCCTACAACGCCTTGATTTGAGATATGAGCCGGCATGCTCTGTAGTAACGACATGACTGCAGAGTTATCCGAAAGGCTCTCCATCCCGACCTGTTTCTTTTGAAACAGGTCAACCATCTGTTGTTGTTCTGATCGCTTGAGACCCTTGAGCTCAAGGATGCGTTGAAAGTTCGCCAGATTCCGATCACCGATCAAGAGGAAGTAGTGATCAATGAACATATCCACGGGTTCATGTGGACTCATCGCTGTCTTGAGCACAGTCTCAATCTTGCCTAAGCCTCGGGTCACAAATTTGATAAATCTTGAATTCAAAAGTCAACACCTGTAGATTGTAAGAGTATAACAAAAAAAAAAAAAGTAAACCTTGATACTTACGATGCTGGCACAGGTACAGATGATTCTGACCCGAGATTGGGGATCTCCAACAAGAGAGATTTGACGGCTTGTGTGTCAAGGAGCATCTGCTCCGCTCCAATTTCTGAAATTGGCTTGCACTTTGTGAGATTAATCGCGAACCTTGCAACAAACGACCTAACGTGTATCCAGACACATATACACAAAAAAAAAAAAAAAAGAAAAAAAAAAAAAAAAAAAGAAAAAAGAAAAGGAAAAGTAAAAGAAAAAGGCAAAAAAGATGATGGAGGGATCGTTGGCATTGTGTTTCTCTTGAGCTAAATTGACATATTCATCTCCACAATGCAGTCTATTATATATGTGTGGCCAGACTTACTCAATGAACTTGTCACAGAATGTTCTAAAATATCTCTTGTTGGTGATCAGTTCCTGAATAGCGCCTACACATGTCTTGAGCGTTGCCTGGATCATAGAGACGTATCCAGACTGGTCACCAACATTTTCGATGGTTGCCCAAGGAAGTTTTGCCATCGACTGCAGTGCTGGTTCGTAATGGTTCTCTACAGCTCGAACCAATGCCTTTGTGCAGGCAGAGATGATGCTGAAATAATAATAATAATAATAATAATAATAATAATAAAAACGATATGAGCGATCTCATCGTTTGGAAATGATATTTATACACTATCAAACAAAATAAACGTATTATTCACATTATCTCGTTTTTTACTTACTGCAGAAAGGCCTGTCGTTCTGGTTCCATGTTGATTTGATCCACGAACCCAGGATCGATATTAGCCCATAGCCTTTCCTCAAGCTGTGTGTGTGTGAGGGAGACGAATTCCAAAGCGGGTCAAAAAGGAAGAAATGGGGTTAATAAATCATACTGTACCCTACTATCCATAAATTGAATGATATTAAGGTGGGTCAATTGTAACCTGCCTGGCTGGTGGTCGCGAGTGAATAATCGGCAGTGTTAAGAATGATACATATTGAGCGGAGGTACTCTCTGTTGATAGGTCTCTTGTCTCCTCTATCCCAAGTCAAAAAAAATAAAAATAAAATAAAATAATCAACATTGTCGCTATAAGCTTATAGTAAATGGAAATAAAAAAAATTAAGCTTACTGTTTAGGAAGCTTGCTTAGGAGGACATCATTCGCATATACACGCAGCCATTTTCCAAATACTGAGCTCAAATCCAAAAACGGTTTCTTTCGTGAGAGTTTTGCGCAATTAGTCAAAGCCGATCTGTAGAACAAAAAGATATCTGTACTCGAGGCCAAAACTGTAACAGATATATCATCCTCTGGTACTGGCTCCTGAAGTTTGAAGCTCTTGATCTTTTCTTCCAAAGCTCTTTTTTTTTTTTTTTTTTTTTTTTTTTTAAATAAAAAAAAAAAAAGAAAAAAAGAAAAAGAAAAAGAAAATAAAATGCATAGTTAGCTAGTCTAGTTAATAACATTTGTAGGACCTTGCAGATACAAAGTAAAGTGAGAGTTATAAACATACCTATCTTCTGCATCGATGTAAAGACTCAAGTATGGCTCAAAACATGATGATATGCTTTCAGCAAAGCCTGCAGTGTCTGATTCTTCGTTCAGGGCATAGTTCACATCCTGCATAAAAAAGTAGGACTTTCCGGATGAGTATTTGCACAGCGGAGCAAAACATATTCGACAAAAAAAAAAAAAAAAAAAAAAAGTCGATATCTTACCCTGCTTATGAAGCGGTTTTCCAGTTGTGTTTCGAATTCCAAGGTAATCTGCAGCACCTGTAAGAGTAGTGACACTTCCACAGTTGAGGCTGACTTGGCTAAAATGTCGGACAGATCATCCCTATTTGTTTCCGATGTTATCCGCAATAGGCAGTCAATAAGAATAAGGTATCAGTTCCCGGCTCTTTTTTTTTTTTTTTTTTTTTTTTTAAAAAAAAAAAAATTGAATGATCAGACAGCTAATACATTTATCTAGAGTCTACAATTTTACCTAGTAATTTGACAGAATTGTAAGCATAGGACGCGTGACACGTCCCAAGCCGCTGGGAAGACGTGAGAGTGTTCCTCGTCATGGATTTTGAGCAGTCGCTTAAGCCATGCATAGCGTCTTGAAGTATTGTCAAGAGCGGAGACCTCCTCGCCCGGTTTAAACACCGATCTATAAGCACGCAACTGAAGCTTGCAGTACCACTCCACCAGGTTTTGTCTGGATCAAACCCATCCACCGTAACAAATAAAGCAGGCATTAACATTTAGTGTATGAAAGAGTTATTGAGTTGTCCTTGTATCCGGAAAAAAAAGCCTTTCTTTCCTTCAGAAGGATTCATTCTTGAATAAAGAAAACTCGTATGTGGCCTGTTAAAGCTTTGTATGCAGATGTACAATATATGTATATGTTTATATACATACCTAACATCTTCACCCAAGATATCAATAACGAGACATGCGCTAGATAGCTGGCCAATGTTCCCTATCAATATTCCCTCCTTTGTGAATCCATGCTCAAAATCCTTGACAATGTCGCGTTCTAAGTCCACTTGCAATTTAGCCACAGATTCTGTGAGCTCAGCAATCTGTCTGACGTTTTGAAATGTGCGGAAGTACTGAATAAGCTGCAGCACAGCCTATATAGAAAAAGCGATGTAATTTTATCATTAGCAAGGATGTTCGCATTAATACAGAGAATGTGATTACAATTATGAAAATAGGCTTTTTTTTTTTTTTTTTTTTTTTTTTTCCTTTTCTGCTGTACCTCCAGCAATTGTGCAGTCTCCCTGTATTGCTTACGTTGAGCCATCGCTTTTAATTGATCCACAGCCGTAACTAAGTAAAATCGAGATCTCAGGACTTGTTAGCTCTTTTTTTTTTTTTTTTTTTTTTGTTTATTCCTTCATCGCAATAGTTGAAAATTCAAGGATTTCCTTTCGACGTCGAAAAAAAAAAAATAAGAAAAAAATAAAGAATTTACCCAGCATTTGCAAGCGTTTGAGCGTAGTGATAGAGGTTGTGAGGTGACGCTTAGCATAATCAAGGCTTTTGATGTCTTGAGTGATCTCCTGTACCATTTGTTCTGACTGAGTTGCTTTTTCTTTGATTTCCTTGATTTTAAAGAATAACATCTGTTGGTTAACAAAAAAAAAAAGAAAGAAAGAAAGAAAGGGAATATATGAGAAAATATGGCTATATGGTTTAGCAACGAGTTGATTACAGAACGGCATGAATTTTTTTTTTTTTTTTTTTTTTTTTATTAAAGAAAGGTTACCAGGATATCATTGTACCTCGATGCCTTTCTTGGCAGCTTCCACCTCTTCCTGTCCCTTTTGACCGCCATCTGTTTGGGCTCGTGTTAATTCACGAAGCTCTTCCTGAACTTGCTGAGCCTTTGCCTGAAGTTTCAATAGCACCTGATCGACTGTTGCAAGCGAGTGTTCTAAAGAGATGTATTTTCGATGCATGCGGATGTTAAAATATGCAACTTTCTTTAGTTCCCGGCACAATCTTTGTTCAGCTGCTAGTGAATATGTCTTTTTACCATTAGGGAATATTTTGTTGATGTATTCTACCGCACTGAATTCCTGCGCGTCCAGAGGGTCTTTTGAACGGAGGATATGAGTGATGGACGAATTAAGCTCTGGTGCTAACTGAATAGCTTCCGTTGTTGGCACATAAGATGATGATGCCTCTTGTGTATTCTGCGGCGTAATGGGGCCCAGCGAGCTTTGTGGGCGCATTGTGCTGTCAGTCATGGTAGCTGCCATGAAGGAGTTGTAAAAAAAAACTTTGAAACGCTACTTGAATGAGATGGGAACGCTTCAAAGCTGGCTCCCTTTAGTGCGCTCCCCGTTTCAATCACTGGTAGTCCTTAAGCTTTTCTTTTTCTTTCCTGCTTCTATTTTTATTCGGCCCTATCCTGTTTCTGACTTGGCTCATCCAGGTTAGTGATGAGTGCAAATGAATGAAATAGCAGAAAAAAGGGTCAAGATGATAAAAAAGGAGCAAAAGCTTAATAGCCAGTAAAGAGATTTTCCATATCTTTGTCTCTCTAATTGATTATTACAACGCGTAAAATAGCCTCCAATAAGGTTTTGTGCTTGTTTACTCAGTTAGTCAGTGGCGTACGCCTATTGGCTGGCAAACATCCTTTCTCTTTTTCTCTTTTTATATTCTCATTCCATCTCCTCTTTCTCTACTCCCTCTCTTTCTCTTCATCACTCCACATCGATACTACCATCAGTCTCACATCTCGCGGAATTAAGCATTACGACGACAACATCGAAATCGGACCTGACCTAATTTAATCTAATACTTTATCAGCTACTTTGCCATGGAATCAAACGCACCACCACAGCGCCCAAAAAACTTGTGTCAGGTTGCAGATTACTTGCTGTCACCTCAATCAGGTGTTAAGAAAAGAGAGGGCGTCTTTAACGAATCCAGAGTTACTTACTTTCGAGGTAATAATAATAATAAAATATGACATCCAACAAGTAGTCATTACTACTGTTTAGTACTTTTGTGCAACAGCCTTTTATTGCCCTTATTCATTCTCTTGCGACTCATGAAGAGATGTCTAACGATTATTTTAATATTTTTTTTATTTTGTCATTTCATCACATCGCATCGTAGGAAAGGGAGCTGTCAATGCCTTATTGAAACCTGAGTTCCGTCAAACGGCAGTAGGCAAGGAATTGGGCGAACTGACAAGGGAATCAGCAGGGGAGCTTCTCATGTCTATGATCCCTCACCAGTTCTTCCTCAGAGTCGCACGCCCCAGTGATCCAGATATGCCTAAGAATATGCTTACAATCGTTCAATACCAGTCATTTAGTGAGGATGGCTTGTACCTCTGGAGGTATGAGGGCTCACAGCTTCGAAACCAACTGATGGCCGCTGGTCTTCTTCTCATTGTCCTTGCTGCAGTCATGTTCCCACTTTGGCCAGTTACGTTGCGTCTGGGAGTGTGGTACCTATCTGTGGGCGTTCTCATTCTTCTTGGCCTCTTCTTTGCAATGGCTATCGTTCGTCTCATTTTGTTCATGATCACCTGGGTGGTGCTTAAGCCTGGTATTTGGCTCTTCCCCAATTTGTTTGAGGATGTAGGTTTTGTCGATTCATTCATTCCACTCTGGGGTTGGCATGTACCTGAGCCACCAAAGGAGGTTAAAAAGAAGGGTGCTGTTGCTGGTGGTGAGGAGCCTGAGCAAGTGGTCCACACTGAGGTCGTAAGCGATGAAACAGCTGCAAAGATCGCTAAGCGTAGACCTATGGTTGAGGATGCAGTGGACGAAGATGCATGATCGTTTTAATTGTCCATTTATAAACACGAACAAGAATGTCCCATAAGCTTTTACCAACTCGAATTCCCCTTTGCATGTATCCTCACGAAAATCCTTTTTTTTTGTTTTTTTATCTTTATATTCATCAATAAATTCTCATAAATGTTCTCAGCTTGAGTGGTTGCGTTTTTTATAGTAAATTCGTGCCGTGCGACAATGCAAATGTAAACAATACGAAGAGTATTTTTATCTTTTTATTTTGTGCTCTAGGGTTAACTATAGACGCGTCCAAAAAAAAAAAAAAAAAAAAAAAAAAAAAAAAAAAAGGAAAAAAAGCAAAAAAGCAAGGACCATTGACGAAATGTCACTCCAGGGTGTATAATTTGGATAAAATGCCCCTATTTGTACAACACTAACATTGACAATGCATCAAAGGGCCAGAAAGCTTGTGCCTATTTGCCTCTTCTCTCTTATGACCCATCATATTTCTACTACCTCTACTGCCTGTTCCCCTTTTTTTTTATTTTTTATTTTTTTTATTTTTTTTTTCAAAAATACATGTGAATAGCTTAGCCAACTGTTGCATTATCCGTGCCTCGTTTTGATCATCCTGTCCCCAACTTTACCTTCTTACTCATGAATTCTTTTTGTAGTAGGCCAGAATGTGTTTTATTCATGTTGAAACCACTTCTGTGTGTATACGAACCACATCGCTGAAATCTTGGTAATTAACAGCTTTTTTAGCACATCTTTTTGCTCCATTCCCCGGACCACAATGCATTGAATTATCTGCAGAGCATGCCGAGCTTGCGCATTGGCAATAGCAGACGTCCGAGGCAAGAAAAAAGAAAAAGAAAAAATAGGCAATACAGGTCGATTGCCGTTCACAATGCACGGAATGGATGCACACGATTCAGTGCCATTTATACAAGTAAACTGGCGAGCATGCAACGGCCTGAACAGAGGAGAGAAAAGGGAAAAAGAAAGGAAAGGGGAAGAAAAAGGGTCGATCGAGAGGTGAACATGCAAGCGACAACAATAAGCCAAAGGGGGATGGACCCTGGCCATTCATTCGCATTCATTTACTTTTTCTTTTTGTCGGCACTACATAGCCCTGCTCCTATCTCATTCCGCTTTTGTATTCCTTATGAACGAGTGCATCTCTTCCTTTCTTCCTTATCTTAATCATTTTCAACATAATTTTTTTGTTTGTTTGTTTTTCCCACCTCAACCTCATTATCTCACCTTGTCCACGTCTCCTTTTTCTCTATTGCTTATGCCTCTATTCAACCCAGTCCGTCTCCTTTCATCCAATCTTCATTTCTGCTCCCCCTCTGCCTGTTCTATATCACGAATGATGGCTATCGAGCCCTAGTATATACTAGTGGTATTTCTTTTCTTTACAATAGTACCAATCCGGTTGACCTCTTCCTTTCCTTCTTTTCCATCGAGGCCCTCATCATCGACCCTCCTTCCTCGTCACCTCTCTCCACTCTTTTTTTATTTTTCATTTTTCATTTTTCATTTTTCATTTTTTATTTTCTTTTAATTAACCTAACCTTGTTGTGCCAAGTTGGAACCCAATTATATATCCATTCCTCACATTGAAATCAAAGCGTCGGCAAACATCATCACCTTTCTTCAAGTGAATCGTCAGGTTCAATTTTTTCCTTCTTTTTCGATTATGGATATAAGGATTGGACCCTCACAGCCCCAAAACCAAATGCATCCGAGTGGATGTTATGAAGAGCAGCAATTTCAGGCTTTGAATAAAAATAAAAACAATGCGGATCAGATGCTTGATGAGAGTATTTTATCACAAATGACAAGATCATCAATTTCAACAAAACGCGCAGATGAACCTAGAATGGAGTTAAGAAAAATCTACAAGAGTGATCGGCATTCGTACGACCATGTCCTCCTTAAGCCAAAGCAACAAACGGATCACTGCACGCAGCAGCAGCAACAGCAGCAAGGGACACCTCCAAGAGAGTTTGATGCATTTAGCCACCACAATCATACAGACAATGGCGGTCGATATCAATTTTTTCAACATCAGCAACACATGCATCGTAATCAACTCCAAAACGATAACCACTGCAACCACAGCTACCAAGAACAGTCAAATCAAGTTCATGCACACATGTCTTCCTCTAACAAGGTCAATATCTCGTCAGAGCACTCTCCTTCTCGAGCAAAGACAGGCAGTCATTATGGTGATGGCGATGGTAGTGACGAACATTCTAGTCAACCACATAAGATCCAAAATCATTATTATTCACAACAATCTGGTCATCAGTATCAGCACTTTCCCACCCTTTCGTCACCCTATTCTCGTCAGTACAGTAACAGTAGAAATAAGCTTGAAGCGAATCGCGATAGCATCCAGGTTACGTCCACGTTCCGCCGATCACAAACAAGTGTCAAAAAACGGTTTCAAAGGGATAGGCTGTCCAAAGGTGATCGAGAAGAGGTATAAATATTTCTTTCGTTCTTTCCTTTCTCCGTATTGTTTTGAGAAGAAAAAAGGACGTACGGGACAATTGCTTCCCCTCTTTTCCTGATGACAGTAAAGGAATCAATCCCACATTTTTGTTATAAACAAAAAGGAAGGCCGACCACCTTAGTTTATTCATGCATTTCAATCATGGTCAATTTCGCTGGCACACCACCATTTTTAATGCTTTTTTCTCATGCCTCTTTCTTTTATTTTTATTTTGCATAAGGTCTGGCCACCAGATGTTGAAAAAGCTTTTATGAAAGGTATTTTATTTAGCTAAATATTGATGACTATACCATACGCCCTGAATCTTCATATCTTTGTACTCTGGAAAAAAAAAAAAAAAAAAAAAAAAAAACGTTTCTTTCACTTTGACTAACTGAATGCTCTCCGTTATCACTTCCATGCCCTTCAGCACTGGTGTCCTTGCCAAAGCTTGGCAGGCGCAAAGTCTCAGTTAACGGGAAGCCATGTGGTCGAAACGAGTTGATCGCCGACTTCATCTTCCAGGAAACTCAAAAAGTTCGAGATCGAAAACAGGTTTCATCCCACATTCAAGTCCTAAAGAACACGCGCAAGCATGATCCTGCATGTAAAAAAAATACTCTGTCTCCGTTATTATTACTACTATTGTAATAAAAATACACGCTTGCCTTCTCTCTCTTCCTTCTTTCCGTTTTTACTGACACTATAGCTTGTAATTCTCTTTTTTGCTCTCTCTATATCTAGTTTTGAGATTGTTGGTGGATGGAGGAGATGATGATGGCGAGCTCGAGGCGGGCAGTACAACTGGGTATACCTCAAAGTCACATAGCCCTATGGCGCCATCCCCTCATCTGCAGTACGACCATACACTACAGCTCGCTCATTATGAGCAGTGGAAGGTACCGCAGGCTACTGTGGCCACTCCTACAGGTTCTGTTGCAGCGACTTCAACAAGGAATACATCTACGTACGGTAGCCTTAGCCCACCTTTATCACCCCACCATAGATACTCCACTGGGCTATCCTCCTACCAGCAACACAGCCACAATCAACATTCTCAATACTCGCATGCCAAACCCTTTCCGGCATCAAGAGCAATCTTGGATAATACTACTTGCACATATAGTGACGACCATACGAGTCGAAGTGATAGCGCTCATTTGCTGTACCGCCAATCAGCAACTACACCCGATTCAGCCATTTCTCTTTTTTCAGATCCAGAATTGAAGGATTCGTCATTCGCTCCATCTCCATGTTCACTCCTGCCAACAAGCTTTGGACTGTTCATCCATTATCCTTCTACAGACACTGTAAACGACACCAGTGATAATGATGGCGGTCAGTCAACATTGTATGTTCATGAATTGGTAGCAATACATGATTTGAGCCAACAGTCTTTCGGCAGTATCAGTATCCACCAACTGCACCCAGAAAAGTTTCCGAGCCTTTATGATCTCTATGAGAGGGGCTCAAGCCCATTTATCTTCCTTAGGCTTGGCATCAACTTGAACTTGGAGCAGAGAGATGGGGTGCTCGAGAACACATCCTTGTTTGGCTCGTATTCTTTGAATCAACGGTCAGTTCGATGTCTGACTACGGTTTATTCATTTGGAACTAAAGTATTCGAGTCAGTAGAAGCGAAGTCGGCAACAGCTTATAGGGATGGCAAGCATGTACATAGCTTTGGATTTGTAAACCAGTTTTTTAATTCATTCCTGAATGGAGTCCGGTTGCTTGGTACGAAAGAGGAGGTAGAAGTGGCGTTGTGTAACTTGTCAGTTGTCCAAATCTATGAAGACCTTGATTCAATGAGGGCCTTCGCGGAGCAGCAGCAAGGGAGCCGCTTACCTTTATCCCAATCCTCATCATCATTGCCATTGCCATTGTCATCCTCACCAGCGCCATCATCACCGTTGTTGGTGATGGTGTATGAATTCGAAGACGGTCGAGGCACATTGACGCCATATCATATCGTCAATAAAGTAGATATGCGCTAGGCCTTGGGTTGATGGTTCCAAGGAAAAAAATAGACCGAACTGGTAGAATACCTTTATTTTCTACATGCCAAGTTGATTTAATAGCACGCGCGCTTATGTATAGTTGAATGATTGAGCTAGCTGTTCTTGATAGGGGCTTCATCTATGCTATATACCGCTCTTCCACTAGAATAGTAATAATAAAAAAGTATGAAAGCATAATGTGAAGCAAGTGTTTGAATGTACAGTGCGGCTAGTTAACATAGTATAGCAAAGGAATTCAACAGCCTCAAAGCGATTCAGGTTAGATCATGTGGATGTCCCCACAGTGAGCAGGTATTAATAAATACCAGAATATGTGTACCATGCTAAACCACATTATTTGAAGTACTTGGAGTATGACTAGGAGCAGCCAACAGCCAACAAAGAAAAAAAGAACCCTTTTTTACCATTCAGACGTCTTTACTAGCTATAAAGAATAATGTATCGAGGCTGAAAACGCTAGGCAAGGGAAAAGAATGTTCACCGCATTTTGCCTTCCTAACTTGTATAACTAAATGTTGACCTTGCTGGAGGCCGTCCAGTCTTAAAAATTGGCTGTGGGGTAACGATCTTTGATTATTTGCTAAAACTATCACCTTTATTTCTTTCTGCTGAGTGAAATTAATTGAGAATTAACTACCCTGCTTTAATATGCAATGTTGATTCAATGACGATAAGAGCCCTCCGTAGCCCTTCTAATCCCTTCATTTATTCTGTGTAGCAATATGGCGTTCCATAGGTCTATAAAGCTTTTTTTTTTTTTTTTTTTTTTAACACCAAACAATATCGCTACTAATAAAAGAAAAAAAATGGTTGCATTTCCTTTCCTTCCTCAAAAGAGAAGCTTATTAGCGCATTCTTACCGCTTGCCCCGGTGGTCCTGTTCTTATTACTATCCTCATTTTCTTGTCCTGTTGATGCACACATTCAAAATATCACGGCTAAAAAAGAAATGCCGCTCGCGAACCTGCATCTCACTATCGAAAAGGTTGGAGCCAAAAGTGCTATTCCTGGCTTAAGCATAGCTGTTCTTCACAAAGGCGGAATCATTTTTGCAGAGGGCTTTGGAAAGCGGAACAAAAAGGTTCCTTCCCAGCCTGAGGTATATCTTGAAGGAAAAAAAAAAAAAAAAAAAAAAAAAAAAAGCTGATGCTGTTAAGATTGAATGAAGAAAAAAAAAAAAAAAAAAAGCATTAACTCTTATTGAAATCCTTGACATTATGATAAACAGGGTCTGCCTGAACACGGCACTAGTTGGATCCAAACAAATGTCACGAGACGGGAGCTAATCAAGGACCTTAAATACGCTCAGCTGAACCGCAAGCTCGGGCAGATAGTGGTACAGTAATGTTATGTATTCTGTCGTGGGTGAGGCATCTGCGAACGTGAGTGGGGCCACTTGGGGCCAGCTGGTTGATAGCAAGGTAGTCAAGTTCTTAGGTCTCAAGAACACCGGTTTGGGCCCATGACCATGAAACAATATTCTAATAACCATGCAATTCCGCATTCCCAGCATCATAAGGTGCGATTCATGATTGATACAGAACTGGGTAATTGGATCCTGTCTGTATGGTTCTCGCTCCTGACGGGGATATGTATGCAAATATGTTGAACTTGGTTCAATTGGGCCAAGTTATCCTTCAGATTGGTCAAAAGGATGGAAAACAAATCTTGAGTAAGGAAGGAATTCGACAGTCTGTCATTGCCCATACTTTCTCGACTAGAACTAAACGGGCTTCTGAGTTCGCTCCAACAGCAGCCTATGGGCTAGAGTGGTTTATTATAAAGGTAGGATGCATTATGAGCATAGTAAGTATTAATAGTAAATATATTTTCTTGATCTCGTTTTTTTTTCTCTTTTTTGTAAATGATGTTGTGATACTAAGTGCTTTTCTTTTTTTTCTTTTTTTTTTTTTTTTTTTTTTTTTTTTTTTGGATTTATCAGGTGCGGCTGTATTTCAAATTTTGCTTCAAATTTGTATACATTCCCGGATGATCTTGTCATTGCTGCTCAAGCTAACGGGCAGTTTGCTTTTTGGCCCAATGTCCTGCGTATTACATTGTGAATGAGCTCTTTGACCTCCCTAAGTCACAAGGCTGGATTGCCCTTTCAATCACAGAAACTAAAGCAATGCTCCAACAGTTGGAGAAGAATTTTGATGCAGTGTTCCCGCCTCAAATCAAGGATAAGTCTTATTTACGCGCACTGAAGGATTTTGTCAGAAAACATGGTCTCCACTTCATGGTCTTATCGAGGTTCAATTATTGGATTCTGAGTGAGCACTATATTCCCAGACAGGCGGAGAAGTTACAAAATGGAACACCATCACTATGATTCATTTAAATTCAGCTCTGTGGGCGATGGTGTACCAAATGGAGCTCTATTGACTTTCTATTAGCATGGTGATGGTTCTGTGTGAAGGCTCGAGCGCAAGCTCCTTACTTACAATATTGAATTGACTAGAGTCAAAGCTAGAAGAGAATTAGATCATAAGCTATACAAGAGTAAAAGAATAATTCATTATTAATTCGTCCTTGCGTTGCACTACGTTTAAATAGCAGAGAGCGGTTTATTCGAAGGACTAAGGCTTGCAATAGGTTTTTTGAAGCACTATTTAGTGATAGCTGATTAGAATCTATAAACAGGACCCATAGCCTGTGTAACAACAGCAAGAATGTAACAGCAGGAAATCCGCAGAAGCACGTGTACATAACAAAGTCCGTGTAATATTCCCACAGCTCAAAGCTAAAGTTGCAATCGCAAACAAAGCGGGATTTACAACGTTGGTGTTTTTTTCAAGCCGATCGTGCAGGAATAGAGCAATCTTTATCGCCAAGCTTTGGCCTAGTAAACAACAAAATTTGCCAAGGACCAAGGTTGTAACACCCAACAGCCCGCAGAATCATTCAGAGCCCTGTTTCTAACACTTCGCCCTAACACTTCGCCCTAACACTTCGCCCTAACACTTCGCCCGAAGGATGTGCGAAGCAGTGTGCTCTCACAGACTTTTACATTTTGCCGCCCGCAAGATGCTCGCAAACTACTTTAATTGGCTGAAAATCCATTCGAACGAGACGAGCTATACCGCAGATTACCACTATGCTCATAACAATGGATACACTTCGTAAGGAGTATAAAAGGAGCGCTTTGCTTATGCTAAATAATATCGCCCCTTACCCTTCCTTTGCTCTCTAACAAAGCCTGTTTAGTCACCACTGGCAACCATGGTTGTACTTTCGTCTCCAAGGGCACTAGCAAGCCTCTTACTTCTCACAGCCATCCCAGTGACTGTGTTGTTCCTGCCCTTCACAAACGCTCAAAATGCGACCGACACCATCAGCAAAGATCCATTAGGAGTGCGCGCTTTCATTGAAAAAGCAATGGCTGCCAACGGTGTTCCAGGGATGAGCGTAGCGATCTTTCACAAGGACCGTATAATTTTTTCTGAAGGGTTCGGGAAACGAAATAATAAAGATCCATTTCAAGTCGACGTAAAGAATATCTTTCTTTCCTGTCTCTCTCTCTCTTTTTTTTTTTTAAAAAAAAATTTCATTTAACTCACTGCAAAAAAAATTGTTTTTTTTTTTTTTTTTTTTTTTTTTTTCCCTTGCCATATTAGACTTTGGCACCGATTGGCTCCATCACAAAGTCCTTCACAGCAGCATCAGTTGGGGAGTTGGTAGCCGAAGGCAAGATGGATTGGGATACTACTCCAATTTCCAAATACCTCCCTGAATTTCAGGCGCAGGATCCGGTAGTCGATTCGCAACTCACAGCAATCGAAATGCTATCACATCGAACAGTATGCAAAAAAAAAAAGAAAAAAAAAAAAAAAAGAAAAAAAAAAAACTCGCCTCAATGCTCGAATGTGTTGTCATGTCAATAGTCCTTTTATCAATAACTTTTTCTCAATTGTTAAAAAAAAAAAAAAAAAAAAAAAAAAAAAGAATTATCTGTCATATGACTTAAGTTGGATTAGGACGAATACTACGAGACGCGAGCTAATCAAACGCTTAAAAAATGCTGTGGTTGACCGCAAAATGCGCACAAGATTGCAGTACAACAATGTGATCTATTCCGTCATAGGCGAGGCTGCTGCTAACGTTGCTAAAACCAGTTGGGAGAAACTAGTCGACAGCAAGGTGGTCAAGCCTCTGGGGCTTAAAAATACTGGTTACGGACAAATGGGGATGAGGAGACAGTCTAACAATCACGCTCTCGCACACTTTGCATACTCGTTTGACGACTTGATCAATGGTAAAATAGAGATCAAGGACCTAGATCCTATATATATGGCTCGTGCGCCTGCTGGCGACATGTTCTCTAATGTTTTGGATCTGATTCGTTGGGGCCAAGTGATCATGAACTCTGGACAGTTAAACGGCAAGCAAGTACTGAGCAAGGAGAGTATTGAAAGGATGGTCACTGGACACACATACGCTCCTAACCCTGACCCTGATTTTGCTCCTACACGTGCGTATGGTTTGGGCATGGGGATCTCCAGCTACAAAGGCAAAACGTTTTTTTCACATAGTAAGTCAATACCGAGCTCATTCATCTGCTTTGTAATGAGCTTGGTATGGTTCAATGGAACTCTAAAAACCTTTTTTTTTTTTTTTTTAACCATAAATTTCTGGCCGTTCTTCAAGGCGGAGGGGTTTCGGGCTTCCAGGCGAATCTTCTCATCTTTCCGAACGATAAGGTGATCATAGCTTCGTTATCAAACATCCTCCCTTCGACCCCTGCCACGTACCTCCCATATTACATTGCCGATCATCTCTTTGGATTGCCTACAACAAAGGATTGGTTGGCCGAATCGGTCCGAGAGAACAAATTATACTATGAATTCGTGCAAGATGAGCTGAAGGGTGCTTCTCTCCCACCCCAAATCAGAGACAAGCCGCCAACTCGGCCCTTGATCGATTTTGCCGGGACATATGAGAACCCTATTCATGGCTCCATCACGATTCGGTTAGAGTCTGAAGGAGGAAAGGGGGAATCACTGTTTTTCAATATTAACCAATTCGACAGCAAGATGGACCATTACCACTACGACTCCTTCAAGTTTATCCTCAATGACGATGGAATCGTAATTTCAACGCTCTTGACTTTTCAGACTAACGCTGATGGCAATATATCATTCCAAGTCAACTTCCCTGAGGGCCTGTGCCAATTTGAAAAGGCCAACTTATAGGCTCGGACATGAGTGAGGATGTAGTAACAATGAAGACACATGATCTAAACGACATAATAAAGTGTCTGCTATTTTTTTATTGAGGCGATCTCCCTTTTGCACGAATACATTTTCAATGGTTCTGCAAGTCAAGCTTGGTACATTTTAGAATAGTCCTAACAACTTTTTTTTTTTTTTTTTTTTTTTTTTCAGTTAAACATGTATCTACATGGGGCTGTACCAAGTAATTCTAACAAGGCGTTGAGCATGCGTGAGCAACAGAGGCGATATTGTTTTGCTTGAACCAAAATGTAAAAGCTAATAATAAAACAAAGAGTTACAAGGTTCTTCGCCTGCCAGCTGATGAGTAGGCAGCCCAGAGCGCACCGCGAGGAGACGCCCTGGCGATTGCGCACGTCGCCTGAGGGTTCCCTTCATATTCTAGAAGAAGTTCATCAGGACCAGTCTCACCATCGAACTTCAACACCGCCCTGTACAATACAGGAACGTGTTGACCAATCTCATAGTAGCACCAAAGTAATCAAGAAGAGAGGAAAAAGAGGTCCTACTTACATTTTTCAAGGGCTTGACTTTTTTCTCTTTCTTCTTTTCTTTTCTTTTTTTTGCCACTAATTTAGGACATTATTTTGACGTGATGGAATATATCACTATGGCGCTGTCTGCAATCTTGATATTCCTAACAATTCTGACAATTCTGACAGCAGGACAACGTCTCTCTCAGGAAGGTTGTTTGTTTAAGGTTGCCACCATGTACATTTCTGTGTCTTATTTGGACATGTAATAGAGCACTTACTCCGCTTTGTTGTCTTTCAGCCTTACCAAAACAAACAAACAAACTCTGTTGGTACAAGAGCACAGACCACCCAGCAAAGAGCTGCAACTAAAATTAAAAAGAACAGCGATCTTCTTGATTGTCAAGAGAGGAACAAAAGCAGGCAGGATTATAGTCACATAGGTGCTTATTCGATATCGCACAGTATGAAGAGAAATTTAAGTACATTTCCATTCAATAACATTACAGGGAAAAGGGACTTTAGCACGTAGAGAGTGCTAGCCTCTGTCCCAACGTGCTTCATCTTCAGCCTGCAGAACGCTGTAGGTTGGATGGTGGGTTGGGCCCGAAGATGGTGCGTGCCGATAGACTGCTCTAGGGTTTCTGGACTGGGGGGCGCGCAGCCAGGCTATCTCCACGTGGTGTGCCCTGGGCTGTCTGCTTCGCGGCAGACAGGCGAAGAGTCTGGTGCCTTTTTATTATTTATTTATTCACATTATTTATATTCTGTTCATAACTACTCATCAACACTATACTATTCATTGTGGGAATCAAAATGACCTTTCTAGGCCACCTTGGTTATATCTTTCATAACGAGAAAGGCACAGCTTTTATTGTTCTTCCTCTTGGTCTCGAGTCTTTGTCGCAAGGCCAGTATACTGTGGTGTGGTTGCCTGAGGACCTTCTTTTCTCTCCACTCTCGTTGAGCTGTTGAGTTGTGCAGCAAGTCCTTGTTTTGGAATGTACGCCCCCAAATTAAAACATTTGCATTCAAACCACACCATCAAAGTCATAGCCTCGTGCAGGATGAATGAGCTCCTCCTTTTCGTCAATTCCATCGCAACATGTATCATCCAACTTCATTCATTCAACATTTCAGGAATTGTTGAAACCAAGAGTAACTTTCTCGAGAAAATAAAAAAGAAATAAAAAATCTTGAGTAGCCAGGAATTTGCCCGCTGCCTTACTCAAGCGTGCTGATAATTATTTCACTCCTTCGATTAAATTCTAAGGCAAAAGCATGTATGGGAGAGTGTTGATCCCAGATGTGATCAGGAAGGGGGGTCAATAAGCCTCTCAATAAGGGTGCGCTCCAGGGCGAAGCATGTCAAAGGTTCACCTTTAGAAAGTCTTATCTCGACAATCTTGATGAACACCTGTCATAGCTAGGATGCGGCTGTCTTCAAATCATACAAATCATAGTGTCGACAAATGTGTTCACCTTTTTGTTTCGTTCCGACTTACTCTCATAGGTAAGATCCGCAATTCAACAACACAAGAAGTCGGAGTCCTTTAAAGGTAAATGTCCGTATTTACTCTCGAAACTAGAGTTTTGAAGGACACTTTCAGAGCGTCCCAATATTAATGTCTTGCGTATCACAAACATGGCGGTCTAGGACAATGGGTTCAATATGTTCTTTCCAGGTTTGAATAAAATTCTAAACATTGGCTTGAGCAACATAGGCGTCCTCATTATATTATGGACATTACCCGAGACTTTATACTTTCACGAATATCCAAGCAAGTGTATCTCCTAATTCATAGCCAACAGCGCACTATCGGGGAACAACAGTTCAAAAGTGGAAGACCAGCAGAGGAAAAGACAATAATGGCATTATTTGGAGAATGAACTTCTTTCAACCTCCAAAGCGGTGTCTTACTAGGCGGCGAAGTAATCGTCACTCTTAAGCAGATTTGAGTCAGCATCCCTGTGATCCCAAGATCCTCTTTTAGAAGGCTTTCTCTCCAAGCACCACTAGCAGGCAAGGGAAGAGAAGCAACTGGCTCTAGTAATGAAGGATAGATGGCAGGGACAGGTTTCCTGATGAAATTAAAGGGATAATCATTGATATGTAAAGCGTATAACCGGAGAGTAATATGTCGTATTGTACGGTTCTGCCTAACTGAAGGGTCCGTATGCACCAAAATCACAGTGACAGGATTCGTGAATGGCGCAAATCGTGTTTATTCTACAATAACTAAGCTCGAACTCCAATAGTCGTAAATGTGAATCAGGAATCTGCAGAAGAAGGCTTGGTGAAATAGCAGATGGTGCTTGGGCGACTAGGGAAGTTGGTTAAACTGGACATCCTCAACTTGCCTAGATGAACTAGCAAATTTGAAAGACCTTGGATCATTCATTAATTTTCTGCCATGATCCGCCGTCAAGCCATAGGACGTAAAGTAGCGATATGGATTGTAGAATTGAGCCTAGAGTCAAGAAGTTATTTGGTAATGTGAATCAGGGTCCATAATTTAGAACCAAATGAATGCTATGTCGTTGAAGCTTTCGTTTGCTCCGGACCTATAGCTCTTGCCATGAAGGCCAAGTATCCCATCACTTTGTTTTTAGATCGAAAGAATTTATAATGATATAACTCTTACACCCGCTTTTACCATTTGACAAATGCTTTTATTCTTTTTCACAATGTCAAGAGGATCTGTAGTTATAGGAACTTGGGGCCAGCTTCAAGTTCCACGCTGGTATAATTATCATCGTATACTTTACACCTTTTTGCTCCTCTGGACTCAGAAGTCAAGCATCACTCTTGTCACACCAAGTGGTGAAGTTGAGAAAAAAGGGGGATTGATGCAAAAGAGAAATTAGGAAACCCTTCATCCTGTCTTCATCCATCAAGTTATTGTAGTTATTACCGAAATGACGGAACATCAGTACCAACAATTCCGAAAGGCTGACATCATTGAAAAAGTTTGTGTCAGAATTGCTTCCACCTTTGCAAGCAATGGCAGTTCGTCATGCCATGTGAGTTTGCAAGACATTCAAGATGTTTTTCCGGATGCACAACAATTCAAGTTGGATGAACTTCCTATCCCGTTCCTTATAGATCCTAATGGCAACAGGTATATTACTGATTATGATGGGCCTTATCAATCGTGTCTGGGAAGTACTGGGAAATTGAATCTGGCATACACGTATCTTTTTATTAGAATAGAGCCTCCATGCATTGCATTCTATCCTCATAAGGTCCTGGATGTCATTACAGAAAGGTCCCAGTTCGACAACAGCAACAACAGCAACAACAGCAACAACAGTAGCAACCGCAACACCTGCAATTGCAACTGCAGCTGCAACAACAGTAACAGCAGTAGCAACAACCACAGCGATGCCGCCATCCATTTGGCTATATCGAGAAGGTCGACAAATCTGGCCTCTCAGGATCCTCTTTTACCACTAGACAATCTGATTCAATCTTTCAATTCATTTCTTACTAGTCGCAACAATACACAAATTGAGGCGATCAACTCTAACCTTGAGAAGCTTGCGGAGTTACTCTTGGGGGCCAAAGAGAAGGACGACAAGATGATTAATATGCTGGAGACCAAAGAGACGATGACTAACCTATTGGAAACCAAGGAGGAAATGATTAATTTGCTGTTGGAAACCGAAGAGAAGAACAATGAGATGATTAAGCTGCAAGACAAGATGCTTAAGATGCAATTGGAGGCTAGGGAGGAGAAGGATGATAAAATACAACATCAAGCCCTCGACAAATTTACTATTCTTCAAAAGCATGCCCATGCTATCCTCACTCAGGGCCTTGAACCTCACGAATGCCCAATTCCTCGACTATTTATCATTTTACCTGTCGACCATACCAAATGGGACTCAATGAATGTTTTGAAGAACAAGTTCCGTCTTCATTTCCTATGTGAATGTGGAAATCACACTGCAATGGCAAGCAAGAGTACCGAAAGTCAAATTCATATTACCAAACATAAGGGATATGAAATCCGAGACTGCAAGGGATTCTTTCACAAGTATGGAAAATACATGTTCATCCTCTTACAATGGCTCAAGCTGGGGATGCTCTCGTCTGCTCCTCTCAATTGCTCAATCGACTACATGGAAACGTTCTCCAAGAAGTACCCAGCCTTAAATAACATCACTACAATCGATGACTATGAGGGACTCGAAGAAGCTGATCTTCAACAGCTGGGGGCCTTTCTTCGAGTCGATGATGAAGGTGACCAATTTGGCAACTTGTACAGAATCACGACCGAATCAGGCCATGTTAAATGGGTTTGCTTCCAACATTATCGTTCGGCGTATAAAGAAAAGGAGCAGAAAGCGTTTGAAAATGCAGTGAAGGTAAATGGCGCTAAATACGATCCGCATCTCGGCAAAGTGATTGCTACATTGAAATCTAGAGACAAAGTTATAGGATTCTTCGATGCCCTAACTAATGCAAGACGTGTTTACGAGTTGGATATCACATTTGATTGCGATTGGGCCGAGCCTGACCTTGTGGTACTTGAGAAAGCTCTAGCGGCATTAAATGTATCGACTCTTCGACTTGGGCTTGAACGGGCTAGCGGGAAAGCGGATTCAACACCTTTACGATATCAAACACTTGTTCGAATCATAGAACTCAGCAATATAAAAGCGATTCATATTGCTCTATCTCCAGATCTTATAAAACTCCCCAGTTTACGACCTGGAAGATCGTCGCACCTTCATAAGCTATCTTTTGAGATGAAAGTTCACCAGCTTGAAGCCGATGAATTATTGGTGGTTGTAAATTATCTCAAAACCAACACGGCTTTGACTGCTTTGAACTTGGATCTCAGCCGAATTAAAAAGAAAGAAGTTCTGGCACTGGCAGAGGCACTCAAGGCCAACACAACTCTGACTACTTTGGGTTTGGAGAGCAACCTGATTGGGGATGAAGAAACTCTGGCACTGGCAGAGGCACTCAAGGCCAACATAACTCTGAGTACTTTGACTTTGGCGGGCGACTCAATTGGGAATAAAGGAGCTTTGGCACTGGCAGAGGTACTCAAGGCCAACACAACTCTGACTACTTTGACTTTGGCGGGCGACTCAATTGGGAATAAAGGAGCTCTAGCACTTTTAGAGGCGCTCAAAGGCAATACAAGCTTAATCAGTTTATGCTTAGAGTGTGACTCAATAGGGGAGGAAGGAGCCCTGGCACTGTCAGAAGCACTTGAAGCCAACACAACTTTGACCTATTTAGGCTTGTGGAGCAACCTATTTGGGAAGGAAGAAGCCTTGCTACTGTCAGAAGTGCTCAAGGCTAACACTACTTTGACCGGCCTAAACTTGCACGGCAATTCACTTAGGGATGAAGGAGCTCTGGCTCTGTCAGAAGCGCTCAAGGTTAATGTGACTTTGGTCTCTTTGGAATTGGAAAGAACCCTAATTGGGAATGAAGGAGCTCGGGCACTGGCAGAGGCACTCAAGGTTAATGCGACTTTGGTCTCTTTAGGTTTGGAAGAAAACCTAATTGGGAATGAAGGAGCTCGGGCACTGGCAGAGGCACTCAAGTCTAACATGACTTTGACCACTGTGAAATTGGGGCGAAACTTTGTTGGAGCAAAAGAAACTTTAGCGCTGTCAAAGCTACTCAAGACCAACATTATTTTGACCACATTGGACTTGGAGAGCTGCTGGTGACTCGGACAGTGTCAGGGGCACTCCAGGTCAATGCAGCTCTGACTCTTCATAAACAAGCGCACCTTAATCGATGAACGAGGGCCCCGATACTGTTAGAGACGTTCAATTCTGTCTGATCGACTTTTGTTTCGTTTTTTTATTTTTTTATTATTATTATTATTATTATTGTTTTGTTTTATTTTATTTTATTTTTTTAATTTAAGTTGTACAGGAAATAGTTAAGTTTAAATAAAAAGCTGGCTTGCGGCTGCCAAGTCGCCATAGCGATGGTGTTTTTTAATCCTTCGATGATGCTTCTCTGCAGAACACATATAAGCTATCCTGTTTTGCTTGTCCCCACATACTCACGTCCCCTTAAAGGGACTAGACAATGGGTGAAGTGTCAAAGGTGAAGATACTATCACTTCAATTTTGTGACCCCAAAACGCGAAAAACTTGGCCCAATTGAGTATTTTGAAGATAATCGCTTAAATCTCCGCAACGGCTGTAAGAGGCAAGTAGCTGGCTATCAAGCACATCCTCAATGACTTCTCTTAAACATGGATACATTGCCCTGTAAGGCTATCCCAGGCGGGCACTGTACCGTACAGGCAGCATGTAGTTATGTGTTGTCCATTCAGTGAGTATCTGAGATGGATAATTAGTTTTGTGTTACCATATAAACTGGAGTTAGACTGTTATGGATCTGTGTCCCACAGACACATCACCCCATCTTTGCTGAATGGCGTATTCTAATGGCCGTTGAGCGAGGATGCCGCACACCGTATAAAGCAATAGCGGCCAAAGAAGCGTGCTGGCCAGCTATCCTAATCGAGTATGCAAACTGTTTTGTCGTCACCACAAGTAGCCATCTACTCCCCATCGAGCAAATATTTAAGGCCTTGGTGAGTTGGGGTAACCTATAAGCGTATGTCATTTCCTTTGTTCGCACATTTCAGTAGAATGCTCCACTATCGGAAAGCAAAGCTGCACATCTTCTGTCAGGAGAATATTGTACACTGTCGAGAGGTAACATGTGCTTTGAGATCTTCTTCTTATGACCAGACCTAGCAGCTCACACGCGCATTGGTTGTCCCCACTAGGCGAGATGAAATGATTATGGCTTGACGAGTATATCGCACCATTGAAAATATCTCTACAGTCAAGTTGAGAACCATTTCGCCTAGTATTATATCGGATACGTGAAACTTATCCTCGTAATAGTGGATAGTAATATGTCGGCTCTCTGGAGAGCAGTTGAAGCTGTAGCAGTATATGTTGGCCTCCAAAAGCGTACGCTTTTCCATGTCATTATACTCTATATAGGCAAATATGTGTCGTAGACAGCTGCAGATAGTCCCTTTCCATCAGGTGAATATCATCCCCTATACAGCTTCTTTCCTTTGCCAAGGAGAGCTCACCCTCCAATTTGTACCGCTGCCATCTTTGCTTTAGCAAGCTCTGCCCCCTGAAAGCGACAGCTGCGAAAGTTGAGGTTCCTCAAATTGGTTTCTGGGGTCTAGATGCCTTGAAAGCCTGCTTCATCAAACGATTGCCTTGCTCGGACCAAGGCAGTTGTCTGCATTGGCTGATGTCTGTTATTAAGCATTTTTTTACCATAATCCATGACCTCAACATTATTATTAAGTGAGTAATAGATATGTTTTGCCTGTTAGCCATGCCTACACTTAACTTTTGATCTCGCTAATATATTTAAGCTGGTAATGAATCATAGTCTGGAATGAGCTTTTTTAAATACACATCATAGTGCTTTAATATCGTTGAATCGAGTGGAGGCAACTCATGGTTTTTCCTTTTTTTTTTTTTTTTTTTTTTTTTGACCAATTAAAGTTATTCCTGAAAATTTGAATGAAGTTGGATGATACATGTTGCGATGGAATTGACGAAAAGGAGGAGCTCATTCATCCTGCACGAGGCTATGACTTTGATGGTGTGGTTTGAATGCAAATGTTTTAATTTGGGGGCGTACATTCCAAAACAAGGACTTGCTGCACAACTCAACAGCTCAACGAGAGTGGAGAGAAAAGAAGGTCCTCAGGCAACCACACCACAGTATACTGGCCTTGCGACAAAGACTCGAGACCAAGAGGAAGAACAATAAAAGCTGTGCCTTTCTCGTTATGAAAGATATAACCAAGGTGGCCTAGAAAGGTCATTTTGATTCCCACAATGAATAGTATAGTGTTGATGAGTAGTTATGAACAGAATATAAATAATGTGAATAAATAAATAATAAAAAGGCACCAGACTCTTCGCCTGTCTGCCGCGAAGCAGACAGCCCAGGGCACACCACGTGGAGATAGCCTGGCTGCGCGCCCCCCAGTCCAGAAACCCTAGAGCAGTCTATCGGCACGCACCATCTTCGGGCCCAACCCACCATCCAACCTACAGCGTTCTGCAGGCTGAAGATGAAGCACGTTGGGACAGAGGCTAGCACTCTCTACGTGCTAAAGTCCCTTTTCCCTGTAATGTTATTGAATGGAAATGTACTTAAATTTCTCTTCATACTGTGCGATATCGAATAAGCACCTATGTGACTATAATCCTGCCTGCTTTTGTTCCTCTCTTGACAATCAAGAAGATCGCTGTTCTTTTTAATTTTAGTTGCAGCTCTTTGCTGGGTGGTCTGTGCTCTTGTACCAACAGAGTTTGTTTGTTTGTTTTGGTAAGGCTGAAAGACAACAAAGCGGAGTAAGTGCTCTATTACATGTCCAAATAAGACACAGAAATGTACATGGTGGCAGCCTTAAACAAACAACCTTCCTGAGAGGGACGTTGTCTTGCTGTCTTGCTGTCTTGCTGTCAGGATTGTCAGGATTATTAGACAGCACCATAGTGATATTGATGTGTATTAAGTTTTCGATTCCACAACCTCTGAAATAAAAGAGGGTCAGGATATGTAAGTGAGACAACAAATCACCAAACTCTGTTCCTCATACATGTTTGATGAATGGGCCCTTGGCCAAAAAATCTTACATAATAGCTCATCTCAAATACGAAACCGTTTATACACATACACATATACATATACATATATAAATCCCATTGCCGTCCCAATTTTGTGAATCGAAAAAAAAAAAAAAAAAAAAAGACTACGAGTAAAGAGACTCTCCTTGGG